CCTCAAGCCTGGACGTTCTATCCCTGCTCTTCGGCAAGGTACTCGCCGATGCGCATCTATCTTCTTAGAGTGCTTTCTCTTGGCTTTGTGTGCTGGAAGAGCGAGAATAGAGTGACCTGAATTGATCTTGAAGAAATGCCTCTTGGCGCCAAGGGCGCCATTTGTCTCTAATTTGCAGCTGTGCACAAAGCATCTCCAGCACTTGAGAATTCCTGATCAGGGTCCAGTAATAGGAGCTGCCCTTTGTATCTTTGCCTCCTCTTTGCTGGGAAATCGGCAGTCGGATGGTACTGAAGGGACTGCCTCATGACATTTGAGTGCTCTGAGTGTTTCAGGCAATTGTGCATGGCAGCAGACATGCGTACCTGCAACAATGTGACCCTTTCGAAACCCTAATCTCATGCCCCCTGAACCTACAGGGGAGATGGAGGGAGGCGACGCGGCGGCGCGCGACGGCGCGAGCGTGTGGTCGGGTGACCTGGACTCCTTACTAAGCGACGGAAATATCTCCCTCGACCCGGATCTGCTGCCGTTTCCGCGCGGCCGCTTCTCCTTCGGCGTTGGCGTGAACCTGAAGATGGCCGTCAGCCGATGGACCAACTGGGCCGCAGACGTGGGCATCCGCGAAGAAAACATGGGCGCCGAAGAAGGGTGAGTCAGCATTACTAATCACACATGCAAGTAGGCGTTCCCTCTCTTTGACGTCACTCTTCAGGACGTTAAAAGGGGAGGATTTTGGGAACGAGCGTTTGTGGAATATGTGAAGAGAACATGGGTGCCAAGGAGGGTGAGTCAGCTCTGGCACAAGAATGGGAAAGTGGAATCTTGTTGTTAGTGAGTCAGCACACTGGCTACCACCTCTTTTGAGTGCCAGAGCGCGAATCCATTATCACAAGATGCTCCGCCCACAAATGCATGCTCAATGCAAAATGGATGACCGAGGTCATGCAAGTCGACGTATTAAAATGGAACCTTGCCCCGGCAGTTAAGGGGCGGTACAATTTCTTAGCACAGTGCACACTGTTGATTGAGTCTTGCTTGCATCCGGCGAGTCCAATTAGTGGGTAGGATTTTGGCAAGTTTTGCCTGCAGCTTATCTGCAGATGCCCCTTGCCTTTGGCATGAGCAGCGTGTAGTAGTATATGGGAGGAGGGGACAAGAGATCCAATGGGTTGACAGCTGTGATCGCTTTGCGTAGGTACATGCTGTTCCCGTGTCTGCGTGCGACGGCGGACCTGCTCATGATGCCCAAGGAGGTGCTTACGGACCGCGCGATACGGGCCGAGGTGGTCCCGGGCCTCTCCCTGCGGCGCATCTGCCAGCTGCTGCAGCGCTTCCTGCCCGACGACTTCGCACCAGACCCCCTGCCACCGGGTAAACCACCCTTTGCCCGTTTTTTTATCCTGAACCCTGAGATGGACCCTTACCTCTAGAGTTGCTGCGGTACAAGAGCTCAAGCTCAAGACTGAGATGAACAAGGCAAGCGCTTCGTGCCTAATACCTCGCCAGACCCTCTGCCGCTGGGTAAAACACCCTTGTGCACTGCGCTTTTTTGTTGGGGGACCCTGATCTGGTGAATTTCCTCAAGAACTGCCATGGTGCGACATGAAGACAGAGACAAAAGACAACGGCTTTGGTGCCCGATGACTTCGCGTCGACCCCCTGCCGCCGGGTAAATCACCCTTTGCTCAGTTCTTTCATTTGGTTTCTGGACCCTGAGATGGACCCTTTGCACTGCCCCTTTTTTGCATCATTGGTATCAGACTGTGCTGGCGCTATTGGCACTGTCAGCGATCCCTCTAAAGATGCTGCAGTTTGAGGTCAACACTCGGATGGAAAGAGGCAATTACTTTCTGCCTGAAACTAGTGCGCCAGACCCCCTGCCGCCGGGTAATCACCCTTTCTCCCTGATTCCCAGGAAGTATTAAAGACTATCCCTTGTGTGAGGGATAGTCTTCAGTCTCCCCCTGTGATTAACAGGAATTACGAGGGGTACAGGGTCCTCCTGTCTAATCTCTTTCCAAGACACAATTTATACCAGGAATTGCAGGCAGACCTTCCTTTCCTGTCTGCATTTTCTACTGGCAATGGGCTCTTGGGCCTTGTTCCTGTTGTGTTCAGCTGACATTCCCCTGTGTGTTCAGCGCTGTGAGGGTTCATGCCAGCTGCAGATATCGGCCCCTGGCTGCAAGCTCTCACAGGAGTGTTCCATTTGTTGCAAAGAATTCATGAGATTTGGTGTGTCCTCTGCTGTGCAGGCCTACTGGAGGCTCTGCACAATGAGACGCCCAGCGCAGAGCCGGTGAGCAGCCCGACTTCCAAGCTGCACGCTGCCTACGAACCAATCTCAGAAGCCGAGCTCCTCGCAGACGGCCTCATCGAGCCGGTGAGTCCTCAATACCGTAGTAGTCACTCTAAACCCCGCACCCCCGGTGGTGCGAAGGAATTTTAGGAACTTTTCAAGGCAACATTATGAGTTTTACTGACATTTTCACTACCAGGGGCCTGCTCCATTAGATCAGGCTTGTCAAGAGCTCTTCGAATCTGGTCTCAAAATCTTCATAGGGTGTATATCTTGGGAGATAGGGTCTTAATCATCAACCCTTTTTGGTCAAAAATTTTGTTTTCTATGGGGTTTAGATTGGTCATTACGGTACCAGCAGCACTTAGCTCTGAAGCGAGGTTGGCCAGCAGAAGGTTACTTAGGCAGGAAGATGCAACAAAAAAAACAGGGAAGCGAGCAACAAACCCATAGTACAAATGAGAGCAAATGGCGCATTGACATGTCATACCGTAGTGACCGGTCTAAAACCCCACACATGTCAATTATGTTTGAGCTTGCGGGAACGAAATATAATATCTTTTTGACGTGCGGGAAAGTGCTTGCGGGATCGTTATATACGTACGTTGAGCCCAAAAAATCGCAAGACACTAGTATATTGGTCCGAATTTGAGCTTGCCCGAACGGAAAATAAAACGTTTTGATTGTTAAGTCCCTGCGGGAACCTGTTTAATATCCCCAAATTTACAATAGTGCGGAGTTGAGACCGGTCACAACGGTATTCTTGCTGTCAGCACCCCGGAACTTTTGCCCGGGACTTTTGTCTGCGCGCATGTTGCGTGCTCTTCCTTGTTTGACCTACCCTCTACCTTGTGCTTCTCTGCATCTCAAGGCCTGAGATGACCCCTTTACAGGTGGGGCACGCTATCACGCATACTATTAGCATGTTCTGACAACCCCTTTCCGTTTCCCGTCTGCGCGCAGGTGAGCCTGGAGATGGACGATGAGAGCGAGGACGAAGTGGAGGCACTGGCAGAGATGTACGATCCAGACTGCTCCAACGACGGAACCTTCCGCTTCGCTCTGCTGCGCGAGCTGTGGGCCAGCGCCCGCTGATGCCTTCTGCATGCCTGGCTCTCGATAGCCTGGTTGAAGGGGAAAGATGTTTATTGATAACGAGGGTACCCCCTTGCCTGTTCTGGCTCTGTTGGCTGCCGGTGCCTGATCTGGCGCGGCCAGTGTCGGTGCCCAAATTGGCGGGTGCCTTGTTGCCTCTTCTGGCGCAAAACTTTCGGTGCCTGATCTGGCAGGTGCATGGTTGCCTCTTTTTGGCGCGGCAAGGTCGGTGCCTGATCTGGCCATTCCTTGCTGATGCCTTGTCTACATCTGGCCCTACCTTAGCTGATCTTGTGGCCATGCCTCCTGCAATGCCAAACTGCAGGAGACTTACAATCTGGAGGTCTACATGCAATCGTACACAAGGGAGATCTATATTCGGGGAAACCCCAATCTGGTGATATCGCTTTGGATAACGGGGGCGCCGGGTGCTTTGCTTGTGAACTGCCAGTGACATCATAGCTGATCTGGTGGCTTATATTGCTCTGTCAAGTTCTGGGAGTATGCAGAGGCAGACTTGCCTGGCTGCGGTGCTTCTGAGGGTGCATTTCAGAGAAATTTCCACTAGCGCGCCTCTTTTGCTTCAGCTTTGTTGAGATGGCTGCAGCCAGTGCAATCACTGGCACATGCTGTGAGTGGGAAGGTCTTTATAGCACAGGCTTTCATAATTGCAGTCTGGCTTGAAGCAAGGTGCATGCAGTCCTTCACGGGCCTTCAAGTGGGCAATGCGAGGGGTGATGTGATATCATCGATGTCATGTTGTGCAAGGTATGCTGGTGGTGATGTAGAAACCTGTGGGTAGATCAATTGGTCATGTCATGGGATTACATGTCTGTGGAGTTGCATAGGCTGAATGCAAGGTAATTCTCGGGGGTCATATGTGCATTCATGCTGACTAAGCGCTGTCAAACGCATGCAAGAAAGTGCACTATCATGTGCTTGACATGAAATTAAAGTCCATTACTGGTTAAATAAAATCAAAAGTTTTGGTTCCTGAAGTGATTGGTATTGCTAGCGAATATTTGTTTGCATCATGTTGTGTGGCGCATGTACTGCATGCATATGCTGAGGTTGCTGTGTATGTAAGAACAACAACCCCTTCAAGTTGGGGAGCAGCTTGTCCGCTACACGTACCTTGCCTCTTTACAAGAAAAGCGTGCAGTAAGATAAATAAATGAAACAATTAGAACATCCTAAATGTTCTTACATACTGTCGAATGGTGAGAAAGGTGCCAATAAGTCACCAACAAGGGCTGGCGGCGCCTTCTCCTGACAAGGACATCGGCGACCGATGATCGGCCACGTTTCATGGCGGGGGGCCCGATTCGGCAGATTCTCGAATCCGCGAATTAACGCAAGCTTCCAGTCATTGTGACGCCTGCATGCGTAGGAACTGCGGACATCGACGTGTCATACTGAAAGGCGAGAGGAAAAGGTGCAGAACAGTAGCCTTGCAAAGTACAGCGCATGCAGGGCTGCTCAGAGGGTTTCCGAGCCTGCTTGACGCATCAGGCGAGGCAGCGTCGATACTTTTTCGGTGGCGCTCGCTTCGTGCCCTGGCCGGCTTTCGTGTGCACCAGTCCAGGGTCGGTTTCGTGCTTTTATGCTCTTCGATGGACAGGACCGGGCTTGGGTGCAGCCTGTGATAGAAGGCAACACGGCGCAGTGGCCTGGGGCACAAGACTGGAGCGAGCTGGAGCCGTACGAGGAGGGGCGAGCCGGGGATCTGCCCATGGATGACAGGACTTTCTTTGGCGAACTCGCACTCCACTTGCTCGAGGGTAGGTGACTGGTGGCGCCTGTCGCGTGAGAGGTCTCATCAAGGCGTCAGCCCCCGTCCATGAGTGATTTTGAAATGAGCACTGGGGCGCATAGAGTAGCGTATGTAGTAGTCAACGTGATGGTCGTAGAGGACCATGGCCATCATTCTGATTAGTAACGACGCCACTCATTGTTTTCCGAGACGTCTTGATCTACAGAGGTCGGCTCAGAAAAGTGTAGAGTGGGATGGACAAGAGGTCAGTCATGCTGCCTTCCTAAGAGCTTTCAAGTCCTGAAGGGCCTTTATCGACCCGGGGTCCAGTCCAGGAAAACGATGGCGAGCGCCGGTCGTCCAGTGTTTATGGTCCCTCATCTCCCACAAAAATAGGAGCAGGTCAAGTTAAGGTGCAGCTTCGTAATCTCCTTTGCTTGGTGGACTTGCAGATGCGGACCGACTGGCGCTTTCTCGCACGCTGCACCTGGCCGGAGGACAGCTGCGCCTTCGTGGCGCAGGCCAACGTGCACCAAAGGATCCTCTAGCTGATGTCGAGATTCCTGGTACCAATGGGCCCATGCAGTGCGCGCTCTCATTCATAGGCACATCACCCAGCATGGAATTCTTCGCTACTGGAGGGTAACAAGTCTACGGCTGACACCACGATGGACGTGGGGTAAGGGCCCCTTGCAACTCATTTGTCTTGCGTCGTTCGCCATCCTCATCACCGACACACCAACAGCCGTCCTCATTGTGCGCTATTCTGATTATTCGACCACTTCTGTGTCGAGGCATCTGGCGGTCGCCCAGCAGCCCTGCAATTCTGTGCACTGTTTCGTCGGAAGCCAATGCACATTATGCTTTGACACTCTGCTTTCTCAGGGCCATTAAAGGTATTGATCTCGACTTGCGGCAGTTTTGCGAACTTCGGGCGTGTCTGGCTTGGCAGGGAGCTTTCCGTGGAGATAGAGCCAAGTGATGCAGCGCAAGGAGAGATTGGTCTAGGATCAGGGGACCGGAAGAAAGGCAAGAAACGGGGCAAGAAGAAGCTGCCGGTGCCAGATCTGGACGCCATCAGTGACCCCTTGGAGCACCAGAAGCAACGCCGCCTCGTCAAGAACCGCAACACGGCTGCCGCCTCCAGGCAAATGCCCTTCGTTGTTTGCATAGCGGTCAACAAAGTTTGTAGTTTGTGTTAGTAGCTTGTGTCAAGTCAGTCGAGAGGGATTTTCCACTCTGGCTGGTCCCTGCCAGAGAGTTTACAATAACACATAATCGAGGCAGGCCTTGCAAGGCGACCAGAAGCCCACCAAGCTGTGCCTGAGGTCTGGTGTATGAGGTTGTGTAACGGTAGTCTGCAGCTTTTTCCATGAATGGTGTCGCAATGTGCTTTCTCGCCTGAGGCTGTCCAGGCGTAGATCATCCAGTGCTGACTGAGCGCATCCACTTGGAACCTGATTAGATATTTGACTCCTTGTGGCTCGCATGCACAGGAAACGCAGACAGCAGGAGTTTGACATGCTGACTGCGCGCACGGACTTCCTGACGATGGACAATGCCGGCCTGCAGCAGCAGATTGCCGCGCGCAACGTTGAGATTGCCTGGCTGCAGCGCGAAATCTCCGGTCTGACCGGGTGTCCTGCCACCGCTGCTGCCCGTCGCCATAGTAGCCAATGCGGGCGGACGCCCCCCCCGCCACCGCAAACCTCGAGGCGGTGGCGGAAATTCTAGCGGCCAGGCGCTGCGATGGTAGCGCGGCAACTGCTGCGTTTTGTCGGCGGCCGGCGCGAAGTGGCCACAGCTGGCCGTCAGGGCCAGCACCGTTTCCGATGGGAGCGGTTTTGGCCATATCATGCGCGTGGACGGCCAGTTTCTGCAGCTGCGGGCGGGGTATGCACTGCTGCCCTCGGCCAGGGGAGCTCAAGAGAGCTGTGCAGAAACTGGTGAGGAGGCGCAAGGATGTGCGCAGCAAGGAGGGCGAGGCCAGCCGGGATTTTGCAGCACGCGCTGTGGACCTCGATGAATGCTCTTTTTTATTCGTCAGCTGGTGGTCTGCTTTGTGAGATTTCTCGCGCCTGATTTCTCAAGAGGCGTTATGTCAGATTGCAGGCGCTGGGACCTGCTCTTGTCGGTGCTGTCTCCGCTCTGATTCGGGAGATGGGCCATGAGATCAGCGAGTGCTGGATGTCAGTGCTGTGATGATTCTCGCAGCATGCGCATCCCTGTTTTTTTTTTGAGCCTGCTCTTGCCATTGATTTCTTTTTTATGTTTAGGGTTTAGGATAGGTTTAACCCTAAACTTTCAATAATGTGAAAACTGATTTTTTATCCATCAGCTGGTGGTCTGCTTTATTATATTTCTCGCGCCTGAATTATCAAGAGACGATATAACAGACTGCAGGCGTTGGGACCTGCTCTTGTTTTTGCTGTCTCCGCTCTGATTCGGGTGATGGGCCATGAGAAACTTACAGCGATTGCTGGATGTCAGTGCTGTGATGATTTTCGCAGCATGCGCATCCCTGTGCACAGCTCAAGGAATGGTTTTTTCTTTAAACATGAAGTTCATCTTATGAACTGATGGTTTAGTGTGCTAGGCAGAGGTGAGTGTTCACCTCTGCAGCAAAGAGCTTTCTAGATATGACTGCGCGATGCTTGCATGCTATTGGGAATATTGAAGGAAGAAAGCCCCCTTGAAGCACCGCAAAGGGTCAGCGGTGTGCGGATCCAATTTGGAAGGTGTCATGATAGGGGAGCGCTCCTGACGTTTTTTGGCTGTCAGATGGTCTGCAGCAGTGCCTCCGTTTGTCGGGGGGGTGTGCAAGTTTTCTGCATGAGGGAGATGGTGCAAGGCTTGAAGCTTGAGATGGAAGATGAACGCACAGTGCAAGTGCATCTGCTGTTCAGCGCAGCAAGAACCGTTATGAAACGACAGAAGCAGAGGACCAAAAAATGCGCAGTTTCTTACTTGCTACTTTAGGGATTCAGGCGCTAATTCCAGGTCCCTTTTTTTGTCTTCCTCATCAGAGGTCTGGCCATTTGCATGCTGTATTGAACTGAAAATTGCGGGGTCTCAACAGCGGTCAGAGTCAAAATTTACAGCACTGCTTGAGTTGAGATTTTACATAAGCAAGGAACTTTGAGTCATCGTAGAGTGCTTGAGTGTGTGGTGCGAGGATATGGCTCTTTGGCGGAGCGCTGATGAGCCATGACAGAGGTTTGAACTTCCAATTATGAGGCAGGGTATCGAATATATTACTCAATGTTGCAGGCGACATGCTCAGTTGCAAATTCAAATTTGAAATTCGAGCAAGTGGCAGGCCTCTCTGCGCATAGTGTCCATCGTTTATGCGGCTGTTGCATGAGGCGAGTTTTCACTTTGCATATATTCACACGTAAGTGGTGCCAGATTAAAACGTGTTCAATATGAAGATTCGCAATCTTCAAACCCGAGGGTGCAAAAGTGCCATGTATGAATCGTCGTCTGCTCATGTACGGTGATTAAGATGGGGCCAATTAGGCTCTGCACCTGTACACAGGACACATATTCCCCACCACCAATTTGAAATTGCCATGCACAATAGCAAAATATAGAATTTGTATCCGGCTTATAAATCCTAAACTGAGCTTTCAATACCACAAATTTGGTGAAGGACTCCACTCACTAGGCTCACAGCCCACCTCAGACTCACACAAAAGACATTCTTCTGTATCATTCTTGTTGTAATTACTACACGCTTTTCCTGCCAACAGGTAAGGCGCGTCTTGCAGACAAGCTGCAGTTGAAGGCTGCCACAATGTTAACCCTTGTTGGACTCGCCAGATCCAAGCAGGACCCAATCAACTGTGGGCATGGTGCTCAATGTTTGTACCGCCCCCGCCAGCCGGGGCCTTTCTGTATATATATACAAATATAACAAAAAAAACATTCTCTCGATAGACAGTGTTATAGACGCTCGACTACCTGCCAAGCATGCATACTCCTGACGCACAAGACATGCATGTTCCGGGAAACGTTTGCTTCGGCATGGCCGGCATATCCTGCTCCGGCATTCCATAGGCAGCTCCTGCAACACCGCAGACACCATCAGTCAGGCAGGTAATGACACAGCTCTTTTGCCAGCACCACGCCAATCAGGCCGACCGCTCAGTCCCTGGTTGCTGAGTTGCTGTCAGTTGCTGATCTGTTGTCATCTGAATGAAGTTGGCAACGGCATAACAGATGTGCAAGAAGCTCTTTATAGCACCCCAAGAAGTCTTGCCGCATCGACGAAGAGCTTCCTCATCAGCAAATCAGCTTGGTGGGTGTGCGCATGACGCACCCTCCGGGAAGTTCTGCACGGCTGCGGATGGCGGGATGGCGGCGAAGCCGGCGACGGCCATGGCGGCCAGATCAGGCAACGGGGCCCCCAGATGTGGTTGCGGCAGCTGCAGCGGGTTCCCCACTTCCCGCAGCCGCCACACTTCCTGCCGCAGCCGCATCGTCTCCTGATCTCACTGTGCTACAGCCGCTGGTTTTCTGCCTGCAGCGCGTCGGCTCGCACGCCCACGTGCCATCTCCTGCCTCTTCTTCTCCCTGTGCAGTGCCCACATGATCCTGTCACCGCTGTTTAGATGACGAGACATGGCGACATTGAGGCAGAGCAAGTGCAAGAGTGAGTACAATGGGCTGTCTGGTGGTGTAGATGCAATGCATGCGACATAAAAGACTCTCTGCAAGCACCAGCAGCTCATCACTTGCAGCATGAGACTTGCTGGCTTATCTATTGAGACTCAGCAAGCCTCAATACTGACATGTCTGTCACCGCCACAGATCACGCCAATTGGCACTTTGTCTGCACGCTGCGGCACGCTGCGGGCCTGTGGATTCACTGCCTGCAGCTCCTGACCCCCATTCCTGGGCACCTGCAACTAAAGGAAACCATGCGTTCAGGCAGGACTGGATTTGGCATCCCTTGCGCCCTTCCAGACATCGCAAACGCCTTCCTATATGGGCATTGCTGGCGTGCTTCTACTTTCTTACAGACAAGGCAAGGAATCACTTAGTGACATGAACCCATGCCGTCACTCTCAAGCAATGGCTCTCCAGGATCGAAAGTGCGAGCGGCAGTCATATGAAACTTTCAGTGCGCGTAAGGCGCACAAATTGCTTCATCAATCATTCATCATGCAATACAGCAACCCAACGGCCTCCTGTCCGTGTGTTCCTTCGAGCATGCGCAACCTCGCGAAGCCCTAGTTTGACGGTTCGCCGGGCTCATAGGTTCCCTCCATCAACATAGAGCATTATTGTTAGGTTTAGCAAAACGTAGGACACACTCACCACGTAAATCGCCGCTCGGACGTTGCTAGGGATCAGCGTGGCACTGCAGCACGGTGTCCCGTGCCCTTTTTTGGCCCTGCCTTCCATGCACCTCCCGGGCTGACGTATGACCCGTCAACATCAGCCTGAGCCGAAAAGCAAGGGCAGAAGGAAGCTCTCTCAGATTATCATCTGCACCACTGTTAGGAAGACGCAATCAAAGCTGTGAAAGACCTTGCAAATCAGTGATGTATAATCACGCTACTCTGACAGAAAATTTCGGGTTATAGAGACGTGAAAGGGTTCTTACAAGCCATTCACATGAGACTCAGATGGAACTTCTACAGCGCTGGAAGCTAGCTGTAGCTTCCCCCTCGGAGGAAGCTGCGTCTGGAGAAGCTGGCCCCAGGGGTACCTACGGTTGCCTTCAAGGAGTACTTGTCGGGCGGATGTCCTTCCAGCTTATCAAAGAAGATGACATTAGTATTGACATCGATAGTGGAGTCAATGGAAACAGGATAGCCAGTTTTCCCAGCTTTCCCATGCATAATTTGGCTCCGGAGTACCCTGTCCGATTGATCCATTCTCTTAGTAAAGAACAGTGATAGAAAAAAACCATGTCCAGGTCTCATTCGAGATGGTTGCTGACCTCCCTCGGGCTCGCAGACGTACACCTTCGACAGCTCTTAACTCAAGGGCTCCACCTAGGTATTTCCTGTCGCTTCCCTTCAGGATTATGTTCCTAGCTGTCTCGAAATTCTGAAATCGGAGATTCTGTTATCACCACCTTTCAAACAATGACCAGGGTTTGACAATGAGCACAAGGGCTGCCTCCCTTTCTTTGCCTTGATGCGGTTGACCATCAACACTGATCGAGCACTTTTCGCCTTTCGAAGGTCTCATTGTCGCAACCGTGGCGATGCTATGGAAGGGGCTGATATTCTTCACAGGCAGCGCGTCTCCGGTGTGCACACATCCAAGCTTCAGCAAAGAGACACCGTCCTGTGGCCAATTGATCCTCTGCAGCACACAAGCAGTCTGCCTTTCTCTTGCTGTGAATGCAGCACTTTTAGAACTTCGAAGCACTCAAAATCCCCCTTTGTACAAGGATTGAACATATACAGGTGGTGGTTGTGTTGAGCGGCAGCATGGAGCCAGGATTCTACCGAGGGGACATCCTCTTCTTGTACAAGGGCCAAAAGCCCTTCAGGACTGGGGAGGTGGTGGTTTTTAAATCTCGAGGGACGGGAAATTCCCATTGTGCATCGCATCATCAAAGTGCATGAGAAGCAGCCTGGGACTGGGAAGATCGATGACACCCTCATTCTGACAAAGGTGTGTCTGCACCGAAACTTGTGCGCAGAATTGTCTTGGTGCAGCCTTTTGCAGGCCTCAAGTTGGCCCACTATGGCTTTTAAGTCCATACAATTACCTTGCAGCTAGAACCTGGCTCCTGGTAAGCACACAGGAGTGTTCATTGACAAAACAAACATTCTTCCCGGCCCCAAAAGCACTGATGACCATGTTCAGTATTATACGCTTTGTAGTACAATGCTTTCACAGCGCGAGGCAGCCCTTACTCCTTCCTGGCGGTTGCACGGCCTTTTGTGTCCTGCATACTCTTGGGTTGAAGTGGACAGAAATATATCAGTCTGTTTTTTTTTTACTTTTGGCTGCAGCTTTAGCTTGTCTGTAGGACGCACCTTGCCTCGTGGCAGAAAAGCGTGTAATAGTAATGATAATGCTCTTGTTTAGGGACTCTGAACTATATAGTAAACTGGCTGACGCATCTTTTGAGCTCAAATTCGATCTTTGGTGTGGTTGCAGGGAGACAATAATCCTGGCGATGACAGGGTGCTTTACAATCCAGGGCAGATGTGGCTCCATAAAGATCACCTCATGGGCCGAGTAGTGGGGTGAGTGCCTGTTTTAGATAGTAGACATCATCTGCGCGTAGGCAGAAACGAATACCTTCATCTCTGAGTGAGATTGCTGTTGTTTTAAGCTCCCTGGCCTCTGTTTCTGCTTTTCAGTTTCCAATTTCAAATGGGCAATCGGGCAGGCCACACGCAAATCTGGCGCACCAATTTTGGCGAGCCCCTCCTCAGTATTCACTGGGTGGACTAACAAGCGCAGCATTTGGCATACCGTAGTCAGCGCCATAAATTCCCGCACCCCTTAAAATGCGTGAAATGTTTGGACCTGTTTTATGAAGAGTCTTTCCTTCATTGAAATGATGTTATCATCACCAAAGGGTCGGGCTCAGCAAGAATTTTCCAAAAAACTGGTCTCAAATAGGTTCTATTTTGCTTTTTGGGGTCTTGATTTTAGACCCTTTTAAAGGCAAATCAGTATTTTATGCGGGAAATATGGTGCTGACTACGGTATGGTATCGAAGAATGAAAGTATACTATTCCAACTACTTAGTATGGTAATCCATCCTACTACTTCCGAACTTTTTGTCTAAGTCAGAACAAGAGGTCTGCTCTTCTAACTATTTCCTTGCATGGGTGGAGTTCTGAAATGCTGTGTGCCTCGTTGATGCAGGTACATGCCATACATTGGCATGGCGACAATTGTCATGAACGATTACCCCTATATGAAATACCTGCTGCTGGGCGTACTGGGTATCTTTGCCCTAAAAAGTAATGACTGAATTCACTCCCGGGAGTGGCGAGCTGTAGATTTGAAACATGTGCAATTTGGCTGATATATATATGAGCTTTGCTGCACAATTGTAATAGTGCTTGAGGATTTTGAGCTTGGAGAAATTCTTTCCAGGAACTTTCTTTCTAGAAAGTTGAACTTGGATCTGGAGAAATTAACCTGAATATTTGCAGACATTGAAAGCAACCACGCTGGGAGCGCAGGGACATAAAAGAGTTTGCAGCATCATGCATGGATGATCGTGACAGTGCTAGAACAGTGACTAGGCATCTTCAAAGCCAGAATCTTCACTGAATCGTCACCCTTTTCCTGATGGACCAAGCATGCACTGCCTATCAGGCAACAGACCCTCCCCTCGGCTTTCTGTGGTTTTCAATCGGCTGGATACGCACCTGTAGTGCCGAAGGACAGAACAGAGAGTTCAGACCAGCCGGTACAGGGAGCAAGGATTCTACAGATGACCTCAGAATTTGTCTCCAAGGTGTAGTACAGACGTATCCAAGTATTCAGGGCACGGTCACAAACACTCTACGGGCTTTCCGCCTGTTTGACCATCCCACGGTTGATGTTTGGCTGCTGCAGCTGCTGCGTGCGCGATCTCCAGATCGGAGTATGTGAGATTGAGGGGAACGTCATGTTCTGACAATTTCTACATGGCGGACGTTCTGGTTGAGAAGGTGCTTTGCAGAACTCCTCCGCCTTGCAGAACCAGATTGTAGTTAGCTGCAAACCTTCTGCGTGCAGTAGCCATCCTCATTACAATACTCAGCACCCCGAACCTCCTTATGAATGTGCAGATGGCCTGGACACACCCACTGCGCTTTTCGTACTTGGAACGCTGTCCTGCCTGACTTTATTGTCATGGCACACAGGTTGCGCAAGTGCAGCTCAATTCACACACGCGAAGTACCATCCTTGGACGACCTTTCCCTTCGGAGCTAGGCCCCTCGCTGCCGCCTGACAACGATGAGCGGCTTGAAACTGTTGAGGAGGTTATCAGGGCAGACAGCACCTCAAATGCAGCAATACGTGAGACAGCATCCTCAAAAGCAAGTTCTATATTTGTTGCCGTCTCGCTGTAATGCTTTGAAAGAGCAGTCTGGGGGAGAAAGCGCAGGAAGATGCTGCTCCATGAGGATCATTTGTGTGTGCACAGGTCCAGTGTTGGAGCTGCTGTGCTCAATCATGCAGATGGAGACTGCTTGCGTGGCGCTGCTCACGGATAAGGGCACGTTCATCAAGGACGGTGTGGGGAAGATAGAGGCAGGATCGCTTCACTCCTTGCCTGGGGTGTGCCAATGGACCCTTGTTCCTGAGACGCCTCAGGCGATGGTGGTTGAGGACATGCTCCTAGACGCCAGGTTTGCTTCCTGAACTTCTGAACTTGACCTACACATTTGCAGGGTGTGTCACTGGTAGGAGGCGGGCCACTGCTTCTCTGGATAGATGGCAACGCACCCGAAAAGGAGCTGGCACATGATTCCTTGCGAGGGCTGCTGCCAACACAGCCAGAGCATTCTGCGTTGCCACAACCATAGCAACTGCCCTCGGTGCTGTTGTCCAGTCATACATGATACGGTTGTAGGCATGCTGCTAGGAGGAAGCAAATACCGAGATGGCTCCTGGCATCATCAAATCGCTCAAGTGTCTGAGTGCCCCTTTGCCCAAGCCAGGCCTGCCCTTTACTGCTATGCATGCTGTAATAGGGTGCCCCATCTAGAGGTCATCTGGTTACTAATGACCAGGGAAAAATAAATGGATGAGACTTTGATCGTGTGCTTGGCAGGACGAGCACGCGTTGGGTGGTCAACGAGCCTCCTCTCATGCGATTCTATGCGGCAGCTCCTCTTCTAGCCAGCAATGGCCACCGGCTAGGCACGCTGTGAGTCCTCCTCTTTCACTGCCTGTGGCTGCATTTCCTTCTCTTTCACCACCTATTCTAGCCCCTCGGTCATTCACAGGGCCCATTGAAATACGGGATTCTATCATCATGTTCACTCCTTGCCGCCCCACAGATAGCCATTGTGCTAACGGAGAGAGGCTGCATCTGCGCCCCGCTCCTATCTGCATTTTAGTATGCTCTCCTGCCATTAAAGAGCACCACTGCTTGTTGCTGCCGCCACTTGCCCCGGATGCAATGCGCATCAGGAACTGCATGCGCAAACACTTACCTGGTCTCCTGAGGCATTTTCTGGGAGGGCTTGCGGTGGCGCTGACTTACCGTCTGACGTGCACCCATGCATGCTCCCCTTTCATGAGCTCGAGATGAGTCAGCAGCTGCTGACTCAGCATCTGACGTGCACCCATGCATGCTGCCTTTGAGATGAGATGCTCGTGATGAGTCAGCAGCGCTGACTCAGCATGATGCCTTTTTGGGTGGGACGCTAGAGGTTAGTCAGCGGTGCTGACGCAGCGTCCGATGTAAACCCATGCATGATGCCCTGAGCGGTGCTGACTGAGCGTCTGACGTGGACATGCGCAGGTGCCTGTGGGATCAGAAGCCGCGCAGCTTTGACAGCGAGCGGATCGCGACGCTGTGCAATTTCTCTGAGCTTGTGGCGCGCGAAATCGAGGCCTCTGCTGCACTTATGTGGAATCAGACGCTCACGCGCAAGCTACAGCGTGCCATAGACTGCTATCAGCAGGCGTACCTCTTCGTGGACGTGAGCCAGTCAGGCTGGGAGGTCCTGCATGCCAACCAGGCATTCTGCAACCGGACGGGTGAGAAATCGAAGGCCTTGACTGTACACCATTTGCCATGCATGCCTGGCAACAGAGGAATCTAAATATACCCCGGTTGTAACCAATGAGAATTAGATCCCCCTGCTGACAGCTTTTCGGGGGTCTGGGCACATCCAAACATGCTTTCAGGTTGTTTCTGATAATGCCAAGATGATATTCATGTGGCTGGGGATTTTTCCAGTGAAACCTTTTTAGCCACCAGCGTATGAGAGTGCTCCCATTAAGAATCAGGGCCCTGAACTGTGAGCTGCACATCATTGCAGATTCCCTACATCAGCTCTTTACAGCACGTTGAGCCCTGCTTGCATTATTAGAGGCTTGAAGTCCCATTACTCGCGCCAAGTCTCTGTCATGACGGCGCGCCTCTGAGTTGGGTTAATGCAGCTTGTTTCATAGATCATGGAGTTGGCTACAGGCCTCAGCCAACCCGCCTGACCTTGACCTTCAAGGGCCCCAGGGTGTACTAATTGCAACTCCCTAGTACTCCGTTCCCCCTGAGGGCGCACTAATGAGACAAATGCAACAGTTGTCACATTCTCATGTGGCCTTGTGTGACTTTCAGGCATGAAGAGAGAGGACGCCGTGGGCTCAGCCTTCTGGGACATCTTCTCCTGCGAGAGCACCAACGCTGTAAGGCCCCTTTTTGTTTATATCACACGAATCTGTTATGTCTGCTGGGTTGGAGCTTGAGACTCATGGGCATCGTACCATGTCCTTGTTGCGGTGAGAGCTGGAGAAAAATCGCTCATGGGCTGCCGTCAGCATCTGTTGACACACCGCAAGCTGGCTTGGATTCCTGTGCGGCAGTTTAGGCGGCTTTCCCGATCAAGATCTGCAGGCTTGTGGGTGACTCACCCCGGGTGAGTGACACCCTGATGACTAATCTGCTTTGCCATAATGACTAATAATGACTAATGATCGTTATCGCAGTCGGCGGAGCCCTGGGAGAAGTTCACAGAGGAGCTCAGGTCGAAGCAGACAGTCGAGTTGGATGCCGTGAGGCGGCGTGGAGGGCAGGCTTCAACCAGCAGCACATTCACAGCATCGCTGAGGTGATCCTGCTTTGTTATCATTACACTTGTTTGCATGCTGGTGCAGCCGGCAAACACTACCGTGACATGCAGCAGAAGTGCCAGAGGGATCACACTGCCTGCTTGCATGATGAGGAGGCCACGCAACACCTATGGCAGTCGCTGCAGCAGTGCAAGAGCGGCTGAGGAAGTCATGGACGACCATCAGGTTGATTGTTTCTGCGGGCCGAAGAGCTCTCGTTGTGGGCTCCTCCTTTCGTGCAGCATGCTCGCATGCGCACACGCGTGAGTGCAAGTGTGTGACAAGTCTGCATGTGCTGGCAGGCCGCCCTGGACCGGAATGCGCTGAAGGGCAGTCCCTCCCTATCACGATTTAGGGTGTTGGGTTTTATTTCAAACTTGAAAGCCCTAAAAGTTTGAGTTTGCATGCGTCCGCAGGCCGGCCTCGACAGACAAGGTGGACAGGAATGCGCTGATGATCGGCGTTCCTTCTGGCATGCTCTCGGGAGAGGGCTGGACCAAGAAAAACAACTTCTACTTTATTGTCATGGACGATGCCGAGCCCGCTGTGCTCGAAACCAGGACTGCTTCCACCAAAGCTCTCAGGCTCGGAGCCTTACTCGGAGCGGGCAAGTCCCATTTCACCCACTAGATTCTGTCTTGATGTCTGCAGACAGTCCTTTGTCCGGGGGTGGTGCTGTAGTGCTCAAACTGCCCGGAATATGTTCTTTTTGGCCAAATGGGGTGTCTTAATGAGACGATATCTCCCAAAATAGAATCCCTACCATGATTTTGAGACCAGATTTCAGAAAGCTCTCAACAAGCCCAATCCGATGGAGCATGACTCTGGTGTTTTTGGAGTCAGGAAGACCCCTAATAGCTGCTTTGAAAAGTTTTCCACACCGCCGGGAATTGTGATTTTGAGCTCTACAGTAAATCCTTGACAGAGACTGATGGAGAGATGAATGCTGCAGGCACATTTGGGCGCGTCTACCGAGGGATGCTGGGGAGGGACAAGGTGGCTGTCAAAATCGCGGACATCCTGGAATCGACCTCCACAGTGGATGGCGTGCCCACAGAGGCAGCATTGATGCGGGTACTGCTTTTCTCTGTGTCTCTTTGGCCTGTGCCTTGCACTGACTCCTATCTGTCACTGTCCAGTTGACCCTTCAAGACCTGACAACATCAACTGAAAAAGAGGTTCTAAATGCTGGCCTCTGCCTTGTGCTGATTCCAGAGTGTCACTGTCTGTATAGCTTCTGCCGTTCACTGACTCCTATCTGTCACTGCCTCTTTCGCCTCTGCCTTGCACTGAGTCCCATGTGAGCTTTCATTGATTGACCGAGCCAGCTCCGATGCATTGCTGGCACACAGGTTGTAGTGTCATGCACTGGCAGTTAATGCTGCTGTGGTGCTGTGCGTTTGTCCTGTGAAAGGTACAGGATTGCAACATTCCTTCAATCTATGAAGCCTTCTCAATGTTTGCGCAGGGGCTTCATCACCCCTGCATCGTGGGGCTGTTGGAGCATAAAATCAGGGAGAAGCCCTCGACCGAGATGGCCTCGTCCGAAAGGATGCAGCAGCTTTGGCTTGTTCTGCAGTATTGTGACAGAGGCTCGCTCGAGGTGGCTCCCATTTGTCTCCTGCAAGCCTGCATCATGCGCACTTGCTATGCAATTGCGTCTCCAAGACTTCTCGCATTGCGAACGTCTGTGCATGAATTGCATGCACTGCGGCAAGCAGTGATCCAGGATTCCAGTGGGATACGCGTTGCATGAGTGCATGGACACTCACCTGACAAATGCTCAAACACTTCGAGGTCTGCGCCTGCAAGTGTTCACATTCAAAGATGAGCAAGTGCAACGTGGGAAGCTCTCTGTCAGTGTACTGAGGGAAATCCCTCATGGCATAGAGTATGAGAGGCTCTCGTTCGCTGACCTCGTTATACAGGCATCGCCGAATATATGCCAGGAGACTAGCCCTCGTTGACCAGTCCATTTCAAACCCTGCATGTGCGCTGCAGGAAGCGGTGGACAAGGGCCTGTTCAGGACCGAGCCAAAGCCGACAGCGCCTGCGTGCATGCCGGTCATTCTCAGCACAGCCCTGGAGATCGCTCGGGGCATCGCCTATCTGCACGAGCGCGATATCCTGCACTGCGACATCAGTTCAAGTGCTGGCCTTTGCCCTCCTGCCACTCACTTCTGCATGCTGTGAGTGCTGTCTCAGAATAGCAAGCCGTGTGACAAGCAAGCAAGGCTAGCAAAGCTGGCATGCAGTAAGGAGCTGCATGCGAGGCATCAGAACAGCGCAACCTGCAACGCATGCGCCCCTTGCAGGTCGAAGGAGCATTCCGTTTGTGAACAGATTGTCCCTGCCGTGCAATGCTATGTCAGAGGAGCAGTTGATTGAGCAGAGTCTGTCCTTGGTTGCAGCCAACGTTCTGCTGCATTCCAGCACTGCGAACGAGCACGGCTTCTCGGCAAAAGTGGTGGACTTTGGAGCGTGCATGCTGTCAGACATGGAGCTTCCTGCAGAAGAGGAGTGCGCTGTGCGCGGCACATTCACCCATGTGGCGCCTGAGATTGTGGACGGGCAGCGCTGCACCAAGGTGGGGCTCTTTCCTTGGATGCTACCCGTATGTCTTGGTGAAGGGACTGCTTTGTATCTGTCGTGGAGACTAAGAGAAGCAAAGGTGCATCCCAGAAGGTCAGGCATTCATCTATTGACTTGCAGACAACACAAAATCAAAACAGCATGCAGATTACCAAAAAGCAGCATACTTTGAAATGCATGTCATCAGAAATTGAAAAAATGTCGCATGTATCGGGTACCATGGAGTGGCGGGTATCATGAAGTGGCGCACCCCCCTTGATGGGTGATCTGCAACTCAGGATGGGGAACTGAATGGACCTCCAGGCATCAGCTTGACATGTAGATGGGGCAATGTGCAATTTGCCACATGGCTTTCAGTGATGTGTGAAGGTAGCGTGTGCAGCGATTGCTGCGAGCACGGGAGCAGCATGCCATAGCGTGCCCAACTTGCACCATTCTTTCGGGAGGACAATGCTCTGTTTTCCTTCGATGCTGGGCAAGATAGAGCCGCCAGCATCACATGCATGCCTGCGAGCCGTTGCCCGGTAGTTTTGACAGCTCTGATGAATGTCTTGGTTGCAACGCAGGCATCGGACGTATATGCGTTCGGGGTGCTATTGTACGAAATGTTCTGCGGGCAACATCCGTGGGCGGGATTGCAGCCTGCACAAGTGATCTATGCTCTGGTCTTGGAGCAGCAGTTGCTACAGGTGAGTGCTGCAGACAAATGAACAGTCATACAATCGCGTCCATTCATAAAACCCATAGTTCAATGATGCAGCCTCAGAGTGTTCAGTAACGCTCAGAAGTGCATGGGAAGTTAGATTCATTCACTGCAAGCAACCACTCACCTGTCTGTGCTCTCTGGCTGATCATCAGCCGTGAGCATGGCAGTCAGAGACTTGGCAGCCTGCGACTCTTTCCTTTTCCTTTTGGATGTGTCTCCTGCCAGGAGGCAAGGTGCGTCAGCAGGCAGGCTGCCCTTTGATGGGCTCGCCAGATCTATGCAAGAATCAACCATCCGTGGGCACGATGCTGTTTTTCCCTGAGAACCCTAATTCCGCCGCAGCCGGGGGGTCCGCATCCCCCTTCCTCCCACTTCGGCAGCGGCTTGAGGGGAGCCTCCGCGAAATGCAGAATCTCTCGCGGCAGCACCTTAAAGAATTCTAAGAATATCTGAATTCAAATTTGAATTCAGTGACAAGCTTGTCCCTGGCTTGTCCGTGCAGGTGCCAGACAGCGCTCCCCCAGCCTACAGACAGCTGGCAACGAAGTGCATGTCCAGGGATCTGGCGGATCGGCCAGGCATCGAGGAAGTTGTGACTGATCTGGAAGCTCAGATCTCAGAGCTCAGCGCTGAGGTTCCACATTTGTAATGGGTCTGAGCTGGCCCGTCACATGACCAGATCTCTCAGCTCAGAGCTTGAGAACGTCCAAATCTGTCAACAGGTCTGAGCTGGCGCATCCCATAACCAGGACGCGGTTGCTTGTACTCCAGTCACCCCTACATCAGAAGGGTCGGCAGCCAGCTCATAATCCTGTGAGATCGCCCTTTTGGGATATCTTTGGATGTCGGGGGGTTTTGGCGAGGGCCGCAGAGGTATACACCCGGGGATTGCCAGTGCAGGTTAGTAATTTTTAGTGAGATTGCGGGTCGCTTGTGAGATTTTGGGTCGGGCGCCGCGCACACTTTGCCGGTGCGGTCCAAAGAAGGCAGCATGATATCGTTTCCTGCCAGCCTGACAGTCAAACCGTGACATGTGGCATGATTTTGCTCCCTCCCAGACGTGTGTTGTACCCGCTCGATTTGGTTTCGAGCGCTGGGCTCTTTGTTGCAGCTCTTTGAAACCAGGTTGGGCGTCAGTCTAGTCAGTACAGATACCAAGGACCTGCTGCATGTGTGCACTCGGTTGAACAAGTGAGAACGCTGTTTTGAAGCATGCTTGATTTGGAAGAGGGTGTGAACCTGGGGTTTGCAATTTGGTTACTCTGTGCTCGCTTCTGACGTGCTGCCTGAAGCATGCGGATGTTTTCCCAGTGGTCAGTGACCACAGCAAATTTAGTACATCATGATCAGCCGTCCATATGGCTGCAATGCTTTAAACATGTATCCACACTACCTACATGCTGTGGAAGAATTTGCAAACGGTCCGGTTGGGACTTGATCATGATCTGTACAGGCAGTTCACTGAACTGAGTTCAGATATTATTATATTTATATTACATGCGCTGATAGGGAATGCCCTAGTGGATGCAAATTGAGGCTCAGGATTATTTGGATTTCTGGTCAGGCTTGAATTAACAAGCTATTCAGCATGTCTTGCATTCTGCAAACGTGTAACGATATATCCATCGGTATATACAGTGTGTGCACATACACCCAACAGTCTCCATTGCAGCGCCAACAGCAAGTGACTCTCCAATCAAAACACCAGCGCATGCCTTGTCTCTAAAAGAAATCAGAAGTGCAGCTGTGTGAGCTGCTCATGCGTATGCTGCCGCAAAGATGAGTTACATCAGTCATTTGCTAATGTATTTTATATGATTGACGTGTTCCACTTCCACTGCAAGGCAGCCCGTCCTCCCTTTGGCGCTCACTCTGCTTTCATGCCAGCACACCATTTTTTCTAATGAACAGTAACTCGGGGCAAGAGTCTTGCTCAACAAAATAGCCAATGCGTAACATCAAAAGATCGTTCATGATAACACACCACACATATTTTACAACAAAAGCTTCAAGGAATTTGAGGGACTTCAATTTTTTTCACAATTATTGCCATGGAAGATCAGCTGCTGCGCACAACCCAATTTCTTTCAGGTATTTACCGCTCCACTAAAAAGACAAAGCAGAAAGTCCTAAGATCCCACAGACCTGATTGTCATCCAGGAAAATAGCACAACGCCTCTCCGGAAAGAAACGAACTACAAGATATTATTCCTCCGATCCTGCTCAGAAAGCAGCAAAAAGCATGTCCTGTGCTGGCCCAAGGAATTCAAGCCAGGAGGACCCAACATCTTCCCCAGGTGATGCCAAGTACCCAAACAGAGACATGATAGTCAAGCAGATGCAACAGAGCAGCCATGCTGCATTGGATTTGATAAGTCACAGTACAGAAATGTGATAGAAAGCAGAGGTGTTCTGATGTGCTCAATGCCCTCAGCAATATTGTCCTCCCCTGACAACGTACGACCTCAATTTATATCCAAAACCGCATCTATTTTAGTGGCAATGAAACTGCAAATGGTATACCCCGCTGGCTCTGGCTGTCAGAGACTCACATGCAGCAGCACTTCGAAGAGTGGGCCTCCCAACAAATTTGACTGCAATCAAATGGAGCCGTATGTGCACACAATCTCGGCACCTTCCTTCCTTCAGCAACGCTGCAGCGGAGGCGCGTAGGATTGCTGCACTATCAATCAAGCTTTCTCACCCCGTTTTGAATATTGCAGTCCAAGACAATAAATACAAGCCCCATGCCTGCCAACAGGCGCATGTGATACCTCTGGAATCAGAACCCGCATTGCACAATGACCCATTTGTGCGATGCATCGCTGCAAGGCTAGGAGCTCTTGAGAGACATTATTATCACTAAATCTGGCGGTGTCCGTCCATTTGGGGCTCTTGCAGCAACAGAACGCTATCTGTTGGCCCAGCACTACTTTGGACTGCAGATCTAGCTTTTGCTGATCTGTAAGGACTGGGGCCTCAGAAGCTTTCTCACTGAGTCTACCCAATTTTCAACAAATTGCACCATTTTCTGAACCATACCCATATCCAGAACCTGCAGTATAGCACCTTCCTTTTTCACACTCCCTGCTGGCTTCTTCTCTCCTTTCAGGCTGCGGCCACCAAACAGCGCTGTTTGCAGATCCAGCCTTGCCTTTGTACTGTAGAGGCCTGCTGCCCCCAGAGAGAGTATCCCAAGGAGTGCAGTCCCCTTCCTCAGCCTAAGGAGATCGCAGAATGCTGCAGTGCAGCGCTGCCCCTTTCCAGCATAGCGTGATGTCATCAAACGGCTACGATGACATCATGCAGGCTGTGACGTCAGCGCAGTGATGGCCACCTGGCGCCGCTGCTGCTCCGTCAGCAGCTCTCTTCGCAGCTGATCGTTCTCTTGGAGCGCCTTATCAGGCACCATCAAACTTGAATCAGCACATGTGAGGTGCATTTGTGGATGAGTCGTCCATGCCAGAAGTTGTCTGCATTATTATGTTTGCAGTCTGGCAGCACAGGCACAGCATGACACTGTATGGTCCCTCACACGATCCCTCAAATGTCCCTGATCTGCTCTTTCTCTTTGGTGACTGAAGGGGCTATCATTTATGCTCAACTGAGAGCTTCCATGCTCATTTTAAGCAGAGGTACAACACACAGTTGAGGAGATTTGATGGTATTGGTCTCGGCAGGTTTTCTGCGGAAGATGCCAGGTGGCCGCTTGACTCACCTCTTTCAGGGCTGCTCTGAGCTGGTCCATTGGGAGACGCTCTGCATCTGCTGTGAGAACCTGTGAAGGGGCCTTAGAGGGGTCTTTCAAAGGGATGCTCGGCCCTGCACACCAAATTAGCAGGCATCAGTGCTTGATCCATCTGTAGTCATATCTGGCAGAAGTACAGGAGGATAGAAGAGGCCAGAGGCTGACAAGCAGATGTCATGATTGTACGGAACATTGGTGCTGCAAGCAAGCATCTTTCCTTCTCCAGAGCACAGAGACCTCTCAAGATGATCTGCAGGCTCACAGTGTCTATGCATCATTACACTGGTTTTATCTCTGTGGTCCACTTGCCCTCTCACAGGTAAAAAAACACACGCAACTCTTTGCAAGGGGGATCATCCAAGCAACCAGAGGCACTTCTCTTGCCAGAATGTGTCAGAGGACACATCAATTGCTCCTTTCTGATGCAGGTGTGGTTTAGAGTGGCGGCAAAACAGCACAATCTGCTGCATGGGACTCGCTTATGCACAAAACCTTGACAGATTGGCAGTATCACCTTCCGATCGTGGATGAGGGCCGTTGCTGGTCGCACCCTTGCCCAGCTCGATGCTGAGGACGTCCAATCGCTGCTGCAACTCTTGTACCTGCGTGTGCAACCTGGACAGTTGAGTACTAGGTCTCTACAACCATCAAGGTTTTATGGTGTCAAACCAAGATTGTTTGCAACAAAGCATTGATCCCTTAAAAACTATTACACAGAGGCTTCAAGGTTCGTCCTGGTCAGCCAACCCTTGTTGTGAATTGTGACGCGAGACTCACTTCAAGAAATGAGAGGCAATGCACCTCATCAACCACGATCCTCGGCAGGCACCCTGACAGAGTCTGAGCATGTCTAGCAGGGGCATTGATGGGCGCTGGCAGCAAGCCGCGTGACGCGATGAAACAGAGAGCCATCTCCGCGGCGCTGTGCTCAGCGCCCTTCTTCGATCGGGAGGTAGCGACGAAGCAGCTCTCAGTGAAGCCCCCTTTCGGAGTGTGGACAGCTGGGATCGTCAGCCTGCATGTGTAGAGTGGACTCTGCTCGCGAGCATGGTCCACGTCGAAGAGTGGAGTACCACCATAAAGCTGATAGGCCTCAAGTAACGCAGATTTAGGATACTTAGGCCCCCAGGCATTCATATTGTATACGTGTAATAAAACTTTGATCCGAGCATGTCATACTTTTTTCAACAGCCAGATCTCCGAGACGGATCCGGCCTTTGATCCGGTTTCTCAGTCACAAAAGGGACGTGCCATCACGTGCGAGGACATGTGTCTTTGTCATGTGTCCCATTGTCCCCGTTTGCTGGCTCTGCCTCAATATATCTGCATCTCTCCTTCTTCAAGTGTGATGTGGCTTTGGTATTACGCACTTGATGATCAAAGATTTCCTTGGCCTTCAAATTTGTGAGAATTGATACGGTGGCCCACCCGGGAGTGTGAACTTGATCAAAACCGTCATGACCGTCAAAAGATGGGAAAACTCCAACCATGACGATTGGAGTTTTCCAATTGGCACTTGTAAAATAATGATAGTGCTCAGCCTGACAACAAGAAATTATAAGCAGAAAGCACTGCCATTCACGGAACCTTCACACTGGGGCAATCGCATTCGGTTGCGACACATACAAAACTGCCACCCAATACTACTAATACTTAGTAAGCGGAGCATTCCTCCTTTGGCTCAATGGCATGGCAAAGAATCGATGATCTTCATCACTTACTGTTGCACATCACCAGGCAGCTCCCTAGGAAGCCTTCTGGTGCGCGCTCTTCATTCACGGCTGCACAGGTTTGTGACTTGCTGAACCAGGCTTCAACAAAGGCCTGGCAGACACTCTAACACCAGATATGCACCCTACATGGCCTAGACAAGCGCTGACTCATGCGCTGTTCTTTTTATCCTGCCAACTTTCCAGTTTCCCTAGAACAACTTCCTGAACATTCCACACCCCTACCATACCCCAAGATAAGGCCCAGCCTTCTTGTATTCCTCTGGTCATCGGCGACCAGATGAGTCTTTCACTTAATACCTGACCTTAGATTAAGAGCATTCCACCACACCAAAAACCTTGCCTGCCTTCTCATCTCTGTATGGAAATTTGCTCCTGATCAACGTGATCTAATGCCCACCTTCTTTCCTTTGAACACCTTCCTCTTCCTAAAACTTCCTACTCTCATTACAAATTTTTGTAACTAAGCAATAGTCCCTTGCTCCGGGGCAGCCTTCAAGCTTATTCACAAGCAAAAAGCAAAATAAGACAGTGGATTGACACACAGACACCACGGAAGAGTAAACGAGTAAGAGTCCTAAATACAGCAAGCCTGTGACACAAAAGCATCCTCCTAAAGTTGAAGGGAAGCGCTTCATCAGTAATTTCCTAGCATTCGCACATACCACACTGCGTGCCTCTTATGCCCAGGAATCAAAGCAAAGCAAATAACCCACAGATTTGTCTCAAGACTTTGAACTGCAACAATGCCTGGCCCAAGCAAGGAGCTCTTGTAAGAATCTTGGCAATTGAAGAATCGACAGAAACAGAAAGACACTATGCTGGCCCCACTCCGGCCAACAGAAATGGGCATTTTGAATTGCAAGCCAGCACAGGGGAAGCAAGACAGGAGAGAAAATTGTAACAAAAAAGCTGAGCACGCACTCACAGAGAGACCCACAGGGGTTGAAAATAGCCCATCTTGTAAGCAGGCATCATCATCTTAAAAACTGTATCTGGCAGACCCGACTAATTGCTGGTTGCACGTCTGCTTTCAACCCGCTGTATGATACCCGACAAGAGAAGCATACTTTAAATGTTTTTTTCTCTTGGACTGCACTGCCCTAGCTTTCCCAAGGCAAGAATGTGCCACAAGAGAGACATGGGGCAGCACAGCTGGCAGCAGACATCCACGCCTCGTATCCAAATTCGAATGTCAATGTGCAGCCAGTGGCGCAAATGACTGTGGCATCCCATTCAAGACGCCAGTGCACATGGCTCCTTGAGCTGCGCTCCAAAATCGAGCTTCTGACATAGGGTAATAACAGCTGTCGCATGCGAATCTGAACTTGCAACTTCAGGTGGCTACCAGGCTCCTATCTAGCAGTGATGTGCATGACTCGGAGCGCCGGCCCCCGAGTTGATGCAGATTTGTTCCTGAGCCTGCACGCACAATGTAAATTTGTGAGACTCTTGAGCTAAGCTGAGCACTGACAAAATTGCTCGCTGCACTAGGGATGCATGGCAGGAGACATCAGCATCTGTGAGCATCTAACCCTCTTCACACTCTTGAGGAGTCCCAGAAGGCTCCTCTTAAGATGCAGGCATGCTTGAGGCGCTGAAAAGATGCGAGCATTGCTCTGCACGCTATGAGACCAACAGTGCGCATCAGAGCGGTCGGGTCATGTTTAATGGAAGAATTGTCCACCACTATTCTGGGGGCAACTACGTGAGCAAAAGGCTGCACCGCTGCAAGCAGAATCTGTGTGTATTCAAGACTTGATGAAAGTGTGGCTCGCCTTTGTGCGTGTCAACCGGGGCATTGTCGCTGACTGGATGCTGAGCGTGCCCATGCTGACTGGACTCTGACAGGGACAGGCCCCGCCTGCTGAAGAGCGCGTTTGGTCTTCTATGCACCAGATGCTGCGCCACCAGGTGAGCCAGCAGGAAGATGCTGGTGAGTAACCTGCAGCAGTCAAATCCTGATCGGCACCTTGCATCTAGTTGCCCTGGAAGCTGGGGCAACATGGGGAATGCAGGCGGCAGCCTTGACCTCTGCCCATTGCTGGCTGTGTCCATATTAGGGCCTGCATTACTACATGCATATGCTTGCGCTTTTCTGCAGGCGTAGGTATATGTGCAACACGCATGCATCCGTCATTGTGCCAAGAGCACAGGCTGGTGAGTAATCTACAGCAGCAAGTAACCTGATGAGCGCCCTGCATCTACCAGCATTAGCTGCCGCAGAGGAAGCTGACTGCAGCCTTGCAAATGGGAATGGCACCCTGACTTGACCTGACCTCAAATCATCTTGTGTGTATTGGATGCTTGACTGCACCCTGCAAGTCTCTGCAGGCCTAAACGCGCAAGGATAATCTCAAACCGAGCCACGAGTGCCTATAGCATCCCAGCACTGCGTGTCTTCAAAGGAGGTGCCCCACTTAAGAGGTCGTATGAGCACTTAGGGTGTCGCCTGGTCAGCACTGAAGTAAAATTTTGTATGCAATGTGCTAAAATTGCTTGGGCAGGGGGACCCTAAGTCCCCCCATGGCTTGACTGGTCAGGGGATTCACTTAAAGCAGCACACCTGGCGTCAACAACGGTGGAAGCTTCCAGGCCTAGGGTGAGGACGCCAAACGCGGGCATCACGGTCAGGGGGCGCGTGTTGTTGGAGCTTGCCCAGTCAGCGGGGGGCGCTGCCCAGCTGGGCAGCTCGGGCAGAATGGGTACAAACACCACCGCCTCACACTCATTCTCGCCAAACGCCTCGCTCAAGTCCCGGTACTTGCACAGCCTGCAGAGCACATGACACGTCCAAAACTAATATCAGTACATTTTGCTCAGCAAGCGTATCTTCAGCCTCAGTGAGGCTACAGTACAAACACGCAAGGCGTCTGGTAGTTGAACTGCGGGACGGAGTATTCTCTGCGGCCTAGCATTGAACACTACTACACATTCCCCGCATCACATGTCCAACATAGCAGCCCTTCGGAGCTCCAGTATTGCACAGAAGGCCTCTTAGTACCTTTATTGGGTAGAGGTGCAGGCAAGTGCGCAGATCACGCACAATGGACAATTTCAAGTTGAGAGAGTGCAAGAGATACAAGGCAGCCTCTGTGCGAGCGCCAAGCAGGGAGACAAGGCTGCACCGCCATTAGATGCAATGTGCGCATCTTTGAATACGAGTTCACAACGGGTGCGCACCCGGGCGCCGCAGATCTGGCTACGTGGAACCAGCGCCGCTCGCAGAGCGCCATGCCGGCTGCGGCCTGGCCGAGCGGCGTGATCGCGCGCGACGGCCGCTCATCGGACGCCATGTTGCCGGCGCTCAGCAGGCCCTTGCTGGGCGCAGCCACCGGCAGTTGCACACTGCACGCTTGCACATGCACACTGGTCAGCTCCATGAGTAAAGGTGACAACAGCAGGCCTTGCTGGGCGCAGCTAACGGCAGCTGCATGCTGCATTCATACACGAGCAAGCACCCGTCAGGATCAGTGACAGGATGAGTACAGGTGCCTTTGGTGGGACTGCCCTGGGAGCTGCTCACTGCACTTGCGCACATGCACACCGCTCAGGATGAGCAAAGGTGGCTGCACCATGCCGTTGGGTGGGCGTGGGACTACCCTGGCAACTGCACGTTGCACGTGCGCACATCGTCCAGCTAGCTGTCAGGATGAGTAAAGGTGATTACAGCGTGCTTGTTGGTGGGTGCGGAACTGAAAGCGGGATAGGCCACCGGCATTTTCTTGGCCATGCAAACTCTCCACAAAGTTGCACCTTATCACACTGCCAGCCGGATTAGCTAGGAAGAGCCAAAAAACAGCTATTTTTGCGATCTGTAAGCCATCCTCATATGGCGTGAATTGAGCTCGCATCAAGACATGAGATGGATAGCATCTGATTGCGGGTCTGCATGGCTTGACCTTGTGAGAGCCATGCAAGTGTGACTTTGCGATGCCTTGTAGATCACTAGACACATCTTCAACAGCGGAGGCCATGCAAGGGACAAGTCAGGGTGGCACGACACAAGGGATGAGTGCAGTTGAGATCACCTCATCAGGCGGCATCCCGGGAAGAGCGCCCTGAGGGCGAGCTTGCTGTCGGCATCCAAGCTCCCGCTGGAAAAGGCATGACAGAGCTCTGTGGCCAGCAGACGATGCGCGTGAACGAACTCGCCGTCTTGCTCCTGTCGAGCAGATTTCACGTCTTTGACGGCCATGGCTGCACAGCGTCCTGACTCGCAGCCCCTTTGCTCCCTCACGTGGCGGGAAATGTGGAAGCCATCCCCACTCCTATCACGCCTGCAGATTGGTCCTCCAAAGCCCTGTGGCACATTGAAAGATCAATTTCGCTCTTTGTACAATGCGCATCGAAGTGCCCACATCGCTACCACGAGTTTTGGACCGTTCAGGATGTACTATCCCGGAGGTGCTGACAACCCTCAGCAGTGAAGGTAGGCCTGCGCCATTTTCGTTGCATACATAAAACCCACAACTTGGATCTGGCACCTCTTTCAGCACTGCTGTGGAGCAGACGCCGCCAGCAGCAAAGCCTCAGAGTGCTGCGTTTCAGGAAGCTGTACTGCTACGCCGATACAGGATAAAATCATGGATATCGCGGGTGTCGGGTCTCGGTGCACACTGCTGCTGCTGGTGCACACTGCTTCTGCTATGCACTGTGTGAACCAGGAAGAGCCCAGTAACCCGATGGTGCACCGGCATTTAGGGCGCGCGTCTGCCGCTTTGGAAAAAGGGGACAAAGGCGTGTCCGAAGTGACAAGGACGGCTTTGCATACCCACAAGGGAGGCACATGTGCCTCGTAAGATATCAAATACCAAGATGGCGATGTCAGGAGCGGCATACCAAGGTCCTGAAGCGGTGGGGTGGGGTGTCAAACTCTCACGATGTACAAGCCGGCACCCAGCCAGCGAGCTGTAGCAGTCTCAAATACAGTCTCTGCTGGCTTCCCACTGAGCGAGACCTCTTGGAAGAGAGCAGGACGTTCCCAAATTGTCCCAAGATTGCGATCTCCGGCCTCCGAATTGATCGATGTTTCCTATTTTGGATTTCATGCGGTACAGTCATGGGCACAAGCGGCGTTGCTTGACTTCACTTTTCGAAGGCAACGCCGTCGACAATGTCAAAGCTACACAACGTGCATGATCGAGATCCAGGATCTGAAGCGCTGCCACATGCAATGAACAAATGTCACAGCAAGATCTTGGCTTTGCGCAGAGAACACTGCGGCGGTGAGCAGGATGCTTTGGATTGCGCCTCTGTAGTCTCGTAAATGGGACTTCACTGTCTCTTTGTTCAAGTACAGAGCTTGACATAATATATTCGTCAATTTATCAGCAGCGGGGAGGACGCAAATGTTGTAGCGGTCAGAAATCCACAGGACAACAAAATCTCGAGGAGAAGCTATTTGGCAGGGTGGGGAAAGGTCCATTCCCCTCACTTGCTGACGTTGCATAAGGGACTTTCATGCGCCTCAAATCAAGGAGATGTATACTCTTATCAGGAGACGAAGCGCTGCTGAATTGTCTGCGGGGTCTATGATCTGGAGTCCATGTGCTGTCCGGGCACAGCTGAGTTATGTAATATCCAGAGATCACAACACGCTTGCTAGCTTCATCTAAATCTGACCTCACTTTCTCGTGCTGGATCACGGCATCAGATAACCGTGATAACACAGTCACGTTTGTGTAGCAGGAGCATAGACATACAAAGCTTGTGGGGATCACTCAAAGGCATCTTGTGACGCTCTGTTCTGAGAGGCTCCCTCAAGAGTATATTTGAGGTAAAATTGCCATCATCACCTTCGTACCTTGAAGCACGTAGAAAAATTGTGCTTCGCTCAAATTCTTTGAATTGATGGAAGGCTCCCTGGAGTCAACCTCGCTGCCCTGCTCAACAGTACTGCATTGGTGTTCAGGAGCGAATGATGTGTACGCAGGTTTGGCTTGAGGAACATATACCATGAACACTAGGGCGGGTGTCGTGCCCTAGTTCTGTAAAGGGAGGCCACTGCATTGGAGCCGGGGGAAGCTACACACGATGCAGGAGGCAGCTGTCATGCCAGATCTTCTGGCAGGCCATCCACGCTACAGGAAATTGAATGATCTCAATGAGGGCACCTTTGGCGTCGTGATGCTCGCACTTGATATAACCACAAATGAGCAGGTCAGGCTCTTACTCGGACTCTAGAATTGTGTGCTGGGATTTGTGCGCTAGCATACGATCTGCTGTTGCCCCAGTGATCTCTTGAATGGTGCCCTGATGTTATTGAAGGCCTGCTTGTGGGTGCTCAGTTCTGCTACTGTCATGGCAGGATCTGGCAGCATCATGAGCCCTACTTGATTTAACAGACAGTACTTGTTCTCTCCATTGTTGAGTTCATGTTCTGCCTTCACTGCAGGTGGCCATCAAACTTCTGGAGAGGGGTGCAGGTGTGTCCTGCCTTCCACCCCTCCGCATTGTGTGTTTGACTTGCTTGTGGAAATGCTGCACCATCTTTCAAGATAAGCAGCTGCTCCATGTGAGGCGCCACCCGGCCCCCAGCGATACTCCGTTCTTACACCTTTGCAGCATCCGCACACCATGTCAGCTGTGATTAGTCATATGGATTCTGTGTCAGATGCCAGCATTTCTCCGCATGTTCGCCAGAACCAATGTATTCAGGACCGAAGCAGCAGTGATTGATAAGCTGGCCCGCCACCAGCTCAGGTGGCGGGCCTGCCCAGACACACTGACCCTGGATTGAAAACTGGAATTTGCCATGCGTACAACAGTGTATGAGAGTGTCCAACAATTGGCAGGATTGTGGCAGCCTTAATTAGCAGCATCTCTGCAGGAGGTACCTTGCCTTTTGGCACAAAGCGTGTAATATTAATAATATAAGGGTGTGTCCTCCCATGCGCGCAGGTATCAGCCGAGGCGTGGTCCGCGAGGTGCTGAATCACCGTCTGTGCGTGGCGCACCCAAACATAGTGCAGTTCCGTGAGATCTTCCTCACAAACAAGCACCTGGCGATCGTGATGGAGTACGCGAGCGGCGGCGACATGTTTGATTATGTCATCAAGAACAAGGGCAGCGGGCCGGGGGAGGGCCTGCATGAAGATTTGGCCCGAGGTTTCTTCCAGCAGCTCATTCTGGCGCTGGACTTCTGCCAGAAACTTGGCATCGCCAACCGGTGCGCGTCCTTTGTCTGGAGTGAATGTGGCATGAGCAAGTCCAGTTCACATTTGTGTATATCGTTGGAATCAAACCAAAGGTTCCAGCCATGCAAGGTTCCTGGGCATTGCCAGCTGGTGCGTGCCCTTTAGCATTATCCTGGAGTAGCATGAGCAAGGTGCAGGTTATCTGGGGGTGGAAAATAGGACAGCATACATCAAGGCAGAGTGAGCGCGAGAGCAGTGGAAAGGGCTGCCTTCTTGTCGTGTGCCAATGGTTGTCATACCACAGTCACCAGCACTGCATGGTGGTGACTGCATGGTGATGTGGACATTCTGCCAAATACTTGCATGGCTGTTGGGATTCATTGGCGCTCTACATTTCTGCGCTGCACACACTGCTATAGCTCTTTCTGCTTGGGGCGCAGCATCCGCTGCGGCGAGTCACAGGTCATTCCGTCAAATGCCGGAAAGCATGGATGGCATGGTTGGCCACATCTTCCGGCATCATGCAACGCTGCAAGTTCTCAAAGGTCCCGAGGTCTGTAGTCTACTCTGGTTGATAGTCACACTGTGTGTGCCAGAGCGTAGCTCACACATTTTGATGGACTTTGTTGCAGGGACATCAAACTGGAGAACACACTCCTGAGCGAGGGCCAGCCGCTGCCTCAAGTGAAGCTGTGCGATTTCGGCTACAGCAAGAACGAATTTGTGGACTCCCGCCCAAAGTCAGTGAGCGGGACTCCTGACTACATCGCGCCTGAAATCCTCCTAAACGACCACTACGACGGCAAGACGGCCGATATCTGGTCCTGCGGCGTCATGCTTTATGTCATGCTGACAGGTGCGCGCATCAGCAGATCATGCGTGGTTCACTGCTGCCGCAACAGCAGTGGATTGACTGCAAACACACATGCAGGAACGCGCTCATGGCAACACACAGAGCATGTGTTGACAGTATAATGATGAGAGTAAGTACCAAAGATGCAGCCAGAATATGTCCGTGTGTGTGCTGTGATGGTTTCAAGAGGGAGATTGGGCTATCCTTTCAAGGGCCAGTCAACTTTTGACATGACTGGCCAAGCCTGACTAACGAGGTGCCCACGACCTCGCCAATTCGGTGATAATTTGGTTAATTTGCCAAAGCTGGCGTTTTGGTGCGTGTGCCTGATCTGGCTGTCCTTGCATGCATGCAGCGGTGCTCCCCTTCGCCAAGCGCGGTGACGACCGCGCAAACAACCTCGTGCGGCTGCAGCAGCTCTTCCCGCGCATCGTTGCCGGTCAGTACCAGCCGCCGCGCCGCGCGAGCGACGCCTGCAAGGACCTCTTGAAGCGCATGCTAACACCCGACCCCAACAATCGCATCACCGCCCCTGAGATCATGCAGCACCCCTGGTGCGCCTCCCAGGGGTCATCAATGCAAAAAATAAACCCCTCCTGCTTGAGCTTGTGCTTGCGCCTGTATAAATAAAATAGTGATGGGGACTGCATACACAGATCGGCAATTATGCAACCCTGTTGCAGATCAGGGCATCCGCAAAACCTCCAGCACACCACACCCAGCAACCACGAATGAATGACCAATTGACAATTGTACTTGGCTTGATCTCTTGCTCATTATTTTGTTTTTGCTTGTGGGATTGTGTGATCCGCACAGATGAAGCGTCTCATGTGTTCCACCTCTTTTGATCTGCTGTCAGTTACCCTGCTGGATTGTGTGTCACGTTCTGCAGCACGGAAGAAGCCCGCTAGATTTTTTTCTAGCAGGCTTCTTTCTGAGGATCAAATGATCTTCTAGCTAGCGAGACGCTTGCAGAGTGTGCCATGTCATAGGGTGCGATGCAGAGAATGCATAGGTGGTTGCAGTTTCCTTAAGGTCCTGGCCACGAAGAATTTGTCAGACCTGCGATTGCTCTCCCTGGAGGGTCACCTTTGCAGGTCGCACAAAACATGCCTGTGCTTCAGCCGGGCCTGTTCCATGTGAGCCAACCCTTCATCACCTGCCTTGATAGCGGTGCTGAAAGCGCCTGGTTTGATTGTCGATGCAGGTTTGTTGTGAATCTGGACCCTGCAACCATGCAGATGAATGCGCAGCTGCTGCAGCGGGCGGTGCCGCCACAGGTGCAAACACCGGAGCAGATCGAGGCCATTGTGAAGCAAGCGCGCGTGGCTCAGGCCGCAGTGTCGCCAAACTGGGCCGAGGGGCTTTGACTGATTCGGGCTGCGCCCCGTTGCTTTTCAAGGCGCGTCTCGGGGTCGCCAGATTTGGCCCGGGCACGTCGTCTGCCAGAACAGGCGCGCATGGTTCGCCAGATCTGGCCGTTCCTGGTCCGCCCGATCAGGCATTTGGGTGAGAGTTTAAATTCATATCGCGACGGCGTGTGCTGTTTTTTGGGCAAGGGCAGGCAGACAAATCGCTGCTAGACGCATTTCTGCCCCTCTGGGGGGCAGCAGTGGTATCTGGAGCCCTTGGTTTGTAAACACTTGCTGCAGCAGCGCTGGCAAGGAGTGGCACTTCATCAAAAGCATACTTGTCACCTGCCTGGCTGTAATTTCATTTTCAGCCACCGCCGTATGGGCGCTTTCAGCCTATGTTCTGAGCAATTCACTCCTCGCTGCATGCATGCAGCCAACCTAGGGTGCCATTATTGTGCTTGGCACTCGCCAAGCTATACTGATACGAAGTATGTCAGCCGACGCTGACCAGTAAGGTTCAGCTGGGTCCTCAAAAGGTGATTGCAGGCTGCTGCAAAGGCAGGTCTTGCCGGGCATCTGCCCTTCTTTCCTGTGATCACAAGCTTACGTGTGGGCATCCTTGCGGTGTGAGCCCAGGAGCACAATGACATGAGCTGTGGAGACGGCATTCTCTTGAGTGTCTGCAGAAAGCAGTCTGTTGCCTTGACAGTCTTCTCAAGTCTTATCTGCACACCTTTCATGTCTGCGTTGCTCGGCATAGTTCAACACAGCAGAGACCGATAAGGGGTGTCAGGCGGAGGCCTCTGCGGAAGAGGACTTCTTTGGCAAAACGCTCAAGTGCGGTGTCATGTTCGTGGGGCAGGTGTCCTGCTATTATTCAGTAGACCCCACTGTGACGAGACTCCTTCAAGGGGTTGTGATGAGTGAGATGAAATTTTGGAAGGTGTCTGCACAGGTTTACAGTACAATACATCAAGATATGATTGGTGGGCCCCCCCGACAGATGAAGTGTCCAATGGGGAGCACGGCAGGCAGTGAGATTGTCAAGGGCGTCTCTACAACATGAAGGCAGATGTTGGCAAGAATGTTCAAGGTTTGCGCTGCGTGCAGAGAGACACAAGGATGGCAAGGTTGTAAGGGTAAGCAGGGTAATGTGATTTGTCGGATTTTGAAGACCGAAGATATGGACTTGGCAAGAGGTGTGAGAACCTTGAAAATTTGCAGTGTTTGGAAGCAGTGTGTGATCAGCCGGTTTTGTGGGTGAGGGAATTGGTGTCAGAAAAGCAAGGCTGGTTTTTTTGGAAGGCATCACATAAAGTTTAAAGTTGACAGCGTATACAAACCTGATTGCATCCCCACAAACGGCCTCTGTGCATGCGTTTGAAGATAACCTGTTTTTAATAGCTTATGTAGCCCCGTTCGGAGTCAACAGCTTCCACCTTGCTGCCATTTCGGGGCACGCATTTCCCCTACTCTTATTGGGATAGTTGTTTGCAATATGTGCTCTGTGTCAAGATGACAAGCCAGGCATAGTATAAGCAGAAACAAGATCTAGACTTTTTTTTGCACCTGCTGAGTCAGCAGATGAACCGCTGTTCTAGCGGGCCATTTGTAGAGTCTCACCTCGGGGCAAACCTGCTTCAGGATTGAGATGTGCACCGGCAGGGTTTTCTTGGGGGATAAATACTACTTGTACCGGTAGTGCTGCTCATTCAATAAACCTTATTGCCCATCAAAGACAAGATTTGAAACGGTCTAAAGGTTTGATGGATTGTGTCAGGCACCTGGTGAGAGGTCTAGACCACCAACATGTGTACACAGGGTTTCACAAGCTTGTGTATCCCTAGGTACTACCTATGTATATTACATTTACGTAATTCGTATACCGTACTACTGCTAGTCACTATTAAAGCACTGTAAGACTCTAAGCTCGGAGCTACGTTGGCACTGTATTCAAGTTGAGTAGCTCGTATATAATCCATGCATGCACGGCATTGCATGCAGCTTCCTACCATTTGCGCAGAGAGCATGCCAGGAGGCTGTTGCAGTTGCAGTCAGCAAGGAGTTCATGATAATGCAGACGAAGATCATGCATGTCGGCGCATCCTGCGCAAGATGACGTCATGTCGACAGCGGCTGATGCAGCCTTGGGCACGGTGACAGCTCCAACACTGAATAATATCCCTCATGGATATTGTGCAGGGGGTACTGAAGACTACCGGTACCCCCTTGTTATTGTTCCATGATGGCACTGCCGGTGGCATGCGAATCTTTGTCGCATGCATGTGCTTCAAGCTGCCGTGGCCGGCTGTGCAAGCTGTGGTGGCACACGGGTCTCACGTTGTCATTCAAGCATGCAATTCGAACGTGCTGGTGATAAGAAGGCACCCTGTCTCCAAAATGCATTGAAGACGAGAGTCCTTGGCCGAAAAAATTTGGGGCCTAAAAAATCGGAAGCTAGATGGAAGCCGAGCTGGAAAAGTGATCCTTGCAATCCCAGCTTCTAGGACAGCCACAGCCCTTCGTTGCACTCTGGCATACAATAAACACGCCTACGCTTGCGATGACATAGAGCAAAATGCGCAGTGAGTGGGCTGTAGGACTGTCTTAGAGGCTCTTCGACTTTGCCCCATTCACTTTGTTATTACCAGGAAAGCTCTGCAAGACTGGTGTGGCTGCACGTGGTGGTGTGTCCAATGCATTTCCCTGCTGTGGCGCATCTGGGTGGGACCTGCGCTCCTTTTCACGTGCGCATCACTGAGCTCAGCTGGCTCTTTCTCAATTCTTCGAAGACTTTTTCTTCAAAAGCAAGTCATTTTGCGATCTTTTGCGACCTGTATTTCTTTGCTGTCCAAAGTGATGGAATCCAAGATCAGATCTATCTCCCCATGACTGAGGTAGAGGAGCTGAACTGATTCGGGCGTGCAGGCACACACGCTGCTTGACAACACTTTCTGGCGAGAGGTCGCCTCATGCCGCAATTGAAAATTATGAGGTACAACTCCATGTTGGTTATGCCAAGTGCACTAATTATTCACAGTCGCTGGCACTTCTATGCTTGTCGTATTGACCTCAGAAGGGTACATCAGGACACCTGAAGACATGTTGCATGCATGCCACCCTTGATATCCATTTGCACTCTGCAGAGGGGTCCTTGAGCGCAGGAGAAGGGGCCAGGGGTCCTGGCTGGCTTTTCCAGACAACCAGTTGGAGGGGGCATTCTGGGCTTACTGGGAGGACAGCTCTCGGCCGATTGCTGTGCTGCTGTCCTTCCTCATGGCAGTCACCTGGCCTGTGGGTGCGACCCTGTCTCTCTCTCATTAATTTCTGCAGATGCGTATTTTGGTCCTGCACAATTTTATTCAATAAACAAATCCAGGAGGCCTGCAACCTTGCCTCCACTTGCAAGTTCACCTCAGCGCCTCCCAAGTGCATAGTGCAGCTGCCAGCTTCACATGTACCGCTCCATTTCCTCCTTCCGCTGCAGGCAACTTCATGCAAGAGTGGCAGATGCTGCACCAGCACTCGCCTGCATGCTGCCCCTGCAACCCTATTGTATGCAACCTCCATGTTGCATGGGGAGAATGTACACTGTTCCACACACCTTATCTTATACCAAAGGTTGCTCATTCACCGTGCTTTTGATGTTGTTGCTTGCAGGCCTGTACAACTGCCTCGGCAACTGCCACTGGTCGAGAACAGCGTGCGCGGCAGTTGCTATTATCCAGGGAGGATGTGCTGCAGAGCACATGGTGTTGCAGTGGCTGCTTTCAACCCGGTGGCGGTTTTTACGGTTGCGGGAGAAGACCAAAGCGTGGTTTTTGCTTGGGGACATCGTCGCCTGCATGTTCATCATGATGCTTGTCAGGTAGGCGCCCTTGGCCTCTAGAATTATGCCCTGCTGAAATATATTGCTGCCTGCATGTCCATTATGATGCTCATCAGGTGGGCGCCCCTAGCCTGTACAGAAGCTTGTGATTTTGTCCTTGCCTTTTTGTGAAATTTAGAGCAAAATACAGCCCATGTGGCTGCTATTGATGTCAAGGCACCCCAGCTGGACACCCGGTTTGGCCATTGGCTGAGAGTTTAAGTGCGTTGGACATTTGTTCGCGCTCAGAGCCAGCATGTTACACACCCAGCAGCCCACCCACTTTCATCTGGCATTCAGCCAAAAGCCTCAGCGCAGGACTGGCGCCATCGTAGTCAGAAAATGCAAAGAAGCACAGACATCATTGATCAGAATCTCACACCAACGCCTCTGTGCATGCATGCAGGAACATTTCTGTTGTTAGCTGCAGTGGTGTTTTCCAGTTGTCTGGCTTTCACCAAACCTCACTCTATGCATGGAACGGCGCCACTGTTGGCGAAAAATCTGCAATTGCATGAACCTCCCTGTGCATGCATGCAGGGACATGGATGAAGTTCCTGGGGCAACGCATGCGGCGGCCTACATGGTGCACGGCTGGCAGATATTCTTCATCCAGCCGAGCGTTACAACCAGCTTCCATCTGCACCTCCTCAACGCCCTGGGATATGCCATGGTGGAGGTTCATCTGGGGGTGAACATGGGGGGATCTCATTTGCTGCGAGGGGGACTGCGGCGCTTGATCAGGCTGGCGGTGCTCTTTGCAGTCCTGCCCTTCATGGCCAGCGCTGCATGCGAGCTTATGCTGCGGCGCCGGTTCCTGCAGAAGCACAGCCCGGCTGCGCGCCACGCCTCCGGCCGGAGCACTCGATAGCGAGCATCCTACTCAAAAGGAGAGAAACTGCACTTCGCTGCCGCATTTGGACTTCTAAGATGTTCCTGCAGAAGCACAGCTTGGCAGCGCCTGGTCACCGGCAGAAGCACTCGATAGCGAGCATCCTACTCAAAGGGGAGAAAATGCACTTCGCTGCCGCATTTGGGCCTTCTAAGGTGTTCCTGCAGAAGCACAGCCCGGCAGCGCCTGGTCACCGGACGGAGCACTCGATGGCGAGCATCCTACACGAATGGGAAGAACCTCGATGCCGCATTTGGTGCTGCCGCTCTCTGTCGATGCAGAGCCCGGCACCTCACCTCGCCGTCAGCCGGAGCACTTGACAGAATTGGAATCGAACTCCGACGCTTTGATCGACCCTGGGGCATGAGTAATGAGGCAAAGATTTGGCATGCCAGAGACCGTGGGACAAAGCTTGCAATAAATGCCCACGCAATCGTGATGCTGTTGCACCTGGGTGCTGCGTTTGGGGCTTCCAAAGAGCTCACGCGAAAACACCGGCCGGGCCGGCCCGCCGGCGGCACCGCGGGGCGGCCAGTGAAGCGGCATCATCCGGGGGCTTTGCCTCGTCTCAGCACCATTCATGAGCCACAACAATCTAGGGCCATCTAGAATGAAGTTCATGCAGCACCTGTCACAATGCTGACGCCCATAAAAGAGCGGCCTACGCTGTCCTGGGGTGGCCTGGTTTGCTGCCATGCTTTGCTGATAGACGCACCACGCCTTAGCAGGGGCAGGCCGCAAAGCACCCAGATCACTCGGTAGTACTGCACCCCGCAATTGTTGTGTATGCTGTTCTTGGCGAAAAACTTGATGCTGTTTAAAATTGTGCCGTGATCTTTCCGGGCCAATCAATTGGCCATTAGATTTCAGCATTTCGTCAATTCTTTCTGGAATTGACACAGAAGGGTGCTTGTTGCGGATGGGCTCCGATCGTCTGTTTCATACAATGGATCTTGGACATTGCAGCTGTGCCACCACCATCCCTGCATCTTGTCAGTCTAGTAAAAGTTTTCATGTCAGCTCCTCTCAAACACAAGTGATATGCCGGACACCCAACGTGGCCTCTATTGCAAGATTGGGTCCAGTGCTCTGTCCTTGGGTGCAAGCTCACAGATGTTGCATCGCTTTGTTCACCAGGCTATGGTAGCATTGCGATATAAAAACGAGTCATCATGTCCATATCAATGCTGTTCTATGTTGACAGCAATTGAGGATGGACTGAGAGCCCCGCACTTTGCTGCCGCTCGTTGGGACTATTTCTGGAAGGACGGAAGAGGTTTCACCGGAGGACAAAGGGGGGGCGCGGCTGTGTGCTTGCTCAGGATAGTTATTGCATAATTTAAGCATTTTGAAGGGCACCATTCTGTGGCCTTATCAAATGATGTCTCAAAGCAGCGTTTGTTGCATGCGCCATTTCTGCTGTAAGTTTCAAGGGAGAAACAGATGCATTTCTGATGACATGTCAAGGGCAGCGCTGCTGTGATCTTGAGCTTTTTTTATGTGTGGTCTCTGATGACCTGGTCGATTAAATGGAGACTTGCCTGTAGGGTTTGTCCTTGTGGCTGTGATTCGTAAGGAGAGATAAAGACTGGGTTGTCTAGGGATTTTTATGTCAGGCAGTGGCTGTCTGTGCCAAGATGAGGCTGTTGATGAAGAGCGCAAATTGCACAATGCAAACAATTGCTGGGCACTGTTTTCTGCAGAACTATGGTGTGGTGCAGGTGCTCGAATGTAGAGGCACTGGTGCGAATCCTGCAGTACTGTAAATTGGAAGATGGTTGTTTTGAAATAAGAGATTTGCTCGGATCTCTCGAGGTCTGTGAGACATCATATGCCATGTCTTTCCAATGAAGCTGCACAGGATATTTCACCCATCGCGCGACAGTGGCGCTGCAGCACTTCAAGTCAGGACACCGCAATCCTGACTGAAGTGATTTACATCCCAGCACTGCAAGCTGTTACCCCCATCCCATGTGTCTGCACCTGAACCGAACTGGTAATCAGGATGATCTGCTCGAAGGTGTCAAGAAATTTCCTCATGTGCCAAAATCACCATTGATAGTTGAATTACAGCGTGCAAGAGCGTTGGCACCGTGACATCTGCTCTATAACAAGCTCTGGTGAACCAATCTTCATCTCTGCCAATTTTCTTCCTGGTGCAACACAGCCATTGATAATCATGATCGTGGAAAAATCCCTACATAGCAGACAGAAGCCACGTGGTGCACCAAGCCAATGGCAGATCTTCTTCCCTAAAACGCGAGCCAGATGTTCATGTTGCAACACCACTAAAAAGGGACCAAATAGTGTCGCAGCAAAGATCCCTTACGATCTAAAACACATGAAATCTCTGTAAGCTTTCCATGTTGTTGACATCACCCAATGCACGGTGAGGGATCAATCTGCCTCTAATGCACCTTTTGGGCAAGTCACAGCAATTGCAGCAAAAGGATGCTAGAGATGCTACCAGCAGTGCGGTCAGAACACAAGTGGCACAACCCAAATTTATGTCACACTGTCTTGCCACAGGCCGAGGTCCTACAGCAATCCAACACACGCAAGCCCTTCTTCAAAGCAATCCAAATGAATGCATTGCTCTATCTGCTTATGTATCTGCAGGCAATGTCAATGAATATATGAGCACAAATAAACTATCCAACCTGCATCCGCACTGTGGTGACAAACGGGGAGTTGTATAATCTGGAGTTTTTTCATCAGCGACCCCAAGGGGGGGGAACCCTTGTCATCTCCCTTGAGAATCCCCATCTGCTTTGCTGCATACATGGCAGCCGGTTCAATGCGGAAGATGCCCCTTGAGAGTACAGTCATCATCAACCACCCACTGGCCTTTTGAATTTAAGTTAAACGCAAGCATCTGCCAAGCCCGTAGAACAAACCAAGCAAATGCATCAGTACTTCCCACAACTGAATGCCAGGGGCACAACTGCCGGGGAGTTCCCTCTGTCATTTCAGTCTTGCCACTTGAAATGCCAACTGTCTCTTTCTGTCCTGTGCCGGGCTCAAAATGACGGGGCGCCTAAAATATGTAGTGAATCGTGGGAGGTTTTTATACAGCAGCTGCACTGGATGGCCTGTGCAGCCTCCACCATGTCAGTAAGTGGGAGCTCAGCCTGACTATGTGGTTTCCCATTCCCCTCTTGCATAAATTGCTATCACCTTGTGCCCACCACCAGTGCCCCCTGACCCTCACCCTTTCGTGTCTTTCCCATTGGGGGGTTCTATATCCTTTGTGTAAGATATGAAACCCCCTCTGGTCATTAGTGACCAGATGACCTCTAGAGGGTCTTATATCTACCTTAAGAGGTAGACATAGCACCCGTGTTTGTTTACCATCAACATAGAGTCCTGGTTCTCGGCTGATGCTCGCCAGGCTCTCGTCAGATGGGGTCTGTGCCGTCTCGAGCATTTCCTCCGGCGACCGCGGCGCTCGTATCTGAAGCATTACCACCGGCTGCCGCGGCGCTCACCCTTCTTTGAGATACTCGCTGATGGACCGTTCCAGGGATCCCAGTGGTGTCATCATGTCCTCGATCATGCTCCGCGGCACCATTGTGGCATTCACAGCGCCGCCGATGTGGCGCGATGAGTCAGCCGATGAGTCAGCCGGTGAGTCAGCGGCCCCCGCCTTCGCCAGCGCCGCAGCCGAGAGCGGCGGCAGCTTCAGCGCCGAGCGCATGCATGCGGGCATCGTGCTGCTGCGGGCTTTTATGACAGCCGGGTTGCACACGTACAAACCTGCACACATGACAGGCCTGCTTTGTCTTTGTGGGGAAGATGGCAAAGGAAAGACCTCAAAGGCAAGCTTCTTTATAGAAGCAACTGTCTTAAATTAAACCAGACCTGCACTGTGGCAGGCACGCTCAGCCTTTGATAAGAAAAACAGGGCGGCCCCCTCAGAATTCCCTCAAGATGCCAGTGAAAGATGGCGGACAGAAGACTCCAAGACCACCTTTGGGAAAAAGGCCACTCTCCTACCTGCGTCATGACTGGCACGCCGCGCCTGCAGCTCGCCGCTGTAGCTCCTCCGGGGGCCGTCCATGCTCGCGGGCCGGCTCTTGCCATCTGGCCGCTCGGCTGATGACGCCATGTGACGACCCTTCCGGCATAGATCAACGCTCAGCTCCCAATTGGGCATTGCACCTCTGGGCTGTAGAGACTAGGCACAAAGAAACACCAGGCTTGGTGGCAGAAGAGCGGGAATACAAGACAGAGGCTTGGTATGATGCAGATCACTACAGCACAATATAGCACTGTAGCGCAATCCAGTTTCAAGGTTCTCATCTCCCTGGTTTTTGGGCCAGTGCTCGTAGCAGAAACAGAAACGAGTTCTTATTTTGCAACCAGATTGCAACGCCCCCAATGCAGCCAGGATTAGGAATGCCTCAAAAGAGATCCATCAACTTTCTGATGTCTCCGGGCAGGCCCGGGGTTTTATGATCTGCTAGGAAAATTTGCAGCCAAAGCAGCACACAGTTCTGGGCAAACCAGAGCCCCGGTCCAGAACCCAGAAGCATATGCCCAATTCCAGGGGGACCTCCCCACGGGAAGTCAAAATCTGTCCTAAGCCCTCTGACAAAGCCCAGAACAGCCACCACGAGCATCAGCAGAGGACTTTGCTGTGTTTTGGGCGACATGCTGTCTTGCTGCTCAGGAAAACGTTGTCTCCTGAACTCCTCCACAGCACTAGGGGGCCAAGCCACTGTTACAGGCGATGGAGGAATGTCAGGTGACTCACCTGGATGACAAAGAGGTGCTGACGAATCTGGCTCTGCAGCGTATCGCTGTCAGTGATGACCATGCGCAGCCGCTCTGAGGCGTTCTCTACCGGGGTGGCCATAATCTGGCCGTCTTTTCCTGGCGCCTGCACCACACGTGCGCGCAAAAAGATCATACCTCTGTGGTTGATACTTTGATCACTGTACTGTGAACGCGTCATGCAAGCCTGCACCCTGAGAGGTCAATATGCAAGAGCAGATTTCCCCAACAATGCCTTTAAACAGCAGCGGCGGCAGTAGCAGAGGCAGCAGCTGACCCCTATGCCTCGCTACATGACCACATGACCACAAGAATCTGCTCTGAAAGGCAGGGCAGGCGCAACACACCCACTGCCCCCGGAAGTCGCTCATTTCAACTTGGTTGGTCCTAACCTGATTGTGTCACTGCCCGGAAGTCATGCAGACACAGGTTTGTACAGTAGGTCGTAAGCACAGTTGCTGTGCTCGATGAGTGTGTTTGAGACACACCGCACTTCCTGCTATTGCTGCTCCTGCTTGTGAACCAAGCCTCTGGTGCCATGATCAGGTCAACGACAATGTCTACAGGCCTCAGTGTGCTTGCTGCAGCCAGTCGCATCAATTTCTGGTGTACCCCTTAGGATGTGGAGGAGCTTGCCTCGCGTTTGTAGGGAAGGCTAGATGACCTATCGGAGGACTCGCTGTCCGATGCCAAGCTCGGCTGGGGATCCAGGAAGCTCCTGGGGCTCATCAACGTGTCGGAGTCGGCCCTCCCCTTGCGGGTGGCGCCGTTGCTCAGTGACAGTTCCGCGGCCATTTGCAGCGCTGGCGCTCCCGCTACTTCGGGGAACTTCTGCGGTCGGCAAGAAAGTCGGCTATTCACTACCAGTCCACACATTAAGCTCATAAAAAGTCGATCAGGTAGGCAGGAGCGGATTCCTTGCATCCCCTGCATCCCATCAGTTATTTTTTGGGGGTTATCAGCAACTTTGGGCATGCTCATGTTCATGCCGGACAACGCAGGACTTGCGTGCAGCAGGGGATCAGTCTACACTCGAAGCGACGCCGGTACATACAGCTGGAAAATAACAGAACGCCCTGCATGTGATGTATCAACTGAAGAGTGGTGCGCACTGCAGGGGCGCACCTGCTGGACCTTCCTGCCTCCGAGATGCGCGTCAACTGGAAGCGGCGACGGCGACGGAGACAGGCAAACGTTGGCACCCTGCCGGTTTCCTAGCAACATATCTGATTATCGAGGGAGGGATGCGGGCCCACCCACGACAGTGTGTTACTCCGTGCGCTTTTCCAAGAGAACGACGGAGGCGATGCCAGACTTCACTTCGAGGCAATAGAATTCTGATGGGCCGAGCGTTGAGGCCACCTGAGCTACGATCTCAACGTGCAGGGCGATCGTTGAAATTGTGAATTTGAGGTGAACACGGTCCGACACGGATTGTTATGTTGAGGTGTCTGAGGTACACTTTGGTGCCCCTTTTTTGCTGTCCGCGGCTTTTTAGCAGGATCTTCCCCACATGCCATGGTAAATGACACGGTGTGCGGCATGTCAACAAGAGCATCATGTATGGTGCCTTTAGCTTCACACGGATCAAGTGGGCGTCCATTTGTTGACAGTGCTGGGTTGTTCACACTAGTGGGCATTGGAGGATGTTTTTTTCTGCTTTCTGGAGGGCTGGCTGACAGCACCGCAGCGTGCATTGCAAAGGGGACAAAGAACATAATGATGAGCCTGCCAGCTGTAAGGTGCCTGCAATTATAATGGAAACCAAATTTTGAACAGCCCAAGATGGCAAGGTCAGTGAACAATCTTTTCGGCCTGGCAGGATGCGCATTCCCAGACGGCAGTGAACGCGCAGACGGTCAACCACTCGCCATTCTGCAGCCCTGCCAAGCGGCTGAGCCTGGGTAGTGGAGTAGCATGCATCCTGGGCAAGTCTCTGGGAGTGCGCCGGACCAACTTTGGGCACGCCACCTACCAGTACCTCTGCCCGATCCCGGCCGTCTCCTGGCAGCTGTCTGCTCTACCAGAATCAAGGCCTCCAGCTCAGCCAATCCCGGCCTTCATGTGCAGCTGTTTCCCAAAGCGCTGCGGATTAAGCTTCATTCTCCAGTCGACCTCCTGCTTGCTGACTCAGGTTTGCCTGCATGTCTCACCTGGCTTTCTCTGTCTGCATGTGCATCACAGTAGCAGCTTCACGTTCATGCCTTCCAGCCATTGTTGCACCATTTGCGGCGGTTGCACTGTCCCACTCACCATCTGTGTTGAATGCTGCATCATGCAACCATCTGTATTGCACTTCATGTTTTGAGCCTGTTGCATGCAAGGAATGTGCATTCCTTGCATGCTTTGTCTGTTGTAGTTCTGCAGAGTTGATGCTGTTTTTCATTTCTATAGCTTTCCCCTTGAAACCCCTGCCAGACAGTTGCGGGGAGGCAATTTTAAGGCTCTCGCAACTTGCTGTTGAACTCATCCTCGTCTGCAGCTGCTGTTACAGATCAGCCCCGATGGCTGGCTTTCAGGTCCAAAAAGGACCACCGGTTATCAAACTGTATTAGTTTGGCCTATATATCGATATCACATTGGCCCCGGCTGGCGGGGGGAGGTTCAGATACTGAGCACTGTACCCACGGTTGATTGGGTCTTGCTTGGATCTGGTGAGTCCAACCAAAGGTAGGAATGCGGCAGCCGTTAATTGCAGCTTGTCTGCAGGACGCACCTTGCCTCTTGGCAGGAGAAGCGTGTAATAATAATAATATCGATATCATCACATCCGTGACAGCTGCAGCCGGCTGGCGCCTGCTGTTCATTCTCATGAGGGGAATGCTGCATACCATTTTTGCTTCCTAGCTCGGGAATTCGAATTCTTGCATCTGCGTGCGCGGGAAAAGTGTGTCTCTCATTCTCTCGATCTCACTTCTCAACGTCTTCATGCCGCAAGGTCATCAATCCTATTAGTAGTATTGGTTGACTGCTTGGCATCTGTCTTGCAATGACTTTTGGGCGCATGCGAGTTTCCTCTGATTGACTAAGCCAGCTTGCTGCCAATAGTTGCACACAAACGAATGAATAAGCCTTAACTACGTACTGTCCAAAAAGTTGCTGACACCAAAAAAAAGCGCCATTTCTTGACAGGTGAATCGGCCACGTTTCATGGCGGGGGGCCCGATTCGGTCGATCTCCAAATCTGACCACGAATACACTTCGGTCTCCAGAAGATTCCACTTATTCTTGTGACGTCTGCATGCGCAGAAATTGCGGAGTCAAATTGAGTCAACGCGAGAGGAAGAGGGACAGAAAAGACGATCCTCGCAAAGTACAGGGAACGCCAGGGCTGCTCAGTGGCTTTTCCAAGCCTGCTTGACGCGCCAGGCGAGGCAGCATCGAGACACTCCTCCGGTGGCGCTCGCTTCGTGCCCGGACCGGACCTCGTGTACACCATTCCAGCGTCGGTTTTGTGCTTTGATGAGAGGATGGGGGACAGGGGGAGGGCTTGGGGACAGCCTGTGAGGGATCGCAACACGGCGCAGCGGCCCGGGGCTCAAGACTGGAGCCAGCTGGAGCCATACGAGGAGGGGCGAGCCGGGGACCTGCCCACCGACGACAGGGCCCTCTTTGGCGACTTCGCATCCCAGCTGCTTGAGGGTAGGTGACTGGTGGCCCCTGTCGTGAAAGTGGGCCCCATACGAGGCGTTGGCCCCCATGAATGAACCTTGAGTCAGCACTGGAAAGCTGCAGAGTAGCAGGACCTACCGCTATCATTTTGAATAGTAAAACCGCAATTTAACGGTTTGGAGAAGCCTTGAATTACAGATGTCTGCTGTAGGAAAGTTGGTTGGGATACATAACATGTGAGCCATGCTGCCGTCCGAGAAGCTTTGGAGTCTTTGCTGGCCTTACTCGACCCGGGGTCCAGTCCAGAAGAACTCACGATGTCGAGTACCGGTCGTCGAGGGATGGTGGCCCCTCATTTCCCACAAAGACAGGAGCAGGTCAAGTTGAGTGAAGCTACGAGGAAGGTGCAATTTCTCAAGCTCCTCTGCTTGGTGAACTCGCAGATGCGGACCGACTGGCGCCTTCCCGCACCCAGCAGCAGGCCGGACAACAGCTGCGCCTTCGCGGCGCAGGCGAACACGCATCAAACGACCCTCCAGCTGAGGTCGAGATCTCTGGTCCTGATGGGCCCAGGCATGGCGCCCCCCCATACATAGGCAGGTCATGCAGTAGCTCAGGGACTTCTTCGCTGCAGGAGGGTAACAGATCTGCGGCTGACGCCTCGATGGACGCGGGGTAAGGCTCCCAAGCAACTCCTTCGTCTTGCAGCACCATCCCCACCACCTTCTCATCACCGCCACACCAACAGCCGTCTCCATCGTGCGCCATTCTGACCACTTGTGTGTCGGGGCATCTGGCGGTCGCCCAGCAGCCCTGCAACCCTGTGTTCTGCGTTGACTGAAGCACCTGCATGCATGCACACCATGCATTGACACTGTGCTTCCTCGGGGGCAACAGAGGTATTGATCTTGCTTTGCTGCAGGCTCTCGCTGACTTTGGGCGTGTGTGGCTTGGCAGGGGGCCTTCAGGGGAGGCAGAGCCAAGTGAGGCAGCGCAAGGGGAGATCAGTCAAGGGTCAGGGGTCAGGAAGAAAGGCAAAAAGCGGGGCAAGAAGAAGCTGCCGGTGCCAGATCTGGACGCCATCAAGGACCCCTCGGAGCGCCGGAGGCAACGCCGCCTCGTCAAGAACCGCAACACGGCCGCCGCCTCCAGGCAAATGCCCTTAGTCCCTTGCATAGCAGTCCTTTGTGTCAAATCAGCCAGGAGGGGTTTGGCACTCTGGCTGCTTTCTGCCAGAGAGTACACAATGACACATTTGCAGGCCTTGCACAGCAGGTCTTGCAAGGCGAGCAAAAGCCCACCAAGCTGCGGCTGAGGTCTGGTGTATCAGGTTGTGTAATGGTGACACGCAGCTTTTTTATTTGGATGGGATGTTGCAGTGTGCTTTCTCGTGTGGGGCTGTCCAGACATTAATCAAGTGCGGACTGAGCGATCCACTTGAGCCTGACTAGACATGTGACCCCTTCTGGCGCGCATGCACAGGGAGCGCAAACAGCGGGAGTTTGACGAGCTGAAAGCGCGCACAGACTTCCTGACAGAGGACAACGCCAGCCTGCAGCAGCAGCTCGCCTCGCGGAACGCCGAGATCGCGCGGCTGCAGCGCGAAATCTCCGGCCTGACCGGCCGTCCAGCCGCCTCTGCCGCCGCCGCCTCGGCGTCTGCCGCGGCGGGGGGCGCGTCCCCCCGCGATGGCTATAGCGGCGGCGGAGGCAGCCAGGGGGGCCCCTCCAGCGGCCAGGCGCTGCAGCGGCAGCGCGGCGGCGGCAGCGTCTCGTCGGCGGCCGGCGCGGAGTGGCCGCAGCCGGCCCTGACGGCCAGCGGCGTTGGGGGCGGGAGCGTTCCCGGCTATACCATGGGCGTGGATGGCCAGTTCCTGCGGCTGCGTCCGGGGTATCCGCTGCTGCCCCCGCCGGAGCACGAGGGAGCTCAAGGGAGTCATGCAGAAGCCGGTGAGGAGGCGCAAGGAAGTGCGCAGCAAGACGGGCGAGGCCGGCCGGGTTTTCGCAGCACGCGCTCTGGACCTCCGTGAATACTTTCTTTTATTTGTCAGCTGGTGGTCTGCTTTGTTATATTCCTCGCGCCTGAATTATCAAGAGGCGATATAACAGACTGCAGGCGCTGGGACCTGCTCTTGTCGTTGCTGTCTCCACTCTGATTTGGGTGATGGGCCAGAGAAACTTACAGCGAATGCTGGATATTATGCTGTGACGATTTTTGCAGCATGCGCATCCCTGTGCACAGCTCAAGGAATGGTGTTTATGAAATATGAGGTGCCGGCGCCTGTGTGCTATGCAGAGGTGGTCACGTTTTGCAGCAAAGAGCTTTTAGATATGACTGCGCGATGCTTGCATGCTATTTGAACATTGAAGGAAGAAAGCCCCCTAGAAGCACCGCAGACGTCAGCGGTGTGTGGAATCCAATGTGAAAGGTGTCATGATAGGGGAGCGCTCCTGACGTTCTTCTGCTGTCAGATGGTCTGCAGCAAAGTGCCTCCGTTTGTCTCCCAGTGGGGGTTGTGCATGTTTTCTGCACGAGGTAGATGGTGCAAGGCTTGAAGCTTGAGATGGAAGGCGAACGCACAGTGCAAGTGCATCTGCTGTTTGGAGCAGCAATGGCGATTATGATATGCCAGGAGCAGAGGACAGAAAATTGCACACTTTTTTGATTGCAATCTTAGATGTTGTGCTAACTCCAGGTCCCTTTTGTTGTCTTCCACCGCAGAGGTCTGGCTATTTGCATGCAGTATTGAAGTGAAAATTGCAGGGTCTCAACAGTGGTCAGAGTCAAAATTTACAGCGCATATTAAGTTGAGGTTTCAAGCAAGCAAGGAACTTTGGGTCATCGTAGAGTGCTTGAGTGTGTGGTGCGAGGATATGGCTCTTTGGCTGAGCGCTGATTAGAGATAGAGGTTTGAGCTTCCATTTATGAGGCAGGGTAACATTTATATTACTTGATGTGGCAGGCAGTGATATGCTCGAATTCAAGTTTCCAATTCGAGCAAGTGGCAGGCTTCTGTGCACATAGTGTCCATCGTTTGCATTTATTGCATAAGAAATGTAGAGACTTGTAAGTGGTGCCAGCAGAAAAAGCTGTTCAATATTAAGATTTGGCAATCTTCAAAAACCGACTGCCAGCCGCACAAGGGCTTCTTCCTCAAGCGCCATGCATGAACCATTGTTTGCTCATGTACCTTGATCAAGAATCCTTCGAAGGGATCATTTAGCTCCCCCTCCCTGTACAGGACACATATTCCCCACCATTAATCCGTCATGCATGATCGCAAATAAATAGATCTTTTTTCCAGCTTTCATTTTCCAAAGATATGTAATCTTCTATCACTAGGACTCTACTCACTGGGCTCACAGCCCACCTCAGATTCGACCAAAAAAGGCACCTTCAAATGATGAACAAAAAAAGGAGAGGTTTGCTCAAGTAGACAGTGCTATAAATGCTCCGTGCATCTATCTGTCCAAGCCTGCATATTTCCTCAAGCACATGACATGCATCTCACGACACCCCCTGGTCATACAAGGCATGAAGGATTTCCGGCCTGCATTTCATCAAGAGTTTGATAGTGCAGAGCCCCTACGGATCAATATCCCAGCTGCCAGCCCACAGGACTGGCAACAGATGCCAGAAATCCAAAAATGAGCGCGACAGAAAAACACAGCACACAGGCTCACCACGCTAGATTTTGACTATGCCCATCAGCAAACTGCGCATTCCTGTTCTACTGTTCCTCATGCCAGCAGAGCACCGGATTATGGTCTGCCTGCTCGCCAAAATCACCTCGTAGTCTGACAATCCACTGCACTCCTTCCACCTATTGACCAGAACAATGCTGGCCATCGATAGCTCTTGTTCAACAAGGGAAAGTCTTCACTCTTCTCAAACCCTCAGCCTCAAGATGCCCCTTCCTCAAAAAGATGACTCATCTTTTGCCTGGTCTGAATGTGAGTATTGACGAACCTGCTGCAATTTTGCGATGACATCCTCCTATGCTTCACTCTGCTACCTCCAGCACACTCTGAAACGAATGCAGGTGTTTTGCGCCATGCAGCTCAGCAGAATCCAGTCTCGGCGCCCGCAAAGGCAGATGGCAAGCATGCAAAGCATACCCTTGTCTGAGGTACATACTTTCCAGGCCTGTCATTCCGGGGGGCCCCAGCATTTGAAATGTCTACGTGAACAGGGAAGATTCTGGCAGAGACGCCTCTTCACAAGCTGCCCCCGCTCGCAGCTGCATCTGGATGAAACTCACAAGGCATCGTCTGGCCTAAATAGCACCAAAGAGTTTGGTGGCGCGTAGGCACAGACTTCACGGGCTAGGGAAGTCGACTAGCAACTGGATTGGAGAGCTGGGAGTAGCACCGCGGAGAGTCGCACATCTGAAGGCGTACATCTAGGGAATAATAACCCTAAAAATACCCCTATTTGCGGTCACGGCGGGCTGCCGCGGCCGCGGCCGCGGCCGGCCGGCGGCGGCGAGTGCGGCGGCGCCGGGTTCACCCCCGGGCGCAGGCGTATCCACTGGCCGTCCACCCCGTAAATCACCCCCTGAGGGATGACTACATCCGCGCTCGGCTCCGCCTGCCCCTGCCCAACCGGGCCCGGCACGGGCTGCCCTAAGGGCAGCGCACCGCGCAACCCGAGTGCCGGCCCGGCCGGGCGGGGCGGCCGGGGTTGGTCGAAGAGGTGATCGAGAGGGTACGCCGCCGGCCCCACGGGGGGCAATAAGGGAAGTCCGGGGAGTGCCGGCGCGCCGGGGTTGAACTGAGGAATCGGCTCCAGGACGGCCGGAGGGTAGGCCTGCCGCAGCCGCGACGGCACGTTAGTTACCGCCAGCGCCCAGCGGGGGGGCAGCTGCTGCGGCGCGCGGCCAAGGAATCCCCTCCGGGGGCTGAGAGGGACGCTGTAATCGCCACCTTCAAAGAAATAGGCGCCCGGCATGGCAGTAATATCCTGCTCCGGCATTCCATAGGCAGCTCCTGCAATACCGCAGACACCATCAGTCAGGCAGGTAATGACACAGCTCTTTTGCCAGCACCACGCCAATTAGCAAGCTGCCGACCGCTCAGTCCTTGCTTCCTGAGTCGCTGCCACTTGCTGATCTGTTGTTCAGCAAATCAGCTTGGTGGGTGTGCGCACGACGCACCCTCTGGGAAGTTGTGTGCGGCTGCAGATGGCGGGATGGCGGCGCGGCCGGCGCCGGCGAAGCCGGCCACGGCCATGGCGGCCAGATCAGGCAACGGGGCCCCCAGCTGCGGTGGCGGCAGCTGCAGCGGGTCCCCCAGCTGCAGCGGGTCCCCCACTTCCCGCAGCCGCCCCACTTCCCGCCGCAGCCGCATCGTCTCCTGATCTCTCTGTGCTAGCAGCAGCCGCAGCCGCTGGTTTTCTGCCTGCAGCGCGTCGGCTCGCACGCTCATGTGCTCCATCTCCTGCCTTTTCTTCTCCCTGTGCAGTGCCCACATGATACTGTCACCGCTGTTAAGATGAAGAGACATATGGACATTGAGGCAGAGCGCGAGCCAGAGATACAGTCACCGCTGGTTGGATGAAGACATATGCAGACCTCCAGGCAGAGCAAGTGCGAGAGTGAGTACAACGGGCTGTCTGGTGGTGTAGATGCAATGCATGCGACATACAAGACTCTCTGCAAGCACCAGCAGCTCATCACATGCAGCATGAGACTTGCTGGCTTGTCTATTGAGATTCAGCAAGCCTCAATATTGACATGTCTGTCAGGGACACAGATCACGCCAATGGTGCACTTTGTCTCTCAAAGCTGCCTCTCAAGAGGGCCAATCTGGGTGCACCTCCGTCTCAACAACCGCTTGCTAAATGCAAGGTCAGCATGCAACAGATGTGCTGCGTCATGCCACTACGGGGCCCTCAGGCAGTGCATTTGACAGGATACATACTGACCGGGCCACAGCTGCGCTCGCGCGAATCCTGGCAAGCCTCTGCTGCCGCTGCCTCTCCTGTGGGTCATCTATGGCGTCCAGATCAGGCTCTGGCAGTCTTCGACGCCCCTTGGAAGCTTCCCCCTGCTGCCTGCTCCCCTCTGCGCGCCCCTGGCTGCTGCTGCCTGCCCTGGCAGCTTCCCCAGAGCTGGAAGGCCTGCAGCGGGAAACATCAAATGCCTCTGTCACATGCATGCGCCAGTTACATTCATCATCGCAAGCTGCATGTGAAGGCTGCACACGTGCCACCCCCTCTAAGGGGTGGGGAACGTCAGCTGCAAGTGATGGAATTGCCAGATGGTTGCAAATCCCGATCCACCGTGGGCATGGTGCTCGGAATTCATGACCTTCCCCCGCCAGCTGGCGCCAATGCATGCGCGTTGATTGCCTGAGCAATGTGCATGGAAAATCCGAAAACAAAGCATCCGGTAGAGCATGCAGGAGCAACAGTGGCTTGAGCAGGCAGGGAGCAATAATGCCTGGGTTGAGGCTGTTAGCAGAGATGCATGATGATTGCACCAAAGGGATGTCATGGTGGTTCTTACAGCTTGACCAGGCCAAATTTGGGTTCAGCTCACTCACCCTGCTGTGCCAGACTGGCGTGCAACAGCTAGAGTTGCACTTCTGGTGACACGCCGTGTGGGCCTTGGTGAGTCAGACAGAAGCTGGCGGCCAACCCCTGAGGCAAAGTCTTGTTCCCTGGTGTTGCTGTCTGCATCTGGTTGCTCCTCCACGGCGACAGTGGGCTCCTCTCTGAGATTAGCTTGAGTTCCACTGGCACCCTGCAGGCCTGTGGATCCACTGCCTGCAGCTCCTGATCCCCCTGCCTGGGCATCTGCAACCAAAGGAAACCGTGCTTTCAGGCAGGACTGGATTTGGCATCCCTTGCGCCCTTCCAGACATTCGCAAAAGCCTTCCTATATGGGTATTGCTGGCGTGTTTCTACTTCCTCGCAGACGAGGCAAGGAAACACTTGGTCAGCCGTCTCTCTCACGCAATGGCTCCCCACAACCAAAAGTGCGAGCGGCAGCCATAGGAAACCTTTTAGTGCGCGTAAGGTGCAAAAATCGCCTCATCAATCATTCGTCATGCAATACAGCAACCCAACGGTCTCCTGTCCGTGTATTGCTTCGAGCATGCGCCTCCTCGCGAAGCCCTACTTTGACGTCATTTCGCCGGGCCCATAGGCTCTCCATCAACATAGAGCATTATTGTCAGGTTTAGCAAAACGCAGGACACACTCACCACGTAAATCGGCGCCCTGACGTTGCTGGGGATCAGTATGGCGCTGCGGCACGGTGTCCCTCTGCCCTTTTTGCCCCCCGTCTTCCATGCACCTCCCGGGCTGACGTCTGACCCGTCAACATCAACCTGGAGGTTCCTAATACAATCAAGCCGAGAGCAGTCTTTGCCAGCGGTCCTGCAGTGTCATACTAGACGCAGATGCCCGGCCCCACGGCATCCCCCTGAATTTCCCACACAATGAAGCGCACTCTTGCATAACAAAGTATATGTGAGTTTATCACAATATGTGACAGGATATGGGAAGTTCAATGAATCAAGGGAAAATGCTGATCTCACACATGCCATCACAAAGGGCACTACAGAGCACTTCAATTCATGCGTAGGAATACCTAGACAGGCTCTCCTGAACCACACGTGCCAGCAGCCCCGTGAGCTATGACTCATCCGAATGGGAGGAAAGAAATTTGCGTGGCGTGGAGGGAAGCAGCGGTCAGGCCCTTCACTCTTACTCTGGGGACCTGAAGGCATTCATATCTGCACCGACGATTCACGGTGTCAACTGTGGGGCGCGCCTACTGGCGCCTGACATTTGGTGTCTCAATTCTCTTGGAGATTATTTTGGCCGCGACAGAGACGCTAACGAGATCGGACCTGCAAGATAGGGACTGTCGACGGGGATAAAAGGCCTCCTAACATCTCGGGCATTATGACGCTGAGATCTTCCAGGGAGAGGACTCGACGGTTGCCAAGACCTGGTGCGTGGTTGACCCACTGCCCGCGTAATAATTTGCTCGCACCCATTCGATCATGCAGATCCTAAGATCGTCCCTCCTTGTGTCTCTTTGACGTGCTCCCAAGGAAAATTGATCACTCCTGCTGCGCTGCGGCCATTTGTGCACCACATGGTGCCTGCTTGCAAGATGATCTCAGACGCCTGAGGTGCAGTTTTATACATGCTTCAGTAATTCACGCGACAAACATGAGTCTGCAAAGGCACAGCAGACATCACTTCCCCAGTATGGACACTGTGGACACTTCAAGATCCTCAGCCCACCAGGCCTTGGAACTGGCATGGACAGGACATCCTACACGTGAAGTGAAGTTTACGAGGCCGCACTTTTCAATGTGGCACCGTCAGATGTCCATCGCAGGACATCAACTGTCTCCAGCCGCACATTCAGCCAAAAGGCAGCCTGCTGATCAGCACTTTGCTGCTTTCCCAGATGGTCTTGGGGACGACGATGCGGACGAGGAGAACATTGCGTACCTGAAGCAGCTCAGCCGCGAGGTGACCGCCCTTGAGATGCTCAAGCACGAGCTTCTGGAACGCAATGCCAGGCTGGAGCGCTGGCATCTGGACCATCCCAATGGCGTCCCACCAATCCCAGCAACTACCAGTCAGGTGCAGCTTATTCTCTGCAATTGCGCCTGGAGCTCTCCACCCTTCACATGTGCTTCTGTGGGATTGTTGTACCACTGCAATATCATACCCCTGTCTGCATGAGCCTGAGATGCAGAGTCAGGTGCACCGGGTTTCAAGTGTGCACATCGCACCTTGTGTGCTTGTGACCCTGTTTGTGAGAGGCAATACCACTCGAAGATGGTTGTGTGTGCTCCAACAGGCGCCACAGGGCGCTGAAGAACAGAGCGCCACGACTGACAAGCCAAGCTGCAGTGGAGAGGCACCAACACAGCCAGAGTCTCCGCTCCTGGATTCCGCAGACCTACGTCGGTCCCCTAGGAACACCCAGTCCCCCAGCTGTGGGCTGCTGCGCTGAAGTGTGGTCCTTCCACTCCGCTTTGTCTTTCCAATAGAAGGGTAGAAGGGCCGCTTCAAGCGGGATTTTATCAATATGCGTAGTTCCCAATCAAGAAAATGTTTCCACGAGCTGCGTGCACCTTGTCTCTCTCTGTCAACTTTCTGTAAGCGCAACGCGCACAGTAAGTTGAGATTGTTGCCCTGCAATTATTCTCCTTTAATGGAAAGGATGAGCAAATGGATTTGCGCCTTGTTGTGGTTTGGTAGAAGGCGGGCCTTTCATGGGTTTTCTCCGGGGATCACTTTTCAAACACGCACTTAAGAGGCAGGCAGAGCTTGGGCTGTATGGGTATTTTGGTTGGGCATCAAGCGGGGACAGTTACTCAAAAATTCACGGTGCTGCATGCTCTTAGTAGGCTATCACCGTATAAAATAATAAGGGTGCAAAGGTTGCTGTCTGGCTGCCTTTTCCGGGATTCAATGTGTGACAGCAAACATTTGCGCTTGTCATGGGCCTCCAAGTTGGGAGGCACATGGATTCATGCCCTCAGAAATTTCTTTTATCAACTTAAGGCTGGCGTCAGGGTTTTCTTTCTTTCCCACCCTGAAGGGAACGGCACTAGCCGCATTGGCAGAGGTGTGAAGTATTCTCATAACAGCTCTCTTGGCGGCTGCGTGGCGCTGCCTCAATTCTGGCTACTGCAACAGATGCTTGCAAGCTCGTGAGCCCTCTGGGATGTACAGACAGGCGACACCGTGTCGCCTGCAAAAGAATGTGAGAGCAGGGGATTGAGCGGGTTTTCTAGGGTGTAACGGACAATCCCTGGGGCCAAGGATGGGGAAATGCTAACGGCGAGTGAAGAAACACGAGTGCCACAGTCTTTGATCAATAGGTTCCTGGCAGCACGGCATGCGGTGACAGGGTGCAGAAATGGAGGGAGATGCAAACATTAGGGGCGCTGCTTGGCAATGGCTGTGAATGCTGGGGTCTTTTTGGAGCCGTGCCAAAGCGACTTTCAAAATAATTTTCCATTCTAATGCGGGTCATTGCTACCTCCCACAAGGGGTGTTAAAATGTGAAAAGGAAAGCGGTTGCATGTTTTGGCGCGGATAGCCTTTTGGGCTTGTTCAGCTTTCATAGTAGAAAATGGTTCCAGTTTGCCCCAGTGTGGGTGATAATTGCAACAACGCCTGTGACTGGCGGTGACAGGATCCTTGTGAACGGCGATCTGATGTTTCAGGATTTTCGAGTTGCAATGCCGCACTGCACTGCAGAGCGGCTCTGCTTTGCCGGAATCGGACAGCAAGATTAATGTGACAATACTGTCTGACGGCAGCGGTGGTCTCACTGTAGGATATGGGAAAGTACTCTTGATGTGAAAGATTGTCTTTCTTCCACGATTCAGTGTGATCAATGTGCCACCAGCTGGCATTGACAACTTCAACTTGGTTAACAAGTTGAACAGGGAGAATTTAAGTGCGGGCACCAATTTTACATGGCATTCCAATCTTTGAACGCATTGCTTTCCATGCGCAGGGCACTGCCAGATCTGCCTATTAAGATACCTGCAATGGTAATGAAAAATCTAGGAAAGCCCACAATCCACTTCCAGCGGGCAGGGGTCAGCTGGTCACACTGAGCTGGGCCTGACGTGTAGCACATAGATTTTCAAATCCCCAGATTTCACCTCCGTATCCCATCAGCTCGCTCGACTCTCGCCTCATTGCGAAGGGGGGTCGCCGCCCGTATGACTCGCTGCAGGCTTTCAGGACATCTTGGTTCTAGGAGCAGCGATCGAGCTGTCCTGCAGGGCTCTCGATTGCGCACACAGACTACTGCGTCACGGCCATCGGGGTTAGCCTTACCTGAGGCCGTTCGAGGCGAGCACTTTGCTTCTTGCCACGACGATGAGGCATGTGTGAAGCCTCAGCGCGCGCTGGTGAGACACGGATCGGGCTAAATTGCTTCAACGCGGAAGAGGCGGAGATGGGGTCATGCGGTGCTTCTTCCGTCCTGGAACAGGGTGGACAGGCCAAGACGGAGCGTCTGGGTGGGAAAGGATCCTTTTAGGAGCTTGCCCAAGGCTACTTGGACGGTGAGCTGCCCGATTGCGGTGAAAGAGAGCGTTGGGGTTTCATCCAAGACAGGGGATTTCCCAGATTTTATTATGGAAGCGTGCAGAATAATGGTCGAGTGCTTGCATGAAAACCATTCAGCTATGTAGAGTCTCGGGGGGATTTTATGGTTCCTTATTCCAGAGAATCTGTACATCATAGATGTGAATGGTGTCCCCTGAATTGCGCTTCCGTAGGAGGGTGCACTTGTTTTGCTGTCCCCATACATGACTCAGTTTCCTTCAGCCTAGATTGAACAGAGATCGGTAGTGTCAGTTGTCCCTTCGCGTGTCTGAGTTCATGCTTAGTTGCTTCTGGCTTCAGGGGCACAAGAGATGCAACCCTCAAACGATGGCTCGGGAAGCCGGACATGTCATACCCAGGCACAGGAGCGCTGCCAGCAGGCTCCCAGACGCCATTATCCTCCAGCAGCAGCATTTAGGGAAGGCACTGGGCCGGACAGGTGGGACATCATCCTCCACCTCTTTCCGGTCCCGAATGCCCCAGGGCCAGCTTGGGGACTCTTGGCACGCCCTCAAAAGATCAAAATGTGGATTTTTGCTTGCCGGGTGACTGCATTGTGACAATGCACTGACCGCCTTTCATGGAGGTTGAAAGTAATGCAAGGACACCCCTTGTGTTGCCTGCATGTTTCATCACGGTCTGTGTGGGCTGGGTATCCCATGCGCAATCCTGCCTTATTATCCAATCTGCCACAAGGCAGGCAAGTAGGCTGAGGAAGAAGGCCAGAAAAGGCAGGCTGTTATCCACAAGCACATGTTTTTACTTTGCCAGATTTTATGCACAGATGCAGGGGTTCTGGGGATGCCAGCAGCCAAGAAGCAGCGGAGGGGACGGAGGTCTCTGACAGCGAGTCACCAAAGCGGCGCAGGGGGAAGCGGAAGCTGCCAGAAGTTGACTACTCCGCCATCGAGGACCCGGCAGAGCTGCGGCTACAGCGGCGCCTCGTCAAGAACCGGAGGACTGCGGCTGCCTCAAGGTGCTGAGAGCCTCATGCTTGATATAGAATTTCATTGAATCCTGCATGTCTTGCATCCTTGAGGCTTTGCAGGCCTGCCATGAGCACAGGAGCCATCTGACCTGGCAGTGCTGCCTAGAACTTGCAATGGTCATCTGCAGAAGGCAGGCCATTTGGTCACCAAATAGGCTAGTTAAAGGTGTGGCACATGCATCTCCTCTTCAGCAAACTTTTGATTCAAGCAAGAGGGGAGATAGCATATCATTGATGCGCAAGACAGTCTGGACATACTACTCCATAGGGGCATCTCAATCTTTTATCAGTTGGCTGGCAAAGTCTCACCATGTATAAGTACGAGGAGGACTGGCACCTGCCAGCGCAGCAACACACAGATCAGGGTCCTGCTAGAGCCCGGCATTGAGAAGGGGAAGCAACAAGATTCAAGAGGTTCCTTTCTCAGTGCGGGTCTCTGAAAGCGGCCGGCCTTTTCTGCCACTCGCAGGGAGCGCAAGCAGCGGGAGCTGGATGATTTGCACGTCAACGTGCGGGCACTCGAGGCGGACAACCAGGGGCTGCGGCAGGCTCTGCGCCAGCGCGAGTCGGAGCTCCGCTCGCTGCGCGTGCACATGGCTTCCATTCAGGGCTCTGCGCCACTGCCGACGCCGGCGCCGCTGCTCCCAGGATTCCCCGCGTAACCCCCTGTGGTGGCTGGCGGTGGCGGCGCCGGGGGGCACCAGCGGGGGAACCCCCCGGGTGCCGGCTGGCCGGCCCCCGAAGGGCAGCCACTGCTGGCTCGGCCGCGCCTGGGCGGCAGCCTCCCGTCGCCGCAGGTTCCCTCGCTGGAGGAGGTGCAGCGCTTCCTGTCGCTGCGCGGCAGCAACAGCCTCCCTGCCACGGCCGGAAACGCCGTCATCCGGGGTCCGGGTGGGCAAGTCCTGGGCGTTGTGCCTCTGCATCAACTCAGCATCTACCGGGAGCCGCCCGTCTTGCCGCCGATGGTCTTTTCCTTGCCATTGGATGGGCAGGGCCTCATGGAGCGCTCGCAGCCCTGCTCTGCCCTGCCGGGCGGTCCCAGTCCCCGCCCGGGGGGTCCAGCAGGAGCGGTGGCGCTACCGCCGGGGGTCCCGGAGGGCCAGCCGCTGCTGAGGGAACGCTCGGGGTCATACCCGCCAGGTCAGCAGCAGCACATGCCGGCACATGCAGGGGCGCAGCCCATCGCACAAGAGCGACACCCTCTGGAACGCGCCTGGTTTCCAGGAGTGTCCAATAGCGACACATTGGACCAAGTAGAGATGGATGGTGCATTATGGTGGGAACTGTAGCAAAGGATACTCAGCAAGCGTCGAACTTCTGTTCCTCAGCGCAAGACACATCTCACTTGATGGTGTGCAGCCAGAGTCTGTAGACCAAACTGCAGTGCTGCCAGGGGCATCCCAGCAAGTAACAGGACATTGCCAGGCGCAAGACACGTCTCACTTGATGGTGTGCAGCCAGAATCTGTAGACAAAACTGCAGTGCTGCCAGGGGCATCCCACCAAGTAATAGGACATTGCCAGGCACTAGTGTCCGATGTGTGTCTTTGGAGGGAGGCTGACAATGGAGTGCAGCTTCCTATGGACTTCACGGTGCAAGCGCGCATCAGATCTCATTACATTGATCTTGTGGGTTTTCTAATTTTGACTTCACTCCTGGGTCTTGCTGCATTCGGCATCAAGAAAGCACTCGTATTTCCTAATAAACGGTGTTGTGTGGCTACAGACTCCCCAATATTGGCTATCTGATTTCATAGGTAACCAACTTGGAGGAAAAGAATTCGTGTTGTTGCCTGAAGACTGTACTGTGTGGCAACTTCTTGTATACTGAGTCCTCTATTACCTGCAGCAATTACATCAGGATGCCTCATGATTAAGGTGTCTTGCCATTGCAGTTGGCTTGACCATTGTTGTTGCATGCCACTGGCATGATGCCAGCGGCAATGTCAATCATGATAAAATGTCCGGAGGATCACATCATTAGGAATCTATGCACATCGTGGTGACCAGCCTGAGTGTGTCTATTGTTTGTGGGCAGAGGCCCTAGGGAATTGCTGCACGCATGGAGTTCAAGTTGAAGCAACTTGCCTGAAGAACGGGCGCAAGCACAGTGTGACATTCACAGATCTCTTGACTTCAACTTGAAGCTTCTTAAGAGTCACTCCCGGTGTTAGTGGCCCACCGTTGTGGAAGTGTGTTGCATGCGGCATTGCTAGTGCCAGCAGCTGAAGTTGGTGGATTTAACACTCGTTGATCAGACGCGGAGAGGGTGCATGGAGTCAAGAGGATACGATGGGGGAGGTGATTTAACACCGCGGTGAAGGATGTGTCAGGCAGCGGCGTGCCCTCACACCCTATTCACAAGAGTATTCACTTGGATGGTATGTGCATGTGGTGTGAATTTAATGAGTGGTAATTTGAAGACACGAGGTAATTAGAAGCAGAGGAATGATTGCAAAGAGACTTGGAAATGGTGGGCTCGTAGCAAATACTATTACAGAGCACAAGAATCCATTTCTTACTCTGGACCTGTACTCCAGAGAAGCAACAGCAGCAGAGGGATTGTATCCCTTGCTTGTGGGAATGTATCCCTTGCTTGTGGAAGCTGCAATGCAGCTAGGCTGCCAGGCTGTTGTAGCTGTATGCTGACGGCTGATCTCAGTCAGTCTTTTACATCTTTTCCAGCCGCTAGGGCTGATCAGACGTCTGATCTGCTGAAGCAAGACGTGCAAGGCAGGTATGTTGATGTCAACTCTAAGCAGGAGGGAACATCTCATGTCCGGGACCATGTCGCGGTCTCACATTCTCGGCGCTGAGGAGGTCCACGTCGCCCCGGCCAGGTGGACCTAAATAAGATCTGCGCCATATCCCGTGAAGCCTCTCGAATCTTCCTTCGCTTCTAGCAAGCCTTGCCGGCGGGTGTCGCAGGTCGAGAGGCTTGCTGACGTCTTCGCTGGCATCGGAGCTTTGGAGGCAGCCTGCTGGTGTATCAGGACGGCCCCCGGCTCCATTTGCAACAGTCAATGCGTTGCGCAATCTTCACGCCATCGGCGAAGCAGTGGGTAATACGAGGGCGGACGAGCGTGCGCGCTGCAACGTGGTGTCGGTTTTGACCATTTGGCGATGTTACGACGATGGGAGAGGAGTCTATGCGCACGGAACAGCTAGGGCTGGGCGGCGAACGTGAGGAGCCGGGTTCTGTCTTTGGGAGGGCGGATCTGGCACCGGAGGGCGCGGCCGATGGGCAAGCTACAGATTGCAAAAAGGACTATGTGGAGCCTGCGCACGCATCGCTGCACGGTGAGCTCCCGGTCCCTGCTGAAAGGGTGCCCTGGGGTTCTGCACCGGGACGCAGGGTCATGAGCGCTGGCGATAGGTTTGGGCTGGCTAGGGTGCGTCGATGGAATGCATTCGATGAGCTGCTTCTGCTCTCGGTCACAGGAGACGATGTCTCGTGGAAGCACGCGCGGCTCTATTGGTTCGCTCTCCCTCTCCATGCGGCCAGTGGAGGCTCTGCAGAGCCTTTTGAGATGCGTACAGCTGCAGAAATGGATATACCGGATGTGCAGGTCCAGAGCGTTTGCATCTCTCCAAGGAGGGCGTGGAGAGCCAGGCAGAGCAGCGACTCGATGGCCCCATCAGACCCAGGAGGTCTACAGCAGGAGAGGCAGAAAGGGGCCTTGGTCAGAACAGGTGCGATGAATGAAGTAATTCGCATGCCCTTGGACCTTCCTGCACTTAATTAAAAGGGACAGGAGGCCTGCCATCTGGGCAGATGTTGTGAGCAGCTGCACAGGAAGCACCGCATGGATTGGATGCTTCCCGCGACACTGCAATCGCATCGATATCAGCTTGTGCCAACAAGCCGTCACATAAGCGGCCAACTTGACTTGAGCCTCTGTCTAAGGACCTCACTGCTGTTGTGCTGCATGAATTTCACCTCGACTATGTTGTGCTGCATGACACTCACTCTTCTGGCCCAGACAGGCATCAACACTGAAGCCTTGACAAACCTGTGCTGCTGCTGTTGAAGGGGTGCAAACGATGGGAGCCTCAACGAGGTGACAGAGGAGCCAGAGGCATCTGCCTGCGAGTCAGGGGAGTCGCCACGGCTGTATGGGGGGAAGCGCAAGTCGCCAGAGCCGGATAGCTCTGCAGTCCCTGAGGACTCAGCAAAGGTGCGGCTGCAGCGGCGACTCATCAAGAATCGGCGCACTGCCGCAGCTTCGAGGTCTGCCCTGTCCCCATCACAAGGCAAATATTACCCTTTTTTGGTAGTTGCAATCATCCCAATCCATTCAAGCATCCGCAGCTGCAGGAGTGCGGGGTGCTTATTGCGTGAGCCCTTAGGCAAGGGAAACCCTCCTTGATCAGACAACCACCACTTCATTTGGGCAAGCATGACCTGCAAGTTATCCCTTGTCTATACCTGTATCGGCATGTTCAGAGTAATGCACGGCATGCTTTGCACCCTTGTCGTCAGTGTGCCTCTCCAGGGTAGGACCCTCATTCCTTGCCCGAGTGTGAGCCCTGCCTGCTAGCTCCACCTTGAGAGGGCACATGAAGCCCTCCTTCTGCTGGCATGGAGGCATGGGGCCGGCAATATTTGTTTTGGCATGTCCTGAGAGGTCTCCAACTGTTATAAAGATCGGTGTCACTCTTGCATGCAGGGAGCGTAAGCAGCAGGAACTGCTCACGCTGACAACCAAAGTGCAAGGGCTGGAGGCGGACAACACAGGTCTCAGGCAGGCGCTGTGGCAGCGCGACGCGGAGGTCCGCGTCCTGCGCGCGCAAGTGCATTCCATGCTCCGGCCGCCGCAGCCGCCACTGCTGCCGCAGCCGCAGCCGCCGGGTCACGGCGGCTACACAGGTGCTTGCCTTGTACTCATTATCACTGCTCAAAACTCCACTTTCGGTCCCTGTATGCTTTCTTGGTGGAAGGCGGGGAGGTGGGCCTTCCTCCTGCAACATGCATGTCTGTACGTCCAAGACGTTCTTCCTCAGTGAAAATACACGGCTGACAAAAGGGTGTGCCTTAGTGCTTGCAGGCAGCACGGTGCTGCGGCCGGGCTTCCCGGCCTGGCCACCGCCGTCGGCGCCGATGCCGTTCGGGCAGCCGCCGGCCGGGCCCGGGCAGGCCCCCCGGGACGATGCGGGGGGACCCCGACAGGGGGAACCCTCGGGCGGCCCATGGCTACCCGAAGGGCAGCCGCTGGCTCCCGGGCCGCTTGCCGGCTCCGGCGGCTTCGCCGCACCGTGGCCGTCCTTGCTGCCGGACGGTTGGCCGCGCAACGAAAGCCTCGGGAGCTCCATGTTGCCGGGTGCCGCCGCGACTGAAGGCCCGCTAGCACTGGGCCTGCAGAGTCTGTCGGCCTCTGGGCTGTCTTCCCAGGGCCAGTTTGGCGTCATCCGCGGCCTGGACGGGCAGTACCTGCGCCTGGCTTCCTTCTCGTCGCAGTCCGGCCCCCGGCTGCCCCCCATCGCGAATCTACCCTGGGCGGACAATCAGCAGCTTCAGGCGCGGTCCTCCTCCTGCTCCGCGCTGCCGGGGGGCCCGGCGGTGGCGCCGGCGGGGGGAGCACCGGAGGGGCAGCCGCTGCTGAGGTGGCGCTCGGGCTCGTACCCGCCAGATCAGCAGCTGCACCTGCCGGCACATGCCCACGTGCGGCAGCTGGTCAGCCTGGGATCCTCTGCACCCCGCAACCTGCCTCCACTGCCGCATGATGTGCATGGTTTAGACCCGCTTGATTTTGAAGGGCTGCCGCTTTGGGCGGATCTGGAATGAAAAGCGCCAAGTGGCCGCTGCACTGGTGGCCAAATAAAAATTTAGATATGGCAGAACTCATCCTCTGCACTTCCTGCTGCATGCGCTGTTAAGAGCTCTATGAAAGATGCTTAGGAGAATGCTTCGCAGATGCTGGCGACTTGCAAGTTGGGCTGCTTTGATTTACGCTACATTATTGCTGTCCAGCGTCCACACGACTGCTGCCTGAGAGATCCTGCATCATTTACAGTTGCAACGACTGTGTCTCGCTGCTTGAGCTCACACCCATTGGGGTTGTTTTCAGACCGAAGCACAGTTTCAGCATGAGCTTTGCTTCATGCACACTAGGCACTCTTGGCCGCAGCGCCCTTGGTACTCAAGACTTGGCGATTGCCAGGGCACTGGGCCTTGCCTGGCCAGAAACGCTGGAAAAGCAGCAGCCAATCTGAGGTGAAAATTAGTCATGAAGGACTTGTGTGTTCATGCATGCGGCTGTGTCCCATGTGACTCCTATCGCAGCACTTGGCTCTTAGAATTTGAAGCACCCATTCGCGCCATTGTGAACTTCTGACAAGCATCATGGCTCGTTGGGACCTTCCGTTTGCTGGCTTTGTACTACAAGAATCCTCTGGGAGACGCTGATATCATCGATGGGACATCGATGGGGTTATGGAAAGGGTGAGTACTGAAAAATTAGTATCATATGACGCACTGTGGTATGTTCTTGGCCCTGCATGCATTAGTAAAGTGCGTGTCTTTTCTGACTACAAATGATACTTTGCGTGTGTTGTGAAGCGTATAAATTGCACTTAGATTTTTTCACATGCAAGGGGATTCACTCGAGGGCTGCTTTGAATCCTTCCTACCAGATGGCCACACGATAGAGAGTTCTCAGTTGGCAACGGCATTGGTATTTAAGCCCCTGGATTTCTCAGCATGTGGTAGAGCATTTGTGGTCTCTCATCCTGTCCAGCATTTGCAACAGACTTTCCCAAATTCTGGCCAGGGCCGCCGATAAAGACTGGGCGTTGGTTGATTGGATGTTTACTTAAAATGTCAGTGGTGCTATCTTGGTGCCCTTGTTTCTTAGTAAGCTATGAGCAGGCCTGCATGTGTCTTGACCAAGATTGCTTTCTGGATGCATTTGGCCATTCGAAATCTAGACACGGTCGAACTATGATCGATGAACCAATCTGGTTACTAATGACCAGATCTCTAGAGCCTTTCAAAATTGCCCACAATGACATCATTCGGGGAAGAGAACTTCTCTTGAAGAACCCCTCGGCCTGTCACGCACATCTAAAGCAAGTTTGCGACCAGGTCAAACATTCACTAATTTTGACTTCATTGTCTATATCCTTAGCAGTCTGGAGGCCCCGGCTTCCAGCGAGTCCACCAAGAAGGTCAGCCAGCAAGGCTCAACACCGCACAGAGACATCCAGCAGATGCAGACATTCTTGGTGAAAACATATCACAGGCTCGTTTTGCAGGGAGTGAAGGGTACATGCAGTGCGGGCATTCAGTGCTCTTGGGCGGGAAAACATTGTATTGCAGTCGCATGACAAGCATGCATCAATCAAGACTGGCAGCAGGCTCTGCGCAGCGTGCGATGACGTATCACATATCAGTACAGGTTAGTCATTCTTTACCACCAGATAAGGTCCCAGAGTTCCATCAAAACGGTGCTTCGAGGCCTGTACTGTCTTCCTGTCTTTTGCCTTGCACTGGCTCATCTGAAGACCGAGCCACGCATTACATTTTGACTGTCATTTCACTGTTGTGTGTTGTGTGTTGGATAATGCGCAGTTGCCCTAATCTGTAAAAGGATTGTGTGATTGTGATCCACGAAGGCAGTCCCCAATATTATATCTGTGAGGCAACCCTTTCCCCTATCCACTGGCGTTTGATGTCTTTCATTCCCCTTTTCCCAGGAAACACCTGATCATGGGCCCCTTCGCTGCTGATGATATCAGCACTGCTTAGTCATCTGCTGCGCTCATTTCTTGGTATTCTGCTCGTACCTCTGCCTGCACACAGCCAACAAACATGACTTGTACTTAATTAGTCAACTAATGAGTCAATTTCAGGGCAATGCTGCTGTGCGCTCGTCACCAGCACTGCATCAACTTGACACGTGAAATCCCTTATTACAGCTTGCTGGCAGCGATCATATCAATGTGCGTTCTAATTTATAGAAATAGCAGTGCAGACATCAGGGCAGAGCGAGCGCCAGAAGGCAGGAGAAAGGGCTGCCTCGCGAGTGCACACATTGCAGCAACTGAGCAGCCACAGACATCGACTACCATGCATGCATGCATGTGAAAGGAGGCCAGATTGGAGACACACTTGTCACACAGTCAGCAACCACGGCGCTGGAACACTATGGCATAGCTCCTGTCTGTCCCTGCACAGCAGCCATCAGCTTCATTTTTGTTGTTAATACAGGAGTATCGCACACTGCTCGTGCCAGCGGCAACTTGCCTTGAAGGGGCGAAGCTGCAGGTAGTGGCTGCAAGTTTACCTACCCGTTGATGGGCTTGCCAGATCCAAGCAAGACCAAATCAACCGTGGGCACGGTGCTCAGTATTTATACCGCCCCCCACAAGCCAGGTTTATAATATCGACTTGGAAGTTAAGGGGTGAATGGTCATCTAGTGCTCCTGTCCAGTGGGCAGGTGATCATTGTGTGATGACGGCACGGCCTTCATTTGCGAGGCAGCCCTTCCTCTCATCTCTGGTGCTCGCACCGCCTTGATGTCTGCATCTCCCCTTCTTGAAGCCATTTTTGACAAGATGGGGCATTAAAGAGTGCAGTCCTACATCCGTGGACTTTGAAGCTTCCTTGATAGACTGCTGCTGAACACATGCTGTGCTGCATGCATGCAGCAGAGCAGCTCCGGGTGCTGAGCCCCTCTGGGCAATCCAATCATTCATGCATGCGGCTGTACTGTTCATTTTGAAGCCAACGTGGCTGGTATGGCCTGGAAATGCTTGTCCATTTGACCGCCTGATGCGGCATCTGTGGGAAGTCCTTTGCGGCTTTCTTTCATCTTCCAAAAAGAATCAATCAAAGATGGAGAGGGATGCAGATAGCCAGGACGCATCGCACCTGGGTCCATGGTTCTGATCTGCAGGTCTCCTTCTGGCAGCAGATCATCGTCCAGTAGCACAGTCCAATCCTCGTTCACGAGCAAGCGGACGTTGTTTCCGGGCACGGCCGCTGCCAGCAGCCGCTCCTTGAGCTGGGCGAAGGTCTCGCCCTGGAAGCGCACACTCTGTCTCGTTGCGTGCCCCTCATTCACACTGACCTGCCGAACGGGTCCTGCCTGCCGGACGTCACTCATGGCGTCGTGGTAGACGGGCAGGCTCTGCTGCACCCTCACCGCCACTCTCTCTTGTGTCATTTCTTGAAGAAATTGGAGATAGGGAACGAAGCGCCTCTAGAATGGGAGTATCTTGCGCTTTGCTCTCTGAACACTGCTGGTTGCGTCAGTCTTGGTCAGCAGTGATAAGGACTCTGCGTAGATAGAGATCAAGGTTTGAATTCAGAAATGGAAATGTTCAGCACAAAGACAGTGCAGTAAAAAAATCAAACTGCCATCACCAGGCATTGGGGCAAATGAGAATAGAGCAGAGCCGAGCCCTATCGTCATGGACCCTTGAGAGGAAGCTGACTGCGGCTGACATCACCACGCGCAATCAAGCATGCTTCATCTTGAGGCTGCAGAGAATTTATAGTTGTTTCAAGGTATTCAATGACCACCATTCATACTCCACAGCTTTGTTTACAAGCTAGCTTACCCTCATAAATGCGGGTCATCATCTAAGCAAACCCTCATGTCTCTCCATGCACAAATTTTAAAGTGACAACTAGATCGTTCTAGCATGTTGTTCAAAATGCGTGCATTTGACACCCACGTGCCACTTACAGTTCTCCCAAACGAGGAGTCACACCTGTGCAGATCTTCTCACTGAAGAACCAACGCTCTGACTTGAAGCAATGTTGCTCAAATGCCCGGTGGTTACTATTTGGGCTGCACTGCAGTGCTAGGACGTTATGATGCAAAAAAGGTTCAGCTGCAGCTGCAAACGGCAGCAAGACTCATGTTGATCTGACTGACATCATTGATTCAGATCTCTGTACCAAACTCCTCCCACAATTGAGGCAGAGGTCTAATCGCAGATCCTCTTTATCTGACCCAAAGCAGACATCGCAAATCCCCCGCCAAGCTAAATTGTTGTGCACCGAGACACTCTCGGGTCTGCACACCTAACACTGCACGAGAAATACCGATAGTGGGCACATCAGGACTTCCCAGTAAGCTTCCTCCCGACTCAACAGGCGCATTTAAGAACACCTTTGCTGCTTAACAAACCTGCCGTTGTTCTGGCGTTCTCTCAACACAAAACAGCTGACAAGGCCTCCGGCTGCGCATGCTATCTTGGCACCAGTGTAGCAGGAGCCTGCTTTGGCGCGGCGGCTTGAATTCAAGCTCAAAACCCCCGACTGACGCCGAGCGTCCATAACCGCAGCTGCATGCTATCTTCTGGCAATCTCAGAGGGGCTGCTTATGACCAGAATTCAAGGTTTGATTTCAAGACTCCCCCATGGTGGCTCAAATATGGAGTTTAACCCCCCCGCGTGACGCCGAGCGTCCGCAGCCGCAGCGCTTGAAGCTTAACAGGACCACCGGGAGCTTGCTTTGCCCCGGGACTTCATATTCAAACCCTGAATTTGAAATTCAAATTCAAATCCCCCGGCTGACGCCGAGCGTCCGCAGCCGGAGCGCCTGAAGCTTGATGAAGCCGGCAGCGTCCTTCTGGTCATAGAGTCCGCCATCATCCTCAAAAGAGGCGATCTTCTCGTCGTACAGACTGTATGGCGACTTGCGGCCCACAACCATTACATTGCCCTGTGCAGGAACACATATTTATATTCTCAGTTGCTATTTCTCCAATCGGCAATGGGGTCTTGTAGCAGCTCTCACCCTGATGGCCCCAACAGGAGTGGGGACACTTGATGCATGGGGATGGGTTGCAGCACGGAATTGATATCTTTGCTGGCACTGTGGAGCTATCTTTGCTGGCACTATCACGCACCAGGAAATACAAGAAGGCCTGCATTCAAAAGGAAATCAGAAGCAGGCGCACCTTGTAGAGTTTGAGGCGGACGGTGCCGGTGCAGAACTTCTGCGTCTCGTCGATGGCCGCCTGCAGTGCTCGCCTCTCGGGGCTGAACCAGAAGCCGTTGTAGACCAGCTCTGCGTACCGGGGCATCAGCTCGTCCTGCAAACAGTGGGCAGCAGCTCACAATGTCACGCGCTGCTCTTAGAAACCACTAACTTATGACAGCATCTTTTGACATGTATCGGCGAGCACCTGCTACGAATGCCACAGGCTTTCGAGATTTACTGCACTGTGGCGGCGTCTGTGATCGGCACTGCAGGAATACACTTAATTGAATAAGTTGCAGTGAGAACCATGCAGCTGCTTTCAGCCTCACTGTCAGGACTGCAATTCAGTGGTGCCAGCACGCGAGTGAGCTCGGCCTGTCTGACAAACATTGCAAGCCCCTCTTGCACCCCTGTTCTTTCAAATGTTGCCATCGTCACAGGGTATTATGGATTTATGTGGCAGATTGTTCTGGCTTGTGCAACGAGCAGGAAGCTTCACCCACCTTCAGGTGCAGCTCTCCGCGGTCAAGGCAGAGGACTCAATGCTCAGCCGCTCTGGCAGAGATTTAAAATTTTAGATAAAATGGCAGGGCAAGGGAAGCTTCGCCCACCTTCAGGTGCAGCTCTCCACGGTCAAGGCAGATGGACTCGACGGCTCTCCTTGCTGTCAGCAGGATGGTGCCGCCTGGCGTCTCGTAGACTCCGCGTGACTTCATGCCCACAAACCGGCTCTCCACAATGTCCACTCGGCCGATGCCGTTGTCTCCCGCCACCTGCGCGCATGCATGCTTAATTCCTTCAGGCCGAGGCAGTCAGACAAGATGCAGCGATGTCATGCATGGTCCTGACAGTGTGGCTGCTTGTCTATCATGCATGTCTCAAAATTTGCGATCTATTGCAGCATGCGAGAGAATTGAAAATTGCATTCATGGAGGGCTGAAAAGCAGGTTGCGCTGCATGCATGGCATGACCAGCTTGATAGGCCAAAAGCACGTCGCTTCCTTAAATATTGACATAGTTCTTTAAAGAAGGACAAGAGCATTGCCAAAGTAAGATATAATTGGTACTGCACCACATTGTGCATGCATTTCAGGGGTTCTTTAAAAGCTCTCCAAAATAGAAAGAATGGCGACAGAGGCATACATCCACAGAGAGGGGCCTAAGTATGCCACAGCATCACAAACGCACCTTGTTAAGGTCTGTGAGCAGCGTGGCGGGCGAGAGCTTCTTCCCATTGATGGCGACCGGATCGCCCTTTTCGAAATCAATTTCGATGTAGGTTGCCTTGTCAGGCGCCTGCTCTGGCGAGACTGATCGCGTGAACATGTCTTGTACCGGCTCTGCCCAGGGGTCCTCTAGCAAGTTCCTGCAGCAATCAACGTAACATGCATTACGTTATGTTTGTAATGTATGTATGTATCATGTTCGAATTCTTGTGACAATGGCAAGGTGTGGCCAACACCCATTATCATTGCATTAAGAGCTGCGAGTGCAAGCTGCACGAGATGCATGTAATGCTTTCATTATTGGCCACGTCCCCAGCGCAGGCTGCCATGCAAAACCAGGCATCTGTGATGAGGTAGACGGTTGCTTGTCATCTGAATCACAAGGACACATGGCCCTCACAGATGGCACTGGAAGCCTTACAGCACATGAGCGGCAACATGCCAACAGTGCTATCGAGCTCCGCATCAGAATTCTGACCATCCTGCTTCCTGGGGATCTCACCGATTGCAGGATATGTTTCAGCATCGTCCCATTTGCACTGCACATTGTCATATTCATGCTTAAAAGCAGTGACTCACCCCTCGTAGGAGATGTGCAGCAGGTTGGCGTCTGTGGAAAAAGGAGGCTCGCCGCGCTTGCCCTCTGGAACTGCGATGCCTCGGCTCTCGGCGTAGTCGATCAGCTTGGAGCGGCTGGTGAGATCCCACTCCCTCCAGGGGGAGATCACCTTGATGTCCGGCTTCAGCCCGTAGTACCTGCCATTGCAAAAAAACTCCGTCAGGGCTGCTCAAGCACTTGCAGTCCTCACATCGCGCGGTGTGTAACATGCCATAGTCAAAAGTCATGTCAAAGAATTCTGGTGCAAAGGAGGCAGCGTCCAAGTCCAGTGGGGGAACATTTTCTATGTCCATGACGCCATAAAAGATCCTGAAAGGACATGCACTTGAAATTTTTTAGCTTCAATCACATTGCCACAGTGCCACACCGCAGCTCTGCATGGCAAAAAGGAGCTGGCTCGGTGAAGTGATACCCTTCCCACACCCGGACATGCATGAATCATTCAATAGCCAGGCCCTTAGTAAGAAGAGGAATTGATAACTCACCCAAGCTCAAATCGCACTTGGTCATTCCCCTTGCCAGTGGCGCCGTGGGACACCGCGTCAGCACCAACCTGCTTTGCGATCTCAATCTGGCGCTTGGCAATCAGCGGTCGCGCAATCGATGTACCCAGCAGATACACCCCCTCGTACAGCGAGTTTGCCCTGCGCCCAGTGAAAGATCATTTATGGTCCTGATCTATATTCTAAACTGATAATTCTGTTGGTACTGTTACCAAGCACTGCAGCAGAAGTCTTTCAACAGAAGATAAACGGTGCCAACAATATAAGCTGGGTGGAAAGAGATATTGAACAAGCTGGGCATGCACAGGAAATCACTTCTTTGGGGTGCCATAAGGAACAAACCACCCCATTTCCACGAGGTCCAGAAAATGGCAATTTTCTCTGCAATCATGAGGTACAGAGACAGGCCTTGGCCCCATTCATACCTGGGCTTGGATCAAAAGATCAAAAAAATCTCACAGAACCATGCTGGCCATGAACTCATCTTGGCATTCTATTCACGTGAAGAGCATGACAAGAACACTCATTTGGTTTGGACATGGACTGACAATGAGCTGTGCCCCACCTAAACATGGGGAAGACGTAGTCGCTGACAAATTCTTCGCGCAGGTCATCAATGAAGATGTCCTTCACACCAGCTGCCTCTGCCTTCTTGCGGGCAGGCTCCAATTCCTCACCCTGCGAATGTTAATAATAATCAGAGTTAGTATTGCCGCAGACAAGAAAGACAATCACACAACTTAATGTTTAGTTGATGACATGTGAAGCTGCATGTGATGGCATCTGACAGGCGTGACCCTGTGAATGGCAGTCAAGCAAAATCCCCACATCAGGGGCCACCAAGGGCAGTCGTGCATTATGTAACATGTACATGCATGAATCCCCATATACAGACATGCAGGAGGATTATCTATCCAAGCAGGTTTGGAATGTCTGCTGCAAGCATGAAACAGGCACATGCAGACGCTGTACATTGCTTCATGCGCAACTCTATGGGACACTTTATGTATGGATTGCAGGGCAGGGAGGAGCTGAGCAAGATGTATTTTTCTGGACCTGTAGCCTCAGATCACCCTCTCAAGGGCAACCTACTTGCATGAAAGGCATGACATGCATGGCAAGAATGCTTGGCACTTCCTGTGTATTCTCAGAGACAACAAATCCGGACAAGATTTGGGGGTGTGAGTAAAACACCCACCTGGCCGAGGTCGGCGGTGAAGGTGACGACTTCGCAGTCGTAGGTCTCTTGCAGCCACTTGAGGATGACTGATGTGTCCAGGCCGCCAGAATAGGCGAGCACCACCTTGTTGATTTTCTTCTTGTCAAGGGCGGCCTGCGTCCTGACTTGGCAGCGTGCGCGTCTGCTGAGGCGTGCTGGGGCAGCAGGCAACGCCGCGCTACGCTTGCCTGCCAACAGCGCCTGCTGAAGCCCGTTTGCATCTGCGCACGAGCATGCAAATTGGATCAGAGATGATTGTGGTCTGCAATGGTGGAAGTGCTGCTTTGAAGCACGCAAGCAGAATCTGGTGCTGCCATGCAATAGACTGGCTGGTTGTAAGGGCCACCGGCTGTCATTAATTATGCTCTGCAGCACTGGGGCATCCAGGCAAGATGAAAAGACTTCTCTGATACGTAGCAGAAGGAAACCATATGAAACACAAGGCAAACGAATTTAGGAAGATTAGAAGGTCCCTCCGTGACACAAGGAGGGAGAATGCATATGTATGGACCATCCCAAGACACTTACTGCTGGAATGGAATTAGGGCTGGCCTCTTCAAGCCAGTCAGAAGCGAAGACAAAGAAAAGGAGTTGCCAACAAAGAAAAGCGTCAGCAGAAAGTCTGCAGTTCACACGCTGCGCGTTGAAACGGCTGGGAATGTAAACGCGTGACTGAAGACGTGACTCCGATCTCGGTGCACCCATCAATATACGCCGGCAGTGCACTCTTGCGCTAAATGTTTACCTCAGATACAATTTAAGAGGCACCGAAGAACTTGAAATTGAACGCCAAGAGGAAGCATCAAGGTAGCAGAGAATAAGTTTCCAACAGTGAAGGGAAACAGATGTGGAGGCGCACCCATACAACCCCTTGCTCCCGGCATCCTGCTCTGCTGCAAAAGAACCCTTTCAGAAATCAACAAGGTAAGGATCCCTTCTTGATTGTTTGAATTTGTTTGGAATTGCCGCAGTGCCGGCACAAGTTGTGCCGCACAACGCAGAGAAAACTTCACGTGCACCGGTCAGGTGATCGTATTCCCTGCGATTATCAAAACCTATTCCAATTTTGTATTCTCCTTCAAAACCCTCGGGGTTGCTGGGTACTCCAAATGTTGCACAACAGCTGAATGATGGCATACTGCGATCAGCTCCCCACTTGGTAGCATGATACCTTAAAAGACCGCTGATGAGACATTTTGATAAAAGGTAAAAGAAAAAAGATCCCTCTGCACAACATGTCTGATCTCAGATCTCAGGCTTATCATGATCGCCCATCCGACCGGCGGTCTGGGGAGTTTGGGGTGGTTGCATCCTGGAGTTCCTGGAGTGATGGCCATGGGTGGCATGTTTGGCGCTAACTATGCTGTAGAAAAGCCAGGAATGGGATCAGTGAGTGCAACATTCTGATGCCTGATTTTTCTGACTCTATTATGATGCTGCAGCTACCTGTCACTTCGAGGTGGCCTTTTATAAAAAGACAGCAGGAGCTTTGGAAGGCAGTGCTGCAGAGCTACACTTAGCATCAGTGAACCATTCCCTGCTCATATGCAGCAGGCTGCAATCCCCCAGTCCTTTTAAAGCCTCTTTGGGAATGCCGGGCTTGCTAGTGCTGCTAGTGGGAGTCTGCCTCCCACTGTTGGAACCTGCCCTGCCCAAATGTTGCCTCTTTGCTTGCGGGTGCAACCCATGCAGCTGGATTGCACGCCATAGCTCGTCATACTTTGTCATGTGCAAGTTTCTGGGCCAACCGTACAAGCTGGATTACCAGGACTGCAAGACTTGAGGCGGACTCAGATCTGCTGTGAGAGGAAATGAAAATCAGTCCCACGATTGAATTGGCTATGCCATTACCTACAAAGATTGAGCTGCTTATCTCTTTGAAGCAGCTACAACTTAAATTCAACTGCTCCTCGTACTTGACTCTGTTCAGTGAACTGCCAGTGGGGACCTTTCGTTGTGGCAGTACTAGTATTATTGGCTGCTGCATGGGCAGTCCATCATGGCCCCGGCTGGCGGGGGCCGATATAAATACTGAGCACAGCTGTGCCCACGGTTGATCGGGTCTCGCTTGGATCTGGCGAGTCCATCAAGGGGTAGGATTTTGCAGCCTTTACCGCAGCTTGTCTGCAGACGCATCTTGCTTCAGATCTGGCGAGAAAGGCGTGTAATATAATAACAATGGGCAGTCCATGCTAGTGTATGTCCCATATTTAGGCAGGATCCTTACATATCTTCACAAATTTTGTTATCTTTGCAGTATTTGAGCTCATTTTTGGGGTCATCCCCTCCAGCATCCAACCTTGCATGACAGCATCATGTAACATATATGATCAGCTTCACGGCACGACATCGACTGCCTGACAGGCCTAGGCCTAGGCAGGGTCTGTACATCGATAGATATCTGTAAGGAACAAATGCAGCACAGTAAGCTCTCTCAAAATGCTCTTCAACGGTCTGTCCAGTGGCTCTAATCAAGCCTGCACAGCATACCTTCTGTGATGAGCATAATATTAGGTTGTCAATTAAGACCCCTGGCCAAAGGGAACCAATCATGAAATATGACTCACCTCAATACCGTGGCACGATATTGAACAGTCTTTCTTATCTCAGACACCTTGCGAGGACCTGGAGCATCTCTTAAAAAATTCTTTTCCACATATTACACGCAATCCAGGAGACATGGCTGCTCCTTGTGCAGCTAGCTCCTCGCCCAGATGTGCCTCCAGTGCTACTCCCCTGCCCCTTGTTCCATGCTGGCGTCGATCTGCAGGTGCGTGGGCTTGCGATGCCACGATTTCACTCTTATGCCATTTTGCCTACAGAGTTTTTGCAGCACTCCGCATCTTTGTCTTCTCCCGAAGGTTTCATTGATACTGTAAATCACGCACGTTGTTCCTGCCACTTCTGGTGTAACTCTCCCCTCATTCAAGACAAGAATGTCTTAAACAATGGTATCTTCAGCATAAGATCTAGTAATTTGCATGTTGCGTTCGTTTGCATGAGGCAAGCTGGAACTAGTGGTTTCAGGAATGGAGTCTTACCTGCTCGATGTGTCTTGCAGTCTTTCGGCCAGTGCAAGCAGGCAGCCAGATCACAAACCGGCAAAGAAGGTGTGACGTGCAATGTCAAGCCTCCGCGGATGCCTCTTCCCTGAGCTCAGGCATCAGCAGGAGAGCTGCCATAGGTGGCAGCATTGCACTTGCATCTGTTGCAGCCCTGCAGTCCAGCCTGCCAGCTGAGGCACGCGTGGTGTCCAGCGACTGGGAAAAGGTGGACCTGCCTGTCGATCCTGGCGTGGTTCTCCTGGACATCGGCTTCACGGACGAGAAGCACGGTGAGGGTTGCCACCACAGCATCTGTTCAGGGCTGTGCCCCTGCATTCATGCAGGAAGGCAATGCATGCACCATTAGGTTGGTGGGAGGGCCGCTGCTGCCATGCGCATGCCTTGAGCGTTTGCCTGCGTTACGTGCTGAGACGCACGTCTCTGCTGCCTGAAACCTGCCAGCACGTGACGAGGGCCCTGGGTATGTTTGCAGCCAAACTCGTTTATGTTGATTACATGCAAAACTGGCTTAGCAACACGCTGCTGATGCATGCTGGCACATGTGCGCACATGCAGGGTTCTTGCTGGGGAGCAGAGAGACGCTGCTGGAGACCAAGGACGGCGGACGCACGTGGGAGCCGCGTTCCGTAGCAGCAGCCAAGGACGAAGGTGACTCAGTTCTTCGCATCTTTCCGCCTGGCTCATGCATGCCACTGCTTGGAAATTGTCAGCGCCGGCAGAATGGCAGAAGCGCAGAAAGGCATGGGAGGGGCACAAACTTCTGCAATCCAATCGGCAATGCTTGTGTAGCTCTGCAGTCTGTTGCCTTCAGTTAGCGCTGTGATGGCATTTGCAAAATGTGGGGTTTCCAGAGATTGGCACCTCCTCAATGCTACCTGCCTGTCAGGTAGGAGGCAGCAACCAACCATCCCAGGAAGTCCCCCAAGGTGCCATGGCATGCATCGCTGAACGTCACTTGGCGCGACCTTGATTAGTGAGCAGACAAGCCTTATAGAAAGAGCCATGTCTCTCTGCCACACGATAGCACAAGGCACAGCTACAAGGCCATCAAAACAGACTACAGCGGTCTGTTGAAGGCTGAAGAAAAACCCCGGTGGATGCCAAACAAGCAACGAGGAGCCACTTTCCTTGAGTTATGCCATGTAGAGGCCATCAATCCTGCCATGTACATTTTGAATCTGCCATGTAGATCTGGGCATGCGAAATGGTGCGCAAGGTAGGTTGAATAGGGAATTCGAGCTCTGCTCTGTGCGGATTGCTGGGTTGAGACATGCATGCCACCTGCATGTCAAGTGCTGAAGAGCGGCTGCAGGGGCTGACATCAGAGCATCTCTAAGTGCCATTCAGCACATGTTGTGAGCTTCCAGTCTGCTGTGTGCAGGCTTCAACTACCGCTTCAACTCCATCTCCTTCAACGGCAAGGAGGGCTGGATTGTGGGCAAGCCGGCGATCCTGCTGCGCACGACCGATGGAGGGGACAATTGGGAGCGAGTGCCGCTGTCTGCCAAGCTGCCGGGCAACCCGGTGCTCATCTGCGCGCTGCCCGGAGAGCCCGGCCGGGCAGAGATGACCACCGACCAGGTTGGCGCGACTAATCAGGCTCCTGTCTACCGAAGCATGCTGTATCTTGGCTTCATATCTGACACCTTACTGGGTAGAGATGATTACCGCCCAGGTCAGCGTGCCCAGTAATGCCCCTCATTGGTTACGCATGCGTTACTAAGAAGTCACATCTTCGGCACCTTATCGGCAAATTCAATGACTGCCGGACTGCCTGGGTCACACATGCCAAACCACTCTTGTCAGTACCACTGTCTTAATTTGGCCTCTGTCGCCACATATCTTAAAATTCCATGAGTAACTCGTTCCTCTGTATACATCAGGCACCAGGTGGCTCGGCAGTAATAATAGTGTGAAGCAGGTGAAGAGTCTCTGCTTTTTTCTGTTTGTTGATTGCTGCACTGCTGGTATGGCTGCAGGGTGCGGTGTATACAACCAGCAATGGAGCGTACACCTGGACAGCGGCTGTGCAGGAGACCGTGGATGCCACTCTCAACAGAACAGTCTCCTCTGGTGCGTCCCATCATCCTCCAATCTCACATCTGTGACAGGTTTCCATCTGACACATCAAAATGGTCAAGGGCCTGTCATCTCATCTCTCTTGCACGTAGCATGTGCTTGCAGATGCACGGCCTAGCCTTTGCGCACACCATACTACTGTTGCGCCTCCTTCTTTGTCACTCGATGGATTGGTGTTTGTTCTGTTGATAGCAGTTGGTGACGCTCAGCGCTTCCATGATTAAATTCACCTAGCGTGAATGGTAGTGACGGTTTAAGTTAAACTCTTAAACAGCCACAGCTGCTGCCACGGCCTGTGGCGCCATCTGCTGCAGCATGCATGCATGCATGCAAAGAACGCTTGAATCTTGGCTTGGGAGGTGGTCTTCGTCAGGTCACACTGCCTCCAATCAGGCCCGTGAGTTTTGTGCCGCATACCAAGCATCAGCTGCGCGTCAAACAATGAATGCATCTTCTCAAATGTGCCCTGAGTGACTGTGCTGTCATGCCAGGCACCTGTCGCGCCTCATTCTTCGAAGGAGGCTTCTCAAACCTGCCTTGAGTGATCACAGGCTTCAGCTGTGCCTGACCCTATGAAGGCAGGTTCTCAACGGTGACCTGAGTAAAATTGCTTTTTGCTGCAAAAGGCATCAGCGGCGCGTCGTACTACGAGGGAAGTTTCTCGAACGTGCAGCGCAGCCCCTCGGGTGACTACGTGGCAGTGTCATCGCGCGGCAACTTCTTCCTCACCTGGTCCCCCGGGCAGACCTACTGGCAGCCCCACAACCGCCCCACGTGAGCCCTTCTATTGATCAATTCTGTATACTGTTGGCCTATGCCATCTGATAATGTCCGAGCGGGCAGCCTTCTGCATGACATGCAAAGCATTGCCTTGCTGGCTCTCTCTCTATACTGTCTTGAAGTCATTGTGTTGACGTTGTGGATGAGTCATGATCACAGCACGCACATGCGTCCTGCGGTGCGGTGCCTTCAGCGCACCCATGGCTCAAGGCTTCGTTTCTGTGGAAATCAAGCAATTCTTGCACCAATGCTTTTTTTAAAGTGATGCAGAGATGCCATTACTCAGGACGCCCATTGTGCTTGGCCATGGGATCCTGTCCCCGCAAACGTCCCATAACCCTTTACTTGACTGGCCAAGGTTATCCCCTTCCTTCTCAGAAGCTCGGTCGGCGTCGCTCAAGGTTTTTATTCTGACTGTTGCCCCAGGCTGCGCCGCGCGCAGAGATATGGCTCAGCTGCTGATATGCATACTGCTGTCTGCTTGGTGGTTGCAAGACACAGATGCTCATTGTGAGGGATGTTGCTTCAGATTCGAAATCTGCAATCATACTAGATCATCAATTTGAATTAGAATCCGAACCTGAATCCAAACTTGGTACAGGGCGCGGCGGGTGCAGAACATGGGTTGGACCCCCAGCAACAGCTTGTGGCTGGCAACGCGCGGAGGGGACGTCTACCTGAGCCCCGAGTCTGGAATCTCCGAGCGCTTTGACCAGGCCAAGCTGGGCTCGCGCGGATTTGGCATCCTCGATGTCGGGTGCGCGCAATTTCCCCCTTGAATATTAGGGTTTGGGGGGTTTAGAAAAGTGGCAGTGGGGTCACGGTGGTAGGGTTAGGGCTAGGCTGGGCTCGCGCAGCTTCGGCATACTTGACGTCGGGTGCGCGCAATCTCCCCTCTGAAATATTAGGGTTTGGGGGTTTAGGAAAGTGGCAGTGGGTTCACGGTGGTAGGCTTAGGGCCAGGCTGGGCTCGTGCGGCTTCGGCATACTCGAGGTCGGGTGCTTGCGCATGTTTCCATTTGGTATATTAGGTTCCAGGGGTCTGAGGGTGAAGGTTTTAGGGCGTTCGTGGCATTCCATGGGCGCCCCTTTGACATCCTGTATGTTGGGTGCGCGCCCATGTTTGCGTGCTGGGGCATGTTCTGACCAAAATCGAGGCGTCACAATGTGCATAGAAACTGGTCCAGCAAATGACCGCATCCCTGCACGAGTGCCACTGCTGTCGACGAGGGCAGGGACTCCAGTCTTTCTGGCATCCTTGACGCAGTCTTCAATAGTCCCGATCACTTGCTTGAACGTCTGGCATCTCCAGTTTTTGCTAGTCGCGCACGGCTTGTGAGGCTTGCTGCCATCTTTTTTCAATTGGCTTAAGGGAGCAAACAAACATCAACAATTAGCACAAATCCCAGACTTGAGGCCTGGTAAGAGCAGCTTTTGAAGCCTTGCCAATAGAGGCTCTGTGCAGAATGTGCACAATGTCAGCGTGGGTCTTGGAGGGGACTTTATCTCGGTGCCCAAAAAGTGCTGCGCTTTTTTACCTTGAGCTGAAGATGCGCGCCATATCCCACAGGTTCTCCCCGAGCAAGGTGGGCTACGCGGTGGGAGGCAGCGGGACACTGCTCAAGTCAGAGGACAACGGTGCCACGTGGAAGCGCGACCGCTCGACAGACGGCATCGCCGGAAACCTTTACGAAATCAAATTCACCGAGTCCGGCTCCGGATTCATCCTCGGCAACGACGGCATCCTGCTGCGCTACATTGCCGCCTGAGACCAAGGCTGCCGCCGTTTGAATTCAAATCCGCAAATTAAATTTAAATCCCTCGGGGACTGATTTGGCGCCAAGGTGACAAGGTACAACATTACCGGTTGAGACCGGCGCCGCCGTGCGCTCGTTCCAAACTGAGGGGGGCTGATGTGGCGCCGAGCCTGATCTGGAGATGGGAATGTTCTGGTGCAGAATCTGGCACTGCCAGAATGTGCTGCATTGACAAGGTGCTCTTTGCCTGAGGAACTGGTGGTGGCGGTGCCATTGCCCCAAATATGGTACAGCAACGAGCTGCATATTTTTGCATGGTATACAGCTTTGTTGCTGGTTACTGATACCGGCGCAGCTGTGCACGGCTTTCCCAATGAGCTGTCCTGGCTCAATGGGCAGGAACAATGTTTTTCCGGCCTTGTGCATGGCTCGGGAGACAACAATATCATCAGAGAGGCCTCCCTGCTGGCTCGACGGGGCTGTCTGGAAACCGCGCAGCCGCATTCAGGACGGCTGAGCATGACTTTGGGGGAATCGTATGTGGACGAAAGATTGGGCAGTGGCTTGATAGCACAAATTTCCAAAAGGACCAACCCAATGGGTATTCAGTTTTTTGTGGAGATGGCATATTGCAGCTGTGATCAGCCAGGTGCAGAGGATACTTGCGCTGAAGCAAATGGCACAATTGCGTGCGAAGATTTTGATGTACATGCTTCTCTGGTCTTCAACTGTCACGAGTGGTGGTACAGACACCATGCACTGTGGGAATGTCTAGAATTGACTGTGCCATTCAGCACGCTGCAATTGAGTGTCTGTCTGAGGCCCGCACGATGACAGTGGTGCTATTCTAGAAGCAGCTGATTTGATGTAAGAGTTTGGCTTCCACTCTGTTCGCTGAAGGCTGGTTTGTATTGACACACTGCATGTGCTGCTCATGTGCTGATCAACGAGCACCATGGCACGTGCTTTTTGCAGGCAGCTTCCACTTTGTCTCTAGTGCTTCAAAATTTGCAGGAATTGGCAGTGCCTTATTGGTCCATTTTGGTACCTTAAAAATGTTCACAAAAGGGTTCTTACAGGCATTATAATTAGTATAAAGACTCTCATCACCCACTGATCTTTGAATTTGCTTCACTCATACCAAAATGGCATCCTTTGCTAATCCCTATAGGCTGCTTTGTTTCCGAACCCAGATCTGCAACTATCCAGCTTATCCCTTGTGACTTTCCAAGAATCAGCACATGGCAATTCCTTAATTAATATACATCTCTGATCTGAAGCAATCTCTACTATCAAGCTTGAGCTGGTCATCCTGAGAATCAAGATTCCAATGTATTCCAATGTATGATGCCCTATGTCACCACACATTTGTTATACGAGCATCCAGAAATTACAGATCAACTCTTGGCCGACCACAGCGACGAGACAGATATACTTCATCAAATGTGCGCAAATTTCTTCCAGGACAACGAGTTGCATGCAGAGAGTCTGCGTAGGTGTTTTCAGTGTCAGAGCTTAAGCCCTGCACAGAAGGCAGTCTCTGCCGGCTGGCATCACACTTTGGCAAAAGGAAAATTATGCAAACATCACCGATGATATCACAACAAGTAGCAGACGATGCGGTTGTACTTCTCCCATGTGCTTCATGAATGATTTCAGGAAGTGGGCATGTGAAAAATGCATTAGACCATGTACTGCAGAGCTCTGAAGTCGTGCCCTGCTGCAAAGCTGAGCACAAGGAAAGCCAGGCCCTCAGGCAAGAACAGAGTCCATGTTGACCGGATGTCCAATCCGCTGTCTTTCTCAGGCGTGCATGCTTCTGCACCACTAGTATTGCTGCTTCTGCTGCTGCTGCCACTGGGGGCCTCTGTCTGCCTCTTGACAGAGCCTTGCCGCCACTGCCGCCGACTGCGCAGCTGCATCTTGTAGGTGAGCCAACACGGCAGCACGAAACCTCCGAGCACCTGAACATAATAGGGAAATAAATTCAAAAGGAGGGTAAAAATCAAAGCTGAGCGTCCTCTCTCCTGCAAGGCAGCGGGCACCCACATCATTTGGCTGATCTTGCAGCTGTAGAGGCTGGAAGATAGGCAGGTAGCTGCATGAATACAAGGACAAAGTAGCAGAACACCGGCATATTCTTGTTGACAGACAGAAGGACAAAGCAGGCGTTATAGTGCATTGAGTGCAGGATGCATCCGATCAGTGTGCTGCACACATAAACATCAGAAGGAGCCACATTACTGGCAAGGAAGGGGGTGAAATGTCCAGACATTTGCAGAAAATAACTTGCTGAATATTTTATGCAATAAGAGTGGATTTCAGAAAAGAGTACGTTCTATACCTCGAGCAGCAACCACGCCCAGAACAGCAGTTTGTCTTCGGTGACAAATCCCCAGCCAACCCTCGCCGCCACCGCATTGACGATCCCTATTAGGGGGGTCAGGTGGTGCAAACCCTGCTCCATCTGCCGAAGTGATGTGCAATGACGCAGCAAAATGATTCCCAGATGACCGGTCTAAATCACCAGCCAGGAGTTGTTTGGCATCGCATGGAGGAAGCCCCTGCATGCCATGGCACCGCCAAGTTAATGATCTGTGATGTGGGTTGCTCATCACACCGATCACTCGCTGATTATTGTGATGCCCTGGTGCGCTCAAACGGGTGTGGGAGAGTTTCTGGCTATGTGATGGTTGAGATATCTCAGATGCAAATTGGCTGATCTATCACTATGCATGTCTAAGATGACTTTGCCATTACTCAACAAGAAGAATCAGTGTTGCAGCAGCGGCAACGCACCAATTTGCCAAGGAGATCCAGTTGTTGGCAAAGACCCAGGCGAGCAGGTTCCATACAGCAAAAGAGCCCTTGTCAGAATAGTCCATCCAGAAGGACAGATAGGCATCAGTTGTGTATATGACCAGCAGCCTCAGCAGAACCAGACAGGATGTGCGGTGGCGCACATAAGCCTTGCTGTTAAATGCAATTAGCGCCATTGCCTGCAGCACAATTTGGACTTGCTCTCAGGAGTTGCTTTCAGACCACTTTGATTGAAGCATCTGCTGCAGAGGCGGGGCCGGTATACAGACAGGAAGCTCTCGTGCAGATGCTGCCTTCATCCCCGCTCAAGCAATAACATACAGCTGCATCTGTGCAGCTCAACGATTGCAAAGATCACTGTTCAAAATTGCATGTTGAAAGAAGTAAGGCTCGTTGCACATTGGGCACTATGATGAGGAAGTCCTGGAAGCTTGTAAAAGATGCATGCAGGAGAGGATGCATGCAAAAGCTTTCTGCACACAATAAGATGATGCAGCAACCGCCTGGGCTCACCTTTTCTAAGGTGAACAGCAATATGAATGCTGCGTGCCATTGCGGGGTCCTTGTGTGTCTGTTGCGCCAGAGGCTGACCAGAAGCGCAGAATATTGCATCCAGGAAAGCGTCAGAACAGAAATGTCCCACTTCAAGTGCTGCTCCGCGAAGAAGACCTGGCACCCACGCGTTACATGGCTAAGGATAGAGACAGGAAACTCGAATATTTTATCGATTTCTCTCAAAGCACGTCGTTGTTCGATTTGATCTTCACACATTCCGAGAAAAAGTCATTACCTGAAATCGCTGTTCGTGCCCCCGAGCCTTAAATTCCTGTGGCACGAACGGGTGCACTCAGCTCGACAAGTAAAAGACAGGCATCTAGATTTAAAATACCTATAACATTAAGATGAATAGGTACTTTTAGTTTCAAATGAATCGCGCAATCGTACGCCTAGACTTACCAACATCCTTTACTGGCGTGCTGGGATTGACCCTTTCATGCTTGAAATTGGCCGGAGATTTTGCCTTTGACACAGTCGCGACGATCGTGCATTGTGCAAGACTTGATGAACTTTATGTATCAAGCAGAAGTTCTCGTGCTCTGACCAGTCTTCTCACATTTCCAATGAGGAACTCACACGCCCAATTGGCTGCCCCGTTGTGATTGTATTGTCTCCGCCTTGCACGATCTCAGCAAAATACAATATACTGGACACTTGCCAGGAGCAATTATGAAGCCTATTGGAACACGACCAGAATTACGGGCAGAATCAGGACGACGATGAGACTGACTAATACCAATTACTCTTTGTGACCACGTGACTTTCTTTTCCAAATCATGCAGACATGGGAGAAGTGCTCTGCATATTATATAATAAGAAGGGGGTGTAGACCTGTAGGCTGCAAGGGTGCATTTGCGAGTTGACAAGGCTGCACGCCTGTGCATATCGGCCCCGGGTTCCGGCTGCAGACGGACCTGTGTATGCCCTATGGCCCTCTGGCTCTGGCCCTAAACCCTAAACCTAAATGATATGCAGCATACATCAAAAAATTACATGGTCATGTGATCGCATGTGATCAGAGATTCAACATCCAAGGTTCAACATCCAGCAGCTCAGCATGGAGGCTTTCTCGGACGGCAATGTGTGTGGCGCTCCGATAGGGGCGACCCTCGACGGTACTTCCAGAAGAGCCACGAAAGTTGGGCTTTGAAGCATGTATCTGGATACAGCGCAACACGAATAAGTCACGGATACATAAAATACTTCATTATTCTCTTGGCCCTATGTCGAGGCACGATAAAAAGGAAGAGCACGGCACGCACCATCATCGGCTGAACTCATACACGTTAATCGTGAGTTCCAGGGAGTAACGCATGTGAGCCAGCAATCATCGTCGGAAAATGCCCAGGCTGGTAGCGTGTGAAGCATCTTGGACAGTACTGGGGCCCTCAAAGAGCCAGTCGTGTTGACACTAGATGTTTCTAGAGCACCTGCGGCTTTTTGAACACCTGCCAGCAGAGGTGAGCCCTTTTGCGAACCTGACGGTGTCTGATGGTTTTGTTGGCGGCCAAAGCCTTCAGGTCTTGTCTCAGTAGCTTAGCAGTACTTGGTGGACGCTGATCTCTTGTGGGACTGGGCACCCTACTTGTGATTGGCCCTTTCCTGTCTTGTGGGGGCACTTCTGATCTAATGTAGGATTTGGCGGCGTCCTGCGTGATGGTTAGGTTGTTCTCATGAGCTGGAACATCGCTGCTTTGTGTGGCTTTGCTGGACCCATCCATGTCTGCGTGTGTTGATGATTGCTCGGTGATTGGGAGTGCTGTGCTGACACTGTCCGTGCTACCTTTGCTCTATTGGAACTAGTAGATCGAATGTTGTTGTTGACCACAACATTAGGATTTGACCACGACTTGTCCGGTCTCTGCTCAGGCACACCAGTGTGTAGAACACAGCACATCTAATCAGCCTGTATTGGCTGGCACGATGTAATGTTTCTCTCTCTCTCTCTCATGCACGGCAAAGTTTGCTTGTGCGAGCAGTTGCATGTCTTTGCAGTACGCAATTGTTGCATGTGACATCATCCTGCACCTGCCATCATGGTTCTCACCCTGCAACCGCAGGACAGCTGCCAGCTGTCGCTAGCGCTAGCGGCAGCGCCGGCGCTCAAATTTTGATTTTGGAGTATATTACTGATTTGATGGTGCTCACGATGTTCATGTGCACGTCATCATCTTGATGATCGCCTGTAACAGTCTGACGTGCACAACGTTATACCTTACAATTCCAAAATATTAAGTGGTCTCGCATTCAATGTTGCTTGCCAAGTGCGAGCCGTGAGATCATCTGGTGGTGATTGATCATGCATGCATCGTTATCATCACCAGAGTGCTGCAGAGTCAGATTTGGAGCTCGTCTAATATGCTGCCATGGAAAGTTGGCTACAGACTAAAATGACCTGATCTTGGTCTGTACATTGGGGACCAAATCTTGAAAGTAGACACTGCACATGCCAACACACTTTGGCAATCCTGACCGTAAAATGTGACTTTCACAAGGAGCTAGCAGCCTGCTGAGCACTACACCAAGCTCTGTGTAGTACACAACCAGGAAAAGTATAATAAGCTGAAAATACAAATCTAGGGAACCAAACTGTCCCATGCTGCCTGTTGGCTTTGTTTTGTCTCCTCGCATGACGTTGCCGCCTGAACTGTGTGTATGCAGCATGACATTCCATGCTACACGAACTTGCTTTCCATTCCTGTTGAGAATCTCGCCCACACCACAAACACTGTCAACACCTCACTAGACCTCCCGCAATATTATAGTGTCTCATGCCCAAATTTTCCCCTTTGAAGAAGAGGCCATTCTAATGGTATTTCAAGTGCCAGCACACATGCGCTGCATTTCCACAGTATGAACAGATGTATCAGATCCAAGGAGTCAGACTCAGCAACATTTTAAGACTTACTAAGTCTTGTTAGTAACTCCCCCCTGTTTCAGTGCAAATTGCTTGTCTCTATGGACACTGCCGACAGTCTTCAAATGCCGACAGTCTTGAAATGTGCTCCCCCCCAAAAAGAGCCTCAAGAGTACTGGTGCACAGCAGTGTACACATTACCAAGTCCCTATGGATCATCCAGTTGAGAAAGCGCCTGAGGTTGAGTCAAATCATGATTCAAGTGACCTCACCACTGCAACGGAACTCTCAAGCCAGCTTGCAGCGGTGGCAACAATCCGCAGAATGGTTTGTGAAAAGATCCTGACTTCATCATTCATTCTTGACCACGTGTGCATACCAGAACTCAGATCTCCTAGACGCGTGAAACTTGCAGGCCTTGAGAATTCTTCGTGAGCGCTGTCTTGATATCTCCTTGTCCTTGCTCTTTCACCCCTAGTCGAGATGCAAAACAATGGTCGACCCCAAGAACCTGCCTAAGATCCGTTGACACACGTTCCCAGTATGCATACATTGTGCTCTCAAGTCTAGCTTCAGCCTCATTGGTGCTGTGGGTTCAATTTTCGTGCAGTTCAGTGTCTGATCCAGTTAGTGACGCTTGGAACAAACATCACCAGCTTGACAGGCTCTCAGTACATCACATCTGCTCTTTCGTCTCTACTGACAGTAGTGTTACCTGCAGCTTCAGTAGCAGGTGGGTAATAGCTTTCACATGATTTTGCATGCAGCTTCACGTCACGTGTTACTAATTGCGGGGGGTCATTGTCTTTCTCGTCTGCAGCATCACTCAATATATATAGGAAATACCAGCAAGTGCAGTTGCCCAGTGTAAGTTCCTCATAGCGGAACTGGCTCCAGAACAGGGCCGCCATCCTTTCAGCATTTTGCGCCTCTTTGAGGCATGCTCCTTTGCCGCTGAGCAAATCAACCGGTGCAGTCTGGGTCGGTGTCCATTGTGTTGTTGTTGCATGCTGGTTAGCTGCAAGGCAGCCCGTCTTCTGGCCCCAGCTCTGCTCTAATGCATGCATTCTCTTCATCTCCTCCAGCAATTTCAGCAACAGCAGCTGCTGCTGTGCAGGTTCTAAAGCCCACGTTAGCTCATATCCCCCCATTTCGTGCGAATTCATCCTTGAGAAACTCGCTGAAAGAGCGGTCGATCGGCTCTATCTGCGGCATAGTAAGGTCGGGCGCTGCAGTGGCGAAGCCGAAGGGGGTGCCACCAGGCAAGCCACCTGCGCCACATCAGCAATCGGGTTTTCCCCCATAGTTCATTTTTTCCCGCAGCATAGAATATAAATGTGGCATTTACATCATCAACACTAACTCATAAATGGTCTCGGATTATTGATATAAAAAACATGGAAAGTTTGATCACAAATCCGCTAGACTGAATTATATTTCAGCATCGCACTGTTGTTGCTCCCATTGACCTCTGGTTTTCACATCTTCCAAACCAGCACCCTGCATTTTGATGACCTGACCAAGGCATGCTGCATGCGCCTCTCCAGTGACTATTCACACATCCACACATCGAAATTGAAGCTACACACGGAGAGTGACAGAGGGTGACCAACAAACATGACAGACTCTGAGATTACGCTTGAAGAGCACACTTACCGGAGGCTGGGGAACTTGAGGAGAGCAGTGCGCAGCTTTCCTCTGCAGCCATCAGGCCGGGGCTGTACACGCCACTGAACACACCTGCGCGCACAGAATGAGTGTTAGCAGCAGCAACTCACCTATTTGTGGTGAGAGTGACGAACAGTGAGCGCATTTGCTAGCACCCTGCTGTTTGCAACTTACTTACACGCTGTTCCTGCCAGAGGCAAGGTGCGTCTGCAGACAAGCAGCATACTAGGCTGCCAAATCCCTCCCCCTCGATGGGCTCGCCAGATCCAAGCAAGACCAAATCAACCGTGGGCACGGTGCTCAGTGTTTGTACCGCACACTGCTGCTTGCGAGTGATATGACATGCATGCCCTTCAACGGCTTGATGAAGTGGCACAAGTCGTATTTGCCTTCTGGGTTGCCCATGGAACAACTTTCAGCTGATGTTACACCCAAGCATCACCATTTGAACAGTGCTGCTAGATTTTACCACAACCGCATCATCTCAGAGACCTGCCAACCTTTCAAAAAAAGCAAACCCTTTGGAGACATACCGTAGTCACCACCAAAAAAAAATTATCTTTCTTCATAAAAAGTCAAAAATAAAGTCCCATCCAATTAAAAATATAAACCCTATGACAACTTTGAGAGCAATTTTGGAAGGCTCTCGCCGAGACCAACCCATTGGGGATGCTGGAAAATTATATAAAGGAAAAAGAGACTTTTCAAAATAGATCCAATTGTTTTTTGAATTTTGAAGGGTGCGGAAATTCTGGTGCTAAGAACGGCAGAAGGACTGGGCCAGAAGGCGAGAGGGAACGCGCGCACCTTGCGCAGGTGCCAGCTCAGCGCCGTTTCGCACCGCAGCTGCCGGGAAGCTGGCATCGCCGCGCGTGAGCTGAGCTGGCGCTGACCTCAGCACCGCCTTTATGGCCTGCCCATCCGCCTCCTGCGTGACCCCACACATCAACCTCAAGCCCGCGCCAGCGAAACCTTCACCACAGAACTGCAGCCGGTGCACCTGCGCTTGAAGGTACTGACGTAGAATTCTACAGGAGGGTTGGTAATATTTAGTCATACTTAGTCATGGTGAGCACCGCACTGTGAAGAACTTGCGCATCTGCTGCGCTTTGGTGTAAAGCATCTCGTTCTAGACCTATTTTAGCTTTCTGCCTCATGGGATGCTTAGTCACAATTGGTCAGCAGCGCACCGTGAAGGACTTGCGCATCTGTTGAACTTTGCCGTGCAGAACCTCATTCTCGGCGCTCTTGACTCGCAGGTCCGCGTCAAGACTCTGCACCTCGTTCACCATCGCGCTGTGCTTGCTCTCCACGCTCGCCAGCCGCTGCAGCAGCCACCCATTAGCTTCCTCCATCTCCTTGGCCTGCGCACACATGACAACGCCGTCAGACGACACTGTCAGTAATTAGCACTCACTGTTTCAGGGGTGTTAGTTGGGAGGCTGTGGGGCATTCAATCAGCCCTGTCTTGGCTGCCACAATGTATCTATACATATATAGCTCTGAGCATCTTCCATCTCTCTCTGGGATGCTCTGTCTTTGGGGGACCAGGGTGATCACTCTGGGATTAGGCCAATGCTTCTGGGTTCTGGGATGAGTTTCTGGTTCGCCCGGAACTTTCTGCCATCGTGACTGGCACTTTTTACTGGGCAGTTTATGCATTCCTGGGATTGCGCATAGACATTAAAGAGTGCTGTCTGCGAGACCACGACCTGATTATTCTTGTAATCGCTTGATTTCACCTGCATGGGAAGGGTCAGGGAAATCATGCACAAACCCACCTTCTGCGCCATGTCATCGAGCAGGTCAAGCCGCCGAGCGCGCACGCGCCGCGCTGACTCGCGATTAGCGATCCGGCGCAGGATCCGACGGCGTTCCTGCAAAGTCGGTAGTTGCTTCTTGGGGGAACAGAGAATAAAGCAAACGAAAGGACAGCAAATTCCAGAGGAGAAAGGATTGCCTCTCAGCGTAGAAAGACTATACAAACATCTCTCGGCCCAGGAGCCCTGAGAGTAATGCAACTCATGAAGGCATTGCAAGCGCACAGTGGGTAGAAAGGGCTGCCTTGCACTATATCCAAAGCTCCTCAGACGAAACAAACATCTCGCGGCCCAGGAGCACTGATGATCACATTACATGCATGCAGCTAAGCGCTCACTTGTTGTTGCGCCAAATTGGCTTCAGAGAGCCGCTGAGAGAGTGCCCGCTTCGTGAATATTCAGTTCATTGTTCCGCACCCGCAGCAAAATATCATTTTGTGATCCCTTGGTTCTAAAAGTGGCAGGGGAGTTGAAGAAACCCTGCCTGCGGCGTCAGGTCCGGCGAGTCGGGGTCCCCGCAGTACGCGATTGGCCGCCCCACTTTCCGCTTCTCCTTGGGCTGCGCGCAATCACACAATCCCTCAGGGGACGCATATTATTCATGACAGCATGCGATTTGTCTTCCTGCCTTTTCTACCAGGTGATGTCATGTTCAGCAGGATGTCACATTGGCACCTTCAAAGTCCATTGAATCTATCCATTGGATTACACTTTGTCAATGTTGGTCCCTTGTGCTGCGACTAGATTTATTCTACCCTTAGGAACCCCTTCTTGATAAGTACCCTCTCTCTTGGACCATGAAATGCTGTTGTGCCTGGCAAATAGAGTGCAGGCTACACCATCTGCTTCCTTATATAGCTGCCTGCTTACTGAGCTTCTCGGATGCGCACTGCTCTAGGCCAGGGTGCTAGCCCAGTGAGAGTGCATGCTGCACCCAAAGATGTGCTCACAAAGGCATGCAGCAAGGCCCACAAAATTCTGGTTTTTCTCATGAAAGGCTGCGGTGCATAGGAGATTGAAGGGGGCAGCAGTCTGGACTGCTCTGTTTGCTTCTTACTGTGGCTGCCTCCTGGCTGGGTCGCTGATCAGTCAAGACTCCCAGTGTAGAATGTTATTAAGATGACTGCAAGCTTGCATGGCTGGCTTTGTCAAGACGTTCACCTGCCACTGACCTTCTGTGCTGCACATAGCTTTTGATGAGGCAGTAGGAAATGGGCAAGCTTCGCAACGGCTTCCCAAACCTCTTTAATTGAATCAGTCAGGAAGGTATGGCGTGTAAGGAAGCTGGGCCAGGTAAGAGCGTGTGCCCCACCAAAGGTGTGCTCACAAAGGCATGCAATCAGGACTTTATCTCCTCTGACACTGCTATGGTGCGGAGCACAGCAAGGGCGGACACACTGTTGCTGACTGCTGCGGCTGCCTGTGAGTTGTCAGCTGCAGAGTGCTCTGAGCCCACAAATGTCCAAGGGTGCTCTGCCTGTTTGAGACTGGCATGACACTGAGGGTGGGCGGGCAACAGTGCCAAGTGCCCAATGTCAGACTCTACAGCTATGCGTGTGCCTTGCCTTGCATCTGCACCTTCGGCAAGCAAGGCTGAGACCTGTTTTCTTCAAGGTTCTTCTACTTCAAGGACCTGCTGCTCGCTGGTGTTTGGAGAGAGACTCATATGAGGAAGAGACTCATACTTAGAGAGTGACTCCTTCGCATGAAGCATGTCCTATCGGTGCACACCTGAGCCCTGGGCTGTTATCAGACCTGGGTGCGTCATCCCTGGGCTTTTGAAGCAGGCAGCAGAGCTGCCATCCATGAGAGTACGAGGACTGAGATTGGTTGCAAGGAGAACACGATAGAAGCAACGGCCCAGCTAGATGGCCTATCGCCAGGGTTCTTGAGTCAGCAACAAAGGAAACGGGTATCCGGCGAGCACGGGTCCCCCACCTTCCTGTCTTCGCTGTTGTGGTTGCGCAGGGATCGACGCAGCTCGCTGTCAGCTGCCGAAGCACTGCCCAGGCTGCCGGCTGGATCCCTGGCGATCGTGAGCTGATCGGTCCCCAGGACCCTCAACTCGTGGAATTCAGCCGCTGTCCGTTGAGAAGACATCGGACTTTCCGTAGATGGCAGGCCGTGCAAGAAACTGGTCGGGCTCTCATCTGCCCGGTCCGCCGTGCCCCCGATTCCGTCCGTCGTGCCAGGGATGCCAGTAGTTACGATGGGTGCCTTTAGGTAGCGTCTTCCTTGGACCCCCTGCATTGAAGCGTTCACAACATTCTCAATAATCCAGAACCCACTTTGCAATGATCGTAGCAATGACCTACTGGCTCAATGAACAACTGAAGAATCGTGTCCGATGCACATATCACCCTTGCAGAAGCCGCCAAATTGCAGCAGTGAGATGCATTGCAAAGTACAAGTAATCATTGCAATCTGTGATTCTTCTTGGAGAAGTTCTTGTCGAATCGCTCCAGGACAGCAGACACTTCCGTCAAACAAGACACTATGCCGAAAAACGGTGAAGCAGGTACAAGCAAGCAGGCTGAAGCACTTGGCTGAGCCTTGTTGGAGATGCGGCGAGGAAGACTCCCAAGATCAAGATCACAACCCACCTGACTTTGACCGGTCAAAGGCAGACTTTGGTCTCCAACTCCATCGGCCAGAAGAAGGTCAAGGTCGACGAGGGGCACCGATGGAAACCGCTGGAACTGTTCTGAAGTTTTCATTTGGTAGCCCTTTGAGGCACCAGTGTGCTGAGGGCGACAGTATCCGTGTGTAATGCTGCAACAAGTGCGGAGAGTCAATGCCTAGTAGTGCGCTACACTCTCGGGAGCCGTAGGCCCTTCGACCACAACGCACTTCCTGAGACGCTTTACAGTGCCTTAGATCGACGAAAGAGCTGTTGTGAGGCGTACGCAGTACATCAATGAACGGTCTTGATGATAAAGCAAGGTAGAATGTGGGGACCACCGATCCGTGTGAAATGTGTCCCAGCCCTCCATGTTGGATCGGTCATATCCTCGGTGCCCCTGAGATATTTTGTGCGCTGTGGTGACTGTGGAGGCAACTCTAGGCCGAACTTCAGACATTGGAAGCCTCCCATATGACCCAAAGCAATTTTTAGTACTGCGTGTGAGTGCATGCATTGCTGGCAAAAATTTCATGTCCACTGGGCAACGCATACAACCTGTGCACCACGTGGTTCAACCACATGCAATTGGCAAAAACCGCGATGGTTAGAGGCCGGTAATACCGCCGTGAATAGAAAAGGCCCAGGCTTGCATGTACCTGTCGCTGTGCATACATGCAGACTGCCATAGTCTGAATTGTCGCATGGCGACACCATCAACTGCCGGGCCGGCTGGGTGGGCGGCAGCGGTCCTCTGCCGGGCACCATTTCACATGACTGCATCATCGCCATTCGAATTCGATTTCTGCACACCCCCCATAGTGACTAGAGTGATCAATTACGTACAGAGCTCAAAAAATTTGTCATGCACATCCGCGTGCACGCAGAGCTGCAATTCATTGATGGTCAGTGCCAGTGACTGACCTAAAGCCGCACATGCAATATGCAGCTGCAGGTCAGTCAGTTTGCACCGGCCGGTCAGTCCGGTCAGTCCGCACTGGCAAACACATACACAAAGGGTTTCTCAAGACATGCTGCAAACTCGGCTGAAAAGGTGTCAATGACTGCAACCGCTGATGCCAGAACTAATTTTAGATGATTGTTACCGGTATCGTAACGTGTGACATCACTGCGTTCAAAATCGGCCACTGGCAGCTCCAAAGTGCCCGGATTAGAACAATGCTTTTGTCGAATAGCGGATGTGACAAATCTTTGACAGCGCAGCCAGGGAGAAAGGTGACTGTCAGGCTGTACCAAGGCTCCACTTTTAGATCCAAAATTCGCGGCTAGCCAGCGCTGATCAACTGCGCTGGATGCAAAAGTCCTGACGCCTGTCTGGGATAGAATGCGCATGCAGACGAGGCGCAGTTCAAATTGGCGGCGCATGCAAACGACGTTGCTCAGAACCGGAGAGTGTCGCAAATAGGCAGGGCTTCCTGTGAAGGTCAAAGAGCCGCTCCGCACAGAACTGCTGCCGCTAGCAGCCATCCGCATGAGCTGGGCTCAAGGGAGTTTGCTCCACCAGCCAAGCTGTTCTAAGCAGCCTGACAGGCCAGGCCGCACCAAAAAATTGTGTGCGTCCCCACTGGTTCTCAGAGTTTTCATTGCCCCCGCCTGCCGGAGCAAGTGAGCACTCCAGTGTGCACCTACTTTGAGTGCCAGATGCAAGTAAATTTGAGGACTCCACAGTGCGTGATGTGCAAACAGGAGACACCGACCTTTGAGTGAACAAGATTAAGAACTACTTTAAACAATCACCACCGCTGCATGGAAAATATCAAATTATAGTATCTGACTGCACAGATATATGTTTCCTTAGGTGGTACGCCTTCTAGGAGAGATGATACTGTCTGTAGCTTTACTGAAGCTGTAACCGTCCAGGATCTGCATGCTCTCTTGTGAGATTGCCCAGATGCATTATGAAACACAAAGTGTGGCCATCTGCGGGTAATCCGTCCAAATGGGGATCCCCCAACTTCTTCCGGTTGTGGTGCACAACCACATCATCGTATCAGCAGATGCAAGACCTCTGTGCTCAGTGCGCAGCCGGTGATCTTCGAGCTCCCAGCAGGCACACGAAAGTCACCGTAACATCGTGGGTGTACGACATGTGCAAGGAGGAAACGTCAAGAGATGATCATCGTCTCAAGGACGTACTCACTTGAAGATACGCACTCACTTTCTCCGCCTCGCCTGTGTCTGCAACCGGCGGTGAGCGACCTTCGCTGCAGGATTTTACGCAGAATTTCTGCTCATCTGAAGAGACCAATCTGCATCGTACTGTCTAGACAAGATGGATTCTATGTTAGCGAGTCACTTTGCTGGCCTGTCCACACGGGGCAAAGTGATGGCGGAGTACGTCTGGCTTGGAGGCTCCGGCTCCGACCTGCGGTCGGCGACCAAGGTGCTGTCGTTCAAGCCCAGCAGCCCTGCGGACGTCCCGCTCTGGACGTGTGATGGCGTGGCGACTGGTCAGGAGGACGGCCCGTGCTCCGTCGTGTATCTGAAAGCCCGCAGTATCCACCCCGACCCGCTAAGGTGCTTCGAGCTCAGAGGGCGCTTCCCAGCCCTGCTGAATGCTGCCGCCAAGGGTGGCTTTGGCCCCGCACATGTGCTTTGGTCAGTGTATCATTCATTTGACGCCAGCCATGCGAGCTTGCAGGCTGCAGCGGCTGAAAAGTACAGCTGTGGGGTTCTTCCAGGGGTGGCGACCACATCCTGGTGCTCTGCGACACATTCCAGGCTCCCTCCGTGGAGGCGGACGTGGGCTCGCCAGAGCTCCACCCACATCCCACGAACAATCGGGCGCCCTGCGATCGCGTCATGCGGGCGGCAGCGGCTAGCCAGCCAGTGTTCAGTTGCCACCAGCAGTATACACTGCTGAACCCAGAGACCTGCTGGCCAATAGGTGCTGCCTCTGCCCTGCTGCCGTGCATTCCTGTTGCTAATCTGAACGCCTTGGCGCAGTCTTGCATCGCTGAGTAGCGGGAGTCAGCTTTATTTCTGCTCTGGGAAATGCGCTGGATTGCAGTAGCAAAAGCGTGTGAAGGGTTATGTGCGACCCCCAGGGGCAGTGCGAGGGCATTTTTAAATGCGAAATGTGGTCATTTTGAGATGCTTGGCTGTATATTGCGCTTTGCAGGATGGCCGGAGCGAGCCACTGGAGCCACATCGTCTAGCCAGTCTTATTGCGGCACAGGCACTGGAGTAGCTGTGGGGCGAGAGTTCGCGGAAACGCACTTGAGATCATGTCTGCATGCTGGCCTCCGTGTATCTGGTGAGTTCGCTATTCCTGGGCTTGCTTGGCCCAAAATTATCGCTTATGATGGCATCTTTTGCAAGAATGGTCCAGTGGAGTTGCCACCCTAGAGGCGATCAGCCGATGGTTTCTGTATCACGATGCTTTGTTGTTTGTTGCAATCCTCCAATCTGCAACGTGGTGTGTTGCAAGATCCTATCTTGAATGAGGTGCTCCAAAAGCTCCTGCAGATATTTTTCTCGTACTTTGCAAGAGTTGTTGCAAGATAGTGATTGACGTTGGTGCTGAAGGATCAGGTATATTCGGTGGTATGTTTGCAACTGCTTGGCTTGTGTCTGCTGGCTGTTCGGATGGACTTCTTCCTGGCGCACTAAACTTGCATGGCTTGCTTGCAGGAACAATGCCTGATGCTGTACCCGGTCAGTGGTCCTACCAAGTGGGACCATGTAGGGGCATTGAACTAGCGGACCACCTATGGCTATCACGCTACCTATTGCTGAGATTGTCTGAGCAGTTCAAGGTAAGAGCTGACCACAAGTGCTGAAAACAGCTACAATATAATGAGGGATGTGTGACATTCTGGCACTTGGCATGTTTGTTTCCATGCATTGGAAAGGGCTGAATTCTGTCATGTTAAGGCTCGAACAGCTGTGTTGTCATTCTTTCTATTCATGTGTTGGAAATAACCACAGTGTTTTACTTTCTGAAGGCTGGTTTTTTGCTGTGGTAGGTTATTGCCTCTACAGACCCCAAACCAGTGCCAGGGGATTGGTCGGGCAATGGAGCGGCAGTGAAATTCAGCACTAAGGAGACTAGGGAGGAAGGCAAGGGCTGGTTTGTCATCCAAGAACATCTCAGGCGCCTACAACATGTAAGCCACCCCTCAGCAAAATCCAACTTGTTGTTCCACAAATCAAGCGGACGTTTGCATGACGTGAAGACTCTTTCGATGCATCCTTGCACATGTTTACCAAGTTGCTTGTGCTCATGTGAGCAAGGACGTGTGCACAAATGCTGAAGTATTGCCCATTTGCTGCTGATCTTGTTTTAATGCATGCATGAGCTGTTCAGTTGCGCGCTGCATGCAGTGCCACATGCAGCACACGGTCTAGGGACCTCCACATTGTGTCCACCGGTTCCCTTGTCATGAGGCTGACTGGGCATGTGCACGCACATGCAGACGCACATGCAGCACATGGTGGCATATGGCGTGGGCAATGCCAAGCGCTGGCAGGGGCCCTGCAGCAAGGCAGCTCAGAGCGGCTCTCTGCTTGACTTCACTGTGGGCATGGAGAACAGAAACGCCTCCATTCGCATACCCCACTCTGTGCTCCTGCAGAAGCGCGGCTGGTGCACCCCAGCTTAATAATCCCCATGCGCATGTGTTTCACTCATTCCTATGGCTGTTGGTAAGCTCATGACCTGCATTTAGGGCACCCTGTTACAGCATGCATGGCAGATATGTGCGAATGCCAATCCTGACTCGTTGTGTTGTGTCTTATCAGGTACGAGGATCGGCGACCTTCTTCAAACATGGATCCTTATCTGGTGACCATGCTGCTAGTGTGCACCACCCTGCAGATGCCATTGCCCATGACTGATGGCAAGCCTGCAGCTCCGTGCGCCAGGTGAGACACTAGGCACTAATCGAACATTGTTGCAATCTGCATGCCCCACTGATGTTTCCAGTTAGGCAAAATGCTGCCTTGAGGCCTTTTGTGTTTTTTGGACTATCCTGCCTTGGGGGGTCCGGTGTGTGTCCCGCTGCTGTGGCCTTACAGGATGTTGTACCTGGATAACGTATGCTGCCAAACGTATCATGTCATTTTTAGTGCCCTGAGCTTTCTCTTCTCTTGGACAGCTTCCCTCTTAGCTATCATGCTGATGCCTCCTTTCAGCCCCAGATGTGGTGCTGCACCACCGGCTGTGGCATCGAAGCCGTACAGTTATTCACCAGTGACTGCTTTTGCTTGTAGTGGCACTGGCAACAGTGGCGTCTTGTTCTCATTTGTTGCTCAAGCACCATCCGTCCTGCAAACTTTCCCCATTTGTTGCTTAAGCACCATCCGTCCTGCAAAATCTCCCCTCTTTTTGTTGCAGCAATGTGCTCTGAACCCTGCAATCTCCTGTGAGAGAATTATAGTCCCAAATTTGCTTCCTGTCAGTCCCAATTGTGGTGCTGCAGCTTCTTACGCAAGGCAATTCTGATGTATGCAATCGCTTTGGCCCAGGAAGCATTGAAGTGACTCATTAATGAGTGTGTTTGCTGCAGTGGCACGGCCAACAGCGGATCAGCCAGCGAGACAATTTCGCGCGGCAGCAGCAGCATCTTGGATGAGATCGATGACCTGGATGATTTTGCGCCAGACACTCCCCCGCAGAACTTTGGCCTGCTCGCAGCCGAGTGCAGCTCAGAGAACGATCCCCACACAGACGAGTCTCACATGTGCCACTGAGGACCGCTGATGTGTCTACCCTGCGCGCAGCTGATCTCAGCCTTGGCATCGGCGCTCACTGCCCAGCAGCTGCAGCTGATTGCAGCATTTCATCTGGCGGCCACTGCTGAAAGGGCAGCTGCAGCTGATTGCAGCCTTGGCATTGGCGCTCACTGCTGAAGGAGCAGCTGCAGCTGATTGCAGCCTTTCATCTGGCGGTCACTGCTGAAGGAGCAGCTGGATGCAGCCTTGAAAATGTGGCCCAATAACGCGAGTGTGCTGCTGGCAAGAGCAGCCGGGGAGATGGGCATTTACTGCTTCTGATCCAGGTGTTTGGAGAGGGTTAGAAGGTGAGGCAGGGAGCAGAACTGGTGCACATTCTTTGTGAGCCCCTTGCCCCAAGGGGCTTGGGGGAATTGGGTATTTTGATGGGTCTTTCTTTGCGGGCGTATTGGCGTGTGCAGCTGCATGCAACTCTTATGCGCTTATGGTCTATCACCCTGAAGCTGTATTGGGAGAAGCTAGAAAACGAAGTTTGCCAATCTTGGATGTTACTATGAAATAACAAGCTGCTGCGAGGTTCTTCAGCATCAAGGGCCCTGCATTGCGCAGAGAAGTGCCTAGCTACTAGGCCTCTTGATCTAGGCTACAAAAGATGCATGACTTTCACGTGTGGGTCTAGGTAAGAAGGCTGCAAAAGCCTTACAGCCCTTATTGCCACTGGGGCGATTTACTCGTGCTGAAGTAAATCTCTCCGGAAGCGCACGTTCACAGCTCTCCCCAGGGATGTGTAGTCCACTGAGGGGTGGAGGATTTTGGCTGGGAAGGGTCTGGTGTTTTGAGGGGGCCTCTAGTGGTTCTGCTAATCGGCACAAATAACTTAAGCCTTGTTTTCGTTCTTTGCCATCAGCAACACAGACCATCCCTAGAGTGGTCATTCCTCTCAGGCGCTCATAGTTCCTGTGTGTGGTCACCCGGTGTGCTCGCAGCATTTCCCCACGTGCCTGTGAGGTGGAGGGCTATAACTCTGTTCGCGAAGGGGCCAGTGTGTTAGAGTCAGAAGGTTTTGATCTGGACAGACAGCAAAAGAGGGAGGGAGTTCTTCGCTTTTAGAGTGCAGTCATCTCAAGCAATCCGGCAGGTTGAAGTGTGTCTTGCCAAGGCTTAAATAATGGCAGGCTGCATGCAGGCTGTGTCATTCACTTCCAGGTTTGACGCCTTCGGTCTATCGTAGTCAGCACCATATTTTCCCCATATTTAATTCTTTCCTAAAAAGGGGTCGATAAATAAGACCCTGAAATGCAAGATAGGAATTCTATGACAATTTTTTGAGACCAGTTTTGGAAAGCTCTCGCTGAGCTCGACCCACTGGTGGTGATGTTGAAACATCATTTCAAGGAAGGATAAACTCTTAAAATCAGGTCTACAACCTTTCACGCATTTTGAAGGGTGCAGGAATCATGGTGCTGACTATGGTATTCCTGCACATTGCTGTCAGGTGTCTGTGAGCATGTTCCAAGACTAGTCTAGCGACTGGATCTGAGCTGAGCGCCAGTCGTTGCCCAAATGCAGCAATGCTGACTCATACTTGAGCAACTTTGACTCCAGTGACTAGATCCTTTGCATATGAACATAGTGAGCTTGGGAGGGCCCCGGGGGGCAGTCTTAGGTGGCATTTTCCAGGTGGCACATAAAAATGAAATGTGTTCCAGTTTGCAGGTTACAGAGGGCTTGGTGGTAATTCAGCTTTATTATAAGGGTTGTCCGGGTTTTCTGCACCAACAGACAGACCTGCAGTGCAATCGCTAGCGCTGTGGTGATTTGAATTAAGTTGTGCTCTTGAAATGTGGACAATGAGCGTTTGCCTCCTAACCTTGGGGTTGCGGAGGTACTGTTCAAGTTTTTCAGGCTGAGGTATCTTGAAGCCATCAACCCAGGAGGGCCTGAGTCTGCTGCGCTACTTTGATTCAGGGACATGACTCTCTCTAGTCATGGAGACTGTGTGGTGCTTCATTTGCCTACGTGCTAGAAAAGGGCCTTTTACAGACCTCTCGGGGCGATTGTCATTGCACGCGCTCACATGAAGCTGCTTCTGCACTGGTGTGCAGTTTTATTTTTTTTTAACTTTTTTGAGCGGGTGTCACACGGCCTATTATTAGGCCAATATTGGGTGGTCAGTCAATCCAGTGGTGTACCTTCATTGCTGCCCTGCATCGGCTTGTAATCATGGGGTGAAAAGTGTGCAGAATCACCAGCATGCTTCCCGGGCACGCACCATAGCAAATGCATTCAGAATACATGCATGCAGTATACTACCACATGATGCTTGGATGCTACAGCGCTGTGGGGAAGCACCATTGGCATATGCTGCTCAGCCTCAGAATTGGAAGTCCCAATGGGTGCAGGCCTGTCAGAGTGATTTTGAACCGGTTGAACTTGGTAAGCCTCTAATCTGCAGCTTTTGCAGGTCTCAAGAAGAGGTGCCCTTGCTAACGAAAATCTCTTGGGGGAAACTGGAGATTCACCCAGTACAGATCTACCAGAGAGTCGCTCTCAGTAGGGACCTTATCTTGGAGCGACATCATCTGCCTTCACGGACATCAACGATCCCGTGGAAGTCCAGCAATTAGGGATTGTTTATGCACATCGACCGAATACGTGCGATCCAACCTTTGATATTGTCTTGATCTCCCTGAAGGCCCAAACCAGCAGGCTCGGATCTGCACGCTGAACTTGTCTGAAATCATCACCTGTCCCAAAAAATTCGCAACAAATTGTGCATGAAGCAAATTTGACTCTTCAGCACGTTGCTCCTTTGACCTGTTGGAACGGCCCTTCAACGTGAAAGCAAACGAGTGCTGGCATGTGATGTTCACTTTTCGACGCCTGAAAGTAATGTTGACATCATGTATGCGCCTGAAAGATCTCACCACCTGAAACTAGATGTATTCCCATTGAACAGTTGTTCACATGGAGTCCGCGTCCGGCCGCTCCGTCCAGGCGCCAGTTATTGATGGGAAGGGGCATGGCTTGCGCTTAATATACCAGGAGCATCCCCAGGGCCAGGACACCATCAGTAACCGATGTCTACCGCAAGTGCGAAAACCCTTATGCAACACGCATCAAAGCTGTGGATTGGGGGACTGCCACATGCTCAGTACCTGACATCTCTGCATCCAGTGTTTCAGATGGCTTCTAAGCCTTTATTCAATGGGAAAGGCGTCGCTAAAACAACCCCCTGACTTCTTCCATCTATTTGCTCATGCTCTAGACTGAAGTTGACTGCTTATCCTGGCCAGCTTGGCTCAGGCCACCCATGGGACCTCAAGGGAGCACCCAGCAATGCCAGTGATGACATTTTGGCTGATTTTGGGGTCCCAGATTCAAGAACGAAAGACAAAGATGGAAAGCACTGCACGGAACCCTTACGGGGACCCCAACATGCCCTTGTGCAGAGCCAACAAAGGTCCGGGTCTAGAGCTAGCCCCTGTCATTATGAGGAACACGGTGGATGGCGAGGAGAGAGCAGCAGCAAGATTTTGAGAGCGTGTGCACCTTGATCATCACATGTGTAATAGTCGGGACTGCTCAGCCTGATCGCAGTGTTGTGTTTCTTGCGCAGGATGCCACCATACAGGCAGAGGGCCGGTACAGGCTGGACGTCCTGGGTGAATTCACTGGGCGGGCCTCGCGGCGCCGGCTTGACCCAAAATTGGCGTGGACCGCTGAGCTGGAGCGCAGCAGCCGCCAGGGGTGGACACATCAGCGCCAACTGCGCGCCAAGCTGGCGCATGACAGTGACCGAGTGCAGCTTGACTGGGAGGCCTGGCAGAGGTGATATACTGTAGCACTCATTCTAAAACCCGCAACAAATAAGTTTCTTCTGACCAGGAAGTGTGGATAATTATCTCCTAAAAGGTAAAATCTATCAATACGTGAGAGCAGATTTGGAAAGCTCTGGACAAACCCAATCCCATGGAGCATGACCCTGGTGGTTTTGGATTCAGGAAGACCCCTAAAAATTGCTTTGAAAAGTTTCCTGCGCAGCCGGGGGTGCGGGATTTAGAATGAGTACGGTACTACAGTAGCTCGACACCACTGTGGCATTGTATTGTTGTTCTAAGGATTACCACAGCACGGTGTGAGGCTTTGGCTGTCTTTTTAGAGCTAAGCACAGAGATCCAAGCACAATTCTGGCTCAACAATTGCCGCTCTTTTCAGCCATCCCAGGCCAAGCGTTGCAAGAATTTCAAGCCGACCCTTGCTAAGACACGGTCGAGGCATATGTGGTGGCTGCCCCTGCAGAGCATTGCAAAAATCAGTCTGAATCCTGGGACGGCACAAGCATGCACTTAGATAGTTTTATGCAAACTGTCATGTAATGGCCAGTGCTTGTTCCCCTTGTGTCTGAGGGTGATTATTGCCGCAGGACAGGCGGTACGCGCTGCTGCTGGGGGGATTCATAGAGGAGAGCGCAGCGCTGAGGCTTAGCGCATACAGCGCGCCCGACGCTGAGCTGTCCGCCAGCGTGGACATTGGCGGCACGCGACTAACCGGCACGGTGAGTCACTCCTGACAAAAACCAGTCCTGTGCCATTCATGCAAACTTTCTCAGCGCGCATTGCACATCCTGCAGGATTTGGGTGCGAAGCATTGAGACCTGGATGGCCAAGACAGCATTATATTTTCGTGAACATCCTGTGAGAACTCCTGCAACCTGCTTCCTTGCCTTCACTACTTTTCTTGTTTTGGCAATGCATGCCTTGGCTGTGTGAGGCCCTTATACAATTCAAGCTCAGGCTGCGTAAAAAGAGGAAAGCAGGGTCATTGACTCAGCTTGCAGAGACGCTGTCTGCCACAAGAGCAGTTTCACTTCATTAGAGCTGTGTGATTCGCACTCTCGCACATTAATGATCACGTGTTGTTGGCATGTGAGCGCAGGTGCGGACAGACCTGCACCAGGGTTCCTTATTGGAGCTGCAGACAGGCCCCAGTGCCAGATCAGGCAATGATGCCACGTCAGCGGTCCACATCAGCACCAAAGCAGGCAACGGCGCCACGTCAGCAGGCACCAATCCTGGCAGCCCCATCCCAGTCAGTGTTCACGCCAGCACAGATGGCAAGCGGCAGGCTGTAAATGCAGCAGTAATTTCGCAAGCCGGGAGCACTGAAAGCAGGAGCAAGGACAGCGGGAGTATGCAGAAGGGGGTTGATAGCGCGATGGAGGGGTGTGCAAAGGATAGGGGCAGGGGAGCTGAGGTGAATGGCAGGGTAGACGCCTGTTTTGGCGCGGCAGGGGAGTGCCTGATCGAACGCCTGAGCCGCCTCTCAGCCACCGGCACTGCCCAGAAGGTTAGCCAGGTGCGCTTTGAATCTTACTGAAAATTGCTCCAGGCAGTGGAGTGCTGCCTTGAGCAGTTTGATGTTGCCAATCTGAGGGCTCTCACAAGCAGTTGGATCCCCTCTGTGTGTAAGTTATTGCTGTATTAATCGGTGCACAAGCAGGAAATCCCGGACAAGAAAGTGGCCCACTGAGCAGTCAGGGCAAAGGTTGCTGTACCTCAAAACCTGTGCTGTGCCCAGAACGCCTTCTGGGCGGAAAGAGAGCGTCCATTGATTTGCAGCAAGGGTATATGTTTTGAGAGCGTGCCTTTGCGGTGCAGGGGGCTGCGAGCCGTGGAGCGAAGGATAATGCAAGAGTGGGCGAGAGGGTGACGAACCCGCTGCAACGGGTGCGCACGTACGTGGCGTTCCCTTTCGGCGCTCAATCGCGCGGTGGGTGGCGGCTGGAGCTGCGTCAGCGCCTGGGGCGTTCCCTCCATGTCGATGCGCGACTGAAGGGTGCGTCAGCGTTTGTGTTATGTGTTGGTCCTTGGTAATCAAGGGCCTCAAGGAGGGCGTTCCCTCACCTGCACACGTGCCCCAAGCGTGCGTAAGCCAGTCTACTCAAGCTCTCAGGAAAAGCCCATATGCTGGACTTCGGGTGTCCTTTCTATAAAACATGCTAGGCTCTCGACAAGGCGCTCTTGAAGCGGCATAGCGCTGCAGATGCCGGCGCAGTTGCAAGCCCGCCGTTCCTCTTTTTCAGGGCCCAGGGGCCTCAGATTGTCCCTGGTTTGTCACGACAAGAGGCGCTGCAAAATAAGAAGGCCCTGCAAAGGACTTTGAGGCTGTGTAGATAAGAGACCCCTGGGCTCTGCGTGCTTGGGAATGTGCTTCGAACCAGGGAGTTATTCGAGAAAAACTTTTAGGATCACTCCCCTTGTTCATACTAAACTCACAGGGAGTCTGCTTGAAACAGGCGGCCAGGTGAAGCTGAGGGAGGGGGATTTGCTGGAGGGCAGCGGCGTTATCAACCACGGCAGCCCTAAACCCGACGCCTCATCAGGCAACGGCGCGGCAAAAGCTCCTGTTGCCCCAAGGGGCGCGCTGCAGGGTTTTTTGAAACTCGCCGTGCAGCGGGAGGGAACGCCGTGGAGCACCTCCCTGGACCTCGGCTCAAAATCTGCAGGTAAGGCCACATGCACTGACTCAGCGCTCGCATTTGCAGGCTTAAAATGGGTGGACCCTGTGACACACTGCAGTGCTCAGCGGGCTGCTGAGTTGAACTTTTGCAAAGTGCAGAGAATGCAATATCATGGTGTGCAGCTGGCATGAGCAAAAACAAGCAGATGGTTGGGGGCGGAGATCTTGACCCTTGAAGCAGGTTCTCCCGGGGGGGGTTTTCACTGGAAATCCTGGGAATATGTGGTCTACTTTGCAGCATGTGCATGCTTATTCTTGGTATGACATACTTGTACATTATTCAGCGGAACGCCTGCCTAGAAGAGTACTATCTTTCTCCAAAAATTAGTAATTAGTAAGGTGCAATGTGTGATTGATTGCAAGCTTTTGAGCATAGTACATTGGCAGCATCATGCAGCATGCAAGAGCTGTTCAAATCACTGATGAGCCATAGTCAGTATTGTTGTTGCAACGAGGGGGCGTGGATTCACCTTTCACATGCTTGACCTCTGCCTCCTTATTCACGCCCCGAGCTTCATCCGGGCGTCTGAATGTTATTTCAATCTGTTTATGCAGGTCCTGCAGTGACGTGCCGGTGGCGCAAGCAAGGGACCCAGCAGGAGCAGCCGGTGCCGCCACATCAGCGCACCACATCATCCGGCGCGGGAGGAAACGCCATGTGGCATTCCTGGCATCTAAGCAGGCTCGAGGTGACTCACCATTATTATTTGGTATGTGAAAACTAAACAGCCCAACAGCATTGGAACATCAGCTGCCAGCAGTATTTGTAGGACAGGGCCTTCTACGATGTGATGCCTTGAGAAGCATGTTTTCTCGATGGGAAGCACAGCATGTCTGCAGTCCAAAATGCTCCCACACGATAGGATATCGCTGATGGGGCATATCATCCGGGATTGCGCGAAGTGTGTGAGAGAGTCGGAACGACATCATCTCAGCAGCGTCTGCTGGGCTCTTTTTTGCGCAGGTTGCGAACAAGATCGATTCATCTACTTGGAAATTGAATCAGATCATCAAGGAGCAGTCGTCACGTGACGCCTTCATTTTATGACGAGGGTGGCAAGGTCAACCATGCCTTTGGCATGCTTGCCACCTGTCTCCTTATTCACGCCCCGGGCTTCATCAGGTCGTGTTTTCTGGGTATTGTCATGAGAAGAAATCACTGTGCTGCACATAGTTGCACCATACGGATTCGGACATTCGGCATACGGTGAATATTCGGTCGTATATTCGGTGTTTTGGGCCAAAATAGGCCGTTTTTGACCGTATTCCGTATATTTTTATACCGTATGACCGTATATTCGGCCGTATATACGGTCCCCAAAAATTGTTCTGACCGAATGGTGCAACTATGGTGCTGCAGGTGGCGGCCAGAGAGGGCGCTGAGAGCTGGGCAGATCCCTGGCTGGAGGCAAAGGCAGTGCTCAAGGGCTGGAGCCACCGAGTGGCGAGCGCGCAAGCAAAAGTGTTTCTGCCCCTTTAGAACATTGCAGCTGCCACAGAGAAGTTGGAGTCCGGCATCATTTTGAAGTCAAAGGAGCCTCCTTTATTTGAAAGAGAAATGCTGCTGCTGAGTTTGTTACAGGGCAAACACACCCGCTTGGCTGACACAGCATCAATATCATATTTTCCAGGGATAACTGCAGACTCCGAATGAGGAATGAGCGGTATAGCCAACAAAGAACTATGTTGCGGCCTGCCATGCGACCTGCGCTGAACTGAACGTGCTATTTTGGCTTCGAGGTCTGACATTAATATATGTGGAGCTCTCCATTCGTTCTGGTTTTATACTTTCCACCAAATACAACGTCAACTTTGCAAACTCATGGTCTAAAAGTCACAGCTTCAATGAACATTAGTTATGGCAGATGGTAAGTTGGTCTCTGACTATTTTGTAACGAGACTGAGAGCAGCCATAAGCGAAGATCAGCATAGACAGGCTTGTGAGTGGGCTCCAACAGCGTGAAACAATGTGAAAGAGGAATGCATCGTGAAATGTTGGCGGAAGGGAGGTATCCTGTCAAAGTAGGGGTGACATCATACCTACAGCATCATTACATCAAAATCGCCCAGCACATTGCCGATCATGTACAAAGCCAGCTATGCTACACGCAGCAATGTTTGCCACAGCTGCTGTAGTAGTTTCTCCATTCCATGCACTGCTTTTTCTCTGCTGCCAAAGACACCCTACTGATTGCGCAAGAGCAACAATTCCTCCTCCCGCAGCTGCTCCTTCTTTCTCCGCAGCTGCTCCTCCTCCCTCCGTAGCTGCCTGAGATCCTCTCTCCAGAATTCTGGCTTCTCAGACTCCAGCTTCTCTTCCTTCTGCTCGATGCGGTCAATCTGCAGCTCAACAGTCTGCAGAGCTGCCATCACAGGGGCCATCTCTGGGTCTGGGCTGGGCACTGCTCCAGAGACCTGCAGTGAAGTCAAAAACTTGTCTGTGCCGATGTTGCGCCTGGCTAGCGACATGTTGATCTCATGTGCGGCAATTCCAGCTTGCAGAAACAGAAGCTATGACAGATCGGGCAGATGCTGGAACTCACCTCGCTGCCTTGACCTTCTGGTAGTGCCCCAAAGTCTCCAGCGGCCTGCAGAATGTGCATAGCGTACAGGTGCGCAGCGGAAGAGGCAGTCACCAGAGCTTCACACCTCTCTCCATGCAGCTCTGGAGGCAGGTCCCTGCTCCAGTCTGCATGGAATACTATTCTCAAAATTAGGACTGCCGCAGACTGTGGCTTGCTTTTCGCGATCCCATCAGTGAGCAGCCTGGTGCACCTGTATGGCATCTCTTACATGTTTTGTACGTGTTGGGATAGGTCGATTTTCACAACCCCCCCCCCCCCCCCTGAGAACCGTGCATGGGCTCGCTTCAGGAGTTGTTTCAGGGGAAAGTCTAGCAGATTTGAAGAAAATGAGCATACCCAAGTGCGTTCCATACCTGAAACTGGCCTGTACGCCAGCAGATTAGCCGCAACCATGGCCTCCAGCACTTGGTGGCCATCTGAGCCCAGCAAGAGTATGGCCTTGGAGAACTGCAAAGCGTGATGCTCATCCGCCAGCAGTGCACTTGCTATAGCAATGAACTGCCGTGGAGTCCATGGGTGGCGAGAAGACATTGCTGACTGGACATCCATGAGCAGTAAAGTCCAGATACCTAATAAAGCTGCACCAAACACGGAGCAGTCAGTGCAGCTGAATACTTTGGGAACAGACTGCTGTGACAGAAAGTGCACAGCATGCACATGATCTTGTTCCAGATACAACTAGCAAGCGCTTACATGATTCCCAGTCGCCGTTGTACTCTGCAGCAGCTGATATCAGCAGGCCCGGATTCCCACCTGTAACCTGCATTGGTAAGACAAGGAAAGACTGAGAGCTTAAATCGAGGGCCACACTTGCCTTAGACATGGAACAGACACGTTCTCGCCCACCTGGAAAATTGCTGACCACTGGTCATTAGTAAGCTCTGTAGTATGGCCATAGCCGGGAAGTGCATAATTCTGCAAAAATTCACGACCCTCTGCTGCAGTGAAATCGCCGATCACTTCAATGGAAAGGAATCCTGTGTAAATCCCTGCAGCGCATAGACCTTGTCATTGCAGGATAGCGGTACTGCTGAACGCCGAGGTTTGGGACTGTATCAGGGATGCACCTTCATGTATGGGAGAGTCTCACTCTTGGAGAGCCACGGCAGAAAACTGTAATCTGACGTGGCAAGGATGACATGGCACTGCTTGTCCTGCTTTGTCACCTGCAGAAGCCAGCTGCTTGTCAGTAGTTTGTATTGTGCTGCCAACAAAGCGCAATTTTACCTTCTGACATGCTTCACAAACAGGTGTCGGCAGGCGAGCGCGTACCCGGACAAAGAAGTTAAGGAGCGCATCCAGCTCCAGCTGCTCATTCCTGTCGTCTTCTGCCCAGGCTGTCAGCTGATTTGCTTGATCTATGCACAGCACTGGCCAAGGCATCCTCGCATCACCGCTCCTTCTATTCTGCCTGCCTTGGCTGAACTTGGCCAGGAGTTCTCCATAGGTCTGGATGATTTCGGCAAGGGCTGGGGTTCTGTCTTGCTGCCCACTGACGGCCTTTCCAACCGGATCAAGGCTGAACGTGAGGTTCCCAAAATTTGCCTTTGCCAGGTTGAACAGTCCCAGCTGCATGGCATAAAGCATTCTGCTTTTTAGATTGCTGGCTGCCTTCTGAAGGGCGCGCGCCAGATCAGCTGGCTGTGAGATTCGCTGCTCGCGCGCATCTATGTATGACACAAAGAAGCTGGGATCTGCCTCTCCTGGAATACTGGTGCGGGGCTCAGCCATGCTGCCATCGCTCGCCTGACTGTCCTGCGAGCTGCTGTTGTCGGTTGAGCTGACCTGACTGGCTTGGAACACCTCTTTCAAAAGCGCCGTTTTCCCTGAGCTCCTTGGGCCTAGGATCACCAGAATTCTGCTTGGCCTTGAGTACAGCAACCTGCTCAGGTGCTGCCGTTCTGCCCTTCTGTCAAAGAAGTCGTCTAGTGGATCCTACAAGCACCAACCATCCGGTCAGCATCTGAGTCACTTGCTAGGAATTTAAGGAATGCTAAGCATGTTGCAGAGGAGATGGTTGAGTACATGATAACGTTCAGTTGGTTGGCTGTCTCCTTCAAATACACTGCAGCGGGTCCCAATACTCTTCCTCTCAAAGAATCCCTTTGGGCTGCCCCTTCCACTGGCACAGTCTGTGGACTGGAAGAGGACTTCTATCGGAAGAAAGTCCTGACTGCTGGGGGAAGGCCTGCTGCGTCTAAGTGGGAAACCTCCTGAAGAGAGAGAGAGAGAGGCTGTACAGCTTGCAACGCTGAGCCGCGATCTGAAGGGATCGTTCTCCTGTCTTAAAATCAAACGGCAGGACAATGCAGGCCTTGCATACATGTTATCAAGTCTGCTACACGAGTGCTTGGGAACTTCCCGTCAGTCAGGGAAGGTCCACCAGATGACAAACGTGAGTGTCATTTTGGGCCTGGCAAAAAATTGGTTTTGACACCACGCACATTGAGAGAACGGACGATAAATGGAATTTGCAGCTTCGATCGGCACTGCCAGCGACGCTCATACACGTAGGTGACGCCTAGATTGGCTACCCACCACTTTATCCATGTGTGATGGGCGGCCGAGAAGACATCTCTGCTCTTCAATTACACCAGGATTGCCAGGATTTTGGTTGCGAGCGGTGGGTTTGTAGAGTCCGCCGCCACGATGCACAGCCTGGGAGCTCTCAGATCCCCGCTCCCAAGCGTGCTGCCATCCTCTCAGACTTTGCACCCACAGACAAAGCCATTGTGCCTTGGCAGACCCGCATACAGGCTCTCGAGATGTAGCACGGTGAGATCTATTGCTGAAATCCTTATTTTGACAGCCACTAGAATGCTGGCCTCTGCGCTGCTTTTGTCATTGCAGTCACTTGCAGTCAGTAGAGCCTCTCATTCTTTGTTGAGGGGAGAGCTCTGGCATACGTGGAGAGGAGTTCTGAAAACGGGGCCCGTGTTAGGAAACTGGCATGCCTAAAAAGTTCCTCACCTGACAAGCGAAAGATTACAGCCAGAAGTGCAAGATTGACTTCCCTTTTAGAAGGGGACCTTCTCGATATGTCCCTGCGACGTCAAATGTCTGTAAAGAATTACTCAACGGTCCTCATCTCGATTATTGTCGGTGCCCCAGGTGAGCGTGAGAGCAGTAGTGGATGGAGTGGAGGACAACAGCGATGAGACATGGGAGGACCCTCGTGGCAGGGGCAGGCGCGGCAGGGGAGGCCGTGACATGGGCAGGAGAGGGCCGCCAGGGCAGCAGGAAGAGGAGAAGGAGTATGCAGTGAGTTGCTGGCATCCCACCCATTCCTGCGCAACCATTGCGGTGTCCTTGCCAGCAGGCTGCTTACTTTAGAGACCTTTTTAAAAGCACGGAGAACTCCTCAACTCTTGCATATCGTTGCTTGGAAGCCTGCATAGTGGCTGCAAGGGTGTCTCTGGTCAGGAAGGCGAGTCTGAAAGGGTGACAACTAGTCAAGGCTCCTGACTTCAGCAGCTCTGTGCAGCTGCAAGTTTCTATTCCTGCTGAGCCTGTTCAAAGCTGTCAGTCAGTGCGCAGCTTATGCTGACTCTGAGACGAAAACACATGCTGTCCTGTCAGAGCTTGTGCATTACTTTTCTTGCCGAGTGTTTTTGCAGTGCTGGTATGCTGGCGGACCTGACCGCTAGATTTCTTGTTTTGCTGCAGGAGCGGGTGGTGCAGGTCTCACGCGTCACTAAGGTGGTCAAGGGAGGAAAGTCCATGAGCTTCAGGTAAGCCGCCCATGCCCATCTCCTGACGTTAACAGAATGTGCTGCAGACTCTCACACCACCTGTCTTGCCAGATTGGGCGGGGCCATCATGAGAGGATGCAGGCCAGCCAGAGTGCCATATCACAGCTGCAGCCCCTCTGGAAATTGCGTCGTTCTTATCCAGAACGAGTCGGCAGTGCATCAGGGACGATGCATTTTATGGTCTGAACTTTGGAGATCAGTGGCTTTTTGACCCAGTCTGGGTTGACTGCCCGGAGCGGTCTCAGCCAGAGGGATGTGAATGCTGTGCCACAGGAACTAGAGGGGATGTTCAACTCCACACACCGGCTTGAGACCAGGATCATCCTCACATGCTATCTGCTCTCAATGTCATGCTATTGGCTGCTGGACAGTCACTGCCCCACTCGAGCAGATCAAGCTGGTGCCTTCGGGCCATGTGGATTACAAACTGTATAAACCCTTATGTCTCCCTGAAATTTCGCCCCCGGGTTATTGCGCGCAGGGCGGTGGTGGTTGTGGGAAATGAGAAGGGCACAGTGGGAGTGGGCACAGCCACAGCCAAGGAGGTGATCGATGCAGTGCAGAAGGCGGTGGTGGACGCGAAGAAGCACTTCATCACAGTGCCGCTGACTCGTAGCCAGTCCTTCCCCCACCGTTTTGACGGCATCTTTGGAGCCGCCAAGGTCATGCTGCGGCCCGCATCGGAGGGAACCGGTGTTATTGCAGGTTCGACCTTGCATGTTCGTTGATCTGCATGGGAATTTACTCTTATGATGGAACGAGCGGTGCAAGGGAGGTCCCGTGGCAGCTGGAATGATGCCTGAGCAGCTCCTGTTGCAATGCTCCCTGGATTTTTTACCCATTAAGTGTGCGGCGCTTGGGGCTTCCCTTTGTTGTGTTAGCTGCAGTTTCAAAACGAAACGGCGTGGGGCCTTGCTGTACAAGTCGGCAGCATGCATTTCAGAGTGGGCAGCATGCAAATTGTGATGTCCACCATATTCCACTTCTCTCCAGCCGGTGCTGTATGCCTCCGGCGTCAGCTGGCAGGCATCAACCATGCCCACGGCAGCGGTTGGGCTTACAGCTCAAGGTTTCAAATCCTTCTTTTGACGTCCACTTTTTTCCTTTGTTTTCAGGCGGCGCGGTGCGCGTCGTGCTGGAGCTGGCGGGCATCAAGAATGGCTTTGGCAAGCAGCTGGGCAGCGGCAATCCCTTGAACAACGCCCGCGCGACGATCGAGGGCCTCAGAGCGCAGCGCACTCTGCAGATGGTTGCCGACGAACGCGGCCTCTCCATCGCCGACCTCATGGGCTACACGCTCGGTGAGTCATCTTTCATTGCTCATAGGTCAGTCATTGGGTGAGTCAATTCGCTCATGTAAACCCGAAGTATCATTAAAGGGTGGGATGATTGCCCATGAGCGCGGCCTCTTTATTGCCAAACTCTCGGGCTACACGTTTTATGAGTGTAACCCTGAGTCACCACCTTTTATGCTGATTGAGCGCGCCCTCTCCATTGCCAACCTTATGAGTGCCACACTTGATGAGTCATCTTTGTTGCGTAGCCTCAAGTCGTAAATTTGATTGCTAGAGGAGCCCGGACGCTTCCTGCTGGAGTATCAGCGGATGGACAGCACAGGAATAGCATGTGCACAGCTCACTCATGAGACAGTGGTTAAGCTTTTGAGGCCCTGGCCCCGAAGCTATGGCATGTTGCTACTGGACCTGGGTTGCCAGCTAGACCTGCTACATAGGAGAAATATAGGTGAACATTAGGCGCAAAGACTGGCCTGGTCGGTGATAGGGGCTGTTAGACTTTTGAGCAGACATTGAGAGATAGTACAATATAAATGCAGCAAGCCCTGACAGCTGTTCTGTGTTCGATTGTGCGCAGAGAGGAGCAGGAAGGCAGCAGAGGCGTCCGCAGAGGGGGAGATGTCAGCAGCAGTGCCCACCGCAGCCTGATGACTCACCGAGCTGACTCATTGCTGACTCATCAGGCACTCAAATTGCGGCTCTACGATTGCCTGTTGCTGAGGAATTTCGTGCTTGCTTTATCGGGCGGCGCTTTGCCCTGCACAGCCACGACAAGCCAAAGTGAAGAGTGCACCTGGAAAGAGCCAGCCATTTAAGAGGGATACTGACTGCAAAGATCGGCACTTGTGGCACATGCTGTGACTTTGCGATACCTCAACGGCTGGGCTGAATATTGTGCAGTGTTACTTTGAGAAAAGCTGGTTTCTCTCGTGTAGAGTAAGCACGGTACTTGCTACTGAAGTCATGAAGCAGATATGAGCTTTTATAGAGTGCAGCATTGTTGGGATGCAGCAATTGCTGCTTGGACTTTAAGATGCATAGAGAGAAGAAGGGTTGCGACTGTGACACACATAATGGATGGTCTGTGTTTTTCATGAGCTGATCAGCTGCAGTGACACCTGAAGGACTGTAACTGGTCATATATGGGCAGTCATGAAGTGTGCAGACCCGCATTACAGCAGTGCACTCAACACATGCAGCATCGATCATATCTTGTGCTGTGTCATCTGTGTTTCCCACACCCTTCATTCATGGGTTGACTGGTCAGTCTGCGCCGCTAAGTTGCCTGAACTGCTGGTTTGTAGACTTGCAGCAAGAACAGCTATTTACATTTCTTACAGAGTGGACACAAGTAGGTGCGGGCTGGCTCAACTGTAACAGCAAGGTACTTCAGACACTTGACAGGTCATCATATCAGCAGCAATGTTAATCACTGGCAATATTCTCTCAGACCCAGTTTCCCTTTGACAGCAGCAATGTGTCATTACCGTGTTCACTTCCAGGTTTTCTCACTTTGAGGTTCAATGACATTGTGTGCTTTCTTCATTTTGAATTCATGGTGTGCCAATTTAACGACTCTGAGCCTGCTGAGAGTAATGAGCTGAAAGAGCAAAAGCTGTTGCCTCTCCTAGGGAGACACTGCACTTCTCAGAACTTTGCTCTTCATTTTGCAGTCAGGGTCAGCTTCCCCCAGCAGGTCTGAAACATGTAAAACTCAAAATGGCAACCATTCACTTCATGTTGCAGCTGAAAACAAAGGAGAATGTCTGAACTCCATGCAGGCAGACTTCAAGCATCAGCAGCCCCCGCCGCATGCATGCAGTTCCCAGAATGAAAGTGAATGAAATCAAGTCTCTGGACCCTGAAGCTCAGATGCTAGAGCCCTCAATCCTAATGTTAGCAGCATACTTTGCTGCTGTGGTCTCGAGCCATACCAGCAGCTCGCACACCCTGCCCTGCAGCCTTCTGTGCACAGCTGCCCCAGAAGCTAACAGCAGGCAGATGTGTGACAAGGCCCACCAAAGAATGATCAATCAGAGCCGCATGCAAAGCAGCTGTGCAGCAAGATACATCAGCCTTATATGGATGTGTCATGGGGCGTAGGGCTAGGGTTAATACCCCTGAGAGAAGGGGCCCTAAGTCAGCAAGTCCGAGGCAGTTGCGCCGTCAGAGTCGCCGCCCTCAGCTTCTTCAGCTTCTGCCCCGGGGCCGAACTCGGTCTCTGTGCCGACGGGGGACACCTGCGCGCATCAAATTAGGCATATCTTACAGCCTGTTCTGGGAATTGGCCAAATACTTTCAAGACCATATTACTGTTACACGCTGCTCCTGCCAGAGGAAGGGGTGCCTGCGGACAAGCTTCGGGAAAGGGCTGCCACAAAAGAACCCTACCCCTTGGTGGACTCGCAATCCTGGCCTGGCGGACACGGATTTGTCCTGACACCCGAATATAGAGACACTCTATAGGGCAAGAACTTTGTTTGGATATGCCAATACATTATCAACCCTCTAGGACAGGGGAGATATTTAGAATGGCATTACCGAAATGCCTGTGTCTTCGACGGCGATGGCGCCTGGCAGATCGATGGAGAGCTCAGACCCGAAGGGGCCGATGTTGATCAGATGTGGGGTGACTTCGATCAGGGATGCTCCCACGTCCACACCCTGTGCAGATGCACCAGCTTCAGGGTTTAAAGGGAGGTGAAGTAGGGTCTTGAGGGAAATAGAGCAGCTAGAGATCCCTACAATCTACTCCTTTCTCCCTGGCCGAAGACTGGCACATCACATCACAGTTGCCAGTAGAAGGAACTGGCTTCCAACAGTGGAATGCAAGAACGCTTAGAAACCCAGCTGGGGGTTTATTTATATCGGTAAGAATGAGCGGCACAGGATGGTTTCAGCAGGCGAGTGTAAGCAGACAAAGCAAATGATGTGACGAGGCACGGCAAGGATGCTGCAGGTTTGGATTTGAAAGTGACAGACAGATTACTCACCACTGGGCCGACGTGGATGAGGGCTGGCTCCACCTTGATCAGCACATTCTCAACCTGCATGCACAAACAGCATCCGCTGAGACCCCATATAATGTGTTTATGTGTCATCTGTCAATTCATTGGTGTTTGTTGTGTGCTGTATTCTGTGCAGCTGCCCTGATTTGTAACAGGATTGCGTGATTGGGATCTATGTAGGCAATCCTCACTATTATATACCTAGGGTACAGAGCATATTTGCACCATACGGATTCGGCCATTCGGCATACGATTAATATTCGGTGTTTTGGCCAAAATAGGCCGTTTTTGACCATATTCCGTATATTTGAAAAAGTGTTCTGACCGAATGGTGCAACTATGGTACAGAGGTTGCAATAGCTCACCTTGACACCCACGGCGTCCACGACTACCACGCAGGGTGCGATACTGAAGATGTTGAGACTCACACCCACTCCGGTGATGTCTGTTGAGACGGGGGTGAAGTCATATGCAAATACCGCCGGGTCTGCGCGCAACGAGGAAGAGATTATCGATGCCATTTGCATGCACAGAAATTACATGAGCAGGAACAAGAGGGAGAGGGCCACAAGAGCAGAGAGGCGGAACACTTGACTTTTACTGACACACTGTATGTTAAGGCTGCGTCTAAGCTGTCATTTGCATGCTGCCAGGGAGCCAGCTGGCTGCCAACTGACATTTGCCAGGATTTTGGCTAGAAGAGGCCTCTTTCTGGTCCAAGGACCAAAAAAAGACCCTTACACCGCCTGATACATCTCACATACATTAAGCTAATGGCTCCGGACTTGTCCGACGCTGTTGCTCCTGCTGTAATGCTACCATTGTACTCATTCTAAAGTCCGCAATAACACCCTATCTTCTTAAATTTCAATTCTATAATTATTCTGAGACCAGACCTGGGGGGCCCTCAACAAGTCCATTTGATGGAGCAGACCCTGTTTATTTTGGAGTCAGGAAGACCCCTTAAAAATTTGGGTTATTGGGTAAAAATTGGTGAGTGATCCGCTCTGCCAGGGGTGCGGGTTTTAGAATGAGTACTACAGTATTACTGTCTATGCGCAGTTTAAGCTCAGGCTTGTCGCACCTGCAATGTCAATGAGGGTGGCGTCTGACAGGAAGGGAGGCAGCTGCGCCTCAGCCTCTGCACTGCTGGAGTCATCTGCCTGGAAGCTCGTCTGGACCGCTGACCAGACCTGTCACAGGAGCACAGCACAATCTTTATAGGAGAACGAACAATGAGAAAGGTGTGCGAACTGCATGCTGTGGGTCCTCCCATGCCAACCTACTGCTGCAGGCACTGCTGCTCTGAAGCCTCTTCCCATCCCTGCGGCCCCGGACTTAGACCAGTGACTGGAAATGGGAACAGAATGCGCACATCTGAAACCGAGCCGGTGCCGTGGATTGAGTCATAGGCGGCCTGGCCGACCCGACTGAGCGCGGACCAGCCCTTAGTAATCGCCTTCTTAGTCGCCGCATTGGCCTCGGTGACTAACACGCGCGTCCACTTCTCCAGCGGGTTCTCGTTTGCGCGCGCCGCGCTGAATTGCAGCGGCACCGCCTGCATGCATGCGATAGGAGATCAGTCAGCGGTGAGTAATGTTGTTCATTTGCATGCCCAAGTTCTTGGGGTTCAGCAGTGCTACCATCTGTTCATGGGTGCGCTGCAACAAGTTAGCATGAGTTTACTCTGCACTGACTCCTTCAGCACCTCAACAGCATTGGCTGTCATGCAATCCTGAGAGTACTTTGCTTCACGTTTCTGGCACTAGCAGCATACACCCCACTTTTGCTGGACAGCCATGCGCAGTCAAGCATCTACGTGATAACCTCAAAATGGCACACTCACAGACTTTACGCCAGCCTCTTGTAATGACGTTTGGGTGCCAGGCTGCATGCATGCAACTGCTTATAAGGTTGGGGGCCTCACGTTGGGGTTCTTTTCCTCAGCCTTCTGTGTCTGCTTGGCCAAGCCGGCAGCCTGCAGCACAATCTGCTCCTGTGTCTTGTCCAGCAAGGACTTCAGGCTGTAGGCTGCAGACTGGGCATTGCCTCCCTGCACGTGCAAGTGAAACACTGAAGGCTGAGATGCGCTGAGGGCTTCTGTTTTTAGAGATAAGCTGGAAGCTCGCGGCCGGCTCCTATTTGCAAAGAGTTGCATTGACTTGCTAAGGCCTTCTGACTCGTTCAAACTGAAGAAGAAGGAAACGCAGTGCTGGACATCCGATCCTGTGACAGGATGTTACAACCCATGTCCCACTTGAACGGTACACCGCGAGCCGCGACAAGATACAATCACAGGTTTCAAACATGTGAGGGGAAGACAGGGGTGCTAGCCGCGTCGTGCCTGATTGAAGAGAAGGGCGCTGCCGAGCATCTTGCCCCAGGCCTCAAGCCCAGCCATCTTGCTATTTGCGTCTCCCTGGAAGTTGATGGGAAGCGCGTGCAGGCCATTCTGGGCACTCTCGGCAGCCGTGCAAGCGACTTGCGCGACTGCCAGGATGGCAAGGCTGTAGCACAGCCTGCAGACGACGGCAAGGCGTTACCGACTGTCAGGTGAAAGTATTGACAAGGGCCCGTATAGCTCTGTGTTACGTTGTTTCGGAACTAAAATGCGGTAAGCCGTTTTGAAAGACTACTGTGGCGTCTCTGAAACACGAGACAATCATGTCTGTCTGGCTGTCTGTCGAAGCTTATTTTGAAGAGACCATCTCACCTTCTGAAGGCCATAGTGACAACTTCTGGACGTCGCAAAATAGCCTCCCAACGGGCGTTTGTCGTTTATTTGTTGCCGGTTTTCAGTCGAGAGTCAGCTTGTGGCTAGATTTTCGTAAAGATTAAAACGAGGATGGAGCCCTTCCCCAACCCTGCCCAAAGGTCACGCATCGGGCACACGAGCGACACACGACAAAGGACCCCTTTGCATTTACGAACCCTGCTAGTTACAGCTGGGAACTGAACCAAAGTCTACACATTGCCTGCATTGCATGAGAGACCGTTGGATACCTAAGTGAAGACATTGGGCGCACATATTATATATTAGTCAAGGCCGTGGGTTTCTGTACAACGCCTGTGACGCTAGCATGGCTAGACATCTGCTGCTCTGCGGAGCCGTGATTCTGTGCCTGTGCTTTGCACATGTGTCTGCAGACGCCGTGTCGTCGGTTGCTGGCTCACCTGAGCTCTCCAAGGCTCTTGCGGAGCACAACTCCACACTCGAGGACTCTTGGGCAACAGTTCTTGCCGCAACCTTGCTCTCCAACAACAACGGTACGGCGTGGTCGTCCGTGACCAGCAAACTTCGCGAATCACTATGTCACGGAACGTATGATGGACTACAGGAAATGTTGCACAGATGTTTTCCCTAAGAGCTGACCTGGTTCCCAGAGTGAGTCACAATATCGAGCCTTTCGATATGTCCTTATCAAGCTACCGACCGTTGCTGTAGGCGACCCCAAGGCGGCCAAGGAGGATCTGCTTCGGGTTGCAGCACAGACGGCCATCACTATGGAGGCTGACAGCAAAGTGGTGCCCTCTGGTGCGCTCCCATCACAAGCAGCCAGCACCTGATCGCGTCCCCTGCAGAGCCGATGACAGCCTCATAGCGGTCCTGCCGCTGTTTGGGAGATTCATGCTGACATTGAAGAACTGTTATGGACGCACTGAAACATCCATGTGGTCTTTTCACCCTCCTGTCAAAATGCATTTAACAGCATCCTTGCACATCGTCTTGAATTTAGAAGGGGTCTGCTATCTGTCAAAGGGGGTGTCCTTGATGTTGCAGTATGGCCAAAGATTGAGAACAAACAGTTCCTGGTTTGCGCAAGGAAGTGAAATTGAATGTGGCACAACTGCTGCTGGCAGGTGCCAACTTCATCCAGTACATCACCAGGAGCTTTGCAAAGTCCTTCCTGGAGAGCGCCACAAGGGATGGCGACAACTCTGCTGAGGGCAGCGGAGATGGCAACAAGCCCACCCTCTACGAGGTGCTCAGACCTCATCTGCCCTTCAGCTCTTTGTAACGGTTTAGCTGAACTGAGATGTCACCGTCTTCTAATTCCGCCAGTCACGGTCTTTGTGTGAGAATCAATCGCTTCAAAGCTTGGATTGGACAAGCCTGAATTCAACTATTCTGGGCAGACCCGACCCCTGTCCCAATTTTTAGAAGCACTAGCGCGGTCACAAGTGCAAGGGTGTTGGGTGCCTGCTGTTTGACAGCAAGCATGCCTTCGCATAGATGCAGCTCAACTATGCGCATGCATGTACATGACAAGCACCTGCTCACATTCATTATGTGAGTACACGTCATTACTGGTTTGGCCAGCTACCAATTCGCAGATATGCATGCTTCAATGGTGTTTTCATCCATCTGCCCTGCCAACCCTGCTGCTGGTGTCTCCAGTAGTCTCAATCAGTAATAAAATACTGTACTGATTCCCCAGTGAAGGATTACTGACGGAATGTGAGCATGTGCGCGCAGCTGCTGACCACACCCCTCCCCGAGGTGCTGCAGAAGGACGGGTCTATCGAGGCGTTCCAGCAGCTGTTGTCAGATATCGCCAACCCCACCAGCCTGGCGAGTTTTGACCCCGAGATCTTCAAGGCAGCCCTCACCGGTGCGCTGTCACACTTCAAACCCGTTAAAAGTTTTGGCATATAGGTTATTATACTTATTATTACACGCTTTTCCTGCCAGAAGCAAGGTGCGTCTATCTAGTGTCACACTACAGGGTGTTGCCCTGAGTCAGCAGTGCATTGGGCAGAGTACCTGGTGTTCATTTGTGTGGTGAGATTGCAGCAGAAAGAAGTAAGGTCCCATATTAAACATCAGCTGTCAGCTGTTAACAATGCAGCTGTCATCGAGCCCTGCCTTACTGTCATGTGATATTGCTTTCCGAACCCTCGACTGACAACCCTGTGTTAATTCCCCCTGCAGGGGTGGGCGTGGAGGCGACAATTGTGAATTTCGCCCCCTGCCTTGTGTCCAATGCGTACACCGGCGTTGCCATAAACCAGAACCTCTTCTCCATCTCTCCAACTCTGCTCAAGTTCGACCCCACCGGAGTCAATGTGAGCCCCTGCCCCTTTTGTTTGTTCTCACAGGTGTAACGAAGTCTGTTAGAGTGCCCGAATGAAGAGACGATGTGAGCCCAGTACAGGCAAAAGTGCACACTTGTGGCGCAAGCCGCCAGCTGCCTTTATGCAGTTGAGTCTTGGTGACTTTCACAGCTTCCAAGTGAGCTGGCTTGTCAAGAAGCATGTCATGCTGTGGATTTGTGCTGCTGTGCCTTTGCATTCACACATGGTTTCAGGGGAGGACCCGTCTGTGTGCAGCTGCCAGCCGTCAATGCATTCAGGCAAAGAAAGCCAGGGAAAATATCTATCAACTGATTGCTCTGCATGCCAACTGGAGGGCCATGTGCTCTGCAGGTTGGCGCAACTCTGATCGGCATCGAGCCTTCTCTGATTGACATCGGTCCTGCCGGCGCGTTGGCCGGAGCCGGGGGCATCTCTGTGGGCCCATCACTCATTGATATCTCCCCCGGAGGCCGCTCCGATACCTTCGTTCCCTGAGCGCTGATATATTTGTTCCCCGGGCCCGGGGCCTGATACCTTTTAATCCCGGGCGCTGACATCGTCACTCCTCAATGCCCATTCCTTATGAAGTTCCCCTGGGGGAATACGTTCATCCTCTGAGCGCTGGCATCTTCGCTCTGCTCCCTGGGAGGCCTGATATCTTCGTTCCCTGAGCGCCAAAATCTTTGTTATCCTGAACGCTGACATCTGTGCTCCCTGGTTGTGGCCTGATATCTTTGCTTCCCTGGCGCTGATGCCTTTATCCTCTAGGCGCTGATACTTTCTCATTGCTCCCCGGGTGCTGGTACTGCGTTGTCGCAGCAGCACTTTGCAGCTTCCTTACATGCAGAAAGCAATTGTGAGTTTAAGACCTTGACCTTACTCTTTTGATGGAGTATCAGATTGCAGCACTGACGCAGATCCCTGCACTCACATGGCTGCGTTCAGCTGAAGTTAATTCATGGACCTAACTAACGACGGTTCCAGGGGATCTGACAGTTTTATTTTGATGATCAGGGACTCTTTGAATCAAAATGCATGCAAGAAGTCCATTGCAATGTGCAGATTGTCTACCATCTCGCATTCTGGGAAGTACTGTGAAGAGGGTGAAGTGTGCTTGATGTTGGAATTGTCAGAACTGAAAAGAATGGGTCACATGCATGCTTACTAAGCAATTATGATATTGGCAGCCACTTCTGTGGCTGCAATTGAAGTCAGAGCCCTCCCCACTGTCGTTTTCAAGTGGCAACGCACCGTTGAGCTGATGCTTGCAAGTACTGGACTACCAATTTTGACTCATGTTCAGTTTGTAGGTGTGAAGCACTTCTTGAATTATGACTTCGTGTAAACACTTTCATTTATCACTGAGCGACATGGCCATGAAAGAGGAAGTTCTGCAAGTGCAATTAAGATAGGAAACCTCATGCTCGGTTGACAACCATTACCAAATGCAAAGAACCTGCATTGCAGTGAAGAGCCTCCCAGACTACATGTTATTACGAGGGTGAACCAGGAGTAGGCTCCTTTGTGTCTACTCACAGGTTGTCATTGCTGTTGTCATAGATTGATGCACTTGCACCGTCACCTTGCCTGTGGCAACCCCGCCATTACATCCATTCATTTGATGGCTCCCAAGAGACAGGCCAACACAAGTGCATTCATTGTACCTGACACGCGAAACTTTGCAGTCAAGCATACTGAGCGGATTGAGGCACCGGACAGCCAAAGAATATGTGCATTCTGGTTGAATACATGCAAGAGACATGAGTCATCAGCAAAGAGCGTCACGTCACTGTGACGACCAATGAGACATCCACATGACTAATCCCACTCGTAGTATAGCGCGGTTCAGTAGTTCCGGAATGAGTCATCGATGGCGGCTGCCAGGTAGGCGGCCTTGCTGGAGGGCAGGCCTGCCAGCGAGATGCGGCCGTCCTTAGTCATGTAAATATGGTGCTTGTTAGTCATGTTGTCCACCTGCATAGCACCACCGTACTCCTGTCAGACGCTAGCAAGGGTCACCTGACTACCTCTTTGTGAATTAGAAGATCAAGGTCTTGCCTTACTTCACAACTGAGATTGAGATGCAAGTCTGACCCAGCGCTGGCTAAATATTGGGCTGCTAGTGATAGCAGCCCAATATTTGCTGAGAAGATGCCAGGTTGATTAGGAAAAGCCCAACTCTTGCAAAGTCCTGTATATATTAAACAAGTTTGCAAACGCTGCAACCAGTCCCAGCAGTGACTGCCCTGTGCAGAATTCCAATTTAGGCTCCTGCGCTAAGATGCCAGTGCACCGTCCACTTTTCACTCCTCTAGCGCTCTTTGACCGTCTGCATTTTCTTTCCAGCTTCTATATGGTCTTCAAGGCAGAATGCATCAGCCAAGCGCACCTGGGCCAGTCTGAGCCCAGCGAAGAACTCCACCGTTCAAGTTCAAACCAGCACAGAATGAATCAGTGAACAATGCGCTGGATACCAATTGATAAGAATTCTCAAGCGTGCAGCTGAGTTGTTTTGAGGCCGCTGAGTGACTGTCGCCGTTTGAGATTAACTCCATACCACTATAATTCAATTCATTCTCAGTTTCCTGACTGGCAAGCCAGCCGGCTGGCTGGCCAAGCATGTCAGCAGTCTGGTGACAATCTCTGCTCCTTGGGCTGGCTCAGTGACAGCCTTAAAAGGCACAGCATCTGAATTATTGAGAAGATTCCTAAGAACCAGAATATGTGAACTGCCATGCGCGCACCTGTGCGGGGTTGAGGCCGGTGAAGGAGAACATGCCAAGCTGGCGCAGGATGAAGGACCAGTCCTTGTCGCCGTTCAGCTTCGCCAGCTCGTCATGCAGCACCTGCCGCACGTCCTGCGCACACATGCCGGCACATGTCAGCGCCCAGGTGACTAACCGCAGCAGAATTGACGTACCGAAGGTCCAGGCACATGCCCGCACATGTCAGCGAGCGGTGAATAGCCGCAGTCTAAGTAAAGATTGCAGGCTCTTCGCTGCCACTGCTTTTCTGAGTTACTGAGATGGTGTAGCAGCTCATTGCACGGTATCTGCGCTCACGACTCGCTGTGCGCGTTTTTCCAGCCCGGCTATTGATAGCAATACTGTTTGGTTTGGTGATACCCCAGATATATTTTGCACCTATGACTCCGCACATTGAACTGATATGACCATCATGACCGTTGCTATAGGGTCCTGCCCTCTCATCGTGACTGGGTGAAGCAAATGATAGAACATCCTGGGATTACAGCACAAGCAAATGCGCGTTTGCACCCAGGGGATTCAAACTCCTATCTCCTGGTGCACACGGGGGAAATCTAAACACAAAAAGGGTGAAAGAGATCGAAGAAGGTTTGCCTTGATGCGGCCGGACATGTACTCCATCTCCTCGTTCCACTCCTGGAAGAGCTCCGGCCGGCTCACCACCAGGCTGGCGATGCGCGCACCTGTCGGCACATGCGCGCACATGTCTCAATTACGTAATCCTGACACTCTGGAATATGTTTTTGGTGCTCTTTATTGGTTTGCAAGGCAGCCCTTCCTCCCGGCAGTTACTGGTTTAGGGTCAACCCCTGTATATTTAGGACCACACCCGTAATATAAACCCTAAACCCTGGCAGTCACACCGGCCTTCATTTCTTGCATGCGGTGCATGTAGAATGTCACCCCCAACATGTCAGCAGCCGGCAGCACAGCGAGAAGCTTTGCCGGCCTTCGAAAGGGCTTCTTGGGGGAGGGTTGCTTTAGTTCCCTAGGATGGCTTGCGCAACTGTGCCTGCCAGGGCAACTTGCGCCGGCCATGAAAGAGGGAACGGAAGGACCGCATTAATCATTCTAAACCCCCCAGAGGACAAATAATTTTGGCCAAAAAGGTTGATAATCAAGACCCTATCTCCCAAAATTTAAACCCAGACAATCTTGACAAGCTTGAGACCATAATTTACTGAGCACCATGCCCACGGTTGATTGGGTCTTGCTTGGATCTGGCGAGTCCAAAAAGGGGTAGGATTGTGGCAGCCTGTCTTGCACGACGCACCTTGCCGCTTGGCACGAAAAGCGTGGAATAATATTATTAAGAAGAATAATAATAATAATAATAATAATAATAATAATAATAATAATAATAATAATAATAACAATAACAATAATAATAATAATAATAATAATATAACAAAAACAATAACAACAACAGTAATAATAAAAATAATAGGAGGCTGCAAGCAGAAAATCCTGCATGGTAGCATGCCTGGGTTTGCCACGAAACAGTGTGACAGCGAAGGCCAGGTTAGATACATAAGACAGTAGGGTTTTGGGGTGAACCAGGGGGCGCATACCGTGCACAGGGGGGTTCGAGTAGAGGGCGCGCGCGATTCGCTTGAGCTGACTCATCACCCGCTTGGCCGCCTCAGCATCGCTCAGCACGAAATTGATCGCGCCAACACGCTCCGCGTACAAACCTGCGCCAAAATTTGATCCCGGTGAACCATAGTTGCGCCATACGGATTCGGCCATTTGGCATACGGTGAATATTCGGTCGTATATCGGTGTTTTGGGCCAAAATAGGCCGTTTCTGACCGTATTCCGTATATTCTGATACCGAATGACCGTATATTCGGCCGTATATACGGTCCCCAAAAAGTGTTCTGACCGAATGGTGCAACTATGCGGTGAACCAATGTGTTTCCTAAGCAAGAAGCTCATGGCTCAAAACACCTAGTTCTGAGTTGAATGTGGGTACGATGATGTGGCATAGTGGCACCCTATGCAGTGCAAATACCCCTGGAATTCGTCCCTTGCAGCGACGACTAAAATCAGAACACGCACAGGAAAAAATGGACCTGCTAGGTTCCAGTCGTGGGGCATCGTGAGATCTGACAATGACAGTGGAGGGCAGTGGGTGACAGAGGTGGCACTTGAAGTTCATCGCAGCTTTGCAGCGCTCTGACAGATGCCATTCCAGCGATAGGCCTCACAAAGGGGTCCCAGACTCAGGGAAAGCGTCTGAAATTGCCGCCTCTTCAGCAGTGTAAATAGAGAGACAGGCGGAGGCTCTTGGAATAGGACTGCGCCACAGGCATCTTGCACTTCCCACCACCACTATCTAGGCCCACTTCCTACATCCCAACCTCATCTTGCGGTCTCTACCGAAAAGCAAATCTGTACATCTACATACATCTTGCCACTGCATGTAGATGTACAGAAGCAGCCATAGTAGGAGAATGACATCCTTTACCCTGCATCCAGGGTAAAGGATGGCAGGCGCACCCAGGTTCTTGGAGTAGGACTGCGCGACGAGCAGCTCAATGCCGCGGCCGGCAAAGTAACGCGGTGCCCACGCGTCATCGTCCAGGCTGCCAGAAGCAAACCCCTGGTACGCCTGATCAGGACACATGCAAGATTTACATTCAAAGTCACACAACAGTACTTGGGGCTGTTGTAACATGCTGTCAGCTTTGGTGAATTCCTTTTTTCCTGGTTCACCTGACACTAGCACACATGGGATGCCACTCACATGCCTGGTCAGGAATTATGTGCCATGCGCCTGATTGATTGACGTGCTGCATGCACCTGATAAGGACAGTTGAAAGCATAGGCCTAGACCCTAAAACTCACATGGGCGTGTGAGCAATGCAATCCATGCTGCCTAATTAGGCGCGCACAAATCATCCTAATCAGAACGCACTTATTCACAATACGTATGGACAGATTTGTGGCATGGGTTTGTTCAGGACACCTGCCAGGTCACGCCGCATGCTCACAGAGGTTGCATGGAAACCAGACACCCCATCAGGTATGAAAAGCCAGTCTCAACAATGGAGTACTCGTACGACTCGTACGCGTAGTACCCGCACTAAGGCTAAGGCTCTCTAGCAGAGGCAAAAATTATCAGTTGTAGTACCACTGGCAGTAAAGCTAAGGCAGTGAAGGCCTACTTAGCTAGCTGCCACTGGCAGTCTCCCTCCCTACAAAGCTGCAGACAACTGTAAATAGAGCGTCTACCGCCACGGCAGTGGCTGTCATTGTCGTGACTGTAATCAGCGACAACAGCGCTATATCATAGCTTGTGATAACTACTGTTATCATTACACGCTGTACCTGCCTTGCGAAGCCTCTACACAATGCGCACAAGGAACCACCTCACTCGCTATTTTATGTCTAGTTTGGTGCCCAGAGCGGCGGATGAAGGTCTCCTTGCTTAAGAGAGCGATGGGGTGGTGAGTAAAAGTGTAAAGGGTGCGCACCACGTCGAAGAAGGGCAGGTGGTTCTTCTCGATGACCAGGTCAGCGATCTTCTCCCATTGCTCCCTTGTAGGGTCCACCCCGGTAGGGTTGTGAGCGCAGCCTGGCCCCACAATGCACACACAACTTGCCGACATTTTCTTGGTGTGGTCATTGCTGTCTCATGAACGAGCAAGACATGTCCGCTAGAGCTGGCTGCAAAAGTGTGATGCATGCAGCAAATACTGAGGCACACCAGGCATACTGTCTTTCTGGTATCTTTGTCCAAGGTGCAACACGCAAAATTGCTGCAGATGTGTTTTGCACCACTTGATATCATGGAAAATTTGCAAAATAAGCATGTCAAATTGCCCCGATAAGGCGCCAGTGAGAGGTGTGGGCATATTTTGTGTTCAATTGTCGGCCTGGCATCAACCCTTGAACCCTGGTACTCCTGATCCCGGAACCCCACCCTACAATAGCTGAGAAAACTTGTCAGGCCATGACGGGCAGTGACTAACCGTGCAGCACGATGACTGATCCCTCGGGCGCCGCGCGGATGTCTTCCATGAGGCCCTCGAAGTCGAGGCCGACAGTTTTGGGGTCAAAGTAGCGGTACCACTTCCACTCCACCCCAGCATCCGCGAAGATGTTCTGCGCAGGGAAAAGCCAGATTTCGGCAGTGCAATGCAGTGTTTCAATTAAGGAATTGGCCAATTATGCCTTGGTGGCTGTTTGCGCCACCCAAAACATATATGCCTATATTTTGGGTTATAAAAAATGCCATCAATTAAATCAAAAAGGCCAAATGGCTGAAAACAGCCACTAATCGAAACACTGGTCCAATGATCTGGGGGGCAGGCCTCGTGAAGCTCAGCCTTTAGGGCCTGTGTGGCCTTGTCAGCTTGCCTTCACAGCGCGCCCACACTCCACAGAAAGACCCTTGGAGTTCAAGGCTACTGAGGGCCTATTTTAAGGGAATGCAGCCCAGGAGATGGGCTTGTGCAAGGTGTCATGTCCACCAAAATCCAATTTGATCCTTTCAAGCATCTGCGCTACTGCAATGTATCACAGACCTTGTGGGCTGTGCCAAACAGAGGTGCGCCTGCTCCTTCTGTATCTCTCCTCTTCTGGGGAGTGAAAAGGTGTTCTGCGCTGCGCAGTGCACCGCACTCGCACTTCATATAGCAAGCATTCAGTATATGGATACTGCGACTGCTGTGTCAGTGCTGAGTCATAGGGTCTTCGCTCCGCTGGCATTAGACTTCGTTTTATAAATTCTTCGACCCTTCATCGGCCCTAAACCCTAAATCCACCATTGCTTTTCCCCTGAAATATTATTACTATAAAGGCCCCCTCCCTAAATCCTAAACCCTAAATCAATATTCCCTAAACCTTTAGCTAAATTGGATGAAAAATGAGGTCAGGGGTCTCGCGGGGCTAGGAGTTCCTGGCTGCCTTGACGTGTAGTGGTATACGGGGGGGCAGCAGCATTCACATGCATGTGCCTCCCAACCTTGTGAGCAAGTGCGGACGTCGCAGTTGACCCCCTCACAAAAGATGGAGAACCCATCCAGTATGTGACCTGACAGCCTTCCTTATAACATGCAGGTCTAGCATTGCCTCACAAATACCAGTAGTACACCTGTCCGCTATGTCATTCCCCTGCACTATTCCCCTGCAAGGGCCTCGATTGGCGAGAGGCAGTAGATATAATAAGTGCTGTTCCCACGCTTGACACTGTCTTGCTTGGAGCTGGTAAGTCCACCAAGGGATAGAAACTGTGACAGTCTCAACCTGTAGCATCTCTGCAGACGTGCTTTACCTGTCTTGGCAGTACAGTGTCTAAAGTTTAATGATGGTACTACCGTATAGGCGTTCCGCTCAAATATGTTGTGTCCAATGCCCAATAAGACTGCCTCATGAACAGAGGGAATGTCTGTTCTGCGGTACTCAAGTGTTCTTTCTGAATTGGGTTTTTCATAGGATATTGGCCACACCCTGTGAGTGCCCCACAAGTAGCATTCCCTCTGAAACATAGAGAAATGTTGTTCTATCTTAACCCCTCCTGAGGTATTCCCCTTGGATTATCGCCGCACCTTATGGTTGCCCCAGGTGGGGTTTGACAGGTACGCGGTCGTCCCCGGCAGGAACTTGGCGATGAAATCCGCGGCCACTCGCAGAGACCCCGTTCCCGACAGAGACTGCAGCGTCGCGATGCGACCCTCCTGCAGAGCGCAGCGGATAGCTATTTTATGTCCTTCTCTATTACCGTTGTCACAGGAAGGGGCAGAAATACATATACCACCCTGCTTGGCGCTGGACAGTAACAAGATGACTTCAACACTGCAAAGCTAATGGTATGGAGTCTCTGTAAGAGTATCCATATCTGCGTTCTGCCCCATGTGCCAGCGGCGCACGGCAGGGCATGTTTGCGGCGTGGGCATGCCACAAATCTCTGGCATCAGCTCCCCGAGGAGAGTTTGCCACGCGAAAGCGCCATTCACCCACCCCGTATATGTTCAATTTTGTAACGTGTGCATAGGGGTCATATAGGAGCGATAGGCCTTTTATGGCAACTTTTTGAACTTTTCTCCGAAACCATTGTAACGATAAAAGGGAAGAGTTGCCATAGAGGCCTATCTCTTCTATATGACCCTTATGCACACGTTACAAATTTGCTTATCTAATAGGCCATGCCATGGTACATGTCTACAACTACTGACCTTGCAGTATCAACTCAGGCAGCAATAGAAGTTCCAGGACTACCTTGATGGCGGGGTGGTCCTGTCCCAGGAGCAGCTCGGCGGTGGCCTTGTTGAAGGCCTCCAGCCCCTGGATGGGCAGGTACTCCTTGTTCTCCTCGCTTTCAAGCATGATCTTCTCAGCCTGTGAGTCAACATGGCTTGTCTTCATGTCTCTTACTTCAGTTCATTGATTCTCTTGCTTAATCGCATCAGAGGGAGTTCTCCTAGAGTTACTCCCCTGATCGCTTGTGAAGCTGCAAAGACGACGCATGTGTAGATGAGCCTTTGTGAGAGGAGAAAGACGGATCAAGATGCTATCTACACCCGCTGGCAGGTCAAGGGGAGCACTTTGGAAGTGGTGCAGGAAGGCATGCAGGGCACGCAAAGCTGGCAGCTGCCTGTCAAATGCCTGACACTGGTGCATCAAGTTTTGCAGCCAAGGGGATGTCACCTTTTTCACAACATTGAGGACGTAGGGCTTCAGCTCCTCCGTTCGGTATGCTCCCACGCCAAGATTGAGCTTCAAGTCATTGGTGTCGCGCTTGAAGGCCTCGCTCACACCTGCAGCCATGGGATCCCACAGGGGCACCTGTCAGGCCATGCTGCACTGCCACGCCGACTGCTCTGAAATTGTTCCTTTTATCTTTACACACTGCATCATAGTCATACTCGATTGACTTTCGCTTCCATACAAAGCGATTGTCTTATATGAGTGACCTACTTTCATAGAGACGTCCCTAATTTGAGAATGCCCGCTCGGAAGGAGATTCATTGTTACAGCTGAACAAAATGGAAAGCAAGATATGCGGAGTACATGATATTTTGCTGGGATTTGAATAAAGTGATCTCGCGCCCGCACCAAGAATCGGATCGGGAGGCTGCAGGTCGACAAACGCTAGCCTGCTTTGCTTCTTGGTATCCACAGCTGCTACTGCGAGCGATCTGAGAGCATGCGGCCGGCAACGGCCAGTATGGACAGGCCTTGCAGCGTTGAGAAGCTGTCTGCCAGATGAAGAAGCTCGGTGCGAGCTGCAAACGGGAGTCTCTACCAGGGCCCTCATATTGCTAGATTCCTCAAACTTATTTCCTGAAATCAACAAGTGATCTCTTATCCAAAGGGATTGGGGTGAAAGCGAGAGTGTTGTGCACCAAAATAATTTCTACGTCGATATTAGTAATGCAGGGTCCTTATATAGGGCTTGCAGGGATCCAAAATGCTGGAAAGCCGAATGAGCAGTCGTCATCTTGCATTCTGGATGGAGATGTATTTCCGTGCAGTATGGCTGACGTGACTGTCACGGTCTTGAACTTCTCAGAAATTGCCCCATTGTCATTGTCCCAGCCTTCATGAAGGTGATCACAAGTGTGCGGGGCCGGGTTCATCATTGATAACGTGTCACACGATGACGGTCATCTTAAGAGCTTGTGCTGTGCCACCACACCTGCTTTGTGATGTGCGTCTTTCACCTGCCGAATTGCATGCCAGGTACGCTGCATTAATGCAGCGTACCAGGAATATTTACTGACACACTTCAGGCACAGATCACTATCTCTGGGGTGCATCAGAGCCTGGATCACTGCAGATTCGCTTATGCCTCCAAGATCTTGGCCTGACACGGCTGGGTGCTGGTGTGATGCGCAGGAAGAAGTCTGCATTCATATTCTTCTGCCGCACAGCGTCTCAGCTATTTTTGCTGTGCATGGCGTGGTGCTCATTTGCCGAGCCTTGAGTTCGTCATACGGCTGGCGCTGTGGCTTACAGCGGAGCCAAGAGTTTGATCAACCCAGAGGCCCCAGACTTATTCGACGACCCCATCAACAGTCACCTGAGACTATCCCGCGCCCTCCTTCTCGCTCTCCTCCTCCCTTGCACCTCACCATAGGCACCTGGACTGCTACTGGGGGTCGCAACAGGAATGCAAGCAACAAGAGATTGGGGGTGCATTGCTTGCGAGCGGCTTGCATGTTCTAGCAATGCAAGAACCTCATGAGCATGCATCCTCCCAATTTGACTGTGAATGCATCCAGCACAATTCAGCGCCTTATGGATCGTGTGCTGGCTGGGTGCCACTGCTGCTATTCTCATATTGATGATTTTTTTGTATACTCTGCCGCATGGACAGAGCACTTGAGCCACCTGCGTGATCACTCATGAGGTCTTCCAGCGCATGCGCATGGCAGGTCTGAAACTCAAGTTGCCTAAGTTTAAATTTGTCTTTGCTACTCCTTCTGTTAAGTGCCTTGGATACCTTGTGTCTGAGTAAGGAGTTGCACCTGATCCTGACAATATTGCCTGTATAGTGAGCATGCCACGGCCCACCAACAGCCAAAAACTCATGTCTACTTGTGTGCATGTCTGCGTACTATTGTCAGTTCATTGACAATGTTGCAACAATTGCAAGTCTTTGCATGCTCCCGCAAAAAATGTGTTTTTTTCCTGTGACTAAACAGTGTTGGGCCCCGGCTGGCGGGGGGCGGTATAAGTACTGAGCACCGTGGCCACAATTGATTGGGTCTTGCATGGATCTGGCGAGTCCACAAGGGGGTAGAGGTTGGCAGCCTTTACATGCAGCTTGTCTGCAAGCGCACCTTGCCTTCAGCAACAGTTGGTCAAGGACAACACTAAAGGAAGACCTAATGGCTGTCGTGAACACAAATATTAGATTGATCACACACATCCTTCCGGCATACACATCGTTCCAATCCCAGTATCGTGAATGAATTGTGGCAACTCATCACAAAGGCTCAGCCTGGTCTACAGCTCGCTCCAAAGTGCAGTGGACATTGCAAAAGCTCAACACTACAGTCTGGAGTAGTGGGTGCTGGGAAAGAATCCCACTCCATGCCCGAAGAATTTAATCGTAAAGATCCACCGCATCGGGATGCAAAGCTGCCAGGCAAGAAAATGACAAATTTTTTAAATAAATGATTCTATAAAATAATAATTAAAATTTATAAAATCAAATGAGCACACTGTACCATCACACCCTGCAGAACCAGCACACAGCATCCTGCCAACTGCAAGCAACATACCTAGATTTGAGCGTGGATTTTCAGCATAGTACTTTTCTTTCTCTTCATTATACTTCTTGATCTTGCGGTTCATCTGCACATCACCGTTGTTAATGGACAAGTATAGCGTATTCTGCTGAAGTCGATGAACAACTCTGCAACAACACTGACTAGAAAAAAAAGAAAAAAAAAGGGAAAAAATATGCGTCTAAGGGGCCACCTTCGCCTGTCTGGCACGCTCCAGTTTTATGTCGTGGGCGGTCCAAGCCTTCAGATCATCTCGATCGCTTTTGACAGAGCCTTTCTTCAGACCTAGTTCTGTGCCCAGCTCTCTTGACGATCTCTCTGAGGTCTTGAACCATCGTGCCTGCAAAAAATAGAAAGAGACCTGGATACTGATTCTCAGCGAACCTAAGAGCTTGACAAGAACAAACAAATAAGGGGTCGGGCGCAACGCTCCTCTGCTGCGCATTAGCACTTATATAGCCATTCAAAAAGCTGCAATTCCTATACTGGGCCAAACTTGTATGTTTGAACGTGCAGCGCTTCAGGCTTCAAGACCAAGACCCACACGATATTCCTTGCCAGCTGCAGGCAGGGCACCTTGCAAACTTATAAACAGTGGGTTTAGACCGATGTCATGGAGTAAAGTGTGGCACCACGCGAATGCTGCACCTCAGCTGTTTAGATTCACATACAGGATCCCCAACCAATGACCAACTCTGTATGCTCTTAGCTAAGGAGCCTACTCATAGCTGGCCACTTGGGAATGGCTGATAACTGCTCTATATAGAGGCACCCACAGCAGCATGCCTTGAAGGTGCCAGGCAGTTCATGGCTGCCCATTTGGGACTTGCTGGTATCTGTTTCACTCATAAGAATGGAAAACAGCACGCATGGAAGGTGCCGGGGCTTTAACATGATCGTCCTTCACCAGCGCAGCACAACAACATCTCTAGGGCCACTGTTGAGGTGGCAGTGGGTATCACTTTGGTGTTCTATTCTAAAAAGAAATAATACCTGTTGGATGGTCCAGCCGTCGCAGGAGGAACATCGTAATCCTCAGGAATGGGCATTGTATCAAGGTCATAAAGCTCTGCCTCAGGGTGCCTGCGGTGCTTCAGCGATTCGTAACACACCTCCAACTCCTGCTTGGTGGGATCTGCATCTGTGGGATCCCAGTGAGTGAAAATTCGGCGCACAGAAAAATTGACCAAAGCACGAACGTTTGATCAACAATGGTGCTGATACAATATAGCAATAATTTGGCGCACATCGTCCAAGGACCAGGATCCCGGTTCCCTGGGCCACCCTCTCTTGATCTGCCATGTGCTCTTTCCACATCTTCTCGACTTTCTGCGCCACAAACACAAAGTTCAGCCAGTGAATGCCTTACATTGTAATCTTTGTCACCTTCCTGTACGATACAAAAAGAGACAGGGCGTACTCTTCTTTTCTTCCTCCTTTTGTACCTGTTCACAGCCCGGTCCACCGCAGCTCTCACCCTGTCCTGCAACGAAACATCCTGCTTTTTGTAACAAAACACCCGAAAGTATGCCTTCAGCATGGCAGGGAAGTCTTGATTGTGTCTTCGGGCATACCATGCCTGCTCAGAGCATAGGAGCGTTTCTGCGTGGATGAGACTCCTTCGTAGACTTGAATATCGTTCCTGAGCATGACATTCAATATGAGAACGCAGGTCTGACTTCTGAACACATTCATGATGGCATGCCAGCATGTCACTGGAAGGTTTGCCGGAAAAGTCTCTGCAGACATGCGGCGCAGAGTCCTGGCCCTCTTCCTGACAGGGTATGACACATGCGCCATCGATGCAGATCCAGTATTTAGTCACCTGGTGATGGATTCACCTTTGATTTATGGTCAGCTACAGGAAAGTTACTGGAGCTCTATCCTTGCCCAGGGCCCCTGGCAGGGGGAAAAATCGACTTCTTAATCCTGCAAGGAAGAAATTCGTGTAAAGGCTACAAAAAAGCGATGCAATAGACATGATGGCATACGTGTAACTTGATTTGATCAGTGATGAGGACTTTGCAGCATCTCTAGTGAGCACCTATTTATTCTGGTGACTTTTTGCAACCTGATCTGCCTTCATGTCACGCTGGCAACATGAACATAAGAAAATTAAAGAAGTATGTAATGATATAGGTGCAATATTTTCACCTACATGACTTTCAACGGGCTAGTGAGCCTCCGATCTTGTTTCGCAATCCTGGTCAGGATCTCGGCTAGGATCTCGGTGTACAGAAACTTCACCGTGTTCAGATTTTTACATTTGCCAACAGCAAGACGTTTCCTTCGGAAGGTGGGAAGCGATCCATTTCAGCTCAATGTTGCTTTCACCCATAGTCGATCGAGTGGTTCACCCCTCGCGATCAGCCATTCTGGAAAGTTTGGAGACCGCAGAATGCAAGCCAGCGCCGGAGGCATGAACATGGAAGCTGGCGCCTTTCAAGTTTCGGCATCCATCGAAGGGTTGAGTGTGTTCACAGAGCTCTCAACGGCGCAAAGCGAGTCTGCTAGCAGTGAGTACTGGAGGATGCCAGGCATAGCTGGAGCCAGAAACTGATGTCAAGGAGCAGCTCTGAAGCATGTTTAGATGTGATGTTCATCACGTTAGGTAGAATTGGCAACCTTTTAACAAGGTGCGAGCACGTCAATGATTGTTATTGTGCTACACGCGCTGTCAAGCACCCCCACTTGTGATAAGTGAGCACTTTATTTTGGCGAATTTACACAGCGGTGATTGGAATATAGCTGTTTTGTATTTTCCCACAATTACTACAGTAAGGGCTACGAGATCTTGTGTATCTGGTGGTCTGACGTCTTTATCCGTACACTGCCGAGCTGTGGAGTCTCGGGCGCCTAGGTGGTGATCCCTGCAGCACACTTTAGGTGCCGATCATTGCGATGGTCCTTTCTGACGAGAATTTAACGTTAATATTTGAACAAAACGGCGCCCCAATGCCTGAGAGCAGTGTTCGAAACTGCCTTCGCGGAATTGCAGGACAGCACTGACTACTATCCCCCACCTCGCGAAGTCCTTGCTGCTGCAGCTCAGGCGATACGTTGAGCATTGGGATGAGTCGTTTAACTGAATAAAAGCTGGTATAGATAAGCAGGAGTGGGGATGCATCATGCATGAGGTCCTTGGGCAGATGCTCAGGGTGCACTTTGGCACAATTGCCGCACAAATGAATCTAGGCAGCAGTATCAATGCACTCGTTTCAGCGAGGCAGTTGTTGACCTCCACAGACAGACCAGACGACAGAAATGAAGCAATCACAATCAGCTTTCATGCAGCAGCAGTTGACTCTAGTCAGAATCGGTGCAGCGCAGGGCTTGATGCTAGGTGGGCTGGCAGGTATAGGCCCTGCGAGGCGTGCAGGAGAGATACAGAGGAGGGAAGGCGGCCCCTTCACACCATCAAAGCTAGCCTGAACAATGTTTGGACCGTGATCGTCTCTTTGGGCTCTGCTTTGCAGGTGGAATTGCCGCAGTGCCTGATGTAAGCGGAGGGGGTTGTGCACAAAGGAACACTGACAGAGCAGCCATGCCACCGCCGCGGCTGCTGAGCCCCTTCAGGCAAGCACACCAAAGTGTACTTATGCTGCCAATCTGCTAACGACTCAGTTCATGTCGGAGCTGGGCTTTGCCAGCATTGCACCTTTCATCCAGTATTGACTTGATGTTAGAGGATGGGTGTACAGTATGCCCTACCCTGCGGTGAAATGGCACCTAATCAACATTGCGAGCGGGCCATGGTTGCCAGATTGCGCGCCATACTGAGTACTCCTTCTTTCTTAATGCACTTAACTGCCTGATGCTGAGAATACCCTCCACTCTGCCTTGCAGGGCCAGCAGCCTCAAGCTGAAAAGAGCGCCGTCCGATCAAGATGGCGAGATGCCGACGTCGCCGTTGGGTGATGGGATATCTGATCGCATGCGCAGCTCTTCCAGCGGTTTCACTGCCCCTTCCAGCGGCGAGGTGAGCAACATGAGGGAGAAATGCTGCTCCAAGAACATAGTACTTCACATGTAGAGTTGGGCCAGATATTGTCAGGCCTGAAAAAGAGAACATAAGGATGGGATTGGGTGGGGATGCCTCCCTCTTGTCCGAGGGAGAGCGCTCTGACGAATTGTGGCAAAGGAAGCTCATGCAAGGAGGCAGACAGCAAGCTACAGATATTACCTTACACACACAATCAGATATTCAACCATCAAGGCAGAGCAAGCGTTGGAGAAAATAATCGCTGTGCAGCAATTATAATGGTCGTCGTCGTGATTTGTCACAACAATGCATGCATACAGGTTCCCCCGGAGGTGGTCCCCCCAGTGGTGCGGCTGAGAGGGGGGTCCGATGAGGCGGTTAGCAAGGCGTCAGGTGAGTGCGCTGAATCGCACCCGGCGTGGGGCTCGCCCCTGGAGACGGGGCAGCTTGATCCGGCGCGCGGGCAGCAGATGCTGGATGAGGTCAGCGCTGACTCACCCTAACCACTGGATGTAAAGTTGTTTTGTGCTTGGAACATGGTCTCCGCCATCTCTGGCCATGCCATTGCTTTCTTGTGCATTTTCAGAAGGCAATGCATGGGGACTAATCACTCAGAATACACACAGACAAGAGGACAAGGCCGGCAAATCACTCGATAACAAAAGTCTCTAAGCTGTTCCTCTCTCAAGCTGCAGGGCCGGACTCCAATGAATGTTCTAGTGCTGACTCACCGGGTGACTCATTGCGCACAGGTGGCGCGGCTGGCAGAGAACAACGCGGCGCTGCAGGACGAGGTGGAACGCCTCAAGACGGCCCTGGAGCCAAAAGAGGTGCCGCTCTAAGACACCCGTTGTTAGCCTCTCAATACTACGAGGAAGAAAGGCTGACGATGATTCCTGACCTGATGTCTTTGCTCTCCATGACAGTCATCAATGCAGAAATCACATTGGACAGACCCGTATTTCCACAGGCGGGCTAATACAAGTATTCAGTTCTCATAAGCTTGGCAAGGAGGAGGTTCTCACTGAGCTTCCAGTCTCAACGTTGCTGTTGCTGAAGTTGGGCAGTCATTCATTGCTCATCTTGGATCTGAAGTCCTGGATTTTGCTTGCTGCAGGACGAGCTGGCCACGCTGCACGCTGTGAACGCTCGGCTGGCCGAGGAGAACGCAGAATTATCCGCTGCCGTGGAAGCCGCCGAACGCCGCGCGACGGACGCCGCCTCCTCCGCTGCCGACGAGCAGACCACCGCCACGCTCGCCGCAGCAGAGGTCCGAATTCGAACCAGAAATTTTCCCAACCAAACACTGTATATCTTATACGCTGTGTCTGGCCCCTCAATGCAAAAATGATTGGGTCAGAGGTCTGGAGGTCTGTACTGAAAAATTTCAGGAGTCTTAGGTCTGTGTGTCTGAGGATATCCCGATGATCAGATCACCGCGGCGCTGGCGGTTGCAGAGGTGTGCTGGCAACACGAATGCCAGAGCCTTCACAACATCGATATTATCAAAGCATCTTTGTGTTTATCTGAATGTGTGCAGTGCAAAATGAAGGTTGGGGAGGTCGTTGCTGTGAAGCTGGCACTATTTGTTGGAAGCAAGGCCACTAATAGACTTGCCTGCACTGCACTGTGAATGCATGCTGCATGGATCCCTCTTCAATGCATCTCCTCTCGGCTGTGAAGGCACAGAGATTACTAACCTTGTCACGGCTACAATTAATGTGAATATTAGCAATATCCTTTGATTGTAAAATGAATGCCCCGGCTGGCGGGGGGCGATATAAACTCCGAGCACCGTGCCCACTGTTGATTGGGTCTTGCTCGGATCTGGCGAGTCCAACAAAGGGTAGGAGTATGGCAGCCTTCAAGTGCAGCACTGCAGGACGCACCTTGCCTCTTGGCAGGAAAAGCGTGTAATAATAATATTAATAGACAATTCGTCAGGCACTGATGAAACAGTTCAAAACCTCCAACAGAACCCCAAGCCGTCAGGGGACATAAAGGGGCATGTTGTACAGGAGGAGATCCGCGCGCTGCGCGGCGACAATGCCACGCTGGCAGGTGAGGTGGAGCAGATGAACCGAGTGGCCAGCTACGTGGGCAGCCGAGTCGCCAAGGTGAGTCAAGCATTGTTACCTTTACCAACCCTAAACCATATAGGGTTTATTTATTTTGCTGAATATTACCCTAAACTGTAAATATAAGCCTGTGGGTTTAAAATAAAGGAGCATTTGGGGGTGTTGGCACCCGTTGTTGGAAGATCAGAAGTGTGAAATTCATACATGGGTACTTGGCTTGCTGCAAGTGAAAAGTAATTTGGCCTGCCTGCTGCATGTTGACCAGCATCCCATCTCCTGGGACACCCAATGCACCTGAGACACACAATGCATACATGCCCGCCAATGATACTGCATTGCTGCATGCATGCAACGCTGAAATATGTCTGCTATTCCCCTCTGCTCGGTGGCTGATCAGTAATTTTGCTGATGTGGCAGGTGCTGGCGGGGGCACGGCGCGCGAACAACTACAATGCGGCCCTTGTCGGGGAGTTGAAGCGATGGAACAAGCGGCTTGAGGTACAGATTACATTTCCTTTGTTTCGCACCTTGCAATTTTTTTCTATCATAGTAACCAGTTGCTGCCAGTTGTTTGCATCCTTCAGAAATTTCATGCACTGCAGAGGTGTTTGAAAGGGTCCTCTTAATGAATATTTTGAACCTTCTCTTTGCGCCTTTGCTTAGAATAGCTGCGTATAGTTCCGCATTTCGCCACATTGCTGTACCCTGGCGGTCTTGATAAATCCTGGACCCTGAATTCAGATGATTTTGCTTTTTCAGGGCCTAAGTAGGGTTTTCATTTCGCTGGATGGGGGTTGATTGTAGAAATTCACGTGTTTGAAGCCTGTTGCTTCGACCCTAACAAGGATCCTTTCCCCTGGCCCCAGGGGGAGAACACGCGGCTGTATGCGGTGATAGATCGGCTGAACCTGCGCGGCAGCGACGCCTGCTCTGACACCTGCAGCCAGCTGTCAGACCCGCCGTCCGTATACGGACACCGCGAGGTAGTAATCCTCTGCAATGATAAGTAATCCTCTGCAATGATAAGTAATATGCTGTTCCCTTCAGTATCAAGGTGCTGCCGCATGACTACATGCCACAGCTTAAGAAGGAGAAGGAGTGTGCAGCTTGGGGCTTTCCTTCCTACCCTGTATGCCCCGCAATCAGATCTGATGTTAAGATAGTCAGCTTTGATTGCTGTGGTTTTTTGTGCCGGGGCCGTGGACAGGCCCACCACCTTCAAGCATCTAGGCAGAGGCATGTTCTGTAGTTCCTGCTTCTGTTGCGCTGTCATAGATCTTCTTGCCTCATCTTGCCAGCCGACCTCCCATTCGACAGCAAAAGCACGGTGTTGATGTATTCTCCTTCCAATCTAGGATTTTCTGGGGCCTGCACTCTGATTCATGTGCATGCGAATTCAGGACCAGGCGCGAGGCGACAGCGCGGTGCTTGTGCGGCGGCTGGAGGAGCAGATAAAGAGCCTGCAGCGCGAAATCAACCTCCCGCAGGATGGCCTCGCGCAGCTGTCACCACCCAAGGACGCCTCTTCGCCCTCGCCGTGCGTTACATTCACCCTTCTTGACACCCCTTAACCTAGATTCGCAGGCGCAAACCCCTGAGGTTTTTGAGGGTCTCTCCCCATGAGAGCCTTACGCAGCTGTCCCCTTTAAAGAACGCCTCCTCACCCTCGCCGTGGGTGATTTCGCCCATCTTCTCTGAAAGAAGATGCCCCTGATGCCCCCCAAATCCTATAAATTCTCCGCTGTGTGAAGTGCAAGCTAGTGATAGCTTCCCTAGAGCACGTCCATGCCATGAACGCCTGACATATGTAAAGGGGATCAGTGATTGAACCTACCGTCAGCAGCTGTAGAAGCTGGCAAGCAGACACACAGGCAAGGCTACCAGTGACAAAACCTAAATTGTCCTGATCGGATTTTAAATATGGATTCCCCTTTTACCCCTCGAAACCTGCATTGAGTGTCAGCAGCGACTGTCTATCTATCTATCTATCTATCTATCTATCTATCTATCTATCTATCTATCTATCTATCTATCTATCTATCTAGGAGCTTGGTTGAGTCTTTAGCAGGTTTGAGCTGGGAGGGTGCCTTGCACCGCCAATCTGAAGTAGCTGAATACATACATCTACAGATCTTGCCGTTTTGAAGGGGGGGTGATAGTGTGCTGACTGGATGCTGACATGGCACTGACTGTGCAGGAGCAGCAGCAGCGAGGGCAGCATGGCGGTCGTGCCCAAGGGGCAGGCGACTATTGCGCGGCTGGGAAGCCCTAGGGTTGTCGCTAATCTGGGGGAGATACAGGCGGCCAACAGCAAAATGGCCGAGGAGCTGGAGAAGGTCAATTCCGACCTGGCGCAAGCCCTCAAGGGTCTCCAAGAGGTGAATAACACGTCTGACATACCCTACCATCATACAACCTGGATCATCGCTTGGCTTTGGGGTGCTTGAGATGATTCCGACTCGGGGCAGCACCCCAACCAGGTGCAGGCTCTTTCCAAGGGGACTTCATGAGAGTGTGAAGACAACCTGAAGAATCCCATAGCGCCCCTCTTTTGCCCCTTTTTTGCTTGACGTGACATCCTCTGGCTTGCTGTCAGGACGCAGCTCCTGCCAATTGGGGACTTGCGCAAGACGACTTGAGCTGATGATGTTTTTGGCTTTAGCAGTGATGCCTCTGAACCTGAGCTAGGCTGTGAGGAGATGCCACGGAGCTTGCACTGCCCTGGTTTAGTCGCCCTTTGACCGGCTGCAGATTCTTGTAGCCCCCGCTGATGTGCCTGCAGACTGCCTGCCTGTGTGCCCTATGGCCTCTGGCTTTTGGTCTGCCGCACCTTGGAAAACGTTGCCATGCTTAATATGCACTTAAAATAAACATTTTGGACCACAGGCGGAGGAGGCTCGAGAGAAGGCGGCTGCAGCTGCGGCGGAGGCGGCAGCACTGGCGGGGCAGGCAAAGGCGCTTGGGAGAGAGGCCAAGATTGGGCGCGAGCTCAGGGATGAGAACTACCGCCTCGAGGAAGCCTTACAAAAGTGAGTGTTCTTACTTTATCATTAAAAGGAAAAAATAAGACATCTTTTAAAGTGTCAGAGGTACGAGAACTGCCGCCTAGAGGAGGCCCTGCAAAAGTGAGTGTCCTTGCTTCCGAAATACAAGTTTGAAAAGAAAACAAATTTAGAGGCAATGGGAGGGAATGCGAGGTAGGGCGCGCTCTCAGGGGCGAGAAGTACCGTCTTTGGGAGGCTTTACAAAGGCTTTATCTAAGTCTTACCTCAATTTTAAGGAGGAGGAAGAATGGGAAGTTCCTGACTCAAACTGCGAGGATCCAGATACTAAGATTACCAACCCTTCTTGTGGTGCCGTCTGTTCAGGACGCAGCGCCAGGTGGCGGAGCTGGAGGAGGAGATTGAGGGCCTCGAGGAGGAGCTCGAGCGCCAATCGGCCGCCGCCGCCGAGGCCGACAAAGCGCGCGCGTCGCTCGGAGCCCTCAATGCCGAAGCCGAGACACTGCGACAGCAGGTGAGCAATCTAGGAAACATCCTGGCTTGAGGGATTCTTATTTTGAGCTCCCCAAAAGAAAAAGCCGGCCCCGGCTGGCGGGGGGCGGTATAAATACTGAGAACCGTGCCCACAGTTGATTGGGTCTTGCTTGGATCTGGCGAGTCCATCAAGGGGTAGGATTTTGGCAGCCTCTACTGCAGCTTGTCTGGCAGGAAAAGCGTCTAATGATAATGATAATGATAATGATAATGATAATGATAATGATAATGATAATGATAATGATAATGATAATGATAATGATAATGATAATGATAATGATAATGGAAAAAGAAACAGAAAAGAAAAACCATAAAGCGGCGGCCGAGGCCGACAAAGCGCGCGCGTCGCTCGGAGCCCTCACTGCCGAAGCCGAGACAATGCGGCAGCAGGTGAGCAACCTAGGAAACATCCTGGCTTGAGGGATTCTTATTTTGAGCTCCCCAAAAGAAAAAGCCGGCCCCGGCTGGCGGGGGGCGGTATAAATACTGAGAACCGTGCCCACAGTTGATTGGGTCTTGCTTGGATCTGGCGAGTCCATCAAGGGGTAGGATTTTGGCAGCCTCTACTGCAGCTTGTCTGGCAGGAAAAGCGTCTAATGATAATGATAATGATAATGATAATGATAATGATAATGATAATGATAATGATAATGATAATGATAATGATAATGATAATGATAATGATAATGATAATGATAATGATAATGATAATGATAATGATAATGATAATGATAATGATAATGATAATGATAATGATAATGATAATGATAATGATAATGATAATGGAAAAAGAAACAGAAAAGAAAAACCATAAAGCGGCGGCCGAGGCCGACAAAGCGCGCAAGTCACTCGGGGCGCTGACCGACAAAGCCAAGACAATGCGGCAGCAGGTGAATGAATTTTTTGCATGCAGGTAAAGCGAGCATCAGAACTCGAGTTGCAGGCTCTTCTTTTTGGACAAGCGGCAAAGCTGTAGACCTTGTTCCCATGTTGGCAACCCAGAAATCATGCTTTCCCCTCGGCGGACCTCAGGACAGAGCTTCGCTGGCTGCGCAGCGCCGGTTTTACCTGAGATCTCAATTTCTAAGTGCCGTACCTTTGGATGTTTAAACTCCATGTGTAAATGAGGCTTGGGTGTGGTGTCACAGCTGGCGGCCAGCAAGGCGGAGCTTGGGGAGCTCAGGACTGCCAAGGCGGCGCTGGCTCAGCAGCTGGAGGCGCTGGGTGCGGAGAACAAGCGGCTGCTCCAGCGCAGCGCGCTCGCCTACAGCCTAGCAGCCGAGGCAGACGCGCTGCGGCAGCAGGTGGGGATCTTATCAAATTGTTGGCAGCCCCAGAGACTTAAACTGTGCAAAGCACATTTGACTACTGCAAGGGAGAAGAAAAAATGTGAGCTCTGGGCAGACCAGAACTGCATGCCAGAGCCAGCCGATCACGGGAAGATATCCCAAACGACATCAGACCCTGTCAACGAGCAAGGCCGCACCCAAAGACAGGGCCGATGGTGGGGATGTCCATGACGGCCTTGTCGCGGCCCACATATGCGAGGCTGCCCTTGTGCCCGTAACGGAACCCCTTGAAGCCCGTAATGGGCTTCCCGGGCGTCCCCTTGCCCTTGGACAGCAGCTTTTCTTCTCAAAGTTTAGTAGCATAGCGATATGAGCACTTGGTGGCTGTACTCAAAGCTCTTACTCGATGCTCTAGTATCACTGGTAGCGAGATGTGCATGTTCGTGCATATATTGCAGCACTGGAGACAACCTCTGTTTATTGAATAAATCAGTGTGACTGCCGGACAATGGAAGCCTGCCGGACTGTATAAAAACGTCTCAATCAGAACTGTAGAAGTTGCCTGCCCCGCAGGGCGTCAGAGATTTGTCACTCAGTATTGCCTGCGCATGTTTTGTTTCAGCAGAAAAGGTGGAAACAGTAAAAGCTACTCTGATATGGCGCCTCCTCGTCAGTTGAGGTATCCCTGTTCCATGTAAACCCCAACACTAACCCCTGAAAGCTCCTCAATTCCCTGTCCAGGTGGCGGAGGTTACGGAGCTGCGAGGCACGACGACTCGACAGGACGGTGAAGTTCGGCAGCTGCGCGCACAAAACCAGGAACTCGGCCAAAAGGCGGCGCTCGTTGCAGTGCTCACAGCCGAAGCTGCCGCTCTCAAAGCGCAGGTGAGAACTAGATTGGAAAACCTTTCCCCCCCCCGGGATGCATATTTGGAGGGGTGGTTGCTGCTTGAGAGTCATGCAGAAATGTGGGCTTCTTACCGGGCTGACCCTTGCAGCCGCCGCCCGGTTGTCTGGAGTTTTTGTGGACGCGCGCTTACAACATCAACTTAGTAACATCAGGAAATGATGCACCTGTGATGTCTGGTCAGGCATGAGGGGTCTCCCATGACGTCTCAAATCTTCGACTCAAATGCAGCGACGTTGTCCGCGTCTTCGGTTGTCCCTGTTGCATCAGCAAGATGCATACCTCCTACAGCCTCCAAATCGCCCAGCTTGCTGCAAAAGCTATGCAGTCTCTCGTTACTGCCTTGCACTGCATCAGGGCCTCAGGGAGGCATACCATAGGGTGCTATTCCAAGAAGTGATTTACGTAATCAAGTTGAAGAGGGCGTCTGCATGTTAATCACAGATTGAGGCGAAGGAATCGCTGGTCAAGGAGCAGGCGGGCCGCCTGGCTGAGCTGGAGGGCTTACGGGCCGAGGCAATGGCGTTACGGAACAGCTTGGCCGCCGCGCGGGCCGAGGCGCTCGGGCATGAACAGCGCGCGGCTGTTGTGCCAGGGCTGGCTGCAGAGCTTACAGCGCTGAAAACCCAGGTAAGTTTTCCATTTTGAAATATTTTTTGAAAAGGAGATATGGTTAGGGTTAGGCAGTGAAGGCGCTCGGGCATGGTCAGCGAGCGGCTGTTGTTCTTGGGCTCACTGCCGAGCTGACCGCCCTCAAAAGCCAGGTGGGCTGTGCTTTTCAGATCTGTGTTGGGTATCCCTTTACTGGTGGCATGCCATGAGACATCGGCTTCAAAGGTGTGATGTAGGATCAAGGTGGCCTGGCGCCTTTATTTGTGCGAGTGCCGCAAGGCGCAGCTGCCTAGACTGGCACTCATCCTGGTCTTTGCCAGCCTAGCAAGCTGGCACACTCCCAAAGGGCTATCGTGCATCTTAAATCAGAGGCTGATTATGTGGGGAGCCAATCTCATGATCAAACCTTGGAGAGGGGAAGCGCTATCAAGATGTTGGCAAGATATTTGTTGATCTGATCTATGAAGGTGACCCGAGTGGAGTGTCTGCTTTAACAAATCACAAAACGACCCCTTATCTTACGGGGAGGTGCTTGTGATTATTTGTCAATCGATGGGGGCGATGCCGAGAGGGATTTTTTTTACCAACCCTAGAGGGGCCTGAAAGCTCTCGTGTGCTGATTGTTGCGGTTGGAATGCGACAGGTGGCGGACATGGATGCTCTGCGCAGCCGGCAGGGAGAGTCAAATCACCTCATCACCGTACTGCGGGAGGAGATCCAGATGCATCGCGAGCAGGTGCGCGCACATGCCTACCTATGACTAATCCGGCATGCAGATGCAGTCATGGTACAGCCCCCTGTTCTGTGGATGCCCAGCATGTCGATTCTGGATCTGGAGAAAGAGAATTGTCAAAGATGAGAGACCAGTTCAATACGGTAGCTTAAAGGAAAAGGTTGGACATCGCGACGTGCAATAAAGTTTAGTCATAGGATGCTCTGAACCCTAAATTCCTAAAAATACATAACTTCAATTCTGCAGGTGGATGCGCTGAAGGGGGAGAACCGTGAGATGGGCGCCAGCTCAGCGATGGCCTCCAGCAAGGCGGCCGAAGCGGAGGCCAAATTAGGCGATGCCGAAACCACCATTGTCACCCTAAGGGAGGAGATCAAGTCACAGCGGGAACAGGTGAGAGCATTAATATGTGTTTGTATACTGTATTTGTTATGGCAAATAGACGGTCTTCTGTGGCACAAGCTTACTGCACTGCGGAGTTTACCCATTCTGAGAACGTTCTTGTCAATTTCCTGCCCCTTTCGCAGACTGCTATGGAGCACTTTGCCTGCTGGGTTGTTCTGTGTGCATGGCCGGTCTTGCCTTGGCAAAATGAAATTTTGGATTGCCAGCTATGTGCATGATACAGAGGGCTGCACATTCTCTAGCTCGATCATTATTAAAATTCAGGCCTGAGTCCTTTCATCATGGTATTCATAAATGTGTCTTGTTTTTCTGCAGCTGGATGCACTGAAAAAGGAGAATCGGGAGCTGCACGCCGGCGCGGCGGCGGCCGCTACGGCTGCGACGGAAGCTGCCGCGAAGGTTGCGGACCTGGGAAGCCGCCTGGAAGCCGCCGAGAAGGGGGCGGCGAAGCTGCAGCAGCAGGTGAAGAAGCTGGAGCGGGAGAATTCTGCCCTGCCGACGAGCGAAGCCCTGGTGCGTCTTTCTCTGCTTCTAAACCTGACAGTCTCATCCCTGCTGCAACTGTACTGATGGTCGCTTTGCCAGTCTGGTGCATCTGCAAGAGATGCAATTGTGGGCACCGACCAAATAAATACTACTTACAAGCTCAACTGTCTAGAATATCAAGATTTTGTAGATTTGCCAAAACCCGCTCTAATAAAACTGGTCTGCCAAGGGATTGCAGTCAGACAGGGGCACATTTGCACCCGGCCGAAGGATGATCAGTTTTCGGCACCTCAAAGACAACTCACCTCCTCGCCTCATGCAACTTGAGCTGCAGGGCAAGACACCCTTCCCAGGTGCACCTTGAATATACAATGAGCCTCTGAAACCCCAATACATATAAATTTTCTGTCCCTACAGGCTGAGCTCCAAGGCAAGGCCGCTGAGCTGGAGGGCCAGGTCAGAGCGGAGCGCAAAGCGCAGCGTGATCTAAAACTCGTGCTTGCAGCTGCCGAGCGGCAATCACAATCGGACTCCACTGAGAAGACCGACCTTGCTTCCAAGTGCGCTCCTCTTCAGACCCTATCAAATACATTACTATCCTGGGGGTTTTGGGACCCTGTAGGTTTAGGGGAGTTGAAGGTTGGCTTCTCTTTCTTGGCGGCCGAGTGGCAGTCCTGCCCCGAGAAGACCCACCTTGCTTCCAAGTGGGTCATCCAAATAGTTTTGGCATTGTTTCCTAGGTTGTGGAAGTTGAGTGCACCCTATGATGTGGTTCCCAAGCAGGAGTCAATATCTGCTTCAGCTGCCTTGGGTCGACAGGCCCACACACGCATGCTGTGAGCTTGACTTTTGAGCCTTCACGCTGCATATCGTGGGATGAACCTTGCAGGCTGGCTTTAAGGAAGGTCCTCTCGTTTGTACCTGCAGAACAGAAATTCGAATATTTCAAATTTTAATTCGAAATCGCAGGCTGGCGGCGGTGGAGAAGGAGTGCGAGGAGGAGCGGGAGCGTTTCAGGGACTTGGAGGAACGGCTGTTGAGAACGGAGCAGTTCGCGGACCAGACTCTATCCGCGCAGAACCGGCTCGAGGCAGAGACAACACGGCTGCAGGAGGATCTGGCGGTGAGTCATCAGCGAGGCTGCTCAGGCTGGGTAGTTACTGATCATGATCAATGTACCTGGCATTTTCTGAACCTTTTTTTGGTCTGTGTAAGGCTATGATTGCACGGGGAGGGATGCCTCAGTTAAGGGCAGTATGGTTAGAGCGTGCAGTTGCCTTAATGAAGGCTGTCTCATATTCACTTGCCATGGTGTAGTCCCCAGCAAGCTAAGGCATCCGAAATATTGCCTTTGTCGGCTGTGAACCAAAGAGCAAATTGCACGAGAACATGACAAATCAGCATACATAAAGGGATGATGTTTCCTAACCAGAACCCCTCCAAAACTTCTCAACAGAATGAGCGGTGTGATGCAGGGGGAGAAAACGGCAAAGGGGGAGATACAGGAGCAGCTGGCAGCGGCTGTGCAGCGCGAGCGGGCAGCCGCCAAGAAGCTGGAGGAAGCTGCAGCGGAAGCCGAGAGCGCCCGGGGCCGGCTTGTCAAGGCCGACTCGGCGCTACAGGTACCTTACCGTCAACTTTCATTTTTTTTACATGTACATTTTACATGTAAATTTTTTATTGTAGGGATGCTACGACCTAAAGTATTTCCACTGGAGCAAAAGATGACACCCTCCTACCAGACAGCAACAAGTTTACTGTAAGAGTATAGAAAATTTCCATGGCAGCTGTTTGACCTTGGCAGCCCGAAGTAACCAAACCGTTCTGTTTCCAGCAAGAGACAGGTCCATCACTGAATGTACAACTGTACGTACAGCATGGAGCAGAGTGATCAGAGGAGAAATAAAAGTTGCAATGCCCGATTCTCTGTTGTGGCCTGTTTTGTTGTCTTCTGTTTGCTTGGAACAAACCACCCTTTCTCATACCTCCTCGTGGACCTTTGCTCTGTCTCTATGCACCCATGCTCTTGGGGAAATGCCGCATTCTTTGTCCGACAGACGGGCACTGTCTGACTTTGGGTTGTTGTGGATCCTCAGGCGGAGCGCGCACACCACGACAAGCTGGCCATTTCCAAGAAGGGCCTGGAAGACAGGCACGCCTCAAAGACGGAGCTGTGCAGGAAGCTGGAGGAACGCGCCAACGCCAAGGCGGCAGCTGCCAAGCAGCTGACGCAGCAGCTGCAGATTGCCACCCACGAGCGGACCAGCTTGGCTACCCAACTGGCAGCTCTGCAGGTACGCTCGGCCACTTATTTCATTTTCATCTTCATTTTCACTCTTGGCAGCCAACCAAGGCATCCCTGGGAGATCACATTGTGCGATCAAGAGTCCTGTTGTGACCGCCCATTACACGGGCTTGGAACTGTGATCCCTGCATGCATTCTTATTATCCACCTCCAATGTGTTTTGTAGATGATAACTTTACATGTGAAATCGTTACAGCACTCCAGCAGCGCAGCTCAATAGCAGAAGTGACACCCCATTGGTGCTGCAGGAATCTCACGCTGAGGAGGCGAAGAACAGCCGCCGCGAAGCCGCCACGCTGGCGGCAGAGGCAGAGAAGCTACGCGGGGAGCTAGAGCGCGCACAGGTGGGTCTAATCAAATATTCAAATCCCACATGAATGAAGATAGCGCAAATATGTGGGAGTTTCGGCTTTTCAAAGAAGCATGGCTTAGACTGGAATCTGCAACAGACTTGCATGGGTGCATCTGCATCTAGAGAAGATACTGGCGACACCTGAGGAGGGCACAGGTTAACCTCAAGTGTGTGTCATTTCTTTTGCACTTGTAAATCAATTATTCCGTGGCTGGTGGGGGGCGGTATAGTAACTGAGCCCCATGCCCAAGATTGCTTGTGGCAGCCTTCACCTGCAGCTGGTGTGCAGACGCACGTTGCCTTTGACAGGGGAGGTGTGTAATAATTCTCTTTCTGAAATTAAATCACCCCATTTGCAGGCGGCTTCTCGGCAGCTGGCGGCGGGCGGCCAGGCGGAAGCCGTGCGGACAATCGGGAAGCTGGAGCGGCTCGAACGAGAACTGGCGGCTGCGCGATCCGCGCATGGCCGCGCCGTCGAGGCCGGCAATAAGGTACGGCTCTTTGGCAAGGAAGTTGAGCCCACCTTTATTGGGAGCATCATGTCCGGAATAATGGTCTAAAAAATATATATATATATATATATATATATAAAAGAGGGGACCTAGAGCGCAGATGGGCCGTTGCACAGACGGCGCCTACAAAAAAGAGCCAAGCAACGCTCAGCTTCCAAAGGTTCATCGAAGGCTCGGGTGCTTGTTTTGGCGATGCATTGTCAGAGAACGGTCTAGTGAGCTTTGTGGAAGACACTGTCAATCAGCGCAAGAAGCAAGATAGACTGTAGAGCGTCCCTTGTGTACTGGTTCAAGCCTGCCGTGGCCTGAGGTCACATTCCAAGATCAAACTCAGCGCCAGCAGCACTTGGCGGAAGAATGCGCAGGAAACCTTACTGAACAAATTCCAGGAGTCGGCAACTGGGCTGAGGTTCTCACAATGGTGCCAGGCTGTCAAGGAGACGAGGCAGGCGCATGGGGAAGATGCAGAGAAGCTGCGGGCGGAGGTACGCACAGCCGTGGCAGCCAGGGAGAAGGCGGAAGCTGCGCTGAAGTCGCGGCTGGCCGCCAGCGAAGAGGCTGTGACCGAGCTGAAGGTGTGATCCCTCCTTCCAACCTCTCGCCCTTGACATTCTTGAAACATGGGCACAGGTGTCTTGATTTTCTCCACCATTCATTGAAAAATCAAAAGAGACGGATGTTGAGGCAATGTGCTTACGCCGTTGCGCCAACAGAATATGCATGTCAGGTGTGTGAATCTCGGGAGTTTCTGCAGCACTCAGTACATACATGGCTTCTGCTGTAGAGACATGAAGCCAAGAAATAGCTGTTGCAGTAATTGAATCGCAACGGTCTCAAAGATAGAGATTCTGATAATTCCATCCCCCGCAGGCTGATCTGGCAAAGGCAGAGGCGGCGCTGAAGATTGAGAAGCTGGCAAAGGCAGACATGGAACGCCGCGTGGCCGTGGCAGAGGCGCGCATCGCGAAAGCTGCCAGGAAGCTGGCGGCGCTCGAGGGGAAGCCGCCCGGAAGCGACCGCGACGCCAAGCCTTGGCCGCCGTCGCCGCCGGCGGTGACTCAGCCGGCGGTGAGTCAGCAAGTAAGTCAGCGGGTGACAACCCCAGGCACCCTTGATTTGCAAAAGTGTCTTTCGAACATCTGCACATATTCTTGGTCCCTGGGATGCTGGAAAAGAAGCTAATGTCAGTGCTTTGGTATCGTTGAAACAGAGACATCTTCTATTCTTGAACCGTGAGGTAGAAATGTTTGACACTGCCCACCTCCTTCAAAAACAATGACTACTCAGCAAGTATCACATGCATGAATACGGTCTGTGACATTAACATTTGGTGTGGGTGCTTAAACAGGCGGCGCCGCAGCTGCCCAGAGAGCTGCCCGAGGTGGCCGAGCCGGGCAGCTCGCTGTGGGTGACGCTGCCCAGCCCCAGGACCTTTGGGCAGCCCGAAGAACCCCCGAAGCTGCCCACGCCAGGTCAGCCTCCCCTTCTTTTGTGCTTTATATTGTATCGTAAAATTCAGGCCCTAGGGTGTCTACAGTAACATGTGCCATTAGTGGGTTTGCTTGTCCATCTCCTACAGCTGGCTGAACTTTTGGAGCTGCAGTATACTATAGTGCACACATCTAGTACGCCTGGGGGAATCAGGCGGCACTGCAAGCGTAAGAAAGAAGTGTCTTCCAAACTGAAGTACAAACTCGTCATCAAACAAACACTACGTTCCTGTTGGGTTCCAGGGATTGCACTTGCTGGCAGCGGGCACCAATACATATGGATGAGGTTTCAGAAGCAGTGCTCAGATATCATGTGTGTGAGGTGTAAGGAATTCATTGCATGCTGCGCAGAGAAAGCAGCTGCTCCGCCTCGGAAAGCGTCTCCCAGCAAACCCTCCGGCGTGCTCTTCGTTGACCCCAAATCCCCCAAATCCCAGCCCCAGGTAAGGGTGTTATTATAAACACAAATCCCTCCTCCTCCGCTGCACTCTTTGGGAACCCTTCATGCCCTTACCTTTTGCTGCACTGGTGAGCACGGATAGAAGGTTTCCTGGAGATTAATGTGTGTTTGCACCCCTCAAATGCTTGTGCTCTCCTTCTGCTGATGTCTTCAAAGCCGTACCGGCTCCTGAGAGCACTTCAGTGCACAATGTTTACTGAGCCAGTTCAACAGACCTATGATGGTCTGCAAATAATCAATTGACGTACAACTGTCGATTAAACTCTTTAGATTGGCGCACGTTCACAGGCAAAGAAGGGTGGAGGGATCATCAGTCCGCTGCTGTTCTGGCGGCGCTCCTCGGCATCGGAGCCAGAAGAGGCGTCGGATGAGTCATCCTATCAAGAGCCAGATGAGTCAGCATTACACGAGCCGGTGGGAGGGAACGCGCATGAAGGCGTCCTTGATGATGTGGACGACCTCATGGCCAAGCTGGCAGAGCAGCAGGTGAGTCATCCCGTCATGCTGCCAGCACATGACGGGCCTTTGAAGCACAGAGCAATGCCCTGAAGTAATTTTGTATTAATTCACTATTCTTATGGGCATACCATGCCCTGCTTGCACCACTGAACTTGACTGCCCCATGCAGTACATCTCATGATACCGTATTGATCAACATCCGTGAAAACGGCTCCTTTGACTTGGTCATAAATGGGAGCACCATTCTTGATGCCGTGCTGCAAAACTGTGGAGAGAAGAGAGCATGATAAATATGCTGCTATTCATGGTTGTTGGCTTCTGACAAATCTTCTGTGAATGTGCAGGTGCACAACGCCTTTGAGCAGCATGTGGCGACCACTGATGTGGAGGGATTCATGCGTGCTCTCGGCTTTGAACACTGGAATGAGTCATCCAAGGACCCCGGTGAGTAGTTTGTGTCCCATCCTGCTCCACGTTGACAAGACTATGAAATTTATGTACCTGCAAGCGTAAAATGACTTTTTTGGATGTTGGCAGATCTGATGCTTGGTGTTGTTGCTTGATGATGCATCTAGCAAAGTTACCGCAATCTGTACTTTGTTCTTGGAGGGTGTCCTTAGAGACTGAAGAGATGGCTTTTCATTTGACCCAACAGACTGACAGGTGATTTCCTGGCACGTCTCATTGCAGGGGATGTATTTGGGCAGGCCATCATTGCCACATCAGCATCGGAGCACGCTGGCAAGTCCACATGGGACCGCGAGCTGGCGGCAGCTGCGCACCAGCTGCTCATCGAGTGGCAGCAGGAGCTGGACGAGGATGACTCATGATTACTCAGCGGATGACTGATGATCAATCATTGATTAGCTCTCTCGACAGGAGGTCTGCAGGTATCTCAGCTTAAACTTGCCCTCAATGAGCAACAGCCCACGAGCTCCCACAGAATGACTCAGGAATAGTCACCGGCGGCAGCTGCCTCCGTGCCAAAGCAGAAAGGTCTCAAGTCTTCTTGACTTGGACCGAAACACCCCGCATCAGCTCTGGTACACTGATGCATTGATGGACAGATTTCAGGGAAGGAGCAAAATTAGCCGCGCACTGCTAGATCAATAAATTTGAGATATGGGATGAGATTAATCAGATTGAGGGGCATCGCAGGGTTGTGTGAAAGGGAAAAAACCCCAATAATTGTCACCATTAGGTGACCCTCAGAAGAAGTTTTCAGTTGCAGGGGTCAGCAGTCCGAGCACATGAGCCGTCCAAGGCTCTGGACAGCGCTGATTTGTCAAGATCCAACAGCTGTGTCCCTCAAGACACTCTGAAAAATAGAATTACTCTGTGCGGCGTCCTGTCTGAAAGCCTCTTGTGGCTTCAGCAAACCCACAGATAGCTATAAGGATATATTTCTTGATACATATATACATATATTTATGTATAGATATTGGCTGTCCAGTGTCACTCTGTGCATGTGTAACAGCCAGTCCTTGACGTGTCACTCATTATTGGTGAACTTGCCTAGGACGATGGCATGTCCACAACAAGCCTACAGGAACATGTCTGACAACAACTGAAAATGTAAGAGACACCATTGTCCTGACAGGATGGTGTGACAATCCTTTGACAGTGTTTTATATCATTTGAGAGATTTGGCACTAGTCAGGACCCGCGTTGGCCGATTGATGCTGCAGGGTGGAAAGATAATGCTGTGCAGCTCTTGCTTATTAGAAGACTGATCTGATTGATGTCTGTGAAGAGTTCCTCACTCAACTGCACATATCATATGCGTGCGTGGAGTGAGGAAGTTGCCTGGCAAGCATGCGCATTGTGCAGTACATTGGTTGCATTGGGACATTTTTGGAGACATTTGGGTTGAGTTCAAGCCTGGCAGCACTGTGCAGTCATACCAGCACTGTGAATATTGAGCCTCTGTGGTACCAGCAATCTTTGTCAGCAATTGCAATTCCACTATCTGTCAAGGCCTCGGTCTTAAAAGTTAAGTTACGATCTTATACTCTGACTATAGGTTGGAGGGCAGCTTGCAAAGTGCGCATGTAAGCAGCTGCAGAGCATCTTTGAGGAGCTATCATCATGCGCTCCGAGCGCAGAGTCTGCAGATATACAGGTGTAGAGCTTGAAGGGATAATTTTTGCCATGAATTTAAAAGTTGTCATGTACATTTTTTCTTGGTGATTTGGGCGATTCGAATATGCTGATCACTACTCGTGATGCACGTCTGTGCACTTGAAATTCGACCTCTTTCGGTCTCTATAATATCAGGCTGCTCTGACATGAAATGAGCCACCGGTCCTGGATTATCTTGCCACATGAACTGACGCATAGTGGTGATACTGGGCGCAAACAGGCTGCCATCCCTAGCACGCAGATCATGAAGCACAGGACAACCAAAGACAATTTGCCTTTCATCACTAATGGCCTGAGTGTTGCACAATTGACAGAAACGTTTTAAGCGAGGTAGCTCGATTTCTCCATCGACCCTGATCAAGTGAAAGATCGTGACAACCAGTGCGAAATCGCAGGAAGAGTGGAAGTGTTGTAATAGACACAAGAATCCTAAGACAATGGCGAACGGGATGGGTAGCAGCAGCCTGCAGTCTGAGATCAGTTCTTATAGGTACAAAGTCGAGCCCTCTGTGTGGCACAGGTCCTAGGACACAAAGCCAAACCCTCCCAGTGTGCATCTAATAGATCCTGTAACTGTTGCCGAACCTGGGCCAACGATATCTGATCCATGGTGTTGCAGGCAATATCTAGGGAGATACCCAAGGTTTTCCAGGCCTTGTGTACACAAAGCCATTTCAAAGGAGTTCACGTCTGAACTCCAAGCCCATTTCGTTGTGATGTGCACAATAGCATCCCCGAAAGCATTCAGTGCAATTTATCTATGCAGGCTGTCGTTCTATCAGCTCTCACCTGAATTATTTTAGCTGGCCAGCGAAAGTAAGCAACACGAGAGCTTAGGGCGACCTGTCACATACGTCGGAAATAAGATGAACATTTATTCTTTGATATCAGAGCTCTTGAGATCAGCTGCATGTGCCTGCTATAAGTGTGGCAGGGTACTGCATGTACCGCAATAGCTGCCCATGGCTTGTTCAATCCATGACTTGTCCGTTCGAAAGGTGTTCATGAACAGGGCCTGAACAGGCCTTTAGTATAAGAGGTCGCTCAGCACCCAGCTTCGCATGACCATGGCGGTCACGGTGACACTATCAGGCTTTTATATAAAGAACATCACAAAATGCTGAAATCGGTATTCAGGGAAGAGTACCCAGGCCTGCGACGCTCCCAGTGACGATGGCCAGGTGATGAGTATGGGAGCTGTTGATGGTTCAAAGCCAGCCCATACTAAATGGCTTATATGATGCTGAATATGATATATGAGGAAAGAGGACGGCTGTTTCGGTCTTTGACCTGAGTCCTGGTTCTGGATTTTGGTTGCTGTCTACCAACATTTCAATATGTAATAACACGGAGGGCGGATCAGCAGAAACTCATCACACAGAGAGTGTAAGGGATGGTGAAGAGTATATTATAAACACCATTCCATTATTTTGGTATCTCACATAGCAAGAACCGCAAGATGGCTTCTGGATGTTAACCGTGGTGAGTCAGTCTGTACAGACTTTGGACCTTGCGTGGCAAGCCACCAAGGTGATTATGGCTGAGGGAAGCCCTGTTATGCAAATATTCTGGCCGTACTTATAGGTTTCTTGCATCAGGTTGAAGCCTTTTTGGTGAACGCCCTTGATGGCCTTTTTCGCAGGTACACTGCGCTCGCTGCGGCTCTGATTTTGACACTGCTGGCGAGCAGCCGAGCCTTACAGTGCCTGGATTTGCCCGTGGCGACGAGTGGGTTCGAGAAATGGGTAGGCGTCGTCGCAAAGGCAATGTCCTTTGGCGGACGCAACCAGGCATCCTCTCTGCAGGCCCTGAAAAGCTTCCAGGCTTCCGTGGCCGCAAAAGTGCAGCAGCAGGTGCCTCCCTGTGACCCTTCCAATGGACAACATCTGGCTCACGGTTGCATCTCTGCATCGCATGTGTAAGGTTTCTCATATGTAGCTTTTTCACTGGCATTCCTGTTGGAGGTTCACCAAATCAGCAGAGAGCTGGAGGCCTGAACGGAACAGCCCACACAGCTGCAAAAACTCTGATTTGGTGATTATTTGTGAGAAACGAGGCTCTCTGCTTCCGTCAGGAAGACACCAATAGAATGGGGCGCCTTTTAAACTGAGTTGCGCTGCTGCATCTAGAGCAGCATTGAATATGCGGGCTGACATGTCATGAGAGTGCTTGAGACAAGCACATGGGATGCGCCTGAAGGACTTGAACGGTTGTTCTGTGGGGCACCTAGGGCGCAACTCTGAAGAAGCTGGAGAAGGGTGACATCAGCGACATCATCAAGCAGCTGTTGACTCAGCGCATCGACATCAGCGCCCCGGTCTTCTTTGACAACGCTGGCGGCCCCGACTCACTCATCAAAGGCAGCGGTAAGCAAACTTCCATACTTGAGTACATCCCCTCCCCACAAGCAGTGGTTGAAACTATGGCTGGTCATCCCAAAGTGTGGCAGTGTCCACAGAGCTGCAGGCACTTGCCCCTTACACTTGTGCAGCCTTCGACAATGTCCCAAAGGATGTGCATACAAGGTAGCGTGCAGGGACATGGGCACATATGCGTATAAGCTGCTTGCTAGGTTTACGTAGGAGTGGACGGGAATCGGCATGCTAGTAAGCAGCAGGCATAAAAACAAACAGTTTTAGGTAATTTACAAAGCAGCAATTGTTGCATTTAGACTGGATACTGACATGCCCTTTGCCATGTGCGCGCAGCTGCCGGCGTGTCATTTGGCTTCGTTGGCGCACAATACGCCCCCTGTGCCATTCCCATTACGCCAATTGGCGTCAGCGTGTCTCCCCAGGGCGCCATCATCGGGGCCCAGGTCTTTAACATCGGCCCCACAGGTCATGCCCGTTCGAAGGGTTTCAACCTCCATTTTGCAATGTCCGCCCACTTCTATTCAGGGCACCGAAGGGGCCGCTAATTATTACTTTTGTTTGAGCTTCCCTCTTGAGGTTTTGCTTGGTGGCAAAATTAGGTTGGTTTTGGGCTTTATTGTGTGCGCACTGTGGAGCTCAAGTCAGCCTTACCATATCCTGGTGCCCAAAATGAAGACAAGCAACTCTGTGTAAACTTTCCATTGCGCGTAGAGAGGCAGCCAATTTGCGTGCTCAGCTTTCTCGTGCAGACTTCAGTGCACGAGATGTCCATACTCTATCGGACAGACCTGCGGATACAATCCCCCACCCGGGTGTTTGTTTACTGAGCATCCGTTGAAGGCTTGCAAGGAAACTCTTGTCTTGTGTTTACAGGCAAGGCCTATATTTGTCACCTGTCTTGTTGACAATTTATTGCGCTGAGCTGTGAGGCATGTGCCGGCAGGTGTCAACATCCAGCCGCAGGGAGTCAACATCTCTCCAAATCTCATCATCATTGGTCCTTATGACACCACAATTGCCGGACAGGTGAGATATATAATAAATATACATCTTAACTAATATATACACCCTAAGCTACACACCCGAAAATATATAAACCCTAAAACATGAAAACCTTGAAAGAGGGAGATATAAAATCATACAGCCTTGACTTCTATATTGGTTCCACAATGCAGGGCCTAAACATTGCGCCAGCCCTCATTGCGATTGCGCCCACGCGCACAGTCATCAACCCTATTGGACCCTTGGAGATCTCCGATACCCTTGTTGATGCTCAGGTCCCCCTGCCTCCACAGCCGTAAGACATTGTTAGGATTGCTGACGAATAGGCCTGCCTAGGCTTGCAAGAAGGTTTCTGGCCCCACACATGAGCGCCCGAGCACCAGCATTTCTGATCAGCGCTGGCATTCGAGCTGCACAGGCAATATTAATAGAAGCTGACATTATCTTACCGAGTCTACACACAAGGGTTGCAGTTTCATTTTGAACACACATTTTTCTATCTGGCAGGCATACGAGAGTAATTGAAAGGCTGTGACGCATGTTACGCGGACCCTTAAGCCTGGCGCATTAGCAAAGCTGCCAGGCAGTGTAATGTTGCACACCATGACTGAGCTTGGATAGTCTTGGCAGTCACACGGGCATTCATGATCACACTGTGATGTGACATGAAGCGTGCAGTGCAAGTCAGACAGTGCAGTCAATACCTTGGTAGTAAGGCCAATCTGCTTGATGTCAGTGAATATATGGACCTGTTTCGTTCAACTGATACAAATCATGACTTCTGAGGTTTCTAGAGTCACTACTGGGTCATGTGCCCATGTTGGCCCTCGGATGTGGAACACTGATTGAATACATGCTTTAAACCTTCCTCTCTGGGCCCCGTGGCAGAAGACTGAGTACGTTGCTGTTAGTCACTACGACACGGTGTCGTATGTTGACTTGGGAAAGAGAGGAACGTTCAAGATGTGCATGCATGCAATTGCCCAACGTGGATAGCCTTTGGAGGCCACATCTAGGATGCCTATCATGCATTGACCAATTGAGTGGGACATTGCCTCACTGGGTTGGATTTAGCCGGGTACCGGGCTAGCGGGGGCGGTACAAAATATTGATTTTTGTGTTCACGTTTGATTGGATCTTGCTTTTATCTGGCGAGTCCAACAAGGGGTAGCAATTTGGCAACCTGTACAGGCAGCTTGCTATCTGCAATCAATTGTCTGCAGCCGCACCTTGCCTCCGGCAGAAAGGATTGTAATAAGCGTGTTTTAGATCAGATCTGCTCTAGAGGCTGATAAATAACATATGAAAAGTACTGATCCCTCTGTATAGTGCACAGCGCTGCTAGCTTAATTCTTGCTTGGGGGGGCCTGCCTTTAAAATCGGTTCTTGCTTTACTTGACCATATGGAACATGTGTTGCTTTGGGGCCCTTGGAGGATCAGGTGCCATGTGATACTAGGCAGTTATGAGGATGATTAAACTACGAGGACGATTAATATTATGAGGCTCATCATGATGTTTGGCTGTGAGTTGCAATGAGGCATGTTGATTTCTGTGGTTGACATATGCGCACACCATGCATGATGAAGCATTTATTTATGATTGAGGGTTTAGTAAGCAGCTGCAGAGCATCTTTGAGGAGTCATGATCATGCACATCTGCAGATATATAGGTCTAGGGCTTCAAGGGATACTTTGTGCCATAAAATGGTCATGTACACACTGTGAAATTTTTAGGTATTTCTTCTTTGCCGACTTAACTTGCAGGCTTGGGCATTCCAAATATGCTGATCACGACCGTGCACTTGAAATGTTCACATTCGACCTCCTTGGCACTCTAGGCAGATACTTGATAGCTGATATCATCAGCTCTCAGCTGATAAACATTAAACTTGAATTCGCGTGGAAAATTCAACTCGCCAGCTGAAGTGAGCAGCATGAGCTTATAGGGTCCAATAACTCAGGTCGGAAAAGAGAAGATCAGATATCCTTAGATATCACAGCTCTTGAGATCAGCTGCATGTGCCTGCTATAAGTGTGGCAGGGTACTGCATGCACGGCAAAAGCTATCCATGACTTGTTCGTCCGAAAGGTGAAAAGGGCCTGAACAGGCTCCTAAACGAGAGATCGCTTAGCACGCGTTCCACACGAGCTTCGCATGACCAAGGCTGTCACGGTGACATTGTCAGAACAGAGACATCAATTGCTGAGTAACTCTTCGGTATGGGAAGAGTACCCAGGCCTGCGACGCTTCAAGTGACGATGGCCAGGTGATGAAGCATGGGAGCTGTTGACATCAAGCACCGCCTCTCGTCGCGATGATAGAACGGCACTCTATGTTCATCGTTGATGTTGTGACGAGGACGACAGATTAAAGGGGGCAGGCTGTTTCGGGGTTTTTTCACCTGAGTCCTGGTTCTGGGTTTTGGGTGTGTCTATCCCATATTTCAAGATGTGAAAACACGGAGGGCGGATCTGCAGAAACTCATCACACCGAGAGTGTAAGGGTTTGTGACAAGAATACAACAATCAATATTGCGTTGGATTAATCTCTCACATGGCAGGAATTGCAAGATGGGATCCGGATGTTAAGCACCGTGACGGAGAGTCAATCTATAGAGACTTTTGACCTTCCGTGGCAAGCAATGAAGTTTATAATTATTGAGAGAAGCCCTGTTCTGCAAATGTTCTGGCCGTTACTTACAGGTTGCTTGCATCAGGTTGATGGACGTTTCGGTGAACGCCCCTGATGTCCTTGTTCGCAGGTACACTACGCTCGCTGCGGCCCTGGTTTTGGCAGTGCTGGCGAGCAGCCGAGTTGTACAGTGCCTGGATTTGCCCGTGGCGACGAGTGGGTTCGAGGAATGGGCAGGCGTCGTCGCCAAGGCAATGTCCTTTGGCGGACGCAACCAGGCATCCTCTCTGCAGGCCCTGAAAAGCTTCCAGGCTTCCGTGGCCGCAAAAGTGCAGCAGCAGGTGCCTCCCTGTGACCCTTCAAATGGACAACATATGGCTCACGGTTGCATCTCTGTATCGCATACGTGAAGTTTCTCACGTGTAGCTCTTTCACTGGTATTCCTGTTGGAGGTTCTTGCAGCCGAATGGGTTCTTGCATTAAGCCTCCAGCTCTCCGCTGTCTGGTGTTGAAGTCCTGTGAGAAACGAGGCTGTCTGCTTCCCTCAGGAAGTGACCAATAGGACGGGGCGCCTTTCAAACTGAATTGTGCTGCTGCATCTAGAGCAGCATGCAATATTTGGGCTGACATGTCATGAGAGTGCTTGAAAGAAGGACACGGGGATGCGCCTGAAGGAGTTGAACCGTTTTTCTGTGGGGTGCCCAGGGCGCAGCTCTGAAGAAGCTGGAGAAGGGTGACATCAGCGACATCATCAAGCAGCTGCTGACTCAGCGCATCGACATCAGCGCCCCGGTCTTCTTCGACAACGCTGGCGGTCCCGACTCACTCATCAGCGGCAGCGGTACGCAAACCCTTATATACTTGAGTACATCCAATGCCCACAAGCAGCCTGCCCTGAGGGCTTGAAACTATGTGTGGTCATTTTTGGTTTATCCCAAAGAGTGGCAGTGGCACCAGAGGTGCAGGCACTTGTGCGTATGTCCCTTACACTTGTGCAGCCTTTGATAATGTCCCAAGGGCTTGTGCATACAAGGTAGCGTGCAGGGACCTTGGCACATATGCGTATAAGCTGAATGCTAGCGTACCTGTAGGAGTGGACGGGAATCGCCATGCTAGTAAGCAGCAAGACGGGTAAAAAACAAGAATTTTAGGTACTTTACAAAGCAGCAACTGCTGCATTCTGGCTGGATACTGACATGCCGTTGCCATGTGCGCGCAGCTGCCGGCGTGTCATTCGGCTTCGTCGGCGCACAATACGCCCCCTGCGCCATTCCCATCGCGCCCCTTGGCGTTGGCGTGTTCCCCCAGGGCGCCATCATCCAGCCCCAGGTCTTAAATATTGCACCCACAGGTCAGGCCCTTTCTTAAGGTTTCAACCCCTGTGTTGCAATATCCACCCTTTCTTTCAGGACACCGAAGGGGCCGCTCATTAGTGCTTTTATTGAGCTTCCCTCTTGAGGGCCCTGCCCCCGGGTTTGCTTGGTGACAAACACAGGCTGGTTTTGAGCTGTGTTGTGTGCGCACTGTGCTGCATTGTGTAGTAGCGCAAAGTCAGACTTGCCGAGTCCTGGTGCCTGTGATGAAGACAGGCAGCTCTGTGTAAACTTTCCATTGCGCGTAGAGAGGCAGCCAATTTGCGTGCTCAGCTTTCTCGTGCAGACTTCAGTGCACGAGATGTCCATACTCTATCGGACAGACCTGCGGATACAATCCCCCACCCGGATGTTTGTTTATTGAGCACCTGCATTCTGTTTAGTGCTTGGAGAAGAACCCTAGCCTTGTTTTCACAGGCAGGGATTAGTTTTGTCTCCCGTCTTGTTGACGTTTTATTGTGCTGAGCTGTGAGGCATGTGCCGGCAGGTGTCAACATTCAGCCGCAGGGAGTCAACATCGCTCCAAATCTCATCGTCATTGGTCCCTATGACACCACAGTTGCCGGACAGGTAAAACACCCTGTCCGGACCATTATTTTGACACCCCTCCCTTGGCATTCATCAGGGGTGTGCTAGAGTGCTCACTGCTAATTCTTACATTCCCATAGTTTGCCTGTCAAGCAGCTGATCGTCATAGGCCTCAACATATGCCTAGAAATTGCTCTGTTATTTTTTGCGTTCAAGCATGCCAGATCCTTTGCTGTGGATTGACAAACCTCTGAAGGCTTCTGCAGTGGGTTGCCACCCTTGCATCCTTTTGGACAAACAAATTAACAGAACCTTTTCTTGTGCAACCGTTGACTCAACCATAAGGTGATGTTGTACAAAATTCCCTTAGAAGGCTGTGCAAGTGCAACGGCTTAGGTCTGTTAGTTAGCGTGTAGCGTGTAAGCTAAAATTACAAATTATAAACCCTAAAAACCCTAAGTAAAGATATTATATTAAAAAACAGCCTTGAATCCTGTATTACTTGCGTGTTGCAGGGCCTGAACATTGCGCCAGCCCTGATCGCGATTGCGCCCACGCGAACAGTCATCAACCCTATCGGACCCCTGGAGATCTCCGATACCCTTGTTGATGCTGAAGTCCCCCTGCCTCCAGGGCCGTGAAACCTTATTTAGGATTGCTGACCAACAGGCTTGCAAGAAGGTCCCTGACCCTACATCTGAGCCAGGGCCCGAGCGCCAGCATTTTGGCGCTGGCATTTTGAGCTGCACAGGCAATACTGATAGTAGCTGACATTATAGGCTGGACACAAGGATTGTAGATTTATCTATCTGGCAGGCATGCGAGAGGAATTGAAAGGCCGTGACGCATATTATGCAGAGCCCTCAGCTGGCGCATTAGCAAACCTGCCAGGCAGTGTAAGATTGCACAACAGAGTTATGCTTCCTAGTCTTGCCGGGCACACTGGCAGTCATGATCCCAGGAGTTGTGCACTGCAAGTCAAACAGTACAGTCAATACTATGGTAGTACGGCGCATCGTATTTGATGTCAGTTATTACTGGGATCTTTTTTCTTTGCAGCTACAGATTCACTGCTGGGTCATGTGACCATGTCGGCCTTTGGCTGTGGAACACAAATTGAAAACATGTTCGAATTATTCTTCTCAGGGCTTCGTCACGGGGGCAGAAGACTGAGTGCGTTGCTGTTAGCTTGTAGTACGTTGACTTAAAAAAGAGAGGAACGTTCACGATGTGCATGCATGCAAGTGCCAAACGTGGATAGTCATGAGAGGCCACATCCCCAATGCATATGATGCAGTGAGTGAAATACTGCCTTGCCAAGTTGAGTTGGACCGAGTTCCTGGCTGACGGGGGCTGTACGGATACTGAGCATCGTGCCCATAATTGATTGGGTCTTGCTTGGATCTGGCGATTCCAACAAGGGGTAGAAATTTGGTAGCCTTTGCATGCAGCTTGTCTGCAGACGCACCTTACCCCGGCAGGACTAGTGTGTAAATTAGTATGACAGTTTTTATTGAAATATGATCAAGGTCCACAAGCTCATCACTTGGATGAAGTGCCACACCTGAGGCAAGGAACATAGTCTAGAGCAAGGGGGGGCTACTAACAGCTTGTATATATACGCTTTAAAACAAATCCGAGTGAGTCACTTGCTGCTCCCAATTGGGAACTCTCTCAAGATAGAGCAAGAAGGTCGCGAGTCGCCATTATGCAAACATGTACACATGGATCTGCATGTCTAACATGTGCTGAACACGGTGGCGGGCCCCCCTCCGAAGGATTAAAAGTCCACCCCGAGAATCTGCCCACCGAGCTGGGCGCACGTGGCCTTGATTCAAATTTTGTTGCCTCCAATCGCCAGACACAGAACGGCAACAGAAGAAGGTTTTGTACTTGTGAAGGGACCTAATGACAGAAATGGGCCTCTGATGCATTGCACTTTGTCTGCGTAAGCACCGGAGATATCTCGAACACTGAGAGGAATCTCTTTGTGGTAAGCCAGATTAGCTTACGGCGCCATTTTTGCATTGGTCCGACTGCATTGAACACCAAAATCTATGGCAATCTTTATCAACGTGATGCATGTGCGCTTATCAGGCACGCCCGCTGTGATTACCCGCTGTGGCTGAGCAATCAGACCTGTCACGGCAATGGTTCCCGCCAAACGGAGTGACGGACTCTGTGCCCGCAGGTCTCGATTGCAAACTTTAGGGCTCTGCAACATTCAAGTTGCTTTTCAATATCGGAATCACCCCAGCTACAGTCACAGCCAGCCTTACACCTCGTTGAAATCTAGAAAGGTGCCACCTCATCCTCCAAGGGAGCGGCCCGGCATACACCTTTCTATCTTGCCTTCAATCCTCGATGAGAATGCGAATAGGTACTCTACTATTGTTAAATCCAACAGTTACCACTTCAGGAATGTTGCATCTATGTTGGAACCACACGTAAGCGACTCTCGATGCTTTAAGACTTCGCGTCACGGCAATTTTTGGGATATAGCTTTCAAGCAGCGGTTTCTTCGCAGAAGAACAAATATCACTCAAGTTTCGAACTGCAATGACTACTCAGCGACATGCTTCTTTCACCTCTATGGTAAGGATGCAGCACCGGTCTGTACTACCTTCCACAATTGAATGGCCCACGCTTTCTTGTTTACAACCATCGGTGTTATTGACAATTCATATTCGAGGTATACCCAGCTTTTAATGTTGAGTTCAGAGCTATTGTTGCGCAGGCTATGATGCTGATCGTGATAGCTGCGAACTCAAAAGTTACCTTGGCCGCCTTGAAGGGAGTGGGAACATATTCGTACAGCTCAGACAACAAGGCCCTCAACAGCGGGGGTGCCATGACTCAGATGCACGTCCAATGGGTGAGCATTTTACTCCATGGTAGATTTGTCACCATTGGAAAGTGTTTGCCAGCTCATCGGCGGTCATTTAGTCTTGCAGTTGTCTTGGATCAGAGGCTTTGCTTTCAAAGATTTGAATGGTACTATTTAATATTTATACTGCACCGTGCAGTATGCACTGTGACAGCGTTGGTGGCTAGCCTGCCTACAAACTTGAAGTCAGGTTTTGATATACCTGACCAAATGGGGCATGTGGTGTTGCCTCTAGGGGCTTTGGCAGTCAAATGCCATGTGACACATGCATTTACAATGACACAATTATCATAAAGGCTCATCATCAATTTCGGCTGTGAGGAGCAATGAGGCATGTTAAATTCTGTGGTTGACAGATGCACACATGGAGCACGAGCATCTAGACATATGGGCAACAAGCAGCCGCCGTTCCCAGCAGCCTGGTGCCAACCATTCCAAGCGGCATCCAATATGTGCCCATGATTTGGGGCCGAGACCACATCACCAAGCACAGTGAGCCTGCTATAACCCTACACCCATCAACACACTATTCATCGGAGCATTCTTGCCATAAATGCAGATACAAAAATCTCTCGCTTTACTTGTCGGCATACATCCGCGCAACTACCAAGTATTTGCCAAACAATCATTAGCAATGCTAAAGCACTTCATGTTTAAAGTTGAAAGACAAGCACTAGAAACAAAACTATTTTCAAGCAAGCTGCCAGACAGGCATTGACTTGACAAGAGATTTGGGAATTGTGCCATACTATTTGAAATCTGCGGCCAAAATTGCTGCTATAAGCTTGATGGAAGAATGGCGACAGCGGCGGAGTGAGATGCTTGGCTTGTGTGCAGTCACGGGACAGGGAAGTGAACTGGACATGGCAAAATGGGCGGCCAGTTATTACGGCAGCAACGTCATCATGGGCTTCAACGAGCCTGACCGTGTGGAAGGCTCAAATATGGCGGTAGGTGCTCACCGATACTTTTACAGTAAGTGCCAGTAGTACCAGTGCACTCAGTGGTTACATGCTGCGTGTTCTTTGGGAATTACATGTCAGGGGTATATACTTCTTCGTAATATGCATTGCATCAGCTCTTTGCGGCACATGCGAAAATATGTTTGACATTTCAATATTGCAGACTCACAGATCTCAGAAATCTAAATCTCTAGTGGTCATTCCCATTTTTTTATAAGGTGTACACATCTGCAGGTGGACGAAGCCATCTCACTGTGGCCTCAGCTGCAAAACGCTGCCACCAATGGCATAAGGCTGGGCTCGCCGTCAGTCGGGGGAGACGCTGCATCTGGCACTTGGCTGCCAGACTTCATGAGCAAAGCCCAACAGCACAACCTGCGTGTGGACTTCATCTGTGACCACTGGTGAGCTCGAGCATTGTCATCAGAAAAATAAATGGCACTCACGTAAGAGTGATCATTTAATTTCCCTATCGAAAACAATATTCATAAATTAATGGCATGCACTGAGTACAAAACACAAAAAGCGTCCATTTTGGCCTTTTGTAATAGAGTGATGGCATTTGGACCATGACCGAACAGTCAGTGGTTATGCTCAATAAACGTTGGTCGTTGATGCGCGCAGTGCACAGTGACTGTATGCAAAACATTTACATGTCTGCAGTGTGCAATCAATTTCATGTTTGAACTTGTGAGTCCCGGCTAAGGCATACTAGAGACCGGTATCTTACGATGATCCGGATGCTCCCCAATATATGATTCATTATCATTTATTACGCGCTTCTCCTGCCAAGAGGCAAGGTGCATCCTGCAGACAAGCTACAGCTAAAGGCTTCCATAATCCTACCTTGTTGGTTTCGCCAGATCCAAGCAAAACCCAATCAACCGTGAGGACGGTGCTCAGTATTTATATCGCCCCCCGCCAGCCGGGGCCAATTCTCCATTGGGAACCTTCAAACCTTTGCAAGTGCTATTTGGCCCATTAGGGCAACAGCAAGTGTATCTTTCAATTTCTATTGGGGGCACAGTCTCATTGTGCGAAGAAGAGGTGAGCGAGTGAAGTCTTTGGTGTTTTCAGGTATGGAGCAAACGTCACCAACCCGGAAACCGCAGCTGAGGACTTGAGGCAGTACTTGCAGAGGGTGTACGACAAATACGGCAAACCCATCTGGCTCACAGAGTTTGCGCTGATCAATTTTGCCAACTACAATCAAGCCACAGGCACTTACACCACGGTCTATTCAACTTGGGAGAATCAGGCGCGGTTTGCCACCCTTGCAATTGCAAAGCTAAAAGCTCTGCCCTTTGTGGAGAGGTATGCTTGGTACAGCCTGCCGGCTCCAAGCTCAGCTGCAACAAACAACCTTGCAAGCGGCGGCCGCACCTACACGCTCACCCCAGTCGGCCAAAGCTTAAGGGATGCATGAAGACACCAATTAACCCATTTCGTGCGTTCATTGCAAGGGCATTTGCTTTGAACGCACAGATGCATGAGATAACCCGTTGAACCGATTGGGCCTCGCATGAACTCGAAATTCACTGATCATCAAGTTCATGCTTGCAAGAAGGGCATCCATGTCCATTCTGAACAAACTTCCTTTAAAAGGTACATGTGTACTTCTCTAAATTGCAACGTGGGTCCAAGCATTAAGAGCGCCTCGATCATGAATGTCACTTTGATAATTGTATTCTGAGTTCTCCTATGTCATGAACAATCGCTATGCTACATTAAAAGGTCTTTGTTGAAGACCCCCGCACTTGGCAGCCTATGAGACTTGCTTCTGACACACAACTTGAGTAATTCAATGTGCCATATTATGGTGTCTTCTACCACAATAAATAGTGCATATTGTGAACTTCTATGAAAACAGTTCAACAAAACGACACGAAATTCCTAAAGGCACAAAGGCTTCTCAATGGATACATATGGAAAGATGTGAATCATTCAAGCATGATGCACCCAACCACACCCCAATTGCATGAGCACCCGCAGAAAGCAATTTGTTTTTAAACGGCGGGATCGCTTCTTGTGAGGTCACTAAATTTAGACTTGGTTGGCAACACATCCTCAAATTGCCATGATACCAGTATCAACAACATGCAACTTTGCCCGGCAACCAAGGATATGAAGCTTGACCAAAAATCAGTCTTCAGACGAGTCTTATCCGTGCACGGGTTGCATCTGGACGCTCCAATACACGGAGTACTGAAAGTCCCTGAACACTTGCAAGCGCTAGTACGTCAGTACGTCCTCCCAATACGAGTACTGAAGTACGTAGTTCCGGAAACAATTGAGTTCTGGTGCAACATTGGTGTTATAGTATGGGTCCGACCCATAGTCTGACCAGAGTCTGTCATAGTTCCCCTAGCAGCTTGACTGCTATTGACATGACGTCATACGTTCTCTCTAGCCCTCTGTAGCCCAAATTACAGAGAAGGGATTTTGGCGCCTTGACTCATGTGAAAAGGTGACCGGCCACTTTCATGACCGCCTGCGCGAGGAGTGCATGCTGCCTGGTAGTCGGGTGCACCTGTGCGCAAAGGATCCCCCTCTCAGCTGTGATGGTTTTTTCCTAGATCACATCCAAAGCACATCGTCTAAAGCATGTTGCTTTCTGACAAGAGCACTTCTCATCAGGAGAACCCCAGGAGCCCCTGGAACAGAATCTGAGAAAGTAAAATACAGCAATGTGAAAAAGGTTGCTTGCAGTAATCTCGAGGGCACCTGTAGGGCAACATTCAACCCTACAAACCCCCTGATAATGACCCTAGCAAAAGGGCCTTCAACTCAATTGGAACAAATGGTGTCCACTAACAGATCCCCCACTCTACAGAGACAAGATTGGAAACCTGAAAAAAACCCGAGTATAAACTCTAAAAGTCTCACGTCATTTTGAAACAAGTGGTCCCCCGCTTGCTGTATACAGGTAAGCACCACGCCATATGTTTAAAATTGAAAAACCCTACAGACCCCATAAAAATAAACCCAATCAGGGGGTTTACCTCATCATGAAACAGGTGGTCGCCCGCCTGGAGGATGCATGTGGGCACCACACTGTAGGGGCTCCATCCACCCCGGCCCAGGGGTAGGCTCGTCAGGATGTACCCCGTGATGTGCCCAATCGTGTTGCTGTCGTCCACATACGCTGCAAAGACACACACTCTCATCAGCAGTGAGTCCCTTGGCTCGTTGAATATCCAGGCTAGAGAATAACAGGCACCGCCTATTCTGCAGAGCCTCCACAGGAAAGTCATGCGACGGGTCAAATGAGCCAAATCTTGCTCAACACCTGCCACGAAGGCAGCATAAGTCAATGCACATGCACTGGACATACAGTTATTGGTGTGTCCCTGTCAGCGCAGCACACATGCTGGGAGCTCACATGGGAAGCTAACAAAGCGATCAGTGCTGGATATGTGAGGGTTATGAGAGGGGTGACTCACTGGCCAGCACATCCTTGAGGCGCTGCAGGAAGTCAGCGGTGGAGGAGGGAACGTTCTGGCGCCCGTTGCTGCCATTCAAATCGCTGCCAAGCTTGTTCAGCTTGTTGACAAACAGCGGTGACAGCGTCAGCGTTGCCTGCATAGCATGAAAGCCGAAATAAGTCAGCAGCATCGCATGGCGTGCCTACATAGCAGCACAGACAAAACGGCGCGGCAGCATTGTATTGCATGACTGCAAAGCGGCAAAGCACACACAGTCAGCTCTTACTTTCTCGTGCATCATCGAATCCAGCAATAATAAATGTTTGCAAGGTATGGGTGACTGGAGTCAGCTATGGGTAGTAAAGAACGGCTGCAAGAAGTCTGCAGAAAGCTCAAGACAGGCGCAGGGATTAAGGCATGTCTGTGCCAGACCAGGCTGCCCGTACACAATGCTTGGATTCAACTGAAGAGCATCGCTAGGATACTTAACAAGCTGCAGCTGCAAACCCATCATTCCTACTTGTCTGAACCAAATCCCTCCAGGTTCAACAACAGCCACTGCTCTCACAGAATGCCAGCCCTGTTGCATGCTGCCAGTGCCAACACAGGTCCATCACCTTTGTTTTACAGCATCAGAGTATCTGAGTCCACTAACAGCGGCCGGCAAATGCAATGGTAGTAGGTCCCCGCGGTCGGATTAAACATGCATGCCAGCTTGCATGGGCCAGGTGTCCATGCAGGTATGCATATGCAAACAATCACATACCTAGCTGCATGCATAAGGAGGCTGCGATTGAGTGTTGCGCACCTTTGCTCCCTCGCTGGTGAAGGTGGGGTTGCCGAGCGAATAGAGGTTGCCAGTCGAGTACTGAGTAATTGCCAGGTCACTCGTGCACCCAGAGCCCGCATTGACAAATCCCATGCTGTCATAGCTCGCGATGAGCTGGCGCTGCACGTCCGCGAAAGGGAACACCACCACCTGCGCGCCGATTACATAACCATCAATAAGAATGGAACTATCAATAATATTGACGATGCGATGCATGCAAAGTAAAATTAGGCTGCAGAATTTTGTGGGCCCTGCAGGTGTGACTGCAGCCGGCCTGCGTGCCTGCCCTGTTGACCTCTGGCTTTAAATTTATCAACGCTTCATTTCACAATAGTTCATAGCCCCATTGCGTAATTGGGGTTTTCAAGGGGGAGTCCGGAGGGAGGTTTTCAAGCTGCAAGACAATTTTAGTCAACAAGCGTGATCGCTTAGCTCATCAGCACAACGCTGTGCAAAGAAAGTTATTGTCAAGGTTGGATTCTGCATATGCTCGTCAGCCACGTGAGTACTCCTCTAGCCTCCTGTCTGAAGAATCTGAGGGCAACAGACTCATTTCAGCCGATTGCCAGGGCCAGCGCCTCTGTTTTCTTGCTTGTCTCATTTGTATTTTTAAGGCTTAGGGAACCTCAAAGCACAAAACAAATAAAGCACCATGCCAGCTAAGGCGTGCGGGGCCATTTCATTTTTGCAATCCGCCCAGTCCGAGTTTGCTCAAAGATCTGCTGAACCATAAGGGACAGAACAAGGCGTTGAAGGCGTTTTGCTGATTTCAGGTGTCTGAGGAAGTGAGGATCCACCTGTGCATCTGTGTGCGCTGCTGCAAAGATGGCCGCCAGATTGCTGATGGCCGCGTTTGCAAGATCCTGCAGAAGCAGACAATAGCACTTTTCAAGCATAGTACTGCTCGAGACAGTACCCTTTACTGCTCACATCTGCAGCTTGTGCACACTGAGTGTCACTCACTTACTTAGAGTAATGCGCAAGCGCATCAAGGGCGGGTGGCCATCGAACCCCCTCAAGCCCGTGCTGCGCTAGCTGCGCTAGCCCTTGAATCTCAAGGTCGCGTCGCTGAACGGAAGGTACTCATTGACGTTGAGGCCCAAATGGACAGCCCAACCCTCTACCTTGATGATGTTTAGAAATGGGAGTTCCCATGGTTTTCAAGTCTGCAGCTTATGCACACTGAGTGTCACTCACTTATCTAGAGGACCTCTTAGCATACAGGCAGGCAACAGCGTGCTATGAGTTGGCTCCCTGTGGGAGTGTTTGGCCCGCGCCACCGCTGAATTGGTTCTCGCCTGAGATACTTGATTCCAGATGGGGCTCCTATTTTGCCACCCTATTTTGCTAGTGGTGATCACACCAGCGAGCGCACCACAAACCCCTTCCTAAAGATCTGAACTGCACGCCCTCTGCCCTGTCTCTGACAGACGAGACACCTACGAGATGAAGGCTGCGCAGGGCAAGTGATGCATGGAATGGCGGGCGGAAGCGCAGATGATCACAGTGCTACTCTGTGCTGCCACATGTGCAATGTCGACAACATGTTTTACTTGCATGCATGCATGCACGCATGCATGCAAGCAGGCAACGCACTTACCACAAGGCCCACAGCGCAGATGTGGTCTGCGCACCCTCGTGCGACCACATACACATGAATTCATGACGGCCGAAGTGCACAGAAAGACCAAGGTGCTCAAGGTGAAGATTCACCTTGAAATTGCTATATTACAGCATGCAGGCTGGCAAGGGGCTCAACAAAGATTTTGCTGCGCTGCCATGTACATTCCTTATTAGAAACATAAGTGTTCGCATGCAGAAAGGGGGAAAACCCTACCACAAATCCCTTGGTGTAGATCTTGACAGCGTTGGTCTGAGCGTCCACGGCGCCCAGGCCCCTCAGGATGAAGTTGACCATGTTTAGTAATTCGTTGATGGTGTTGACTAACGGCACCGACTCCCCCGCCGGCGTCTGCCAGACTATGAACTTGCGCGCTCCCGCCGTATACAATGTCGTCAGCCCATCGCTGCGGGCATCAAGAAAAGAGTAGTCAGATGTTGAAACATATCCCTTGAAATATACAAACCCTAAGGACGTCACCCCTGGACTTCCTTTCAAACCTAGACACTCAGCGAGAGTCTGCCACACTATGAACTTGCGCGCCCCCGCTGCATACAGCGTGGCCAGGCCCTGAAGCAAAAGGTTGAGGAAATCCTGAACAGGCGACCCGTGGAATCAGCCCTAGACACAGAGTTCGCGCATGCCTACCGCACATGCGCGGGCAGGCCTCGGCTGCCGGCAGCCGGCTACTAGAGGCAAATGCTGAAGAGTGCACATCCTGAAAATCCCCCAGAAGTCATTCAATTTTCCTGCAAGCTACTGTCGCGTGCTAGGCCAGTCTTGGCACAGCTATGCAGGATGACAGTCACATTCCCTCATCCCTCAGCAATCTCCCTTGACCACATCTATCCATGATTAAGACCCCTTCTTGCCTGCACTCTAGGTGAAGGCTGTCTGTACGGAAGTGATACTGGGGCATGTTTCAAGCATGTTTCAGCTCAAAGGCTCTTGTTACGTTAAAGGTGGAGGATTGCCCTTGCTGCAGAAGCTCATTGCCGTGACTACCATGTGTAATCCCCCCGTCCTGAGACCTGTCATCCTGCCTGTGTTTGCTTCTCTAAGTAAATGAACACGAACCTGTTCGAGAGGGCAGGACCGCATTTGCTGCTGCCTGAACCGCAGCAGGATTGCAACAACGAGACCTCCAGATTGACAGACACCCTGTCTTTAAAAAGGCATGGTGCCGCAGAGTCTGGCCTGCCAAGGTATCATGGAAATGCAGCATTCTCCCGAAATGTCACCCTCTCGCTGGGCAGGGAAAGACAAGATGTCGTCAAAACTGCCATCAGCTTCTTCTCTTCTGCTATAATGATGAGTCAGACCTGATCGCCTTGGAGATGTTGTCGATGATGTAAGTGGGGTAGGACCCCCCGGTCACAGTGGCCTCCTCCACAAATTCCAGCGTCTGTACGAGGTTTGCCTCGAAGAAGCCCTGCAGTAAGCGCCATAATGTTTAGTCAGCCAACCCACATGAGTCACCGGCATGACTAGCACTCAGGCTGCCTACCACCGGTGCAGCACGTCATTGATGGCCGCTGGCACGTCAAGCATAAAATGTCAGAGTACAGGAAAGACATTCAATCCCAACAGGCTGATATTGGGATGCAAGACTTAGTTGTTCTGACGAAGATGCAGACGCAGAGGCCCTGCTTTAAGTGCGGAGCCTGCCTGAGCAAGAATAACAACTCACCAGCAAATCATTCACCCCTGCAAGCCACGCAGCAAACTGTCAGCAAGCTCCCAAAAGAAGGCATGCATGGAGCGAAATTACGACATGATAGCCATCAATAAGAAAGCTGATTGATCGATTGGCTTGGCAGGCAAATCTGCGTTCAACAGTAACAGCATAAGCAGCGCACCTATCTCCACAACTACCACATCCTCTGCTGTTATCGTGTTGCTCTTTACATACCTGCGCATGCATGCACAGTGCACCGTCAGCTTCCTTGCAGCTGCTCAGCAACGCTCTGACCTTCCCAGCACACCTACATAAGAGCTGCACTGCAAATGCACGATGTATAGCTGATGCTATATGTCTGTATACAGGCACTCTAATCAAGGCCAAAAAGATACACTCCCTGCCATGCCAAGCTTTGAATGCAGCTCTGCTTTTCTGACTCGTTGCTGTTTGTGACTCATTGCTTTCCATTGTTGTACACACACTGAAAGGCGTGGCTGGCAACCTGCAGTCCACTACAAGAAGATTGACTGACAGAGATGCAAGGAAAGGACTTGCATTAAGGGGAGGCTCATGCTGCAATCGTGTCTGAGAAGACTGGCAGGGTGACATTTCTGGCGCCCTTCTTACTGCTAAGCAGCACCACTTCTAACATCTTGATTATCCAACTTCTCAATCTCTACTTCTCTACTGCTGACCATGCGTGCATGCAAAAGCCAAGCGGGTGACTTACGCTGTGATGCAGTCTGAGAAGAGTGGCATAGTCACATTTCTGGCGCCCTTCTTCTTGCTGAGCAGCCCTGCTCTCTGCCTAACTTCTTGGCTACCTAAGCCCTAAGTTCCTGACTGCTTGACTGCTGAGTACGCATGCAACTAGCTGCTTTGCATGCTGTAATGGGTAACGCCAACTGTAGTTGATCTGGAGTGTAAAGGAGAGACAACTACAAGTGGTAGAAGGGGTGACTCACGCTGCAATTGAGTCTGAGAAGAGCGGAAGGGTGACATTTCTGGCGCCCTTCTTGTTGCTGAGCAGGCTGCTGGGATAGAAGTCCCCGACTCCGTGGTAGCTGATGCTGCGGTTAGTCACCGATGACCCAACCGCTTGGTCATTCAGCTCGTAGCCTGTCATGTCCGTCAGGTATTCTGCATGCGCCCGCAAATAAGACCCTTGTCATTGTCTGTGCATCACAGGGATGAAATCCAATGGAGCGCCATGCAAAGTCTCTGATTTAGATTGGAGGCATACTGAGCATCATTGCTGAACGTGTCACCCTCTCAAGAGGCAGCTGCAGCGCTCTAAGAACTAAGAATTTCACTGCAGCTCACAGGCGCTGTAAGCAATACGTTGGTAAATGGACTCAGACACATGCTGCACAGCATGCTCTGCATTTCCTGGCTATCCTGTGGTTGTCTGTTGCAGCAATCCTCGGCCTTTTGGCAGTCCAAATGTGGTCTGACCCTTTCTGTTGCAAGCAACATGAAGTCTAAACCCGGGAGACTCACCAACCCAGACAGGGCCGTTGGACCAGCGGCCATGGTCGAAGAAAGGGCCAGGAGGGTAGAACTGCAAGCATCACAACAAAGTCTGTGAGCATATGCCCTTTGCACCCTTTCGTCTATGCCTGATTGTATTCTGGCCATCCATCCTCTCGAAAACGTTCCTCACACAGTCTGAGGATGCGTTGTTATGCACTCTCGCACACAAAAACCAGTGCATAATACACACTGGCAGGCAATTTTGCTGGACGTGACTAATAAGAAACATATGGAACGTGCACAAATGTGAAGACCCCTGTTTTTAGGAAACAAGCTTACCGCTGTGACGGGCTGATTGAGCAGCTGGCTGTAGTAGGCCTGCACAAACTTATTAGTGCCATTCCCATTGTCTGTGATGGAGTCTCCAAAGGCGATGAGCTTCTTGGCAGAAGCTGCTGAAGCCGCCGCAAGCAAGAGCAGCAGAACCACCAGACGCCTTGCCATATGCCTCACTGGGCCACGGCCTGGCTCTGTCCGATGGTATAGAAGTGAGCTGCTGCAGTTTATGTGTCCCCTGTTGAGCAAATTAGGTCCCCAAACTGTCAACAATACAGACACAATGGGTAAACAGATGAGAGAAAAGTGCTACGAAGTCCAAATCACGGAAGTGTCACCGGGCACTTCCAGCAAAATATGCATTATATAACAAGATGTATTGCTCCGAAACCAAGTTCGACTTGTACAAGAGGTGCTGACAAACAGTTGTCGACTCTTGTTATTAGGTAACACTTCAGCAAGTACAACGAGCGCAGAAATAAAAGACGGTAGGGTGCGCAAGCAGCTTTATGCGAAGCCTCTCGTGGTCAGATGCAGCTCAAAAGCTCAGGGTTTTCACACAAAGGTTAACGACCCCAAAATTCTTGCCTGATCTCTCATCGCGGTTTCGGGGCATTGCTTCCGAAGAAGGTGACAAAAGGACGCTAAGCGTTTCAATGTTGTACTAAGTTGATACGGTAGTGCTGCTGTAAGTCTAGTCTCAACATGCTTCGGTGAGGATCCTTTCAAGTCCCTTGCAGCCATGGAGGAGGTTGCAGGGACTCTGCAGGAAGTCCTGCAGTACATGGGAACCTGCCAAGACGATTTGGGACAGCTGTCACGATCATTGGTTGAGCTTGTGAGTTCAGCCGATGCTTTGCTGCAGACAGTGCGCAGACAGCCAGAGGATGCTGGGGAACGCACAGCATCTGCGCCAGCATATCTCCACAACAGGCTGCCCAATTTCATTCGCAGCAATCTGAAAGCACTTCAGATAGCAGAAGATGGTCATCTGTCCTGCGGCAAGGCGGAACAAGAGGGCGGGCGCTTAGAGCAGCTGCTGCAGGAGGATTTGGCGTTACTGCGACATGTAACAGACTTTGTGGGCGATATCGCAAAATGGTCTGGCACTGAGGACCAGTGCGTACCCTTCGATGAGCCTTTTTCGCTGTACCCCGCCTGCGACATCGAGCACGAGCAGGCCTTCTGGAAGAGCCATCAAGAACAGGTGCGTGATTGTAGATCGTAACAATTGTCATACTGCTCCAAGTGTCTGGAGATGGACCGTGATGCAGTCTGCTCTTGATAAATGAGTGATGTCTCAATACTCTTAAGGCTTTTGCATCCTGATCTCCCCACAGTATCGCAGCTTATTTGGATTGCTGTACTAGCACAGAAGATGGGGGCTTCACGACAAATTTTGCTGCAATTGTCTTCGTCATAAGCCATCATCAAAACATTCAGTAGCCGAGCCATCACGATCAGCAATTGCCAATATCATATCGCTATCTTGCAGCTCATGCGCAAGCATTTTGGCACTTGCAAGTGCTGTGTCAGAATATCTTTCAAGGATGTCACTGCCTGGCAGCAGAATAACATGCGCCTCCCTACAAAGCATCCAGCATATACTGCAAGCGCCCTCACATCTAGTTGATTGCGGTCATCCGTGCATGCTTGATAATCTGGGGGTTTTGCGCAGGTCATCGACGCCGGAGCAAGGGTGTTTGAGGGTCAGGCGGGGTTGGGAGTGCCTCAGGGACTCGCGCGATTTTGCAGCGGCCCGGTGTGGTCCGAGGCAGCTTTGCTGACATCACTGTACCACGCTGCATGCTCCAGGTCAGAGCTCACCTGGCAGTGGTTACGAATCAGGTCATAATAAGAACAAGTGCTTCCAATGCAGTCTGCATCAGAACTTCCCCGCAGCAGTCTTTGTGGTAGCACTGCCTACATGGCGTGTTGGTCCTGCAAGGGACTACATGTTGGCTTGTGCATAGGCGCATGCGCATGTAAGAAACGCACTGATGAACAGATTTGTCGAAGTCTGAGAGCTTTGATGCCTCCTTTATGGACTCGCCAAGATTGGCAGCATGGAGACAGACAGGGGAATGAAGTGGGTTGTGCTGCTGCAGGGGTGGCGGGGGTCAGAGCTGCTCCATATTCATCGTGCATCCCCATCAAACGTACGCCCCGAAGCAATGATAGTGCAATGAGACTCAATTTTCCCGACTGTCCCAGTGATTTCAAGGTGGAAGACAGTGGGTATGTGTTAGTTGCCTGCTCCTGAAGTTACGATACTGGATTGCACTTGGGAAAAGAAAGCTAGTACGGAAGTAAGAATGAGACAGCGCAATAGACAAAGCAATCTCTGTCTCAGTCTGCGCGGCACATCCGGGTTCCAGAATCCAGGGGTTTGACATTTTGTCTTTCTTCTGCGCAGCTACCTGGAGGAGGTGGGCAGGAAGCTGGCGGAAGCCGGGATCCCCCACTCCACCGCCGTGGGGACCCTGGAGGATGGTGGCGCCGTAATGGTTGCTGCGGCCGCGGCCGGCATCGCCGATTTTGAGGAGCACCTCTGGCTGGGATCTCTGCTCGAAACATTCTACCTGATCAGGCACGAGAAGAAACAGCGGGGGGAGTTACCGTTGATGGACACGCCGGAGAGCATTGCAGAGGTGATCAGCTATCTTGTCACCATTTGTCGCGGACATTTTATTGTCGTTAGGAAAGGAGTCATAAGCAGCAACTTATGAGATGAAGGCTACGTATCCCCAATCAGAGCACAGCAATTCTTTGTGACATCCGCATGAGGAAGATGCTGGGAGACGCAACGTGGCGTCCCCCAGGCTCAACCCTCGGTTATTCTCAAGGCAAGCTACAGCTTACAGGCAGCTACCGAAGTCTGAGACATGAGTCATGAGACTTGATTCTTATATGTAACAGCTCACTGCATGCTGTGTGGCATGAAGTAAGAGAGTCACCCTCTGCCATTGTCAAGTTACAGGGCAAATTTCTGCCTGCAGGCTATAATAATCAGTCATCGGGTCCAGGTCGACTATAATGTTCAAAGTCGAGCGTTTTGCCTGTTCAGGAGTTGGACGCGCACGCCGCGAGCTGGGCGGCGCTGGTGGGGGACCGTTACGGGCTTGTCACCGTAGACATGCCCGACCTGGCGCCAGGTCAGCGCCAAACTCTCATGCATGACCTAGTGTGTCAGTCGGTGCTTGAACCTATGCAACAGTTGACACAAGCAAACCCGACCTGTGGTGGATCAGAGTTGCTTGTGCCCAAAACAATTGGTTTCGACAGAAATATTCCGCCTTTGTACAGCTTCTGGACAAGTACAAAATGCATTGCGCCGCTGGTGAAGTGTGCCAAGTCCCGGAGTGAAAATGTTGTTCAAAGCCAGGGTGCTGTTGAGGATGGTCATGCAACTCTTCTTCAAAATGTCATTTTATCTCCCCTGGCCCTGATAATCTTCTGTGCAGTGGCGCTGTGTTGGTCAGGTACAGCATTGCAGGTACTGCTGCGGAGGCATGCCAAATAAGGAAGAGCAGGTCCCAGACACCGAAATGTATCTACGGGTAACCACAGACTGTCTGCGCAGGCACGGCCTTCCCGGCAACAGCGCTGGTTCCATTGCTGCGCTGTTGGCGTTCCCTCCGAGGCCAGCCCCCCATCCCGGCCGCCGCGCTCCTCGCCGCAGCCGCCAAAGCCGGCTTGGTTCCTCGGCCGGACTCAAGCATTCGATTCTCCAGGTGCGCAGATCACTGATTTGTATATTGCCGTGAGGTCACTCCAAGGACTGTGAGCACACAAAAAATCGCCATTTGTTAAAACTTGAAAACCCGTCCCCGCAGCTAAGATTTTGGCGGCCGCTGGCCTTGTGCCGTGCCCGGATTTCAGCATTGGATTTTCCAGGTACACACAACAGAAGGGTAATCTCTCTACACTCTTGTCAGACAAAAGGCTGGTGCCCTATTGATGAGAACCGCCCCCTTCATCTACTGTTTACCCACCGGCCTGACCCCCTGGCTGATTTTCAAGGTCTAGCATGCAATTTCTCAAGATCAAGGAAACAAGATCCTTGCCACCAGTTGCAGGAAAAACAGTCAGCCTTGTTTGTGTTTTTGTTAGAAGCGCTAACATTGAGATTACTCCTGCCCAGTCTTGATTCGGGCACACTCTTCCATCTTCCGCATCGCACTCCGATAACTTCTTGGGCTACCTGCAGGGTTAAGGGTTTAAATCAAAAGCAGTAAGAAATGAGTGTGGTTGCACGCAGGTCTCAGGCGGCGATGATGCTGACTCACCTGGTGAAGGTTCCGCTGACGCTGCGCCCCGCCGTGGCCGCCGACGTTCCCTCCCTCATGCGCCTGCAAGCCAATTCTGGCGCCGCACCCCAGGTGATCCACCCGATGATCCAGGGCATTCTGGCCCAACTCTAAGAACATATGCAACATCAATGAGTGCCCAAGCATTGTCGGGCAAAGCAATGCACAAAAAGACATGCAGAATGATTGAGCGGTTATTATGCAATGCTGGCAGGCGATAATGGGGGAGGCACAGCTGGCGGAGTGTCTGATGAGTCACCCTCGCCTCAGCGTTGTCGCTGACTTCAGCGGTGACATCGTTGCAGCGCTTACAGCGCAACCCTCCCAGGTGACTCACTATTACTAACAGGATAGTATCTTTGTTGTAGCACGTCCGAAGGATTACACACCCCTTCTTAGCCATTCTTTCCTGATTGACTTTCGATGCTGTCAGGCTGTGCATGTGTCAAGAAGATAACAGATCCAAAGCTGCCCATTAAGAACTCTGTCAATCCAGCCCCCGAGCCACATGCAGATTTCCCTGAATATTATACGAATGGCTTTGGGAAGGAATGCAGACGTCAAGGCAGAGCAAATGTCAGCAAAAGGCGACGGGCGGTCTAGCAAGTGGGTATCAGGCAGCAACAATAGTATGTTCTAAACAGCCTGAAAATTTTTTAAGCAAATGCAATGAATGCATGGGGTTTCCCAGACATACTTATTCAGGAGCAGCATGGCATGATTTTTTTGGGCAACCCTAAACCCCAACCCTTAAATCCCCCAACCCTTAAATCGATCAACCTAAAAAATGGCATGCAATGCACTTGCAGGGGGATGCAAAAGCAGTGGAGCTGGCGTTCGTGCACGTGGGTCAGGATCTGGAAGAGCAGCAGGAGCTGCTGGAGTGTCTCCTGGCATTCGTGCTGCAGTTTCTGCTGGCGGACGATGACGTGGCGTGCCTGCTGCCAGGTCAGCGGCCACCTCACCCCGCTCACATCATTACGTCACATCACATTGGCATCGATTATATCACATCGGCGTAGGGCATGTTGTTTTTTGAGCCAGGTGTGGGTAAAGGCTTCATTTAGCAAACTACTGGAATCGCCCTAAAGAAACATTGAGAGTCTGTGCTGAGAGCCAGGCTATTGGATTGCATGCCACTGCAAATGGCGCCGTAAAATGATTCTGTCATGAAACTTTTTTGGATGACATGCAGCGATCAGTAGATACTTCAAAAAACATGAGATCAAGTGCATTCCTGCTGCATGGCATGTATATAAGCTCTGTCAGGTCGACCGATAATCTTTTAAAAATCGTGCAGGCCGGCTGCCGCTGTCGGCGCGGCACGCGCGCATAGCGGATTTCTGCTACGTGGCGTTTCCGGAGGACAGCTCAGCGATACGAGAGATACAGTTTGTGCCTAATCTGGACTTTGACGCCCTGGTGCGGGGGGTACTTGCGGCGGGGAGCGGGGGGGCCGCGGTGGTGACCGGTGGGGGGACCAGCGGCGCCACTTTTGGCGCCGGCAGGGAAGAATCCGCGGCCGCTGCTTCCAACGGCGACTCGTGGCCTGACATGGCCGAAGGTTAAATTGATCTGCAGCCACCTATCCATAGTATCTGCCAAATCGGGGCCAAGGGTTCCGGCTAAAGGGTTCCATGCATTGATAGCATGAACCTTCTGTCTGAATGCAGTGCATGGACATGTTCACCTTGTAAGTGCACCTGAAACACATGTTGTCATCCCCCTTGGACCTCCAAATATGAAATGTTGTTAAACTCTAGGAAACTGAAGTAAGACAAACAAAACTATTATTGGCAACATGCCCTTGGTGCAGACACAATCACATGCCGTTTATGTTGCCTGCTTTAATTGAGATGTTTTGTGGCACAGGTGATGCAGAAGCAGACAGCGGTGTGCTGGCTGCGCTGGCTAGCGAGGAGTCCCCTATGGACGAGGGGGAGGACCCGGTGGCCACCGCTGTGCGGGCGGTGGTGCACGAGTATCTGGCGGTGGCGCACGGAGGGGACCCGCCGGGGGATTTTGCCGACGACACGCCCTTCATGGAGGCCGGGCTCGACTCCCTTGACCTGCTGAAGGTGCGCCTTGATATCAATGCTTGGGGTTGTGGGTGTACATGTACAGTCCCTGTCTTGACTATTTTTAAACGAGCAAGAGTTGACATCGGAATGCAGCTAGTCTTCAATGACGCCTTCAGTACGGCATGCGTTGCTACAAGGCGCATGGGCCTTTTTGCAATCTTGTGCTTCAATTGTTTCAATCCTCTTTCCATTATTATTATTACTATTACACGCTTTTCTTGCTACAAGCAAGGTGCGTCCTGCAGACAAGCTGCAGTTGAAGGCTGCCAAATTCCCACCCCTTGTTGGACTCGCCAGATCCAAGCAAGACCCAGTCAACCGTGGGCACGGTGCTCAGTATTTGTGCCGCCCCCCGCCAGCCGGGGCCAAATTTTATTTTCCATAATATGGATCTCTATATAACGATTCCAGTCTTGTGGTTGCCTAGAGCAGGTGTGGCTCTTTCTGGCTGGTCAAAGCCCTTTGAGGGGACCCAATCGAAAGCCCCAGATTCCAGAAAACACGTGACATGAGCATGAAGCCAGACCAAATTTATGTGTGATCCATGTTCCGCTGCTGCGCAGCTGGCGAGTCTGCTGGGCAGCGAGTTGGGCATGGCGCTTCCAAGCACGCTCGCGTTCGACTTCCCAACGGTAGAGGCCATAGTGGCGTTCGTTGCGGCGCCCCCCGAGCCAGAACAGGACGCGGGCGCACGCGAGCGACGGCGTTCCTCCTTCGCGCATCTTTTCTCCCTCGGCGGCGGCCGCTCGTCCCTCACCGACGTCTTCCGGCGGTGCGCGGACCCTTTAATGCTCGTGCCATTTCCCCCATCTGATCTTGATTCCCCAAAGACCCTGTCACAAGACCTGACAGACGGCATTCCTCCTTTGCGCATCTATTCTCCTCTGGTGGTGGGCATTTGTTCCTCATCGATGTCTTCCGGTGGTGCACGGCCTCTTTAATGCTCGTGCCAAGCCTGAGAGACGGCGTTCCTCCTTTGCGCATCTTTTCTTCCTCGGTGGCGGGCGGTCGTTCCTCACCGATGTCTTACGGCGGTTGAATGCCTCATAGATGTAAGTGCAGACACCTTGCATGCGTTCCTTACGGGCCTCTGACTTTACCACTTCCGGCCTTTCATGATTATCACGGTGACACGTCTTGCCTGCCTGGTGAGGCCCGGTACGGAAGATGAGCAAGGCTCCCACGGCTGGTTGGGTCTTGCTTGGATCTGGCGAGTCCAACAATGTGTAGGACATTTGGCAGCCGTTAGCATGAGCTTGTTTGCAGGCGCACCTTGCCTCTGGCAGGAAAACCCCTGCACTTACTATGATTCTTGTCAGTACCAGGGTTTTTATTGGCGTTTGTGAGTATCCTGCTGTTCAATTAAAGATCTTAGGGACGACTATCCTGCGTTGCATGGGCCATTTATTTAGGCACTGCAGATATAAGGGTTTATCTTGTAGAGAAAATAAGAGATTCTGAAATATTTGGTACCAAGAAATAAATTAACAATAACAGTTAGGGTCATGCATGCGCAGGTCGTCATTCGCTGCCGGGGGACGCCGTCGGACGGGCTCGGTGTTCCGGGGCAGCGGCATTCCCTCCGCCGCGCTCGCGCCGTTAGTCAGCGGCGTTCCCTCCGACTTCTCCGCACCCGCCACGCTGGACGACTTCGGCCGCCGCCGCAGCCGCAGCATTGGCCGGCCGCTTGGCGCCGCTGACGGCCGGCACTCTGCCGCTTTGCTGCGCCGGGAGAGTGTAAGAACCTATTCTCTGATCCTATAAAAGCATTCTGGCGAGCCCTTTTACCTGCTGTCTGGGTACATAGAACAGTATCCTCAGGAATGTGCACATGCACCATCGAGTCCCGCTCGGCGCCGCTGAGGGCCGGCACTCTGCCGCTTTGCTGCGCCGGGAGAGTGTAAGAACCTATGATCTGACTCTATAACAGCATTCTGTCGAGCCCTTTTACCTGCTGTCTGGGTACATACATTAGTGTTCTCAGGAATGTGCACATGCACCAGAATGTCCCGCTCGGCGCCGCTGGGGGCCGGCACTCCGCCGCTTTGCTGCGCCGGGAGAGTGTAAGAACCTATGATCCGATTCTTTAAAAGCATTCTGTCGAGCCCCTTTACCTTCTGTCTGGGTACATACAACAGTTATTATTATTATTACTACACGCTTTTCCTGCCAGAAGCAAGGTGCGTCTGCAGACAAGCTGCAGTAAAGGCTGCCCAAATCCTACCCCTTGATGGACTCGCCAGATCCAAGCAAGACCCAATCAACCGTGGGCACGGTGCTCAGTATTTATACCGCCCCCCGCCAGCCGGGGCTAACAGTGTCCTCAGGAATGTGCACATGCACCAACATGTCCCTCTCGGCGCCGCTGAGGGCTGGCTTTCGGATGTGTCGCTGCGCCGCGAGAGTGTAAGAATCTTCTACTGAACACAGCTTTTGAAAATTAGATTTGAATTCCCTGATTCGGCTTAGTTGTGTAGCGGTTTTCCGCTGCCCTCCTGCGCCGAGAGAGTGTAAGTATCCTCAGGATACTTACACTCTCTCGGCGCAGGAGGCTTCTTTTTATATGGACGACGTTAGGATCTGCCGAGGGACGGCACCCCGCTGCTTCCCTGAGCCGTGAGAGTGTAAGATTCCTCTTCTCATCATCTACAAACAAATAATTTTTACACCCTTTTCTCCAAGAGGCAAGGTGCATCTGCACACAAGACATCTCGTTCTGTTGAATATGTCGCCACTGAGGGGCGGCTGTCGGCTGCTCTCCTACGTTGTGAGAGTGTCAGGATCCATCTCTTACTGAGGACACCGGGGCGTCTGCGTCCCAGCATTGGGGGATTGAAGATTGGAGGGAGCATCCTTTCTATGAACACTATCAAAAGCCAAGCGGCACATGGCGGTTATATGTCACCAGAGGGGCGCGACGGAAAGGGCCTGCATTCATCATTGTGCTGCCTGCATGCAGGTTGATGGGCCACACCTGGTAGAAGAAGTGCTTCTGTGGCCTTCAAGCATTAATTTTAAGTTCCACGAACCCTTGACAGCTGTCAAGATAACCTAAGACAATTCCCCCTGCGTACAGGTTGTGGAGGAGGGTCGGCGGGCGTCTGCCGCGCGTCGCAGCAGCAGCGCCTTTATGCATGCGCACCTCGCCATGATCCCGGCCGGCAGCCGCCGCGGATCCGTGCTCATGCCGGGCTCTTCGGCCCTCATGGCTTCAACACCCGCCCTTCAGGTGCGTTCTTGCATCGAGTGCATTCCATAGCATGTCCCGGCCAAATGAACCCCACTCCCTGAACCCTCACTATAGAGAGACGATTCCTTCTGCTTACGATCCCGGCCGGCGGCCGCCGCGGATCCGTGCTCATGCCGGGCTCTTCGGCCCCCATGGCTTCAACACCCGCCCTTCAGGTGCGTTCCTGCAGCGAGTGCATTCCATAGCCTGTCCCGGCCAAACAAACCCCACTTCCTGAACCCTGACTATAGAGAGACGATTTCTTCTGCTCATGATCCCGGCCGGCGGCCGCCGCGGATCCGTGCTCATGCCGGGCTCTTCGGCCCTCATGGCTTCAACACCCGCGCTTCAGGTGCGTTCTTGCATCGAGTGCATTCCATAGCATGTCCCGGCCAAATGAAGCCCACCTCCTGAACCCTGACTATGGAGAGATGATTTCTTCTGCTTACGATCCCGGCCGGCGGCCGCCGCGGATCCGTGCTCATGCCGGGCTCTTCGGCCCTCATGGCTTCAACACCCGCGCTTCAGGTGCGTTCTTGCATCGAGTGCATTCCATAGCATGTCCCGGCCAAATGAAGCCCACTTCCTGAACCCTGACTATGGAGAGATGATTTCTTCTGCTTACGATCCCGGCCGGCGGCCGCCGCGGATCCGTGCTCATGCCGGGCTCTTCGGCCCTCATGGCTTCAACACCCGCGCTTCAGGTGCGTTCTTGCATCGAGTGCATTCCATAGCATGTCCCGGCCAAATGAACCCCACTCCCTGAACCCTGACTATAGAGAGATGATTTCTTCTGCTCATGATCCCGGCCGGCGGCCACTGCGGATCCATTTTGATGCCGGGATGGGCTGTTGGCCTCAATGCCAGCGCTGCATGTGTGTGCATATCTTGAAGCTAGCGTCTGTCCGAATCTATTTTGCCCCCAATTCCCTAAAACGAAATAGAAAGGCAAAACCACCCCGAGTGGCCTGGCCATGATCCCGGCCGGCGGCCGCCGCGGATCCGTGCTCATGTCAGGGTCTTCTGCCCTCATGACATCAACGTCAACGCTGCAGGTTTTGGCATTTCCTTGAAAAAAGCGATGCACCTATCCTTGGCATAGACAGGGTGCAGTGATGGGACTAATTCCAGAGACATGCTTTCAACATCTGCACTGTGCACAGCGTGACCTTTAAACCTAAATGCCCTACAATGACAATATTATTATTATTATTATTACATTCTTACCCTGCCAGAAGCAAGGTGCGTCTGCAGACACGCTGCAGTAAAGGCTGCCAAAATCCTACCCCTTGATGGACTCGCCAGATCCAAGCAAGACCCAATCAACCGTGGGCACGGTGCTCACTATTTATAACGTCCGCCGCCAGCCAGGGCCAATGACATAAGAATGACATGCCCCCAAGTCAAAGTAGCATGCAAGTCTTCCTGGATTCTATTCCATAATGTTGCAAATGTGTCTGTGCAATAAAGAGCGCAAAACAGGCCACATATGGGAATCGACCATGGCAGCATATTGACCCTGAAAGAATGAGCAATGGACCCTAAAGATATGAGCAAATATGTCAGGTGGTAGTAATGGACGCGTTGGCGACCCGGGTGGCGGCGGGCCCAGCGGGCAGCGCGGAGCTGTTCCGGGCAGACATGATCTGCCCGGTGCCGGTGACTCGCTGGGACAATGACAACGCCGCCGTTGCCCGGCTTGGCGGCCGCAACCCCACCCGCTTCGCAGCGCTCATGGACGGTAGGCACGCATTTATATTTTACATATTTTGTCAGTGAAATACAACATATTTTGTAAGTAAAATACATGACTGTCAGTATGCCCTTCTTCAGCCTTCTGTGACTAGGTGCGTTCCAGCAGCTGTTCCATAGATATCCTCAAAATTCCATGTCCTTGCGCGTATGAACGTACATTCTTAAGCAGAATGACAGTGCTCGAACCCTTTTATTGTGGCTGTAAAAAGCCACGTTGACTTGTTTCCGGATAAATTGCTTCAGTCGAAGGGTATCTGCTGTCAACATTGCAGAGAGAAGACACTGCTGCAGCATGCTGCTGTTTTCTAGCACCTGCTTACATTTGGCAATCTACATTACAAACTATCAATGAGGTCTGCAAACAAAAGTCAAGCCCGGATGCTGTTTTATAGCCTCGCTTCTTTTATCCCGGGGGGCATTGTTTCAATTACGGGCTGCTTAGGTCACTGTTCAAGTTTTATGGCGACGGTGATTGTGTCAAGCCCCCAGAAGCAATGTTCCTGTTTTGGCTGCAGGGGTGGATAAATTTGACGCCGGGCTGTTCAAAATATCCGGCGCGGAGGCGGCGGCTATGGACGCGCAGCAGCGCCTTCTGCTGGAAGTGGCGCACGAAGCAATCGGTGCAGCCGGGACGCCAGAATTCAAACCCAAGGTGTGCTGCCTATTTAGGGTTTTGGACCTTCTGAGCCACGGCTGTCCCAATGATTGATACCTGGCTTAGGATAGACTGTGAGGTCAACCTGCCACCAAAAAAGAGCCCAATTGGGCACGATAGAGCGCGATGGAACCACCCCTTGAGGCCTGATACCGTACGGCAGCCCCAACCATGGGGTTGTAGGCACTTCCCAAAGAATAACCAGAAAAAAAAGGTTTCCTTGGCTTGCCGGGTCTCAATTGTACCGCACGAAGCCATCAGTGCAGCAGGGTCCGTTAAATCAACTTAATGTGCGGTATTTTTCACAAGTCTGCCTTGCTTAGACCAACTTTTTCCTGCAAGTTTCTTTTAGGGCTGATCATGGCAACAAAAAGCAAGAGGCTGAAAAGGAGCTTAGGTGAGCAAGAAGCAGGGAGCAGGACAGTGTGTCAGCCCTCGACGCATACAGTCATACATCTGCTTGGTCAATACTTCTTCGCTGGCGCTTTTGTATTTGGAGTTGGGTTGCAATGTCAGCCTGCTTTTTGCATGTTTTCTCCCCGAGGCTCACAGAAAACAACACCAGGAGATTTGCAGAGGGCTCACCTTGCATGCAGGCAGCAGCAGCACTCGCTGCAGTCAATTTGGACAGCGCGTTTCTGCGCAATTAAGTCCTCGTCTTGTCATTCTATTGATGCAACCTGCTCGCATGCATGCAGGCGGCAGCAGCTTCTGTTGCAGCCGATCCGACGGGGGTGTTTGTGGGTATAAGCTACAGCGAGTACGCGCAGCTGTCGGCCGCCGTGTCTCCCAGTGTGTCAACCTATACAGCAACCGGAGGCAGCCTCAGCGTGGCAGCCGGTGAGTCACACTGATAGGAGGGACTGCCACTAGACTTCATCCACTTTGTGTTTCATAGTTCTTCCGACCCTTCATCGACCCAAAACCCTAAATCCATCATTGCATACCCCGTGAAAAATAATTACTATAAAGGCCCCGTCCCTAATCCGTAAACCCTAAACCCTGAAAATATATTCCCTAAACCCTAAGCTAAAGTGGATAAAGAATAAGGTCGGGAGATAGGAAGCCGTTCAGGTCATTGTCAAAAGATTTCAGGATTTGAGGATGGCTGTCGGCGGCCGTCTTGCAAGTGTGTCTCTGTGCTCGACCCCTGCTAGACTTTTTGGCTGGTTTCTTGTTTCATGGATAGAGTATTACCATTGAAAGTGATTGTTTGGCCGCCCTTAAGGCGGTGAAATTTGTGAACTGCCAAATCTGCATGGCTCCTGGTATGCAGGACTCGAACTTCTTGAGAAAATGGCGGGATCATGGGAGGTCCCACCTTTTTTGTCGCAAGGGAGATGGTTTTTCCATGCAATGCACCGCCCAAATCTAGGCATGAATGCAGCGACCTGATCGTGACAGTGAAGTGCGCTCATGCAGGGCGCATATCGTACATGTTTGGACTGAAGGGCCCATGCGTTGCCATTGACACCGCCTGTTCATCCGGCCTCGTGGCCATCGCGCAGGTGCGAGATATTTTTAGAAGTAAAAATACATAATTGAAAAATAAAAAATATAAAAAAAAAAATATCGAAAAACATAATTGAAGTTTTTGAAGAAAAAACCAGTTGAAGTTGAGCTTTGCAAGGAGGGTCATGAGTGAGTGGTCATGCGTGGATGGCTCAAACTGGATGGCACAAGAGCAGGAGGCAGGCAATTTTCACCCCGCATGTTGCAGCCTTACCTGCAGCTTGTATGCCTCCTGGAAGCAAAGATTATTTAGAAATTTCACTTGAATTTGAAAACCGGAGAAGTTGAAGCGCCCACCGCCGTGGGTGGTCTGAGGCGCAGGCAGCCCTTCTCAAAAGGGCTGAAAGCCATGCACAAAGTTGTTTTTTTAGGATTGCTGGCAGTTTTTAACTTGCCGATGAGCAGGCAACCTTGCCCCCACACATTGAATTAAAGCTTATCTGATGTAAAAGGGCAAGCGCCAGTGTTTCTTGTAAGGATTTTGGCTGGAAGCCAATCTGGCTAGCAAGCATAAGCTAGGTTGAAAATTTTGAAGCCACAGAAGTGGCTTAAAGCTGGAAATGGCAAAAGTTTCTCCTGGGATTAGTGATTTTGGACGTATTCTGCTGAAATTGGATGAAAATTGGCTTCCTGCTTTAGTCATTAAATTTCTAAAAGCCAATCGGTGGTTTCAACGGAAGTCACCCTCGGGCAGTTTATGCGCCACAAAATTGCTTGGGATATTTGTTAAAAGCCACATTGGCTTCAGAACGCCACGAAAAGAAACCCTGCCAAGCACTAAAAGTTCTGTGATGCTTAGGCGCACAATGCGCTGATGCTGGGAGTGACGAGCACTGCTCTGGCGGCAGGCGCTAATCTGCTGCTCTCGCCGCAAACGCACGCCATGTACTCCATTGCAGGTGCGTTGGTTCTCACTCACGCAATCTCTTGCAACCATAGTTGCACAATACGGATTCGGCCATTTGGCATACGGTGAATATTCGGTCGTATATTCGGTGTTTTGGGCCAAAATAGGCCGTTTTTGATCGTATTCCGTATATTCCAATACCGTATGACCATATATTCGGCCGTATATACGGTCCCCAAAATTGTTCTGACCGAGTGGTGCAACTATGCTTGCAACCAGCACGATGATAGTTACGCCCAAACAGCCCTCGCACATTGACGACTTGCCCTTGACGTGCCAAGCCAGCTTTCCATTGTGAGTCATATTATCTGAGCAAGCCACCGCTTTAGTTGGAGCATGCTGCTCTGGCCCTAGGTGTTGCTCTGCTCTGCAAGCCTTGCTCCAAGCAAATGAGAGGCATGACAAAGCAGGAGCGTTTAACATTATGCTCATAATGCGGCAGAGGTCGCATCTGGTATTAACATGCGCACCGACAGGCCTACAATGCACGCCCAATTCCCCTTTGAAACCCTAAAAAATCCTTCTAATAACCCTAGGACGTCCAAAGTTCAGATATCATTTCTGAGGTATCCTTTTCGACAGGCATGCTGGCGCCGGACGGGCGGTGCAAGACGCTGGATGCGGCGGCGGAGGGGTATGTGCGCGCTGAGGGCGTGGGAGCCGCCTGGCTTCGCTGCCTTCGCAACGTGGCCGGCGCCACGCTTGGCAACAGCCGCCCGGTGAGGGTTCACGTTACTTTTGTGCTTTTTTGTGACTTCATAGGCGTGATCAGTGTGTCGAAATTGCCCAAGATCACCCATAATCCGGGGAGTCATTTTTGGTGGGTTGCTAAGGTTGACGTGATTCAAGGAACAGCTTGTTAGGGGCCACGTTCCGTAGTTGCCGCCCACTTTTGAGCAGTTTCTCAGTGTCAATGGGAAAATGAAGGGCGGTTTAGTGCCGCACATTCCTGGCAGCCTGTGTATGAAAAGGCATCTTGGCATCTGTTCACCAACTAAAGATGTTCTTACCCAGCACATGCGTAATGTTTGTTTATGACGCTTCTTTCCGACCGAATTAGAACTTTTCTGACCTTGGACTGCACAATGTACATGCGCGCAGGCTGCTGTGGTGTTGCACGGCTGCGCGCTTAATCAGGACGGCCGCTCCAGCAGTCTGACTGCTCCCAACGGACCGGCGCAGCAGGCGCTCATCAGAAGCGCGCTTCAGGCGGCCCACATGCCACCCTCCAAGGTAAGCAGCTGCCATGGATAAGAACCTGTCTTAGGCTGTGGAGACAGAAAAACGCAGCTCGGGAAGAAGCAGCGTGCAAAAGTTGTTGCCATGCAGAAGTTGCTGGCTTCGAAGCGCAAATTGCTCGTGCCTTCATCTATGCATGCATGATGCATGCGCTTCCAAGGCGGAGAGAAATGAGCCTGGCCCCTCGATGCATGTGGTGGAATTCTCGAGTCAGGAATTTCCCACAATCTCGTTGCTTTGCCTGCCATGTACTTTGTTACAGATATCTTGATAATGAGACTGCGGCAGTCACAGGCCTGAGACTCTATACAGTGTGCTGCCGAGATACGCACCGCTCAACTGCGTGAAGCCAGAAACTGTAGATTATGGCCTACCGCAAGCTGCCATGTGGCTGAGGGGGGACCTTGCCCCTTTTGAGCGCTGTGCTCACAAGATTATCTTTCAGACCGCGCCTACCCCCCTAGTGTGTTTGCAACGTACTTGGGCGGTTCAAGTAGAGGTCATCTGAGGCCCTGGGTCCAAGTACTAGACATGCTGCAGCACTTTGCTCCCAGCTGTTGGAAATTCAAAGGCCAGCATTCACTACCCATGTGACTGCGCTGCACTTGCACGAGACAGGAATGCCGCCGGGCGACCTGCGACTTGCCAGTCCCCAGAAACATGTCGGGAAAACTTCAACCCCGGAGCTTTTGTTTCCTGTTGACCCTTACACTTCTGACATTATGACCCTGTGATGATAACCCTGCCAGATGAATGCTCTGCACTTGCACGAGAAGGGGACGCCGCTGGGCGACCTGCAACTTGCCAGTCCCCAGAAACGTGTCGGGAAACCTTCAATCCCGAAGGTTTTGTTTCCTGTTGACCCTTACAACTCTGGGATTATGACTCTGTGATTATAACCCTGCCAGGTGAATGCTCTGCACATGCACGGGACGGGAACGCCGCTGGGCGACCCGATCGAGATGGGTGCGGCCGCGGCTGTGCTGCTCGCCAGGACGGGGAAAGCCGCCGGATCCGGCACCGGCCAAAACAGGCAAGTGTTCGTCTGCCGCCATTATACAATATTGGGTTTATTTTTTACGAACCCTAACCCTAAAACCCCTAAACCCTAAACCCAAACCCAAGTCAAATCTACAGGAAGCAAAGTATTCCGCACGTACTTGAGTAGGTTGCAATCCATGCTGGCATCATTCGGAGTCTATGAGCTGCTATATGTCAGGCACAGGGCGGTGGGTTTGTGCTGCCTTTGGTTGTCTGGTCGAGCAATCTCTGGATGGGGCTCTCACGCAGATGGTGATAAGCCCCCTTTACGCAGAAGCATTGTCAGGCAGAGGCTGCCGAAATAGAGAAGGATGTGAACCACTACTCGGGGACCCAACATGCATATGGGCAAAGTCAGGGTAGGCTGGGCAGGAATGGAGGACAGTCTTTTCAAATAGGAAATGTTTATTTTTTTTGGCCTCGGCTGGCAAGAGGCGGTGCAAACACTGAGCACCGTGACCATGGTTGATTGGGACTTGCTTGAATCTGGCGAGTCCAACAAGGTGTAGGATTTTGGCAGCCTTTTCTGCAGCTTGTCTGCAGACGCACCTTGCCTCCGGCAGGAAAAGCGCGTAACAATAACAATAACAATAACAATAACAATAACAATAACAATAACAATAACAATAACAATAACAATAACAATAACAATAACAATAACAATAACAATAACAATAACAATAACAATAACAATAACAATAACAATAACAATAACAATAACAATAACAAATACAAATACAAATTAGGGCATTCACAGCCACCCTGAAAGTTTTGAACTGCTGCCTGACAGGCTGCCAGTGGCGGCCGCTCTCATGGTTTTCTGACGGAATGAACTGCGCGATTGAAGCGCAGCGTGAGCATATATAAGGGAATCTTGGAGGCTTGCTTATTCAACCTGAGGGATTCAAATAATTTGAAACAGGCTGCCGGTGGCGCTGGCCGCGCACAAGTCCTCGGCCGGCCACGCGGAGGCGGCGGCCGGCCTCGTCGGCATCGCATGCGCGACCCTTGCGATCGAATCAGCCACCCTCCCGCCCATCCTGCACCTGCGGTAAATACTCTTTTGGGGTGTTGTCACAAGATTGCAAAAAAGCCCATGCGCCCTGTAGCAACGCATGCCGTACTGAAGGCATCATTGAAGACTAGCTGCATTCCGGTGTCAACTCTTGTTTGTTTAAAATTACTCAAGACAGGGACTGTACATGTGCACCCACAACCCCAAGGAAGCATGCATTGTGCATTAGAGGGATTTAATGATTTTTGGGCTTTAGGCAGGAACATTGCTAATGAAGAGATGTTCCCTCCCCTGGCGCCATCAGGGCCACGTCCTCTTTGGATACCTTGAATAATGCAGCCTGCACAGCTAGAACTGCGGCAACCTATCATCTTCCTTTCAGTCCAAGGATATTTTTACTGCTTCAGCAAAAGTGCCAAAGGTGCCGTATATGTTTGGCAGGGCGATCAACGCGCATGTTGCGCCGAGCATGGGGGCCGCACCGGCCGCATCCTTTGCCGCTCCTCGGCAGCCTTCCGGCCACGCAAGTGCCGGTAATGAGTGCAGAGTTGTGGCTGGCATCAGCTCATTTGCCTTCCAGGTGCGAATTTTCCAATCTAACTTTCAAGATGTATCAATTCGAATAGCTATCTGCAAACAGTATCATCTCATGCATTTTGACAAATTCCAGTCACTCTGGAAGAACTCGATGTATGCTTTTTCCTCAAAACAAGGTGCTGATATACCCAGCAGAAGCATCCGGCATTTGAAACAAATCTGCAGCACATGTGTTGCCCACTGTTGTAAAATCGAAGTCAAGGCTTGAAAGTGCTATTGTCAAAATTTTGCAGGGCAGCAATGCGCATGTGGTAATGGAGGCGAACAGCAACGACGGCGTTCCCTCCGTCACAGACCTGCCGCGCCAGATTTGGCAGCGCGGTCGCCATTGGTTCGCGCCCCCCGCGCACCCCCTTCTTAGGGCTTTCTCGACCCTTAACCCTAGCCTGGCAACGCTGACAGATCAGGCAACGGCGACGTTTGTCAGCCTGCTGACTCATCCGAGCCTTGCGTACCTTGGAGACTGCATGCTTTGCGGCCGATCTGTCGTCCCTGTGGCAGCTCTCATGGAGGTGACTACTTTTTGATTTTCAAATGAAATTTCAATTGCCAGTTTGCATTCGAAGCCACAGAGGCAAGGCACAATGCACCAAGGACTCTTTCACGATGATAATCATCGCCTTTGGCCCCAGCTGGCGGGGGGTGGTATAAATACTGAGCACCGTGCCCACGGTTGATTGGTTCTTGCTTGGATGTTGAACTAAGGCCAAAAGCCTACCTTCATTAAATGCACCATGTAGATACAGCCTAGCAGCCGCATGACTTCCTAAAAAGTTGAGTAAGTAAGGCAGTCCTTGAGATAAAATGGAATACGGCAGGTATTGACTTGCAGTTCGTTTTTGCAGATGGCGCATGCATCAGCGACTCTGCTGCTTCAGCCGGGCTCCGCCGAGGCGCCTGGAATCATTGGTGCCTCTTTTGGCACTCCAGCTCCGCTGGCATCAGCGCCGCTGCTTGTCACTGTCAGCAGCCGGACCGGCGACATCAGCGTTGGGTTGGAGCCCGTCCACAACAGGCATGTGCCATCCGCGCGCGTGACTTGTGATTTCATTGATTTGGACATTATGGCTTTATTCAATCTGACCAATGTCAAGGGATTGGTGTTCTCACGTGATTTATCCTCCAGAGGCGAGGTGTGTTACAGACTAGCTTGCCGCTTAATATACTCTTTGTGGGACTTGCCAGATACAAGTATGAAGCCACTGAGCAGAGGCATCTTGTTCAGTACTCACAGCGCACCCTGGCAGCCAGGGGTAGACATGGATTCACCGTTTTGTGAATTTCCAAGAAGTTGCTTCAATATCTATTTGTGTCCTGCTACAGGCGCGGGCCGCTGCTACTGAGCTGTGCAGTGGCGCCAGCGTGGCAGACTGCTGACATCAGCGCAAGAGCCGCCAAAATAGGCTCTCTAGCCGCTGTCTTGGAAGCTGCCGCGCAGCTGCATGCAGCTTCCGCAGGATTGCAGCAGGACCAAAATCAAGCATGCTATGGCCACATTGAGAGCGGCAAATCGTCGAATGCCAAGGTCATTTTCTTAGCATTATGGGCAATTGCACTTTGAAGCCAGCCAATGAGATCTTCTGTGCATGAATTTGAGCGGCGAAGTCTTTTGGAAGATTGTCTTTTCCCCCTTAATGGGAGGCATCTAAAAAGTGGTGTTTGGCTGTTGTTTGGATATTAACAAGCAATCAGAAAAACCACCGTGCCTTTCATGATACTGATTTCGTGTCAGTGCGTGCTTGCAAGGAAACCTGCCACACAATAACCACGGTGTTTGTTTACTTTGCAGGATGGCGACTACAGCATGCACCCGGCAGCGGTTACATCAGCGCTGCAGCTGGCGTCGCTGACATCATCAGACGAGGGGGATTCCTCAGAGGGTATCCTGCGCAGCCTGGACGTCGTTACGGCACCGGTCACGCGGGCAAAGCCGAGCAACGGGCCTCATGTGACAACTGTACGGGCATCTGCCCACAGCAGCTTCTGCATCCTTTCAGCAGGTGCGCATAATTTAGGGCTTAGGAAATAGGGTTTAGGAAGGCCCCAACAAACATTAACTGCATAAAGTACATGTTTGCATTTGGCATGGCAGCAATCAATGCAGGTGTGCATGCTATTTTCTGTATTATACGCTGGGCGATGATTATTGCATTTCAGAAATCCTGGCATCATTTTGTACACCTTGTTGCTGTCATTGTTGCATCGCTGACATGCTTGAAGCCTATGACGGAATTAGTGCCTGCATGCCACGTCAGATTGAATTGTTCTATCTTATTTCATAGTCTCCTTTTGGGGTATGAATCGGAGGTTTCGTAAATCCCTTTCACCTTTGCACTGCATCCTTGCCTGAATATCTGAGAGTGCTCCTTTGCCTTCTCTATCCAGGAGTCAAGATGAGCGGGGCCAAATTCGGCGCCCAGGCAGCTTCCTCTCAGGGAGAAGCTGCAACCACAGGCAGTGCAACTGCCGCGACAACTCCTGACAAGCTCCGTCTAATGTACCGAGTCCGCTGGCAGGCCACGTCATGCTACAGGTGTTGATATGGACTGCCCTTTCCTTTTGTACAACCTCTTCAAAAAAGATTTTGCCCTGGCTGGCGGGGGCAGATATAAGTACTGAGCACCGTGCCCACGGTTGATTGGGTCTTGCTTGGATCTGGCATGTCCAACAAGGGGTAGGATTGTGGCAGCCTTTGACGGCAGCCTGTCTGCAGGACGCACCTTGCCTCTTGGCAGAAAAATCGTTTAACAATTCAAAAAAATGGCCTTCCATGCTTCACTCATCACAGCAAGGACAGGACAAATTTTCAGTTATAACAGGCATCAAGAACCATGCATCTGCTCAATAATGCTCTTGCATGCTTGCGATTCCAAGATAGGCGTATAAAGTACTTCGGATATGTATCTGTATCCTACTGTGCATTCATGTACGGACTATTTTGCTGTAATGAAAATCAGAAAGACAAACGCATTCCGAGCCTTCAGAGCTTATTTACTTCAGTTGTATAGGCGTCGAAATTACTTCAGTGCCCAATGACAAAATGACGAATGCTGCTATTTCTCTACAGGCCGAGTGCTGCTGTGAGGAGGAGGGAACGCCTGGCCAGGCCAGCCCACTGGGTCAGGGCCGGGCAGGGGAAAAGCTGCTCCTCAGCCAAAATAAGATTCAGTGCTGCTGACATCAGCGCAGCTCTCACCGCCATGGCAGCTCTGCAGCAGGCAGCCGCCAGATCAGGCACCGCAGAGGTGCTTTTTTTCCCCATCCCAGATGGCTGCAAATATTGTCGTGTACCAGTCACAAAGCAGATGCCGCACCCGTGGTTCTTATCTTTGACTTCAGGGTAACCAATAACCAGGTATTCCAGGAAGTGTGCAGGTTCCTTATAGCTATCACACTGAACCGTTTGTTGCGGCCCTTAACATTTTGGCATGCTTTACCAGTCTCCTCAGACATTAGCATCTCAGTGCTGTCTTACCGGGAACATGCTGACATGCACTTTGTAGTCCTGCAACTTTAGTCAGATGCCGACCAGCGCCCACACACAGCACACATCAGTCCTGTTCTCCTCCCATTACTGTTTCGAGGCTTTCTGCCACATTTTTAGCTGAGATGTGGTAATAAAAAGCACATCGTGTCGGCAGGTGGCGTTGTCTACAGTTGGTGCATTGGCAGACGGAGGCAACGCATGTGTGCCGATGCGTGGGAGCACCAGCGTGATGACTCACCCCATCAGTAGCATTAGTCACCCTAGCAGCAGGATTAGTCATACTGGTTACAGCATGAGTCATCGCGGCGCCAGTTCCGGCGCGTTACCTTTTATGGCGATGGCACGGTGCGTCGCGGCCGAGCGGCCTGACCTGGTGTGGTCTGCCAGGTTAGTCACCCCAGACCCTAAAAATAATTTCTTAAGCCAAAAAACGTACAATTCTTTCACAAAACCTGCGATCTGCTGGATCTGTACTGCTTTGCGTCAGCTTGAGGTGGGGGAAATTTGACCATTGCAGGTGGGGCCTCGGGTCCAGTCGATTGAGACTTTTGTATACCGGGCAGCCTTGGGCTGATTGTATTCTCGAATGACAAGCTGGGCAGCTCTAAGCTAAACATTAGAGTATCCTGAGACATACTGGACTGCAGAGACCCCGCCAAAACTTGCAGCACATAAAGATATGGGGGTAGGCTGCAGATATAAGCACTCAAAGACTGGATGATTCCTCCAGGGACAACTCTGCGTCTAGTGCCTGGGAGGAGCATGGGACCATGTCAACATCGGCGGCTTTGCAGCAAGGACTGCAATGCCAGGCTGACAGGGGCGGGGTGACATCAGCGCCGTTACTCATTGCCACCGAGGACGACTCATCGTCATCTGCCGGCCTGCAGGCAAGCTTGCTTACTACATCCCTTCTAGGCTCGGTCAATTCTAGCATCAGGCATTAAACATTGGCACATGCCATTCTTAAGGCTTCATTGATATACTTAGCCACCAAAGACTTCATGCTTGGTCTTGCTCGCCTTTGCGTTTCTGCCAAATCTTTGGACAGAGACTTCCATCAGTTCACCTATTACAGTTCTTCAGGGCTAGGACGGCAGGAAAATAATGCCGTGATGTCTGCAGAATAGTCTTGAAGCACAGAATGCTGCGGTAAAAAGCATTTTCCTTCCCTTTTTACTTTTTTTCCTCCTCTCTTTTTTACCTCCTATTCCTAAATTGGTGGCATGCGCAGGGCATGGCATGCAGCGGAAGTGGGTGGCTTGTCTCCGGAGGCGTTGGCGCGCTGGGAGCACTCATGGCAACCTGGCTGGCAAGCTCAGGTAAGATTGAAATCTTTCAATGCCTTAGGACCCTGTGAACATTCTCGCTGGCAGGGTCATCTGGTGCGGACAGCTGTGCAGAAGACTGTTGTGAAGAAAAGCATGTACTGGGCATGCTGGACGCTGACTTTCATTACCCGTGTTGAGATTCTGATTACTTTAGGGTCACCCTGGCACCGTAAATGTTATTGTGATCCTTTTGGAGTATAGCCGTGATGTTGTTGTGTTTTTTGCGTTTTCCAGCTAGCGTTTCTTAGGACTTTGACCCTTTCTAGAACCTTTTTGCCCATGGATAAAACCTAAGGAATGCATCCATTTCAGGCGTGCGGCGGCTGTGCCTGCTCGGCCGCTCCGGCCGAGTTGCAGGGGCTAACGCCGAAGCTCTGGCGCCTCTTTTGAACGGCGCTTGCGCTGTCACGCTGTCGAGGTACACTGCATTGCACACTTGGCAACACGCTGCTCAATATTGTCAACATATAGTGTTTCTTGTGATGACTTTGGATCAATATTTCAATGGTGG